AACAAAAGTTGTATTAAACAACTGGAAACATTCAAAACACCTTATCGGATCGGGCAGATTGGGCTAGGGACTTGCTACCACGTCCTTCTAGCTCCGAAAGGCTCCCTCTTGAAAAGCAACTCGTTGCTTTTTCCCCCGGCTCCCTTCCAAGCACCGGCTAGTAGCTTGGTTGACGCGGGAAGGGGAACAAAAATTCAAGTGTTAGCAGTGAAGTGGTTGGATTTCAACCACTAACTTAGCATAAGCAAAATGTAAAAGCTTACCCAACAACAACCACGCAACCTCCCACTCAACCCTTCCCCCCCCCCTCCGATTTTTGATGTTTTTCGGACATTTGCGCCTGGTTGAGTGGCTGAGTGGCTTCAAGTCCAGCAAGCCTCTAGAGGTTCTTTGGTTCAGACCTACGGCCCAAGCCACGGATCCGATCCGCGCGGACGCGTCCGCCTGGTGCCAGGCGGAAGCTGGTGGCCCAAACGGTGGCCTCCTGCGGTTCTTTTTTGGCGGGCGAGCTGCTTGGCTCGGGGGTGTCTCGGTGGCGAACTCCGCGAAGCCCTGCTAACAGTTTTTCTTGTAGTGTTTTAATACGGAAAACTTGCTGCAAGTGGACCACTTGTAGGGTTTTGATACGGAAAAAAATCCTTGGTTGGCAAAAAGTGGTTCAGTCCTAACATCCAAGCCAAATGCCGCAGAGGTCTTCTTGGCTGTTGACCTCTAAATCGGCCAAACCACAAAGAAGTGACTCAAGCTCCAGAAGCACCGGATGTGAGTTTTAGGGGACCCCCCCCAAAAAAAGACCCCCCCCGACCTGGTTCCCGTTTGCTTTTCAGGCCGAGTAACACCCCCCCCACCTGTTATTGAAGGGGTATGCGTGAGTTGGGAAAAATCGAAGCCCACAAAGTGTGGGCCAAAAACAGGCAACCCCAAAATCGTCCAAAATGGCTCGCCCTGAGAAATGGAAACAGACTAGAACCTGCGGTTCGCTGGTGGTGTAGTTTTGACCCATATCCATCATAATCTAGTGCTGCCCGGGTTCTCCTGGTTACAAAACAATATGGAATCGGGCACGGGTTTCCGAAGATGTTTTTACCCAAGACACGTCTTGCACCAAGCCCGGAACCCGAAACCCGACAACCCCCCGCCCCCCCGACACCCCGCCGTGGGGCCGTAGGCGTTCCAGAGACCCGCGCCGGAACTGGAGAGCAACGGCTCCACCAAGCTGAGCGGGAAGGCCTGCCGCAGATGCGAAGCGCAGACCCCAGATTTTCATCGCGGTCCCGGTGTCCGATTAGGCCACGTTGACCCCACCGCGCCTCTCCGCCGCAAATGGCGGCCAAACCTGCGCAGGCGCCGCAGATGGGTCCCTGTGTGTGTCCAACCTGGGGGTCAAGGACCCTCACTTCCTGAGTGGAGTGGTCGGCAAGGATCAAGGTTTTTGCTTACCACCAAAACAGACACGTTCAAGTCCGGAATCTGGGAAAGTGAGTTCCAAGTGGCTGGTTTCATGTAGGCTTCCTTTTGAAGTCGGCTGAACTGGAGTCGCTTCAATCTTGCACACAGCCAAATAATGGAGCGCGCGCCCCTCAACAAAGACTTCTTGCACTGGACCCATTGTATTCAGCCAGGGCTGATAAACCATGACCCCAACTCTTTTTGCTCAAAAGGTGAGAGATGTTAACCAACAAAAGCAAAGCAGAAGGACCAGGTGGAAAGGCTTTGATAAACATTACCCCAACTCGGCTCAAAAGGTGATATGTTCCAACAAAAGCAAAGCAGAAGGACCCCGTGGAAAGGCTTTGATAAACATGACCCCAACTCGGCTCAAAAGGTGATATCATATCATGTTCCAACAAAAGCAAAGCAGAAGGACCAGGTGGAAAGGCTTTGATAAACATGACCCCAACTCGGCTCAAAAGGTGATATGTTCCAACAAAAGCAAAGCAGAAGGACCCCGTGGAAAGGCTTTGATAAGCATGACCCCAACTCGGCTCAAAAGGTGATATCATATCATGTTCCAACAAAAGCAAAGCAGAAGGACCCCGTGGAAAGGCCTTTGATAAACATGGACCCCAACTCGGCTTCAAAAGGTGAGATGTTCTGCAAAGCAAAGCAGAAGGACCCCGTGGAACGGCTTTGATAAACATGACCCCAACTCGGCTCAAAAGGTGATATGTTCCAACAAAAGCAAAGCAGAAGGACCCCGTGGAAAGGCTTTGATAAACATGCCCCCAACTCGGCTCAACAGGTGATATGTTCCAACCAAAGCAAAGCAGAAGGACCCCGTGGAAAGGCTTTGATAAACATGACCCCAACTCGGCTCAAAAGGTGATATGTTCCGACAAAAGCAAAGCAGAAGGACCCCGAGGAAAGGCTTTGATAAACATGGCCCCAACTCGGCTCAAAAGGTGATATGTTCCAACAAAAGCAAAGCAGAAGGACCCCGTGGAAAGGCTTTGATAAACATGACCCCAACTCGGCTCAAAACCCCAACTCGGCTCAATAGGTGATATGTTCCAACAAAAGCAAAGGCAGAAGGACCCGTGGAAAGGCTTTGATAAACATGACCAACTCGGTCAAAAAGGTGATATGTTCCAACAAAAGCAAAGCAGAAGGGCCCCCGCGCACGACCGCTCAAAAACATGACCCAACTCGGCTCTAAAAAGGTGATATGTTCCAACAAAAGCAAAGCAGAAGGACCCCGTGGAAAGGCTTTGATAAACATGACCCCAACTCGGCTCAAAAGGTGATATGTTCCAACAAAAGCAAAGCAGAAGGACCCCGTGGAAAGGCTTTGATAAACATGACCCCAACTCGGCTCAAAAGGTGATATGTTCCAACAAAAGCAAAGCAGAAGGACCCCGTGGAAAGGCTTTGATAAACATGACCCCAACTCGGCTCAAAAGGTGATATGTTCCAACAAAAGCAAAGCAGAAGGACCCCGTGGAAAGGCTTTGATAAACATGACCCCAACTCGGCTCAAAGGGTGATATGTTCCAACAAAAGCAAGCAGAAGAAGGACCCCGTGGAAAGGCTTTGATAAACATAACCCCAACTCGGCTCAAAGGTGATATGTCAAAAGGTCCAACAAAAGCAAAGCAGAAGGACCCCGTGGAAAGGCTTTGATAAACATGACCCCAACTCGGCTCAAAAGGTGATATGTGCCAACAAAAGCAAAGCAGAAGGACCCCGTGGAAAGGCTTTGGTAAACATGACCCCAACTCGGCTCAAAAGGTGATATGTTCCAACAAAAGCAAAGCAGAAGGACCCCGTGGAAAGGCTTTGATAAGCATGACCCCAACTCGGCTCAAAAGGTGATATGTTCCAACAAAAGCAAAGCAGAAGGACCCCGTGGAAAGGCTTTGATAAACATGACCCCAACTCGGCTCAAAAGGTGATATGTTCCAACAAAAGCAAAGCAGAAGGACCCCGTGGAAAGGCTTTGATAAACATGACCCCAACTCGGCTCAAAAGGTGATATGTTCCAACAAAAGCAAAGCAAAAGGACCCCGTGGAAAGGCTTTGACAAACATGACCCCAACTCGGCTCAAAAGGTGATATGTTCCAACAAAAGCAAAGCAGAAGGACCCCGTGGAAAGGCTTTGATAAACATGACCCCAACTCGGCTCAAAAGGTGATATGCTCCAACAAAAGCAAAGCAAAAGGACCCCGTGGAAAGGCTTTGACAAACATGACCCCAACTCGGCTCAAAAGGTGATATGTTCCAACAAAAGCAAAGCAGAAGGACCCCGTGGAAAGGCTTTGATAAACATGACCCCAACTCGGCTCAAAAGGTGATATGCTCCAACAAAAGCAAAGCAGAAGGACCCCGTGGAAAGGCTTTGATAAACATGACAACTCGGCTCAAAAGGTGATATGTTCCAACAAAAGCAAAGCAGAAGGACCCCGTGGAAAGGCTTTGGTAAACATGACCCCAACTCGGCTCAAAAAGTGATATGTTCCAACAAAAGCAAAGCAGAAGGACCCCGTGGAAAGGCTTTGATAAACATGACCCCAACTCGGCTCAAAAGGTGATATGTTCCAACAAAAGCAAAGCAGAAGGACCCCGTGGAAAGGCTTTGATAAACATGACCCCAACTCGGCTCAAAAGGTGATATGTTCCAACAAAAGCAAAGCAGAAGGACCCCGTGGAAAGGCTTTGATAAACATGACCCCAACTCGGCTCAAAAGGTGATATGTTCCAACAAAAGCAAAGCAGAAGGACCCCGTGGAAAGGCTTTGATAAACATGACCCCAACTCGGCTCAAAAGGTGATATGTTCCAACAAAAGCAAATCAGAAGGACCCCGTGGAAAGGCTTTGATAAACATGACCCCAACTCGGCTCAAAAGGTGATACGTTCCAACAAAAGCAAAGCAGAAGGGCCCCGTGGAAAGGCTTTGATGAACATGACCCCAACTCGGCTCAAAAGGTGATATGTTCCAACAAAAGCAAAGCAGAAGGACGCCGTGGAAAGGCTTTGATAAACATGCGGCTCAAAAGGTGATATGTTCCAACAAAAGCAAAGCAGAAGGACCCCGTGGAAAGGCTTTGATAAACATGACCCCAACTCGGCTCAAAAGGTGATATGTTCCAACAAAAGCAAAGCAGAAGGACCCCGTGGAAAGGCTTTGATAAACATGACCCCAACTCGGCTCAAAAGGTGATATGTTCCAACAAAAGCAAAGCAGAAGGACCCTTTTGGAACAAGTCCGCGCTTCCGTTGTCCGCTTCCAAACGCAACCGAGGATGAAGCAGACAACCGGCCCCAAAAACGCAAACGCACATTGACATCTCTAATAAGAGCTCCCTTTTGGGAGAAAATCGTTGTTGGGTGCGGGGTTGTCTATCATCAACCATTGACATCCAGATTCCGATCCAGATTCCGATCCAGATTTCGTTCTAGATTCGGCAAACAAAAAGCAACCTCACATTGGAGGGCTCCAAAATCCTGAAAAAACAAAGAAGGACACACCATGACATACCCAAAGAACGACTCCCCGACCGTTACCTTCCCCTCCCGCCTGCATGTCCGGTCCAGCCGTTCGCCACCAACGACCGCCACATGGCCGGGGTGCCCTGCAGGAGGTCTGCCCCCTGCCAGCGTACCACCCCCCCCGAGCGCAACGGCTTGAGGCGAACAAATGGCTGCTCAACACATGGCACCCAACATTGGCACCTTGGTAAATGGAACCAAAGCCTGAAAATCCGGGGAAAGCCTGAGATCCGCAACCACATAAGCAAGTCTACGGCAACATACGGTCAAAACTCTGGTGAGTACGCCTTATTCAGTGAAAAAACAGTACGCACTGCTTGACAAGCCTTCTTTCGAGGCAACCTCATGTCAAATGAGGCCGTTCAATTAAGAAGCCTTGTAAAGGCAACAAAGGATCGAGAGACATATTTGACACCATGCTTCTGCCCAGCGCGTTGCTTGAATGTCGACACCCATTGGCCCCTAAGGCCCCAAGACCGTAAGGCAACCCAGGTGATTCTGGGAGAGCAACCCTGCTCCAACCACATGTCTGCTGGGTTGACTTCCAATTTGCCTCTTGGCTTGACAAAAACGGAATGTCCAAAACACAGGTGTGTGTGTGTGTGTGTCAATGTGCGTTTTGGGAGGGGGCATCATCACTTTGAGACCAAGCCACTCTCTCCTAAGGGGACCTGGTTGATTGATAGGGGGGTGCCCCCTTTCTGCGGGGGCCCTATTGATAGGTTGGGATGGGATTATTCATCCGGGGTCAACATGAAGGGGCTTAGACTGTGCCGCCCCTTCGCCTGGCTCCCGACAAGCCGTGCCAGCTTGCCGCCGTTCCGCGCTGTGCTTGCCTGGAGGCCGGCGAAAACTTGGGGTACATTTTAGTAAGACACCCTCGACATATTTCTAAGGCTTGATTCCCCATTCTCTTCACTCATCGTTCTCTTTAGAAACCACCTGCTTTCCAGGGGGTTGGCCATTTTTTGAAGAGAAGGATCCCTGAAGAAAATGGGGAGGGTACGGCTAGAATATTGTGTCTAAGGTCCCAACCATACCCCCGGGTACGTGCCCCTGCAAGAAGCTCAACTACATACTGGGCACACAAGTGGGATACCACGGGTACCTGCCCAGGGGCGAGTGGTTTGGCCCGCATAAAGGAAGCAACTTGTAGAGTTGAAAGATTTGTTGACTTTAAGGGACCCAGGTTGTTGGAAAAAGACCAAACAAATCAGACCACTGTGCAATTCAGAGACATACAGACCCTTTTCGAACAGTTTTGGAGGGAAACCAACAGGAAAACCCACCTATGGCGGGTGTCCCAATCCCTATAATCTGGTGGTTTCAAGGGACACCCCACAGTAAGGTTAACTTCGGATGCATCCGGAGGCTGAGGAGCCTGCTAGTCCCTAGCAACCCCCTCAACTAGTTCATGTCCTTACTGAGTTTATACCTGGAACCAGCCCTGATTTGTGTCATCCAGAAACCCCTCGAAATGCCAACACCGAGTGGCCGAGACCAGGAACAAGGAGAAGCCAAAACACAGCGGCCAAAAGATCTCCAGCACGGAGATGTCGAAGCCTCGAGCGATTCGATTTGGTCGGTGAGTCGACATGGGGATTTGGATCAACGAACGGGGGTCCTGTTCGCTTCTGTTGCTCCCTTTGGCTTCCCCTTACCAACCACAAAGGTCTTCCCTCAATTTTTCAAAACAGGTGGACCTGGTGTTCCTTCTAAACCAAGGTGAATCGGCATTGAGGACGTCTGGTACGTGACTCGAAGACTATAGCTCGAGGAGCAGTAAGTCGTGGTCGCCAGCAACTGCCCGCCCACGCCGTCGCCCGCGTCGCCCGTGTCACGGCCCGGCCGGATCATGTCGTTGAAGGCATGGAGGACATTCCTCGGATGCCCGGGTCCCATGCCGTCACTTGCTCGGATTGATTGGGCTCCCGTTTGCCCAACTTGTTTGGGTGTCAAAATTAGGGGACCCCGAAAGGTTGTCTTGTTGGTGTCCCTTTGAAACAACCCCATAAAGGATACCCTGCAGAAACACACACAAACAGGAATTAGCCAACGACAAAGGATCCAACATGTAAATGGCCACACTTCAGCCTCTGATGTGCAACATACCCGTGTCTCAAGCCCTCCATGCAAGTCCAGGCGGCAAAACGCCCCGTCGAGCAACCAGCACGCCTGCCAAGATCCATTCCGCAACCCTGAATTTGCGCTCCTTCTCGGAAAGCAAAAAACCATATGTGCAATTTGAGTACATGTCTTGGTATAGGGGACGCCCTATGTTAGTCTAACGTTATATGTTTGCCTGCCTCGAAACCACCCCGCAAAGGGGTACCCTCAACAAACAAACACACCCATGTCCGATGAAAACTCCCCAAATACGGCGCTTTTGGATCTGGGGGGAAGCAAAAAGGCCGCCTCGTTTCGATCCCCGAGGAAAAAAAACATCCCCCCCAACAGGACAGGTCCAAAAAGAACTTGCCCGGCCACAACTGCCCTTCCGCTGGCAAGCTCATGGAGCTCGGCCTCCGAACTGGTTGGTTTCCTTTCTGGGCTTTCCTTTGCAAGCCAATACACCCAAATGGCTGTGGGTCAAAACCAATGGTACCATTTTGGGGTAGGTGTGCCACCCATTTTAGAACCTATTTAGTGGGATCTGCTACCCAAACCGATGCATGTAAAGAATTAAGAGGGCTTCTTGCAACACATCTTTGTTGTTCTTGCAACACATCTTTGTTGTGTTGAAGCGGTCAAGCTCCGCCCATGCCTTGATTGCGGGCGAACAGCCTGCCTTTGGGTGTACCAGTGCTGCCGGAGGTGTACCTCAGCCGAGGACGGGAGCAGCCTCCCACTCAAAACGAATTGAACCAGAAAACATAATAAGTATAAGCATACAAAGAAAAGTGACGTGACTCATTGGCCTTCTCCAAATATGGCCTTAAGGCAACTGCCAATACGTTCTTGGTCATGGTCCTAACCTCCCAAAGGCTGTTTGTTCAGCCGTATGTCACTGGCAAAACAGGATGCCAATGTTCTTGTGAATGAATGACTTATGGGCAATGGGCCAAAGGGATCCGACGATCACTTTCTGCTGGTTGAACATGGCAATGGATAGACACACAGAAGAGCAAAACAAAAAGTCTGGCAACCCACACAATTGCAAAAGCTCACACACCTGCATCGCCAGTTGCTGCAATTTGTTCCCAGCCGCTGTGACTGTTCTTAGGGTAAAGCGCCTGGAAAAAAGTCGAAGGCAACTTGGCCATCCAGGCAGCTTGCTGTTTTTGTGCCATGAAAACGCGTGAGAGACATCTCTCGCTCCTCATGGCTCCCCAGATCTTCCGGGCGGCATCAAGTAGGCGGGTGTTTGCAGGTCCGTGGGTTCCACGGCCAGATCTGGGGCAGAAAGAGGAGGCTGAGCGCCCTCCGGGCAGATCAAGCGGCCTCGGCGCGTCGCATAAACTCGGTGGTTTTCGGCTCCCCTGCTAAAAGTTTAACTTTTGGTGGTTTAATGGAAAACCCAAGAGTTAGCAAAAAGTTAAAGTCCTAACATCCAAGCAACATGCAACAATGTAAGTGTTTTGTGGTTTTTCAGGTTGGTCTTCAGGGGAACACAAAGGAGACATTCACGTGTTTTCTGCGGGTCCCCCAAAAATTGGCACTTGACACACCCGCACTTCACGTGGAACCCGTGCAAGGTCTGGGATTGATGTCCTTCCCCTTGCCCACGTGAACATGTGGTGGCCCATGACAAAAAGTCAGACCCAGCGTTGAGCCAAGGGATTCATCCCAAGTGGCTCGATGATGAATTAATGCAACCATTGGAGTTGGCTCCCCCAATGTCCACGGCCAGCTAGAGCAAAGCAAAATTACCAAAAGGAAGGCGCACTTGAACGGTTTGCTTCGGACATTTTAGATCCTTAAAGAACTTCAGCATGGAGCCCCAAATTGTCAACCCAGGACAATAAACCCATATTTAGCAATATGGGGGTGCCCCTGGTTTTAGTGGGGCGTTCATCTCTTTTGGAGGGGCCCCCACCTGTCATTACTCTGGGGGCAGCATTAGCGCAGTCTCTTTTGGAATCTTAAGTGGGACCCGATCTACGTGGGACTCGCGCACGTCAATCAAGAGGTTTGTGAATAATCCAGGTCCCCCAACAAACATGCGTACGTTGAAAACAAACGTGCGTGGGATTCCTTCCCTCAAAGTGGATCTACAGGCAGGTCCCGTTAATTTCGCTGGGTAGCAGAATTACAGGGCTCAACGCATGAATATGGCTTTAAAGGGCCCACAACCCCATTTCTTACTATCCAGGCCTTGATATCAAACATTCCCCTTTGAGCATCCTTCCAAAGGCAAAAGGAAACTCAATCAAAAGCGGATGCTTCAACACCAAAACGGGAGGCATAGAAGCTGGACCAAAACTTGCTGGTGCGATAGGCAGGGAATGAGAAATGGAATGACCCCTACAAACCATCCAGCTGGTGGTTTCCTTTAAGGGAATCCCCCGGTTCATTCCCTCAACCTCTGCCTATCGCACCAAGAAGCCGCACCCATCGCTGCCCCGCGGACCCCCCCGGCCGAAGCGCCGTCGACGGCCGCCACCCGCACGATGCGCTCCTCCGGCAGCAGGTTCCGGCGCCGGACGCACCAGCAGGTGACGAGGACCTCCGCCCCGCTGTCCTGGCGAATGCGTCGAGGCCACTGCAGCGCATACCGAAAACCTGGCAGTTGGATCGCCAGTTGCAATCGCTTTTTTCTATGGACTTTACCCCAAAAAACCAGCAACAGTGACTGAAAAAAGCAGCGGCAGTAAAGCCAAACAAAATGGATCCTCCGAAAATGGCCGTAACAAAATGCCATGATTTGTTGGTTTCTGTGCAATATTCAATAGGCATCCAGTAAACTAGTCCAAACCCCAAAAGTGGCTGAAGGCCGAAAAGGAACTCAGGAACTCAGGAACTGAGCCAGGAAACGAAACATACTTTTGCCACGTGACTTTTTTTGACAAATCGTCTAGGAATGGCCCCAGGTGCCGTTACAGGAGCTTGGTCAAGCCAGCAGGCCAGGTTCCATGTCGGGGGGGGGCAAGAACAGGGCGCCACCCCCAAACCAACATGCGGGCATTTCTTTTGGTGTGCATCTAAACCAAGGGGAACATGTAGCGTCAAAAGATCCATCTAAACCAAGGGGACATTTTAGCCTCAGAAGAAGACGCCGACAAATTGGACCTTTCAAATAGGCCGTTTTGACCCGACAGTTGAGGGGCCCAATCAAGGCCTGATCGGCGTAGTTGAGGCCGTTGCAGGAGGGGCCTGGCAAACTCGAACCAAACTTTCTAGTGTAGCGCCCCTCGCGAACTGAAGGGGTATTCGGCAAATTGTTGTCAGGCTTTTTTCGGGGATCACACACGAAGTGATAAACAAAGTGGCATGAAACACACGTTGGGAACTAATGCGAAAAAGTAAGCCAAGTTCGGCCATGTAAGAAAGGTTCTCATTCTAACCTCCTGACCATAAGCCCCCTCCTTCTGGTCCGGTGAGAAAGGTACTGCGTTAAATCAGCAAATAACGTGCATTTTGTGTAGGATAAAGGTTTCAACCCCACCCCCCCAAAAAAAATACACTACCCGTACACAACCTCTACAGCCACTCTAGCCACCAAAACACTCCTCCAGCAAAAACCGGAGCCGTGCCCCAGGATGGGTCGGCTCAAGTGGCAGGTAGGCCTTTCCAGCGCACCAGACCTTCGAGTCAGACCACAGGGTGCCCTAGAAGCAAAAAATAAGCTTTTGGTGACCGAAAACTATCCAAAACGGGGAAACCAAAAAGTGAAAAGGTCGGCTTTAAGTGAGCTTTTTCAGTCTATGCCGGTTCTCCCGTCCACCTCGCCATGGATCCATAGTGGGATTGTGTGGGGGGTAGGCAACCATTTCCTTTGGCCTGTCAAGGGCATTTTTTGGGTTGCCTTTATTCTGTTTGAAACTGGAATCACCGGGTATTAGATGGGTCTCTCTTTCTGGCGGTGCCGCAATTTGAGGTGGTTTTCGAGAGAACCATTGTGGGGGTCCCCCTGTTCTGGCTTGTAAAACATCACCCCTACCAAGGGAACCTAATAATGGGGGGTCAGCATTATTAAATAATGCTGACCCCCCATATGAATCAACCCCATGCAGTCATCACTGTTGGAGGGGAACACCCCCCCATTAATAAACTGGGGTTGATTAATATGAGGTCAGCATTGGCCACAAAGGTGGCAGCAAGATCCACTTCAAAAACAAACCCCTAGAGCGGGTTGTCAGAAGGGACGGGGCCGGGGGGGGGGGGGCCGATGATTGGCCCTGTCACAAGGTTGTTCTTCTCCCATGGTTTTGGCTGTCATAAGGTTGTCCTGATGCCATCCTTTTGGGCATGTGTTTTGGCAGACCTCTAAGACATCTCCATTGACAACGGCATCTTCCTTCTTCGGCCAACTTTCTTTGGCAGCAAATCGGCTTGCAAAGCCACTAAGCCCCATTTGGGATTTGTGCAACCCGATTTCTCACATCCGCAGTGGATTGATCGGCCAGAACCAGTGCAACTTGCAGCTTTTACCAACCAACAAAACGGTCTTCGACAAAAAGCGGCTCAAGTGGGAAGACGGTGTGGGCGAGAAGACGATGTCCGAGCGAAAAAAATATGGCCAAGTCGCCCCCAGTAGCGCCACCACCAGCGCCGGGGTCCGCTGCAGACACACTGCCACCAGAGGTTCTGGAGACCGGCGGCGGAGTTCGCAGGCCAACACCTCAGAGAGCCGAGGTTTCGGCGAAGGAGTTCCACAGATTCACACGGAACCCCCCAACGAAGCAAGGGGTGGCTCGTCCTTTTTGAGGGACCTTTGGGTGGAACTTAAGTGGAAAAGGAGAAACGTAGGGGTTGCGGCTATTCCAAGACGAGCTCATTAAACTTGTGCCATCCAACTCGACTGAGTCATGGGAATCTTCAACTCGCGGGGTGAGGCCGCAAAGGGGGGAATGCACATACCAGGTTAACACGACTTATGGACGAAGCCCGAATGCGCTAAACCAACTGAGGGGCCGGGGGCGGGGTTGGGAAGTGATTCTATGATGGAAAGCAAGAGGGGGGACAGCCAGCTCGCTTCAACAGCATAGACTGCTCCGTGTGCACATGTGTGCATGTAGTAGTAACATAGCACACAAATGTGTGCTTAGCACAGTGCATATGCTCTTACTGACTTGTTCAAATACTAAGCTGTAGTTTTACCTATTTAGCCCGCAACTCGTCACAACAATTTAGAGGGTTCTCATGTGTTGTCCTTCCTTTCAAGGATGCCACCCTTCAGAGGGCTCCCTCAAATAACGAAAATCACATTTGGGCGTGTCGTTATTGAAGGGGGCCGCACGAACAATTGGCGGTGGTTCTCTTCTGCTAAAAGCTTTTAACTTTTAGTGGTTGGCAGAAAGTTTAAGTCCTAACATCCCTTGGCAAAATGCACCAAAGCAAACAAACCAGCCGCCCCTTTATACGGCCCAGTGCCATCCCCTGCCTGGGCCTTCTGCAGCAGCTGCGGGAAGGTGAGGCAGTAGCGATCTGCGGGATACTTTGCCCCGTCCTTCGGACACGTCCAAACGACGGCAAGACAAACCTTGCAACACCAGCTGCACACCGATTCTTAGCATCTTCTCACCCAGTCCCATGTTCAAAAGAGTGGAGACTTGAATCCCCAAGTGAGGACCGACATCAGGGTGGAATCGGTTGCAATTAAAAAAGGGATTAAACAACAGCACTAACCCAAATCTCCAGCGGCCACAGCAAGGAAAGGGCATTGAATTTGCGGCAATTATGTCTAATTGCAAGCTGTGCAGGTATATTTGGCCATGGGTCAGTGTATGCAAGCTAACCAAACGGCACCACACACAAGCACGCGATAACTCTTTTATCCGAGCAGTGTGTTGGTGCCAGGGACTCATCTTCCCCTGTCAGATGACAAAGGCTGGGTGGGCCCCATGGGCCACCCAACTCACAATCTCAAAAACTGAAGAACGGGTGTGCAGACTGATAGCGCCCGCCCCTGAGCCGGGGCCCGTGGCACCCAGGCCACAGGGGGGTCTGCCACCAGGGGAAGTGAGTCGCCCACCGGCTCCGGTCACGGGAGCATGGGTGGGCCCACGCTAAGATCAAATGCATCTCCATTCAGGAGACGCGGGAGAAAAACGAACTCCTCGCAGAGTTCCTGCTTGGGGACCCTTTGCAAAGGGTCGAACCCAGAGAAATCTGGGTGCGTCAGCTCATCAGCCCATTGATTGAATTCACGGGGCACGTGGTTGGCCGCCAGCGAGCAGCCATGGGTGTGGAGCAGGAAGACCAGCTCCATCAGGATCGCCGCCGTGTAGGGCTTCTTGGATCCAAGGTTGAGCATCGCCATGACGTTGCCCTGATTGTCACTGCCCACCGGGAGTCGGACCCGGGAGGACAGAGGGCCTTGGTGCGTGAGGATCATGTTACAGAGGAAGAGCGTGCCCAGCATCTCCAGAGCCGCAATCCTCCGCTTGGGATCCCCATTCTTGAAAGCCCAAGGGTACTCCTCCACGTGGATCTGCTCGTGGAACCAGTACACCTCCTTCTTGTCCGGCTCCACTTTGTTGGAGCACCAACCTCCCACAAATGCCAGTCCTTCGTCCGAGGCGCTAGCGTCGCTGCAACCCCACCATGAGGACTTCGGCAAGTAAGGGGAGTACTGGACGAAAGGCGTGTTGAAGAGGAACCGCAGCATGAACGCCAGCATCCTGACCACCTTGGGGGGCTTCCCCACCGTGGTGGTGGCCATCTTCCAGGCCCAAAGTGGCTGGAGCATCGACTTCGCCAGCGGACATGCAGCCGTCGCCCATTGGATGCGACCCAGGGCCTTCTCGATGTCCTTTGAGTGCATCGCCTGCCCTTCCACCATGGTCTGCAAAACCTCCATAACCAGGATGTGTTTGTTGGCTGCCATGAGAACCTGCGGGATGTTCGGGTGGACCACGAAACCCAGCCATGTGTTAACCTCCGCCAAATGCGTCTTCTTCCAGCTAAGCGGGGTGCCCAAGGCCAGGAGTGTTGCCAGCAGCGCCACCGCCAAGTTTACTGCCCCCTCGCTTCGAAGCAGCCACAGGAAGTCATCGACAAAGACGAAGTTCCAATCTACTTGAGGGAAAAGTGCGTAGAGGACCCTGAGTAGAAGGGCTGCCAGGCGTCCCCAGTAGGATTGGGCACTGGCCATGCCATATGTGCCTACCTTGTTCACCCACCATTCTTCCCCCAGTGAGGCCACCTGGAACCGCCAGTCCTTCCTGAGGACCTTCACTCTCTGGTGGGCCTTGGTGACGTCCGCCTTGAGCAGCACCCACCTGGTGCCCGGCGCCGGCCATAGCCAGCCCCCAGGTGGAGGTTTGACGACCCCCCTCTCGGGGCCAGTGGCACCCTGAGAGGGGGGTCCCTCCGCAGCTGCCGCATGTAGCCAATGAAGAGCTTGGACCCCATCCAGCACCGTCGGAGCCGTCGTCCTTTCCACCGTCTGGTTCCTGATGGTGTCATTGGCCCCTCCCACCGAGCCATCGTAGATCGTGCGGATCTTGTCCCCCTCGTCGATGCCCGCTAGGGGGCCGGGACAAAGGTCCTCGATTTCGCAGCCACAGCGCGATGCTGCCTCCACCTTACTGAAGGGGCCCTCTACCATGCCCATGGGGACCTCCTCCAGAAATGTGCCCCGGATGAGCTCGCTGAAGTGATCCGCCGAGGGGTAGTTACCCCTGCCCGTTGGGTGAGGGAGTTCCTGGAACTCCGGCTCCTCCCCTTTCAGCTCCTTCTTGAGTGGCCAGATGCCCGGCGAGGTCAGGGGTGGGTCCGTGACCCGCAGTGGGACCCCTTGCTCCAGATCCCGGGGAAACTGGTGGTCGGGGTCCTGAATGTTCAGCGCCACGCTGTGCAAGATGTCCAGGAAGAAGGGTTGGCCGTCAGCTGGTCGGCCTGCCCCCGGCGCCAGAATCTCCCTGATATCCTCCAGCAGGTCCTCCGGGAAGGGATGTGACCCATCCCCCAACGAGAGCGTCATCCGTTTGAGAGCCCGAGTCCGCCGAGGAGTCCGAGTCCCCCTGCAACGTGGGGACCTCCGCAGGTTCCAGTGCCCAGTCCGCCGGGAAGCCATGCCTCTTGAAGCAACGTTCGCGCTTGCCATAGGCCTCCTGCTCCGTCATGTAGTCCAGCACCGAGAGCTCCTGGACCTTAGAAGCCGCCGGTCCATTCAGCAGGTGGATTCTGGACTGGCCGGCGTTGCCTGTGCGTTTGACCGCCGCCACCCGAAGGGGGAGGTCCGGGGTGGCGGGAAACAGGTCCTTAGCCTTCACTGGTGTGTCCTCGGGTCCGTGTTCCACCACTGACCATGAGCGAGTCGATGGCGCGCTCCCTGAGGGTACCGAAGGGGATGCTTCCCCTTCCCTTTCAGTTTGGTCCTCGCGGCCCTCCGGTCCTGCGTCCGTGATGTCCACCGCTGGCGGCGGGAGCGGGTCCGCCCAGTCCGGGTGATTCAAGTCCTCCCTGCGTTCCCTGCCTGGCCCGAGGTTCAGGTTGGGGACCTTCTGCGCTACCTGGCCCCAGATCTCCACAACCACGTTGCGCTTCTCCCGCACGTAGACATCTGCCGTGCTCTCCGTGAGCCAGTTGCCAAGGTACATGCGGCGCTCCCGGGGGATCCCCATCTGGAAGGCGCAGTCCGGGATGAACACCCGGAACGAGTGCCACGACAGCGGCTTCACCAACCCCGGGGTGACACCCCGACGGAGAATAGCATCCTTGAGCCATCTCAGAGCCCTTTCCGGTGTGGAAGGCCGCGGGATCAGCCCTGCAAAGTCTTTGCTCACCGTCGGGAGCAAGTAATCCATGTCCTGGAATGCCCCCTCGGATACCAACCGCCTTACCGAGGCCACCCAGGTAGTCCACCAGGGGATTCCCGTGAAGCTGTACTTCGGAGCAATCAAGGGGACCGGGTTGCGGTTGATTCGTGCTGCAGAGACGTCTGCCAGGCCTTCAGCTCCACAGTGTTGCTGGTGTGGATAAAGGTCCTTGGGGTGAACGTGCTGGAGGTCATTGAAGCGAGCGCTGCAACCAACCTGGAACCGGGCGAAACCCAGGATGAAAGCGTCCAGCACCTCGTGTCTGCTCTTTCCCGGGGCCTCCTGCGTGCCGGGGCCGGTGGCACCCAGGCGATCGTAGCCGGCCCCCTCCTCCAGAGCCCAAATGACCTCTTTGCTGGGGACCACCGCCTTCCGCTGTGGCCTGGTGACCGTGTCCGTGAGCGCCTCTTCCAATGAGCTCTTCTTGGACTTGAGGCGATGGAGCTCATCTATCTTCAGCAATCCGAACGTCTTTGAGAACCACTTGAGGGTGTTCCACACCTGCCGCAACTTGCACGGGGTGACCTCCTCATCGGCGAGCTGGTTGAGGAGAGAGCGGACATGTCGTTCCTGCCATGGAATGACGGTGAAGCCTCTCTTGCGGAGACTCTCGTAGACCAGGCAGTGTTGCCTGAGCGTCCGGAACCTGCTGTCCCCCAAGAGGTCCAATGCCTCCTTGCGGAAGTCCTCCCCCAGGATGTCCTGCATGTATGCAATGTGCTCCGCAAAGCCGCCAGGACCAACTGAGGTGGTTCTCGCGAGATGACCCACCCCCACTCCAACAGCCGGAGCTTCTGAAGTGGAGGCACTGGAGGCCCGGGAAGATCAGGGAAATGGAGCCCACGACCCAGCGAGCGCTGGAACTCCATATGCGCGGGAAATGGGCGGAACGGCTCCTTGCCCACTTCGCCCCCATTCATTCTCCAGCGGGGAAAAGTTCTCGCTCGGCTTGCCATCCGCAGCCGCCATGAGGAGGAACCATAGGCTATCCCAAAGGTCGGCCAGGTCCGCCGCGGACAAAGGCTGGGGAAGCCTGCCCGCCGCCGACGCCACCAGGCCGTTGAAGTAGTCCGTTGGTACCACTTGGTCATCTTGGCCCACCGGAATGCCCGAGAGTTCCAGGAGCTGAACGAAGCGGATGGCCGGCTCCCCGCCCAGCTGCCTCCCTTCCTCTGCCGTGCCATGGCGCAGGCACATCAGGACCAGTGGCTCCCCGTCCGTCTGTCTCGGGGAGAAGGACTCATCCGCCAACGTGTAACACAGGACCCTTGGAATGCGGTCCCAAAGGCGAGTGTAAGGCGGGCGCAAAAGAAATTTTGTCGAGACCCTAGCCATGATGAAAACGGGGGGTTCGAGCCTCCTATCGAACGGCCGGGACCCACCACGGCACACTGCACGCATGTTCCAACCCCACAGGATGCCAAGTGCAAAAGGGGCAGGCAGGCCACATGCAGCCCAACAGGACCCGAAAGTCAAACCCCCCGGAAATCCCCAAAAAGGACCACGGAGGGGGGAAGACCAACCCGGCGGGGGATTCCCCAAAACCCCCAAGGGGACCTCAGGGAACCCAGAGTCAGCCGCAGCCACTTTCTCCAAACTGTGGCCGATATGGCCCGTCCTTGGGGCAGCCACACCCTTACTCCTCCCCCCACCCGAGACGGGGCCAGAGGCACCCAAGTCCCGGTGGGAAGAGATCTCACGACTCCCCATCCAGAAAGGCTGTGAGACGACCTAGCGGCTCTCACCCTTCAAGATCGCCTCCTTAGCCACCGAGTGGATGGCCGCCAGCCCTGACTTCTCCGGGTTGCTCAAGATGACCGACCACAAGGCAGTGGAGACATCCCCCAGGCCATTCGAGGAGCTGAAGCGCATGCGCGGGGTGCTCGCAGCTCCGTCGGCTCCACCCGCTTGTAGAACTCCATCCTGTCCCGGATCCACTGATTATATAGCTGCTCCGGGGGCTCGTCCATCACCAGCTGCAGGCATGTGGCCTTGTCCTTGTGCCACCCCGTGATCTGGAGTAGCCTGGTCCCCCCGCGGCTCGCCCTCCAGAAGCTCTTGCAGAACCTGCACATGTAGCCCCCGGTGGTCTTGAATTTCTCCTTGCCCACCACTTCCCAGGCGCTGATGCTGGGCAGGACCAGGCCGCATTCCACGGAGGCCCAAAACACGTGCTTCGTCTCCTTCGGGAAGTGCTTGTTGATGTACTTCCGGCCCGCGACCGCCGTGACCGTGGACGTGGTGATAGGAGGGTACCGCCTGGTGCCCTGGTCCGGCGTGCGGAGCGTGGTGTCCGCTCCCCCCAGAATCTTGGCCTTGGGGTCCGATTCCTTGGCCGCTCCTCCCCCGGGGCCAGAGGCACCCAAGGGGGGGGAGCAACCCAGCTGCCTGATAATGGGAGTAGCCCAGCCGGTCGTACAGGGCACCCGCCGCCTCCTGCGGGACCTGCTCCACCCAGTCATGGACCACGTTGCAGCGCCAGTTGACCTTGATCTCCACCTCAGGCCCGACACCAGCTTGGTGTACACCGAGTCGAAAGCCCTCAACGATGACAGCGGAAGGGTGATACGCTCGTCGCAGACCGCCCTGAAACGCAGCGCCTCCTTGCTGTCGTGGACGGGGGCCACTGGGATCTCCATCACCGGCAACGGGCAGTTAACGATGAAATTCTTGGCCGCCAGAAACGTCCCCATCTCCTTGAAGATGTAGCTCCATTCCGCCTTGGTGCGCGGCTTGGGGATTCCCAGGCTCTCCAGGAAGGGGACCGCCTCCTTCCTCATCTGGAGGATGTTGCCCATCCACTTGTCCGAGGCCGAGCCCTCCGCATTGCGGCCCCGGCGCTGCGTCTTCACGACCAGCGGGAAGGTGGTCCAGGCCGAGTAGATGTATTTGAAGGTGAACCGGTGGGCGTACACCCCCGTCAAGCTCGGCAGGTCCCACGTCCTCGTCTGCCTTGTCCAAAACACTCCATCGCCCTTCGCCCAGAAGATCCCCACCACCTGCTCCGGCGCCGGGCGCTCGCCCCGGTTCACCTGCGCTCGGATCTCCAAGGCCGAGTAGATGACAGGATCGATGTGGTCCTGCTCGCACGTGAGTGGGTGGGTCCTGCGCTCCAGGGCCAAAAGCTCCTCCGGAGTGAGCTTGAATTGCTGGTCCGCGCCCTTGGGGATCTCACCGCTTGAGTGCTTCTTCCAGATCCCCCCAAACATCCGTAGCTCACCTTGGTGCCTCTTCATCGCCCAGAGGAGCAGGGACAGCTTGCCCTCCTCCGAGTCCAGGTCCTGCTGTGGCATTGACTCTCTGAGCCTCCTGATGTAGGGGACATACTTCTCCTTGATGTCTCCCACGTTGGGGATGTCCTCGGGGTCATCCAGGTTCAGGGGGCAGAACAGCCCCCTCTCCAGTGCCTGCCTGAGATCATCTGGCCACGCCGACACTTCCAAGGGCTTGAGGGTGTGGTTGTTCGCCTCCTGAGCCTCCTGGATGGAGCCCATCGCCTCAGCCAGTGCCTGGCTGGCGTCGACGCCCTTCCCCTCCAGGTACTGGTCTCGCAGCTTGGCCTTGAATCGCTCCAGGTTGACCTTCCTGAGGGCCCGGGCTCCCTCATTGGCCACCTCCTCTGACGGCAGGGCCTGCATGCCCTCCTGGAGAGGCGCCAGGATAGCCATCTCATTGTCCAGCATCTCATCCGTGACCAACTCCTTGTGCCGCCGCCTGGCCGAGGACTCCTCCGGGGTCGGTTCCCGGTGCTCCCTCAAGGCCTTATGCAGCTCCTCCTTCTTCCGGATCGCCTGGTCCACCTGGGGGTGGTAGAGCTGGAAGCTCTGAGCCTCCGCCTCCTTCAGGGACCGCTGCACTTTAACCTTGACCTCCTGGCGCTCCCGGACCTTCAACGCCTCGTCGTCCGCCTCCATGGAGAGGATCTCCTGCCGGATGTCCACCCGCCTGTTAAGCGGGACCACGTCTGCCATGGTAATCTCCTCTGCCGTGTCCGTTTTCGGAGGAGCTCTTCCCAGGACCGTGCCGTCCACCAGGTTGCGGTCTGCCCACCGGGGCCAGCGGCACCCAGGCTTCCCCCTTCCCGCTGCTGGATCCAGGTCGGCTTGCCCTCCACGATGAGCAGGTTGTAAGTGACGCCGTCCGCCTCGTAGGTAGCCGAGGGTGCCTGAAAGGGGACAAACTCCTTGCCCGGGCAGACCCAGCATTGCTTGGCTGCCTCCGGCCACCCCGTGCCGCATGCCTTGCACATGAATTTGTAGTCTGAGTGGCCGGCATCGAGTCTGTGCATCCGCTGGGTGCCAATGCACGCCTTGTTCCTCTGGAACTGTGAGGCCCAGACCTCCTCCTGCCGGATCTGGATCTTGATCGGAACATAGGCCTCCAGGATGCGAATCACCAAGTCCTCCGTGAGATTCTTCCCGACAAACTTGTGGAACAGGGAGACCGCCTCCTCCACCGTGACGTCCCTCAGCAACGTGGCCGCCGATGCCGGAAGGACCGGGAAGAGGTCTGGGAGGTCCACTAACTTGAAGTAGCCGGGACGGCCCTCCACCGGCACAAGGGAGACCGGTTTGTTCGCCTGAGCCGTGGTCTTCTGGGAAGCCGCCACGAAACCCTTCAGCCTCTTCGTTGGTGGAGTAGCCCGCTCCGTGGCGTCCGCATCTTCCATGTCCTTGTCCTCCTCCTCGGCGGGGCCAGGGGCACCCAAGCCGGAAGTCGGTGTGGAGAAAGCCACACGGAGACGCTCCAGTGCACTGGAGAGGTCGTTCATCACGTCGGTAGCCGAAGCCGACGGGGGGGCCTCGGGCTCGTCCAACACCAAGCCGGCCGCCACTGCCGCCTCGCGTGTGCGGATTTCCTGGGCCTCCTGGCTGGCCATTTCCACCTCCTCCGCGGTGAGCGTCTGGTCCTCAATCAGCTCGAAGGAAGTTGCCGAGGTTGCCGAGGAAGCCATTGCTGGTTCGGGTTAGTTCGGAAGAGTTCAAACACAAATTTTTCACACAAGTTGGGTTCAAAGAACCCAAGGGCAAAGCTTGAGCCAAAATGGCATGCGCCATTATGGTCAAGCATTGCCAACACAGTTCATGTTTCCACATGCGTTTCAACATTAACAAAAAATCCCGTACCCCCACGAACATCCCAATCCCAACTAAAATAAACTAAAATGGGTGGTGCACCTACCCCAAAATGGTACCATTGGTTTTGACCCATAGCCAATAGGTCAAAGTAGGGCCCTCTTGGGCCCACTGTGTTGGTCCGGTACCCCAGAATCAACCTCTCATTCTTTCGGAGTCAGGGGGCAGCTTCCCACTTAACAAGAACGAGCCAAGCCCGAACCACCAAGGGGTATGAACAAGGGGTACCCTCAACAAAAACGCACACACAAAACATGCGGCCGACCCGGACACACGCCTCTGCATCCGTTGTGTGTGTTGTTTTCTGGATTCCTTCCTGTTGGCTGCGAGAAAAAAAGGGAAGCCATTTTGGGGGCTCCCCTTTCAACCATCCCCATTTTTTATTACAGAAGCTGAGTTATAGAGAGTGGATTTCCAAGTAAAGGACCTTTGTCATAGGTGGCCTTTTGGAAAAACAAATAAATGGAGCAAAACCCATCTAAACCAGTGGAACCCATCTATCTTTAACCAGGCTCACCGATCAAAAGGGCACCTATGACCTTTATCCATGGCTTTCGCTCGTGCCCCCGACTCGGTGGAATCGCTCGCTAAAATAGGCAGACACATCAATACTGGTAAAGTTAAAAGCAATTACCGTCGCACCAGTTTCTAGTGTTTTTTCTTGTCAGGCGCATCAAACCTAAACCCTAAACCTAAACCCCAACCCCGTGGTTGGTAAAGTTAAAAGCAACTACCGTCGCACCGGTTTCTAGTGTTTTTTTTGGTTGTTTTTGCTTCAGGTGCTTCATTTAAAACAAAAACAAGTTGGGAAGACGACCTCCGGCTGAAGTGAGCGAGCGCTTCGTCCTCGGTGTCCAGCGCCTCACTCCGCACCGCCAGCTCCGGGCCTCGCCGCGCCGCCTCCGCCACGAGGCACGGCACGTCCCGCAGCTCGCCGGCGCCGGCGCCGGCGGCGCCGGCGGGCGTGGGGAGCCAGGTGGCCATGGCGTCATGGGAGTCGATCCCTGTTGTCTCACTTGCCCCAGACGGCCTGGAAACAAAAGGCGAAGCTGTTGGAACCTTGACTGAACATAGACTAAGAAGGGAAACCGGAAAAAAAGAAAGAAAACAAGTTGAAAGGTGGGCTTTGGGCAACTGAGAGTGCGCTTATCAAGGACATCCCCCAAGTGTTCAATGTCACGGATGCTCTAGGAAGTCCCCAACGTCGACATGGAGGTGCTTCCTCGATTGAACCCCCCAAAACTCATGTCGACATCTGACTTTCAGGTTGTTTGGCTGAAAGCTGGCTTCATCATTTGACGGTCAAAGTCACCCCCCAAGTGGTAGGTTGAAGAGAAACCACCTAGTTGCTGACGTTGAATCTGCTCAACATGTTGGCGTTTCGGGCTTCGTGGGAACCCCCCCCCTCAAAAAAGGAAGGGAAAAAGGGGGGCTGCGAAGTGCTAGTCTACTGCTAGAGCTTGTTCCTGTTCGGCCCAGCTGCCAATGTCCTGACTGCATAGGTTTTTCTGGTGGGCTCAAGCTGAGGGTTCCCAACAGGAAGACAAGCAGCTGCTCCAATGTTGCCAGGCGATTCACCCAAAAGACAGGCAACCTTAAACTCCTTGACAGAATGGCTTGCAGCCAACGAAATCAGAATGGCTTGCAGCCAAGGAAATCAAAAGCTTTGAGAGAGCAACGGCGAGGGACGGATGCAAATCGGGGGGGGGGGGGGATGCAAATAAAAGCGGGGGGGCTGCACAAACAGCAAAAATTGAATTGGGCAAATGCAAACAGAGTTGTATGGGCTGGAGACCGAATCCGCAAATCCTTGGCCCCCAAAAGCACGCACAGCCCCACATGCGACGTCCGGTGCCAGCACCTATTCACGATATGTCATGGAATTTGGGTCATCTTAGGGGGTGACGACTTCTTTTGTATCACACATCCCGTCGCTCAAAATCAGAATATGGATGTCTCTCACCAGTCCCATCAGCTTATGATGATCCCTGTCATGGCCTGGTAGAAAGCAACAAGGATTGTCAAGGCACCGCGACCCAAGAATGCCTGCATCAGACAATTGTGCAAGGGCATAGACGCCTAATGTTTGGACAAGGGCAAACCAGCTGGCGATCCCGTGAGTAGGGCGGCACAGTCGAGGGTCATCGAAAACCACCCCAACAAAGGAAACCAACTTGCTTGGTCGCCCCTTCTTGCTATCGGATTGAATACGGGTGGAACAGGGTTCCTTATGTGCCCTGCCACATCGCCACGCCAACACAAACTCCCCCCCCCTCCCTCCAAAAATAAAACAAAAAGAGCCCACCCTTTGCAACCAAACAGCCGGCTGCACTTGGCCCCCCCGCCAGCAAGCCGGATTCCCTCCTGGCCAAGGGATGCAGGAAACAGCAGGTGGCTGTCGCACAAAAACCAAATATACGACCCCTTTGAGTCCCTTGCCGGAAGCCCTTGGAGGCACAAAGGCCATCCCAGTTTGGTCAACACAAGGTGATAAACAGTGAAACAGGGGGGGGGTCATGCACGATTTTGCTGGTTTCCCTCTCGTGGCATGTTCTGGCCATTCCAGCCACACCCAGCCTTGGGATGTCCCCTGTATTTTCACACATACCAACATTGGCGATGTCTTAAAAGCCGAGCAAGCGCACACCTACGGAAGATACCCAAACAAGCACCATAACTGGGTTGCTTTCTGCCCCCCTGCCCATGAGTTGGCAAAAAGTTTAAAGTCCTAACATCCCTTGGCAACATGCACCAAAGCTAAATGCCGCCTCGAACCACCGTCGTCAAAGCCCCTCCTTCCACCACCGGTGCTCTCTGCAGGGGCTCCACCTCAAGCAAGGCTGTGCTATCAGGTGTGGCCCTTGGGAAGTTGAAGCCGCTCACCAAAATCGAATTGGGGGACATCTGAGTCACAATCAAAACCCGGTATTAAACTAGTCGACCCAGAACCATGCTTCAAGAACTTAGAAGGCGGATATCCGCAGCTATTTCTGGTTGGGACTGATTGTGACTCATCTGAGCATAAGTACTCCTTGTCTCCTGCGCATGTCGGAGAAACCTCTCGAAACAAGTGCCAGTTCCGTAACTTTTTGGAGGAGCTCAATCTTTGAATCTCGAAACCGGGTGCATCCAAAACAAACTTCCCGTAACCCAAGCTTTCCCATCCCCCCTTTCACTGGGGCCAAGAAAAACGCCAAGCATGGAACCCAATGGCTGAAGCAGGCTCCTGCAACAAGGTTTGCGTTTGCATGGCCTTCGGAAGTTTCTTTCTAACTTTTACGTCTCTGAGCTGGGGGTCAAGGATGCGGAACCCTTTCGAAAGAGGCAAAGTAATGAAAATGGCACCCTCTCGCACGAACATGGCTGTGGACCAAACCAATGGTACCATTTTGGGGTAGGTGCGCCACCCATTTTAGTCGGGACTTTTGTGGTTGGGATGTTCACTGATTTTGCCCATGGCCACATGTGGAACCCACAAGAGGGCCCCATTTGGCGGAAAATCGCCCAAACCGAGGTCCCAAGCTACTGAGCGCCAGGCGGGTGCGGCGGGGGCCGGCTGCGCAACCTGGCGGCCAAGCGTCGAATGAATTTTGGGCCTCCAGGTTTCCCATGGGAGTCACAATCAAAACCCGGTATTAAACTAGTCGACCCAGAACCATGCTTCAAGAACTTAGAAGGCGGATATCCGCAGCTATTTCTGGTTGGGATCGTCCCTTACCAACCTTCATCTACCCGGGTTTTGATTGTGGCTCATGTGGCTGGGCCCCCACTCTCGGGGAAATTCTACGGGGAAGGAAATAAAGATACCTAACCCCCCCCCCGGGCTGATATTTACAAGAAAGCCAAACGGAACCCACAGGTAGGGGATTCCTTAAAACGAAGTGTTTATGAGGGGCTCTCAGCAAAACATGTGGTCCCCCTGTATCCCCACCATTAAAAACTGAAAAAGGCATTAAGGTTTGAGGATGCCTGCATGATTAGCACCCGCCCTCTGACCTGGCCGAAAGAATGCGGAGTCCCCTTGTGAGACAAGCCCAATATTCTGGTTATGAGCTCACGGTCAAACTCTGCGCACCTCGGTTGGGAGTAAGGGTGTGGTGATTTGAATGGACTACTTCAATGTGCTTGAGGCGCTACCTGTCATGTCCACTTTGCCTCACCCTTCATGACCACTTAAAGGAAAGCATAGACAACACATTCTCGAGGGGGGGGGCCTGCTGGAAAACCATGTTCCACCAAACCGGGCCTAGCAGTTAACATGTTCGCGGTGGGGCTATCCTGACCTTTCCTTTAACAACCGGTGGGGAAGCACGAAGATGGAAGATTCGAGGCCTCCTTGTACAATATTCGCACGGAGTAGGTCCTGCGAACGGCCCTACGTGATGGGGAGGGGGTGGGGTTGAGGTCACAAACTCCAATCTCTCGATTCTTGCCGCCGCATCACTGAGCTGCAAATGGAGCGGCCACTTCTCCCCCAACTCATGTTCCAGGGATGGGGCATTCTGCCGAATCAAGTCCTTTGCGCCAGGGATGGAGACCCCTCGCTAAGACCATTCCGGATTGCTTAAAATAAAGGAAGGGACAACATGTCAGGAACATCAGAGTCCGGCCTTACTTGAACTGTGCCAGCCAACAACCATGTAGTCTGGGTCAGTCATTCCTCAGCGCTGAAATAAGGGTCCCGCACCAAAGGAACAGTCATGGATAAGATCGCTAACTCTCAGGTAAGCCGCAATCACTTGCCCACAACGGGCAAGCATGTTTGTGTGGTCCCCCCGACAACACGTACGGCGGCTTGATTGACACAAAAACCTACGACCTCCACCTCCGACATGAAACCCATAAACTCTGCCTTCATAGGACGGGCTTGCTGATCCGGGGTCAACAGCGCGTCCTCCGCTCCAGGCCGGTCCAGTCGATGTGAGGATCCTGTGTGAGGGTACGAGGGGGGGTGTTTTTAGCCCTAAATCTAAGAAACTAACCACTGGTGAGTATGCACATGTATATACATGCATATATATATATATACATACAATTTTGTATCTACAGATATATACATAATGAATATAAGCTTCAAACATGGGGGCCCCTGTGATATAACCAAGCAAGGGAAACAAATGAATACCCGGCAACATTACCACCAAACACCGAGATAGGGACTTCTTGCATGGGCCCACCCAACACCCCGGCAAATATTTAATACAAGCTACTCCAAATCTGGCATTAGATGGGTCTATTCACAGCAAATCACAAGTGACAAAATCAGGGTGCGGCCGCACTCATTTCTGCTTGGGACTGTTTTTTCTGTTACCCTCCAAATACCTGGGTTGGATTGTTTCACTTCCTAAGTGAATTGATTGGCCCAAAAAAGGTGCAAAACTGTCACAACTAAACTTGTGTTCGAACTCTGGGAGTGCGTTTTGGCTCATGTCACATGGCGTCCGCAGCCCAGCCGGCTCCCTCCTTTCGGGCTGCAGAGGTCAAGGGATCCAGGCCAGCTCGTTTGACCTGGCCACTCGCTTCCGTGTGTCGCGCCTTTGCTCTAAACCGGGCGCTTGGAAAAGTCAGGTGAGTTGCCTCTCCCGTGGTTGGTGTTCGTTGGGTTTCTCCTCCAAACCATCCAAACAGGGTACCGCCGTGTTTGAGAAAGAAACCAGCAACTGCGTTCTAAGACATGTGCTCTAGGATGCTTCGAGTGTCCTTGAGCCTTGAGCTGGATGTTTCCTGAAATAAAGTTCAGGGTCGCCCGAGTTTTGCCACCGGGATATGATGCGCCTTCTGCTGGGTTCCATGTCGGGAGAAGTTCAAGGCTCCCTACATACCCACAGCCCCACCAAGAGGAAACTTGGCCCAAAAGCTCATGTGTATCTGGTTTAAGAGAAATACATAGGAACATCTAACTTCCGGCTGGCTTGGAGCAAAAGATAGGAACATCTAACTTGGCCCAAAAGCTGATGTGTAAACCGGGTTGTTTAAAGAACATCTCTTTCTATTGAAATATATATATATATACATATATATATATATTGTCACGTCCTACAATTGAAACTATCAGTGATTACGTGCTGTACAAGTGAGAAAGTGGGCCCTGGAATGAGAAATGGTGAGCATATATATATATATATGAACATCTACCCCTTTTTGGAGGAAACAGGCTGTTAAAAAAAGAAAAAAGAAAACAACTGGTGCGTTGTGTGCTTTTCTTGCTGTTTGCTGCTGGGCGTCGAGCTGCAGTTGTGAGCAGGGCGCTGGAGGAGGAGGGAGGAGGGGGGGGGGGAGTGGGAGGAGGGGTGGGGGAGGGGGCATGTCATGAAAGGCTTGCATGCACACGAACACATCAGTGCACACAGGTTGTTGCATGGCCAATGTTGGTTGGAAATGCTGGCAGAGAGCATCTGGAGAGCCACCATGTCCATCCCAGCAGACAAGAATTTGCTAGAAGAGTCTCTGCGACGATGGCAGCACGCAAACGATCCGCTTGAATCATAGTGGGGACTCAATGTATAGACAAATGGGTCATTGCAAGACGATATACCAACTCAGCTGCACTCTCATGTGTTTCGCTACATGCGTCGCTTCCTTTTTAAGTTTCGGCTTCAAGAAGGATTTCTGCCGTGCGAAGACTGCAGTTTGTTGTTCAGATTTTCGAGCAATTGGACAGCAACTATGCCAAAACATGGGGTACTTGACAATTTTAACATAAAAATACCAAAAAAAAACATATGTCCTAATTCCCCCGTTCACTGCCAAGCATGAGCCAGCGATGACAAATTGTAGAAAAGCCAGGGGAAAACAGGTGTGACACAGCTTTCGCCTCCAGGTTTTTGTTAGCAGCCTATGACCTTTTTGGAGGCGTCCAAATGCGTCCAACAGCGTCCGACATGAGGCTGGCACGTGCAACTCCGCGGCGTCATGGAGCCCTTCCGAGCTCCTGGCCCAGGCAACCTGCGCGGGGACACGGGCCCCTCCCAAATGGACCACTCCCAAGTTGGGGGGGGGGAAATAGCCAGGAGGGGGGGAGGGGAGGGGGAGGGGGAGGGGGGGGGAGGGGTTGAGCCAGGGCTTATTCTGTTTTATCAAGGGTTGTCAATTGGTACCCAAAATGGCAACCACATAAGGGCACATCAGGACAAATGGACAACCCTTGGAGGGTGCAGGAGGTTCCTTTTGAGTCCTTCTGTTGTTGGGCCAGTAGGCCCACAATCCCACAAGCTTACTAGGGTTCCTTTTGAGTGCCTTTTTGAGGGGTCCCCTCTTTCGTGGGGCCCTGACAACAGTGCGAATTAAGGGGGTCACAGGTGCGTAGCGTTCCTGGTGGGAGGGAAGGTTAATTCTAGCTGTATTTTGGTGGATATGGTTCTTTTGGAGATTTGGGGCCTGCAGCAGTCTACCTCAGCCTCCCTCCCCCCGCACGCACTGAAACACAGGACAATTTGGCACATCTTTGATGCTGGTCCAAATTCAGTCCATCCCAAATACAGTAAACTGTTGGGCGGTGTTTCTCTCCCGTTGATCCAGCGGATTTCCGGGTTCGATGTTGATCTGCAAGGGGGGTAAACATTCCCTTTTGCGGGCGAATTTTATGAAAGCCGATGTAAACCTTCAAACCTTCCACGGCGTTTTGTCTCCCGCTACCGAGTCATCAGAATCTTCTCGATCTTGGTCTCGATGCTCCTCGGCTGAGCTGTCACAGGAGGACCCTGTGGAGTCCTGGGTATTCCACTACTGCTTGGTTAAAAGAGCATGGCTATCAAGCCAACTAGAATCCTGATGACTCCTTCCCCCAAGCCCAAAACAGTTTGCATTCTTGCTGGCTAGTGGGAAATAGTTGCTTTTTTGTTCCAAACAGCTAAAGGATAACAACCTAACCCAGCAGCCAAGGAATAGTTCACCAGCCATGCCAAACCTCGCGTAGGATTCTCCACAGGGACCCCTGCCTTGAGGACTCAAAATGCCAAAGTGAACAAAAAACCGAACAAGTCAAACCCAATGGATTTGCTAAACCACATATCTATATGTTCCCAGTCCCAACCAACCCAACCCCACCCCACCCGCAGCTTCCGGCAAGTGTCTCTGGGATGGAGCTGAAGGAGACTTTCACCTCTCGGAGCTTCTTATTCTTTGACAAGGCCTCCAGAATCGCCTCGCCGCCTTCCTGGGCGGGCGCGTTCGCTTGGCTAACGGGCCAAAGGCAGCCCGGTGGCTTGGAGCTGTTCTGGGGGGGGGCTCTCATTTACCCTGTGCAAGAACCCAGGCGTTCAGATCCAAATCCGAACCGCAACCAAACCACCAAGCGCTACCTGATGTCGTGTGTGCCCAAAAAAAGAAAGAACTCTCCGCCAAGCAGGCGGAATGCGTGCCAAGCACAGCGGCATGTCGTTAAGCGGGCGGGGAAAAATGGAGACCACTACCCTCCCCTTGTGGTTGTAAATTGAAATGGGGTTGCTGCGAACACAAAAGGAAAGCGAGACGGATAGCAGCCAAACAAAAGTTGCGCCTTGAAAGCCCAACTGGCTTGGACGGAGTTCAAAACGAGCACGTTGGGACCCCAAACTTGGTTAAGGGGACACCATATATGTTCACTCAGTTGTTTCGCTGAGGACGAAACAAGGGTACCGCAGGTACCGCCCATCCCCAGATAGGACAAAAGCAACATCTGCGAACCCATGAGTCCTTGATTTTGTGCCACACCCATAAGGCCAACCCCAAAATAACTATCACGTCCCAGAATTGAGGTGGCCATGCGCAAAAAAGAAGAGAATAAGGATGCACATGGTTTTTTGGTAGTTGACTTTGAAGCAAAGCCTGCTCCCCAACAATGAACAAAGCTTTCGACGTGTCCGGGATGTTCTGACGAGCCTCCGCCCCCAGGCGATTGTTCATGAGCTCCACCACCGACAGCTCGGGTCGCTCGGCAAGCGCCGACGCCAAGTGCCGCGCCCCCTGGGCTCCTAGGGCGAAAAATGAATGTGCGTGTGAGTACTACCGCAGTACCCTTCTTGACCTAAAAGGACACCATGCCCTTTTGGGGTATTTGAGACCCAAATGAATATGTTATCCTCGCTCGCAGAGCGTACCCGTTTAGATTGGCTAAGCAAAAACCTGAAAGGCAACCAGCCCCTGCTTGGGCCCAAATGAGAGCGATTGCACAGGATTCGGTTGCACCAGGAAGGGCCATTGATGGTCATGGACTTTGGCTCCCATTAACATGGCTCGATCTGAAGCAATATTGAATAGCCTCCCCTACAAAATCTAACCCAAGAAGAGGAGCAAGTTGGGAACCCTGCAATGAACTGCTATTTAGTGGAGTTTTCTAGCTGAATGTGCCTGGTTCACAGCATCCCTGCTACCTTACACGTGTAGGGACAGCCCCACAAAAGCGGGCTGTCCCTGTCGTCCGGTATGTGTTTCATTGGGGGCCCATCACCTACATGGCTTTGGGGGTGCTCACGACCGAATCGATCCCAGGTAGAACATTGGCGGGTTCCCCCAATTCCATTTGTCTAGTATCGAAAGTGAACCATAAACGGAATTCCACGCGTCATACCATTTCCCAAGTCCGCTGTTAAGACAGTGGGGGTACCAAACCGATTTTTAAACCCTTGCGCTTTGGTCACCGTTGTTTGCTTGCGAAAAAGCATTCTGGTTTGACGCAACCCAAACACAAGTTGGCCCTCCTGAACAAGGGAACCAGAATCATCTCTGGCCAAGCTTGCAAGACCCAACCCTAGGCATTAAAACACGTTTGTTTTAGCCCCCCCCCCCCCAAAACGAGCAAACAACCGAATCACTGAGGAACTCTCTTGCACCTTCTTCTGCAATCTCCTTTTAATTCCAGGTCAGATGCAATACAGCTAGGTCCTCCAGTAGACAGGTTAGAATCAGCATACCCGAGCTTTTTCTGTAGCCTATTTTAGTAGGGGAACCCTCCCAGAAAAAAGGTAATAGGGCACTACCGGGGGACCTAGACTGGGTCTGTCCTATGCCGCAACCGTTGAGGGACAGCCGCGCCAGTGGCAGACCGGGCCTGGAATGATTTCGCGGCCGAAGGTTGGAGACAGGCGACGGTGCATTCTGACATGCAAGTGAACCAACCGTATCCAATGACAAAGCCCTGCTGGTAAAGTGCAGCGTTCCGAACCCTTATCCCCGTTCTGACGAGTGCTGTAAAGGGAAACTTGGTGATAAGTCGGGGGGGCTTGTGGTAAAACAAGGACAAATTAGTGGTTTCCAATTGGAGTATACACATACGCATATATTATGAACATAAATGGGGACCAAACCAAATCGGGTTTATTCTTCTCATTCCTGTTTAAAACGCAAAGACGGGTCACAACATGCGTGTTTTAGCACCGAAACCACGAAAGCCCAGCCCGTCTAAGTGAAAATCAAAACCGGCCTTGCCAGCAGGGCGGCCACGTGTGCCGCGCCCTCATCGCCCAAGGGGTTCCTCAGGTCCAATTGGCACAGCCAGATGAATTGGCGCTTCATGCGCCGGAAGTTGTGTCTACAATCTAGGCTGGAATTAGGACCCCAGCAAAAAATATGTTCTTTTGCCTGGCTAGTGAAAAACAAAGACCACAAAAAAGCAAAAAAAAAGGGAACTAATTCTGGGGAAGCAATGAGAATGATGTGAGAGATGATGCTGGGCGGATGTTTGGGGGATGGCTATAGGCAGATGCGCTCGCAAGAATAGAATGCGTTTGGAATGGAAGATTGGTGTAAAGGGAAGCCAAGAGCAAAACCCCATGACTTTGAGGCTTCCCTATGCTGGCACATGCCCTCCATTTGCCTAAGTCCCGTGGAACAAAATAACACCAACAAAACAAGATCAGAACATATTATTGAGCAAAGGGCCACATGATTAGCATATTCTGGAATGGAAGTCATGACCATGGGGAAATCATTCTAGTAGGTGCTGAGACCCGTGCTTTAAATGTGCCCTCATCCCTTTGCTTACCCTTAAACCCATCTATATGCAATCTACTTACCGGAGCGGAATCTGAAAGCAAGAGAAGGAACACGTGGCTTCAACACCCCGTTTATCGAAACCAAATTCCGGAGAGGATCTTGGCAACTTCGCAGAGGTTTAGGTGCACCATTGGTTGCCGTCATCCCAAGCCATGAATGTCATCTCTTTCCCAGTGGAATCCAAAAAGGGTTACCGTGTGGCCCCCCTGGTTTGCCAAAATGACGAGGTGCCCGTAAAATGCAGCACAACTCGAACAAGAAACCGAAACGCATCGGCCGCTTAGCACTTGACTCCACCATACTCCACCTGTCCGAAAAGGGTCTTCAACAATCTGGGTGCCAAATGCATCCTGGACCAAAGATTAACTACCCATCCCTCTTTGTGGCCTCCTTTTGCGCAAAGGCTACCCCCTGCTACACCCTGCAGTTTGACGGGCACCCAAAAGCCCACCTTTGGGGGGGAGGAACCACCTGGGGTTCCACGCGCCTCTATTCAAGCAGCAAGGCTCATTGAGAGGTTGAGCTGTGTGACCGAGGTGTTGTTCTCAAGGCGCTGGCAGAGGTACTCCACCTCAATCCGACCACTTCCCAAAACTTGAAAGGTGATGCACCATGTTCCCCACAAGGGCATATGAAGATTCTCATTTCCTGATAGGATTGGCCAACAACAGTCTGAACTCGTTTAACACCCAAACAAGCTTCCAAACAACAGTTCAGGGTGTAGACGGATTTCGGTCGGCCCCCGTTGCTTGCCCATAAAGGGAATTACGCCATGTACTTTTGCCAACAAACGAAAACCCAAGTGGCAAGGTGGGGCCAACCCTGTTTAAACATGTCTCACCTCCAATTGTTGAAGCAACCTCCCTTGAGCATGAGCAAGGTCTGGTCATTTGAACACATTGTGCCTAGCCCCATGCTTTTCCAAACATGTAACATATATGACCAAATGTTATTTCATACGTAGCTGACCTGCCAACATTGGACATGTCCAGAAATCGCGCCAAGCTCTTCTCGCCCAACAGGCCTGCTGGGGGCTGAGGGGGGTTCTTTTCTTGAGTGGATTTGGGCCGAACGAAAAAGAAAAACATTCAATTTAAGCACAAGAAAAGGAACAAACAAAACAGGTCCGGGCTGTGAGTCGTGGGTGGGTGTTTTCTTGAGGGTTGTCCCCTGTAACCATGGTAGCTTCCAAGCTTGGCTTCCCCACCTCCTTGGGGCCAAAGGCCTCCGCGGTGAAGCCATCGCCCAAATCGGGCGGCAGCATCACCGCGTCGATCGACTCGTCGTTGGCTTCCACCAAAGGCAGAATGTCCTCACTTGGGTCAAGCTACGTATCTCTCTCTTCAGTCTATATCGGGTTCGTATTCTTTGTTGATGGCTTGCGTTTTTTTGGCTGGGGGTACCCTTCTTGGAGTTGGTGTCAACCCTGTTTTCACACACCATTTCGAACACTGCCAAAATACAAACTCTGCATGAAGGATCCGCCACACTTTGCCAGTAGAGCAGCTGTTTCAGAATGCTCCATCCAGTCACAGCCCCAACGCACCCATCAAGCCACCAGGCTACAGCACCCGCCCCACGGAGAAAAAAAAAAAAAAAAACATTTAACTTCCAGAAAAGTCTCTCCCTTAGGGCCTTTGGGGTCCCCCCTTGAGACCAGCCATGTCTGCCTGACTTTAAGAGGCACCAAGAGAACAAATAGGAAAACCTCCCCCCCTCCCCTCCAAGAGAATCAAAAAGACAACTGGGAACAACTAGGAAGATCTCCCCCTCTTGATCAACACTAACAGACACCGCAAGAAGACCCAAAAAAGAAAAAGAAAAACAACTGCGAACCACTAAGAACCCCCTCCCCTCCAAGAAAAGCCTAAGAAACCCCCCCCCGCCTCTTGGTCAACATTCAGACCAATTCCCCATTTACCAAACCAACGAGACCGACTCAACGCCCGAAGTCGCCTCGAGCTCACCCAGCGGCACCTTGGGCGGCCACGGCTTCGGCGCCGCAAACTTCGGCCGCGCCTTCGGCGCCTTCGGCTGCGCAGAGCCGGGCTTGGCCATGGCCATGGCTCCAGCCGAGGCCCGAGGGGTCTCTGACTTGGCCCAAAGGGCCTCAAAGACTTGACATGATCGGCTGAAAAGAAAGCCGCGAAAACCATGGGTTGGCGCGCGAAAAACCAGAAGAAGAAGAGGTGAGCTGAAAAGAAAGCCACCAGAAAATGGGTGAACGCGGAAAAACAACAAAAAACAACAACAAAAACAACACATAGGACAAAGGGTGGTTTCAGGTGGACTCGCTTAACGCAACGACCAGTAGAATACACGGGGTTGCGGGGGTTTCTTTGCACGCGGGATGAAGACGTTAAACGCGTCGCTCCTTTGAGGGGCCTAAGGCGACTCTGTCTCGATTTGGGGTACGCGCCTTAGCGACCAGTGGTCGCGCTCAACCGAGTTCAGCCCGAAATTTGTTTTCTTGCCCTCTCCCCAAACAGGTTGAGAGCAAGTATTCAGGAAACCAATAAAAGTTGGTGGTTTGGATTCGTGGGATTGGGATTTGAACCTCTGGTCCGTGTGGAGGGTGGATGGGGAACCACACCCTAACCTCCAGCCCAAAGCTGCAGGGCCGGAGGGCCCGGAGCGAGCAAGGCTCCGAGAAGCATGTCAGCATTTGAGAAATGGCCAGGAAGTTGCGGGGCTAAGCTTTACAAAACTCACAAAGACAGTACTTCAAGCTCCTTGGGGTGAGAAGAAGGTTGATCCCGCACCTTTTTCAGCAAAAGGAGGGGGAGAATTGCACAGAGCCGCAGCCCACAAACTGGAGGCCACCCCTGTGACGAAGCTCCGTGCGTTTGTGTCGCAAGCAGCGAAGTCCTATGATCAGCCACGAATCGGGAGACATAGTGAGACAATATCAGATGCCCGGTGGCCAGGGAAAAAAAATGCATTTTTTGTTGGTTGGTTTACTGTAAAGGGGAACCTTTCCCAAGAAAAGGAAAAAAGGGCACCGCGGGTCAACTGGGAAACCAAGGCCCCTCACCACAGGACAAATTCCCATCTGCAGGCCCAGCCCTGAGACACTTGCATGTCTTGGGGGGGAGGCCGAAATCGGCCGACTCCTTTCCAAGGCCCCTCTTGAGATCCAGCCACATAGCGAGCAACCAAAACATTTTTGGAGGTTACTGGCGATGTAATCGCCATGATCCCTCCAAACTTGCTGGCTTGTCAGTAGGCCTCAAGGGTACACTCAAACACTTCTTGCCACTTGCGTTCAGGAAAGAAAGGAAGGCCGTAAAGGATTGCTTCCTCACAGAGTATGCATTGGCCACGTTTCAAGTGACTTGAAGAGGGTTCTACACTTCTACATGCAACAAACAATGGTTACCTCCAGTTGCTTTAGCCCCATGGAAGAAAATCAATAAACATACTTCCAGTACTGATAGGTTCCCTGTAAACCAACCGGGGAAAATATAAACTATTCATTTCAGCAAATGGATTGAAGGGGCACCAAAAAAGACTGGGCTGCCCTCAACCCCCCTTCCAAAAGTTTGACTCTTCGTGGGTTCAAAATGAAACCCGCACTAAACCCTAAAAAGCCTTTTGGAAGCTAGAAGGCTAACTGAAAACCCTCAGTAAACCCTAAGACACATTACAAAGCCAATACTCCAAGGCGATGATTGGGAACCACCACTAGGTCCTCCAGTAGAGAGGTCAGAATAAGGGTACCCGCTTTTTTTCTGTAGTCTATTTTGGTAGGGTTCCGAACCCTCCCAACCAAAATAAGGGGTGAGAAAGGGCACTGGGGGACCTAGACCAATAAAACGAAAGCGTCGCCCCAAACAAAACCCCCGGCGTTCGTTCCGCGCGCCTCAGCCGTGGACTCGTCAAAGGCCAGCGGGTCCTTGCCTCACAGACTTCGAGCCGAGGTGCCGAGGGGGCCGAAGGCCATCGGTGCGAAAGGCGGGGGAGGTGAAATGGAATGAACCCACAGTTTTCGGTTTAGGGTTTTAGGGTTTAGGGCGCCCCCCCCCCCAACAAAAAAAAGAAGAAACCACCAGCAAGGGATGGCTTAGATTTGGGTCATTCCATTTCTCAGGGCCCTGCATCTCTCGCACCAGCAAGTAAAGGGTAGCTTCAGGTTTATTGTTTGCATGGGTCGTTGCAGAAACCCCTCATTTTCCTGAGGTTTTGAGGGTTACAGTTGCAAGAACGTGGGTGGCATAATTCTCCAATTTAGCTTAGGCGTCCCCTTTAACGTCGGCATATATATATATATAATGATTCTGATTAATAACCCCGCTCTGACCAAAGACGCCCGCTTTTTTCCCAGCACTCTAAAGGCACACACACACAAGCTTTGGGCAAAAGACTCCTCCGAATACGTTTTGGCACCTCCCACAAGCCCCTCTGATTAAAGACGCGCATCAGGAAGAATGAAGAGCAACAGAAAAGTTACAAGATATCTTTGTTTACCGCCAGGTCCACTGGTGGTGCCAAAGGAAAAATGCAGAGATGTGGAAAATTCCCACGACACCGCTAGAAATTGCCAAGATGCGTAATCAAACGCAGGCCGCCAAGTGAACGACAACCTAAAAAAACGACCCTGTGCTCTTGCCGCACCTCCGCCCTGCAGCGACCAGCCAAGGCAGTCGGCATAGCCAAGCCTGGCTTGGAAGGCCAACCTGATTCAATGACGCAAGAAAGGGGGGGCCACAAAAAACATGCACCCACTTGGTCAATTGTCAGCCCTGCATATCTGAAATTTGGACAACGTGTTCCAACTACCAACAAAAACCATTCTTTCAACCTCCACTGTGGCGCTTTCATATTTCCAGTGCTACAGCACACCTTCTCTCGCGGTTGAGGAACACCGCCCCCAAAAAAGCCATGGCATAAAACCCAAGAAATAAGGCGCTTTCCTTGACACCAACCCCAAAAAAGACACCCCCCTACCCAGCACACAACCCCCCGCAAACTCGAGGCCCTCGTCTTTTTCACAAGCAGGAGCTTCGCAATCCATCGCGGCGATGCGGCTGTGACAACGGCAGGGAATGAAGATGTAGCCCTCTGGATGGGGTCCCTTCAAGATGACCCGGCCCCTTTTTGGGGACGCGCATCAAGACGTACATCTCATCGCACCATCGCAGCTCGCTCTGAGACGGCAGCGCTTGCTGGATTCGACGGCATTCGCACCTTCACCTTTGCCGCTCGGACTCTTGGGTCTTGGCGCCCTCCGCCTCCGGTGCCATCTCCGCCTCCGCTCCTTCAGCGCTCTCGCCAAAAAAAACATGGTCGATAGAAGAGGAAACCCTGCGAGGTCGCAGTTTGCCACTTTTGGAGGTGACATCTTCAGGCTCTGAAGAGACAAAAACTTTCGCCCAGCTAGTCCCTGCGCTTGTGGCTTTGCACATCTCCCTTGGCACGTAGGGAATCGGGTTCCGCCTCAGGCGTCCTTAGGGCCCCTTGTGCGTGACTCTGGAAAAACGCTAGGGCCCTGCTCTCCAAACACGGAAAGACATATCCAAACACGCTGGTTTTCACCACTCTGGATGACATGCTGATCAAACCTCCGCTCTCCAAACGGGAGACATCCAAAGACTTGGCTCCCAAACACCTGGATGGCCAATGTCCAGGGCTTGATCAAATGATCAAATCCGGGGTACACCAAAACCAAAAAGTGACTACCCGGAGTCTCCATGAGCCCATTATTTTGGGCAATGACCCCATTCTTTAAGGGTCATCATAGAGACTCCACGTACCTGCACCCTCCCAGATTTGTCCACAACTGATGTGCCCTCCATTTTGGGTACCAATTTACAACCCTTGGGTGCTGGCAAATATGTCATACTTGGCTCGTCCGCCTAAAAACGGAAATATGTTAGTTCTGAGCAAACCGAATGTATGTAGGGCAAACTAGGTCAAATCAGAAAGCAGAAAAAGGCAAGTGACTTGTGCGACCCAGGTGCTGGAATCAGATCGAGCGCTTGGATCGAGTGCTCATCTTGGGCTTCTGAAGCCGCTCGCAATCGAAGATTCGAGTTCCTGACTCGAGCAACGCCAAATGCCCCAAACCTTAGCAACCAAAAACCGGCTTGGTTCCAAAATATGCGAATCATTAACTCAAAGGCGCATTCAATGAACCCCATGAGCTCCTGGCATAGCTTGAGTTCGTTCACCATTTTCGAATTTTGGAAAAATGCCCAAAAAGAAAGGCCAAGGTCGCATACAACCAGCCAAGGAAGCAAGCTCGGTCAGGAATGCAAACATGTGGCGGCGCCAAGAATTGCCCCTCCCGGTAACCCATTTCCGTACATGCGCGCATGTCCCATTGGAGCTGCCACCTGGTGGATTGTGGGTCAACCCCAAAGTGGGTGTGCCTTTTCTAGGAACTTAACCCGGCTTCTATTTTCCTTTTGCGTTCTCTTAGCTTTTTACAAGTCAAACATGCAAAAAAGGGTGGCAGTACCAACTCCAAACAAGAAATCCAAAAGTAAAGGATCCCCAAATTTGCACGCCTACGATCAAAATCGATTCTGTGGCACACCAACCCACCAACCCAGAACCCTCTTTTGTGGCTATTTATGTTGAAGGGAAGCCCCTCCAAAAGAAGTGGACAAAGAGGGCAGGTTTGGGTGTCTGCCGAAGAATGCTGAGATTCTGTTCTATTTGTAGTCAACCCAACCGTTTAACTCACCTCCTGGATTGGCTAACACAAAGTCCAACTTGTTTGACCGCGGAAACCGTCCAAACCCGCGGAGGGACCCCCTGTCAGGTGCCATGTTAGTGCGAAGGAGGATGAATTCCAGAAACTTGGAAGTAAGTTTGGGAACCCAGTAAAATAATTCCAGAAAAGGGGGAGCCGCCCCGACCGCTGAGCATCCAAGACTCCACCCCATGCGGCTCCGCGTCTGTCGTCTCACCCGCGTTCCTCTCAAATACGCATGTGGCCAGAAGGGCAAACCCAGCGCCCAAATGGGTCTGTCTTTTCGGCAAAAGGTATCAAGTTTTGGGCGTGCTTAGGGTAACCAGCAAGAAACCGCTCATCCCTCATTTCGACACATAATCAAATAGGCAAAGCCAAGGTCGGCATAGTTCTCACAATGCATGCTTTGGGCTTGAGAAGGTCTAGGCGCTGGGTGGAGAAGCTTTGACCTTCACCACGCCACTACTCTGCGTGGTGCCGTTTTGGGGGCCATGCTTAAATAAAGCTTTCAGATTTCAAGCAAGGGCCCGTGTTTGGGAAGTGCTGCAATGAAGCGGACCCCTGTCCATCACAGACAAATGGTTCAAAAAGAAAAGAAACATGTTCCGGTTCAAGCGGTAAATGCTGAGAGCAAAGCAGAAACCAACGCGTCCATCCACTTTCCAAGCTGACATAACAGTACATGCGGTCTCAGAGAAAAAAGAACTTTCCGAATGAGGCCCCGAATCCACCGAAAGAGGTCCTTGAGGGTGCAGCCGAACAAGCAGCCACGCTGCCCCCCGGAAAAAAAGCTAAGGTGGCACCCCTTGTTCGATGTCCATTTGAGCCCCACCAAAGATATGTATCGAGCCTGCGGGATATGTCTATGGATCTTTGCGGGAAGTGCAATCATGTCCCTATCAAACAATTGGAAGTTAGCTCCCCACAAACATGGTCTGGTGGACAGCGACCTGTTTGGGAGACAAAACCAACACTGACAAAAACACGTGTTCATATCCCCGGGTGCCAGTTTCAGAACCGAGATGCAGCGTGGCATACAACACCAGGCTTGCCAGAAGGAGGATGGTGAGCAAAATCCCATCCGCCACCAGGATGGCGTGGGTGAAGCGACCCCCTGGGCAGCCCAGGCCATGTTTTGAACTTCAGATCGACCCGGGCCCATACTGGTCCCGTGGGCCTCGTTGAGTCAGGGACTGTTCCCCATCCTGGGGCCCCTGAAAATCGAACTTAGTATTGCAGATCGATATGAGGACCCATCGGTTGGACATGGAACTGGGTCTCTTCTTGGCCGTGGAATGATTGTTGGACAGCAGTTTACTTGGCCTACAACCCGATGTCAACCAAACATGGGCCAGTTTAAGTGGGCTTATGTTTACTTGGTGTGCAAGCTTAGGACCGGCCAAGAAAGTGAGCATTCTCTCCCTGGCCTTTTTTGCTAAATATGTCGGCTGTCACTTCGTGGCCTTACGTGAACCTATGCTCACGAAAGGCTTGGTGTTGACCCCGCCGATTTCCCCAGGCTCACTTGAGTCACTTGCTCAACACCCGGAATTGAAATGGACTACCCAGAACCATGAAAAGAATCAAGAAGGCGGATATCCGCAGCTATTTATGGTTGGGATTGCCCCTTACTAACCTTCATTTACCCGGGTTTTGATTGTGGCTCACTTCAGAAAACGGAGCCTCCCACAGGTGCTGTGTCAGTGGCAGAGGCAAACCTTTGAACCACATCTGCACCCATTGTGCGCTACATCACAAAAGGGCCGGGATGTGAACCTCGGCAAAATGCGTATGTTTCAACATATGAGTCACAATCAAGACCTGGTAAATGGTCTATCCAAACCAATGTAAAGGAACTATTACAAAGGCGGCCGCACCTATTTCCGGCTGGGACTGCCCCTTACCTTCATCTACCTGGCGCATATGGATGTCCCGTCTGGCGGTCTTCCCGTGGTTTTCCGCTAACAATCGACCGGTGGAAAGGAGCCAACGTCCCGGGCAAGCCGCGCATCCAGAAAAAGCAGGCTGCCGTCGAGACGTGCGCCAGCGGCGCAAGCGCCTGGCAAGTGCGCTCTTTTGGACATGGGAGATGCCATGCACTGGGGTCATGATTTTGACTTTGGCGGGGGTTTCTCTAATCTACTTGAGGGTTGGCTTGACTCTCAGGGTTGACTTCATCTACCACTAAGTTGACAAGGAGAATGGGCCAGTTGATCTCATTTCAGATGAATGAGCATCTTTTCGGGACCTTGACATGGGAACCTGTGGGAAAGACAAAAGGTGGACATGTCGGCTGGGCAAGGGTCAACTTGAGAACTTTCAAAATGAAGACCCGTCCTGTCTCTCAGTAGCGGATTGCAAGGATCAGCATCACCACTGAAAGGGGGCGGACGCAAGACAAAATCCTACATACAACCATCAGCTTCTTTATGATTGGTTGCTTGGATTGATGTGAAGGTTGGCACGGGTTCCCCCATTTACCTCTACAAGACCCAGGGGTTCAAACCACAAAACCACCAATCCAAACCACCAAAGAAGGGTTGCCTCAACTGGGGGTTTGATTCTGGCGCGAAATGCGCCCCCTTCCAAACGCTACGGGTTGACAATCAACCAATTAGCCATATACGTTGCGAGCCCCCAATCCACCAACCACCTGGAAATCAACCTTCCAGAAGGCCTACTTAACCGTCGGAAGAAAAAAGGGGCAGAAATTTGTTCTAGCTTGATTGGGAACCACCATTTGCTTAATCGCTCTGGAAAACATATTTTCCAACAGTGATAGATTCCCTTCAAAACCAACAGGGGGAAATCCACCCTTTTCACTTCAGCAAATGGATGGATGGGAAACCCAAACAAAATCCCCAACAGCGTAACAGGGCAAAATCCGCCATTTTCACTTCAGCAAATGGATGACAAACCCAAAATCCCCGAAAAAAAAACACGACCCATGCCACACTGGTGGCGTCTCTGGGCACGGCACCACGCGCCACCGCCCTCGCGTCACGCCCCTCGGTTGCCTTGTACCCGGAGGCCACGAAGATGGAGCCGTAGGTGGGCGGGGCTCGGCACAGCAGCACCGCCGGCCCGGCCACGCGGCTCAAAGGCCGCAAGGCCAGCGGCGCCCCGTCGGGGCCCTGGGCCTGCTGAGGCGAAGCCTTCTGGCTCGCAGGGGGGACATATGTTGGTTGGGGCGGAAAACTGGGGGGGAGTGGTTTGTGTTAGGGGAAGGTTTATTGATAGAAAGAAGGGAGTTTAGTGGATTGTGGTTTACCACTACGAGAAGCCCAGGAACTCGCCGAAAATGGCCAGTCCCACAATCATGAACTCTCAAGAGTCAGATTCCATGATTGGAAAACTGCTTTAGCACCCATTCCGTGATACCATGCTAGGATTCCTATCCCCTACCGCGTCACCTAAACGCTTTCCTTGCAGAGGGTCCCAAATCCCATCATCCCATCCGCAGCCTAGGTTTTCGGCCTGCGATGTCTGCGGTCCACCCAAAGTTCTGGCGAAGACCCGCTCTTTTGCCCGCTCTACAAGTGTGCCCTCCAGATTTGAGAGCTTCAAATAAGTTGGTACCCGGTTTGTTTTTCTGTAGTCTATTTTAGTAGGGGAACCCTCCCCCAAAAAAGAAACGGTACAAGGGCACTACTGGGGGACCTAGACAAATACACGGAGCCAGCCCGGGAGAAGGCCGCTCAGTTCTAAACTGCCTGTGGGCCATGCATGAACCAAACCAATGGCACTCGCCAATCGCCCGGCAAGCCGTCCATCAGTGAAAGAGGACAAGAAGGGTGGGGGGCAGCTTCTTCCGAAAGTGCCGCGAAAGCCAGCTACTCATGATCTCCTCCCAAGGCGATTGGAAGCCCATAGGTCCATCTCCTTGTTTTTAGGCCTACGCTTCGTTTGCCATCTTCTCTGCGGCTGATGGGCAAAATGCGCTTCGCAGTGGAGATAAAAATGCAGCCCTCTGAAAAAAAAAATCAGAACCCCCCGCCACGATTCTGCGTTCCTTCAAAACCAAGACAACTCAAACAAGCACGCTTGCCGCATCTCGCTTCGGACAACCGCGACCTGGAGAAATGCAACCGGAAACCAACCGTCGGAAGTGTTACGAGTCGATGCGCTTGCTTGGGGAAACCAACATGCCAGTCGTGCACAAATCTATTTATTTGTATATATTAATACATAATATATATATATATATATAAATATATATATATATATTATACATACTGATGCCTAGAGGCGACGTCTTCTAATCGGGCACTCCACCCAAACTGTTTGCACCAAACATCGCACAGTAGCATAATCAACGCAGGCAATACGCTATTGCACATGCTCGGCATGTCCAAGCAATTGATCCGCTTCGGGTATTCCACCATTACCATTGCATTCCATGATTGACTATCCTTGAAATCAGACTTGCGCCACAGATGGTTGATGTATTCCAACGGCCCCCTTATTTTCAATCCCCGGAAACCAAGCGATTGAGCCCTGTCCAAAACAAAAAGACGATCTCCAGGGGTCAAACCCAAAAAACGAGAAACAACCCACCGGAGCTCTGGTACGAGTAAAAAACAGTTTGCCTATTGGCAGGCACACATTTGGAGATTTCAACCAGACGGGTAAGCCACAATGAGGTTTGTCGAAATTCGGGGGCCTCCGAAAAGCTTGGTCTCCTGTTGACTTCCTTTTACAACCAATCAGAAGGGGTCCCCCGCCCCTTTGCAAAAAAGAGCGACACACCCAATGTGCGGCAAGCCGTGTGACCGATTGTTACTCACTACTGGGCCTCTCACCAGGTGCGATAGCGCAAGGATCAAACAAATCGCATCACTTCGCCCGTTCCCCGCGTTGATACGCCTGCTGGACACGTACACCGACCAAGTGCTCCAGGTTCCTAGAGGTGAACAGTTGCGCGACGGGCGCGCAGGGCGTGCGGTAGGGAGCTTGCCGGGTGGGAGCGAATTCTGAACCTGAGAAAGAATGTCAAAAAGTTTCCCCATGGAGCAAGTCCAACACGAAAAACACATTGGAAATAGCTCCCCAAGTTTGGGTAACTCAATGGGCAAACTACACAACGCCCATCATGGAATGCTGGCAAGAAAACTCTAAGGAAACACAGGACGCCAAATGGCTTGAGGCATACTGGCTCGGGCTTGTGCAATCAGATAACTGCATGTAGCCTTCTTATTCCATGGAGAATTGCACTCGATGTTTGCGTGATGATCAGCCAACCAAGCATTTGCCCACTTTGCCCACGTTTTGCTCAGGGGGAGACATGATATCCGCGGACGAGAGGCACCAAAGTGTTGAGAGAGGCATCGATTTGGAAATGAACTTGGCCACCAAGGTGGGATTTATGCTCTTGGCCCTTTTGAAAAATACTGCGATCCATTGGAACGGGCTGCAGAATCACTTGGGGTGTGTCTCCAAATTGCGGTTGAACCCCCCTTCCCCATCACAGAAACCTTGGTTTTCTGGTGTCCCCTCAAACCAATCCCAGGGTACTTTCAAAAACAAACAAGCCACTCACATAGAAACGGACCACCATAGGGAACACATTTTTCAGGGCACATGTCCCCATGGATTCCTCTAAGCATCTCTACTCTTGGTATGGTAGCAAAAAACTTGGTTTTTTGCAGACCCCCAGTAAAAATTAACAGAACCAAAAAACTAAAAAACTACAAAACATGCCAAGAACAGTGAAGCTAAGCATGAGTTGTTTTCCGGCTCCATGGAATCAGCTTGAAAGGCTTCGCGCCAACGTTCGGAGCCCGAAGCGAAACCGGGAAGTAATTCGCGTGCCACTGTGGCGGGTTCCGCGAAATCCATTTGCTAACCCCGCACCGGTCAGAAACCCAACGGAAGGATTTGACTCCCCTTTTGTATATATATATGTTGTTTTTAAGGTTCAACTCTGGTTTCAAAGTGGTGCGAAATGGATTTCGTCCACTAGCACTGTGGCTTCCCAGTGACCCTAAAGGCTCCATACTGTACATCCCGGATATGCAAAATAAGACCCGAAGAAAGAAACAGGATGTAGCCCACAAGGGGTGCAGAAAGTATTCTCCGGTCAATTTGGCTACGTGCACCCTTGAGCCTTTTGTATCTGGCTACCGGCCCAGCGACACAGCTTCGATGATCTCGAAGTTGGGGCCGAGTACCAACTCCTCGAAGCGACTTCAGAAGGCTGGTCAAGCTAAGGGCTCTGAAGGTCTGAACAAAAACTCACTCCCTGAGTGAATGGGCCCAAAAAGTCTGCCTTTGTTGGCCACTAAAACCATCCAAACCCAAAAAGCGTAAAGTCCAGGAACTCAGATTGAGCAAAAGGCCAAAAGGCCCCATCTCTGTTGCCAACTTGCTCAAGGGTCTGAACTATTCCCTTGCTCGAGCAAACTTCGGCCTTTTTCTACTGGCCAGGCACCCCAGACGCAACTGGCGACTTCGGACGCGCGAAAAATCCACGGATCAAAAAACAACCGCTCGCTCGTGGCTCCAAAAACTCTGATGGGAAGCATCTTGAGCCTCGCTGGATTCGATCTGCCCCAGGGGACAATCAACTCAAGCTGTGCTTATTAGGTGTTACCCTTGTTCTGGCCCTTTTTCGCCTCTGAAAGACCACTCTTGAGGCTACTTGTTTTTTGGGGAGGAAACAAGCGGTCAACTACAACACAACTCAAATAGGGGCACCAACAGGTACCAGCTTGGACACAGGCCCAGAAGGGGGCCAACTGGAAAAACAAAACAAATCCAAGAACAATCCCCAAGCGGATGCCAACTTGTTAAAAACAAGTACACCCCTCTGAAAAGAGTACTGACTCCTCCACAAACAATCCCTTAAATGGACACAAATCAAAAAAAAAAAGCAGGCGCAAATCAGGAACCAGGCACCAGCTCCAAAACAATCCCAACACCAAGCAAACTACAATCACAAGTACTAACCCACAAAACAAATCCCACCCACTCCCCCAAGAAACCCCTTTCGGCCCCCCATTTTCTTGCATGGCCTGGTTCTCGCCCAGCGTTCGGTGCCTGGCGCCGATCTCCAAGTGCCTCGCAGGATTCACTTCGGAGATTTGTTTTGATCTCTCAAGCGAAATCCTGGCGACGCAATTTCTTGGTTGGCGTTGGAAGGGGAGCAAAATTGAAAACATTTAGCAGTTAAGTGGATTTGGATTTCAACCACTCAACCACAATAAGCAAAATGAAACATGTTTCCCAGCAACAACCATGATTTATGTAATTTACCCTCCCACCAGGTCACCAGCTAACATGGGTTTGTGCACAGACCCCCGTAGAAAGACAACTTTCCTCTTGGAAAGGGGCCTCTTGTTAGCTTCCATGTTAGGTATGTGATCAGCAACATTTTTGGACCCAAAGGATCTTTACCATGGTGAGCTCGTTTTACCCCCGAATCGGTGAAGACTTGGCTCAATTCTTTTCAGGCCTTCTGAGAGCTTCCGCCTGTTAGTCTGAGGGAGCGCCCTCCCACTCACATGGGTGAAAGTGCACATTTGGGAAACTCGTCTTTCTACAGGGGTCCATATTTTCGCTGGTGGGAAGCGATGTCGACTTCGGATCAAACCAGAGGACCCTACCTGTTAGAGGCCCCAATATCTTACTCAAAGGGAGCCACCCCCTGATTGGCAAAGACACATTTGTGGCTGCAGTCCGAGCTAGAAGAATCCAGGGTTGCCCTTTGGAAATAACACTAGAAAGGTCGGTTTGCCCCCTCCAAAGTCCATCTACCCGTGAAGTCGCACACCCATTGAAACCGACCTGTCTGTGTTTCAATCCATCAAGGGGAAAATGACAATGCTTAAATCAGCACCCCACGGCATGTTGAATTTACCTTCCCCGGCAATGCTCGCTCGCTCGCTCGCTCTCTCTCTCTCTCTCTCTCTCTCTCTCTCTCCCTGCACCCGTTCGAACGCCAGGGTTTTAAAACGTTCGGTACCTGCGATCCCTAGCCACCACTGCTTGCTTATCTTTTGCCAGTTGGTGGTTTGGAGCCCGTGGTTTGGTGGTTAGGAAGTGGTTTCCAAGCCAGGGTTCAAATCCCGAAACCACCAATCATCCACCAATTAGAGGGAAGCTGATAAAGTGTGCAAAGCTGGAAAGCTTGGCTTTGGACAAGTCGTCATCTGTCTCAAAAACCAACCTTAATTTAAGCTTCCTGGCGTCGCGAAAGGATAAGAGCCCCTTGCGGCGTGGACCCCATTCAACTCATGAAATGCAGCGGTACTGACCCTTTCGCCTGCAAGGTACCGTTTCGATCACCCCCATATATGAGCAACCAGGTTTGATTAAAGGTCAATCCCGTATTCGTCAACCTGGTGGATGACGAGGGGGTGCTCCCCCGAATTAAAATGAAGGATCCCCTGCGAAGATGCGGCAGGTTTCTGTCAACCCAGCCAGGGGCTTATTAGTCCGGGCTCAACGTTATCATAAAAAAGCGTTTGAAGTCTTTTCTTGAGGCTCAGCATCTTTTTGGGCTGGTAAACCCCATTTTGGGGGTCCATATTTTGAGACAAACCCAAGTTCAGTTGGCAAACTTGACTCGCAACCAATTTGGGTTTGCAAATTGGCTTCATAACATCCCTGTCAAGCATGCCCAAGCCAATCCCGAAAAGGGCGTTTACCGGACTCCCAAAAAAAGGGTGGTTTCCTTTTGGTTCGCCTTTAAAACCACAAACAAAGGGTACCCTCAAAAGAACAGACGCGCCCAAATATCCATAGGTGATCTTCTGGCAAATAGATGGGTCTCCCTGGTAAACGGGGGCATAAAACCAACCTAAGCCAGTGGAACCCATCTATTTCTGACCAAACTCAGCGATCAAAAGGAGGCCTATCCCCGCATTTTTGCATCGGGGTCCGGCCTGGCAAGCTCATTTGCCATGAAGGCATAGAGCAAGGCAGGCATACTCCTGGGATCCCCCCCCCTTAAAAGGGGATGGCGGCGAATTCCCGAAACCTACCCCAAATTTCGCATGCCCACGCGAACAAAGGGCCCGCTTTCTGGTAGTCTATGTTAAAGGGAGACGCACCCACCAAAGAAAAATATGTTGGAGGCTCCTTAAAAGAAAAACACACCACATCACCACTTCCAAGCATCGCCATGTGAAGGACCATGGATGACCAGGTATTTTAGACCCTGAGCTTCTTACATTGCCCAGATCGTATCCCCCCGCTTGCCAAAAAGCGAAACATCAGGAGCCCTTCTTTGCCCCCCCAAACATCATCCCCAAGGGTCCACCTAAAACCCAGTGGTTTGATTCTTGTCACTTGTGAGCCAAAGTTCAAAAGAGATCCAGTCTTGGTCCTCTCATGTCCTCCCCCCAACGAGCTGCCTCTTTACGAACGATGGACGCCTCAAGACCCCGACTTCCTGAGTTCAACCCTGGACACCAAATCACAAAACACAACTCCATTATATAATATACATTGGCCCAAATGGTGAACTTTAAAACGACAAACCTCAAGACCCTTCCCGAGTTCAAGCCTTGGAGCCAAAAAAACCGTCCGCGGACAGTTTTTCAACAGCGGCCACGGCTCAAAATCATGAAGTCCCAGGCGGAGTCGATGTGCTGCTGGGCCAGCCAGGGAACCGAGAGGTAGATGGTGTTGATGGCCTTGCCCAATGGGAAGGGACAGACTCCCCCTGGGGCCAATTGATAGACTGGGCTGCCCGTTTTCAGATCCCCCGCTAAAAGTTTAACTTTAAGTGGGTGAAATGGAAACTACCACTAAACACTAAAAGGCTGAGAAGCAAAGGAACCGGATGGCTGGGAGAGCCACCAAGTAAATATGAATCAACGTGGCAACCCATTCTCAGTTGCCCAAAGGACCTGGAAATAAAAGGTGATCACCTTTTGGGGCCATGACTAAATATGGGATCACAAAATAGGCAAACCGAAAGGTCAAAAACTCGACTTTGAACAACTGAGCTTTTGGTTGGTGAAGGGAGCCAACAGGAAACCCAACCGTTGAAGGAAATGGAAGCGGCCTATTGTGAGAAACATCCATCTGGAACGAAACCAACCAATGCAAAACGAGTGAGTGCAGTCAAATACATTGAGTTACCCCGTGCCAGCCGGGACATCTTGCCTCGGCAACAGGGATCCCTTTACTGAGCTGTTCAAAATGGAGAGTTGGCCAATCCTACTCTATACTAATCCATAATCCCTATAGGAAAGCCACTACAAAGGGGACCGGTTCCTTGCGTAACCCCAGGTAAGGATTAAGGATTACCTTTGAACAGCCCAGCTTTACCCCAGCCTGACAAAACCCAAAGAACATCTCGTGTTGAGTTGGCCCTTCCACAGGCTTCCGCAGGTTTCTCAAGACAAATTATCCCGGCATCAGACCCCAAATGGTATTGGGTGTAAAAAAATATATCCAAAATGAATGGGTTCCCCTGGTAGCAGAGACACAAATAAGGAGTGAGAGCATGCTCAGCATGGAGTTACCATGACCAAAATCCCCCAAACTCCGATACGACCCGAAGGTCTCCCATGGCCATCAAGGTGTTCTCAGTTGCCCCGGATAATCGCCTTTTGGAACCTTGGGCCATGGACAAAAGCTGGCAAAAATTGAAAGGTTCAAAGTGAAAGGTTCAAATCTCAACCACCAATCGAAACCACCAATCAAGGGTTGCCTGACTCTCGGGGCAGACCCAAGGATTGTGCGCTTCCAGGTGGTAGATACAGTGGCTTGGACCCCCAAAACCAAAGGCAAAACAGGGCTCGCGTTGTTCCCTCGTACAACGGAAATCCCCACTAAACACTAAAATGCTAAAAAGAGCCGCCAAGCTTAAAGTTGGCCCCTTTTGACGATTCAAACCAGAACAAATATACTCACTTCCCATCGAGTGGCTGGAACAAGTCTGAGCTGTGTGTGAAAGGGGGCTCCCTATTTTTCCCCCCAAAAAATACATCACTTGTCATGGGCCAAAAACACGTGATGTTTAAAACCGCCAAGGAAAATAACTCGGGATTCCTGTACCTCCATCTGCTTTTCCGTCCCCCCAAAAAAATGAGAAAACATGTCCAGTTGTAAAATCGATGTCAACTTCAAAACCAACAGGGTAAAAGAAAACACATGAATCTCGGCAAATGGTTTTGTTGTTAAACAAGAAAAAAAACTGGTCCCCCTGGCTCCTGAGGGAAAAGCAGAGACCCCTTGACTTTGTTTCTTTTCCTTTCGTGTCCCCAAACGGTGGAAAAGACACGTCCCGTCCCCCCCAAAAGAATCCACCACGGACCCCCGGACCGAGGTGTCCGCCCCAGACGCCAGGGCGCGAAGAAGAGCGAGGGGAGGTAGGTGGCGCAGCCCACCGCCCAGCTGCCCAGCTCGTGGGAGTAGATGCCCGTGACCCGCATGCGCGAGGCCGAGAGCATGGCCATCCTTCAAAAAAAACCGGCGAAGAGCGACGCACCAAAAAAACCACCGACAAAACAACACGTCAAAACCACCACCCCAAAAAAAAACGGTAAAAAAAGCGGCTAAAAGACCAGCTAAGAAACCGGTCCGTTTTCAGATCCCCCCCGAGAAAAATGTGTAATGAGTGACTCACTTTTCGTGGGTGAAATTCGGAGATTTCCAACCACAGAACAAAAATATCTAAAACGCTGAGGATCCGGATGGCTGAAAACCGCCATTGGGTGTGGCTCGAAATTACAAAGCAAGGGTTGCGCAGGTTTTAGTCTTTGATTCCATTTACCAAGGTGCCATGTTCGCACATGTTGTTGAGCCACAGCCTTGCTTTACCAAATTCAAAGTAACCTTTTGGTTTGGCGGGTTAAAGGGAAGCAGCCCCAGATTCTGACTTTAACCCTCGAGCTCAGAGAGAGTAAGCGAAAACCTGCCTCCAATCAGGTAAATTGCAGAAAACAAAAGGCGTCCAGGCCCCAGCAGTTGTTTGCTTTCCAAGGTGTTTCAAGGAAACACGTTACTCACCTCCAGAGTGGATGGCTAAACAAAGAATCCAAACTGCTTGTTTGCCACTAAAATGGTCTTCCCAGAAGGCATGAAGTCCAGGAACTCAAGGAGTGAGCTAAAGTTGTCTTACTTGCCCAAAGGAGAAGGAGATGTAGGGTTTACAATGCAAACCAAAAGAACAAGAAAGGGTGCCAGAATGGCGACACCAGAAAATAAAACGATTGATTTACTGTGAGCAAGTGAGGGAGGTGGTTGTTCAACGGGGAGTTCCAACGGTTCCCTTTCCAGTGCAAACAAACGGACGAGCGCTTGAAGAGCAACAAACCGAGTTTACAGTGGCTTGCAAACATGGACAACGATTCTATTCAAAAAAAAACAACATAAACTAGATATGTCGAATATTACAGGCAACCCTTAATTAGTGGTTTGGACCCGTGGTTTAGGGAATTGAACCCATGGTTTGTGTAGAAAGTTAATGGAGGGCCCCTCCCTAACCGCCAAACCACCAATCCAAACCACCAATTGGAGGGAAGCTGCAAGATACCATATCAGAGCTAGAGGCAGCCATAGCAGCGCAGTAGGCAGCCCAATAGAGTGCATCTGCATTGGGGAAATTGCCCAGTTGCCTCTGTTTTCTAGCATACTCCCCACTGATCACTGTGTGTGTTTTGTGACCGGTTGAAACAAGCAGCTGCATTCGAAACAGCATCACTTCCTGAGTGGATTAGCCAAACAAGGTCGAAACTGTTGTCTACCGTGTATGAGGCTATGCTTTTTGGAGTTGCCACCCCCCAACTCCACCCTTTTCAGGTTGGTTGCAAGGAAAACAAGAATGAACATCACTGTTTGGGGCTGCCCCGAAAATGGCTCTCCCCAAAAGATGAAGGCCCAGGAACTAAGGGGGTGAGATATATATATATATAGGAAATCCCTTCGTGGATTCAATTCCAAACTTGTTATTTACCACTAAAACGGTCTTCCCAAGTTTAAAATCCAGGAACTCAGGAAGTGAGGGAAACAAATGGACACCGGGAGCGAGATCTGCGCGGTGCAGCTAAGCATCACAACCACCGAGAAGATGCAGTTTCCCGTCACCGCCAATCCTTGCCCGAGCTCAGCTTTCCACAAAGGAACAAATGAGTAGACAGATTGTGCATGTATAGATACATGTAGGTGTCACAGTGCATGCATGAATATACGTACACGTGTATATATATAGCCGAATATTGGATTCATGCGTCACAGAGCTTTGCATGTGTTGCTCTATATACATACACATTTAATGTGTCTGTGTGTATGTGAGTGCGCCTGTGGCATCTGTATATGTAATACATGTAGGTATGATACATCTCTGTCCGCAAGCTGTCTTGGCCAAGAAGGTCCGGAGTCCAGACTGTTTGTTTTACCACTGAAAAGGGCCTTCCCAAAAAGTGACTAAAGTCCAGAAACTCAGACATTGAGTCAATCCTACGCTCTAATTTTAGGTTGACCCCATTCAAAGGACCCAAAACTGACCACTTTCACAAGCAAAACCTCTGGATTCCAAGGAACCATCCTCGGTGGAAAACACCCAATAAATGCAATCAGGTGGGGTCTGCGCCTATCACTCTAAATTAGTGAGGGATTCCTTTGCTAGGGATCTTCACTGCTAAACTCCTTGCGCACCCCAACGGTGAGCTCCTGGAACGTGCTGCTCCAACATTCCAAGGCTAACTTCCCTATCCTTTCCAGGCATCCGTGTTTGCAGAATTCCAATCACGGGAAAAGGGGTGGTGTTTAAAAACGAACGGTGGTTAAAAAAGAAATCGGGCAAATTACTATGACTATAATTCCCAAACCGAACATGAGGAATCCCGGAACCCCAAGTCAACTCAATTGGCCGCTGGGCGCGTCTGGAATTCCCCAAACAACTCAGCGGTAATGTCGACCCCGTATCAATAACCCTGGTCGATTAATACTGCAGATGGACAAAATCCCACACAAGTTCGCAGGTAGGCTTTAGCTGGTGCAGGCTTTTGCCCATCCACAGTAGGAGGTGTTCAATTAAGAGGCTTCTGCCTCCGGGGCCAACATTGAGGCCCCTAAACGAAGTGCGGCTCATTCGATTCGATCGCCTCGCCCAGGGGCGGGTTTTCAAGTTTGGGACGCCCACCACCAAGTGTTTGCCTCAGATACGGGCAGCTTCCAGCACAGTTCCCTCTGCAACATCTTGAAGCTATGTCCAACACCTACTTACTTAGACATCCCAAAGTGAAGCACCTACTGACCATAGAACCGACAGATTCCACGCGCACGTCGAAACACCTTTTTCTTACAGGTTGCTCGGGATGGCCCGACCCCTGGATGGAGAAGACCGGCATAATTTTCTACGGGCTCCTATGAGTCAGCTCACTTGCTCAGCGGATGGCCATTTTGGCTTGCGACTAAAAGTGGCAACCAAACCAAACAAGTTATATATACTAAAGTGGCCAAAAAAAACGCTTTTGGTTGCCACTGAATTGGCAAGCGAACCCACAAAGTGACCAAAGTTGCCAAAAGACAACTGGTTCACTAAAATGGTCCAAGCCCCAGAAAGTGACTAAAGCGGCCAAAAGACCACTTTTGTTTGCCACCAAAACGGCAACCAAACCCAACAAGTGGCTCAAGTCTGAGTTCCGGAACTCAGGGAGTACATGGCCCGATGACTTGACGAGGGGCAGTGGCACCCGTCGAAGGCTGGAGGCATCTCATAGAAACATGTGCCCTTCAGGCGCGTGAGGCAGTAGGAAGGGCAACTCCCCGCGGTGCACATCCAGATTGGGATCAACTGGCTCCGAGCGCAAGCGCCAAAACCAACATAATTTGAGAAATCTGCTCAGGGAATCTTTGTTGGAGGTGTGGAGGGCTCGGGTTGCCCTACAAAACCCACTTCTTCTTCTGGGCGTGGAGGCTATCTAAAACTTAAATAAGGGGTACATACTTCGTTACAAGCTTGTATTGGCGGCGCAAAAGCGTCCAGACCCTCGATCATACTCCAACCACGACGCCAAAGAAATTGCAGGGAACTTGAGGATGGTCCTTGTTCCCTTACTTGCAAAATTTAGGGAAGCCATTGCAGCCTGCAGTATCAGGATTTGCTCAGGGGAGACCGCTTCAAAAGCAACAACACTTTTTGCCATGGTTGTTGCCCCTGCCATGGAACTGCAATGTTTGATCCCTGCCAACGGGGGAATATACGGACACCCTTAAAACCATGTGTGCTCCCTTCACACTCCAGTAGCCAAAAGGAAAAACGTGTCTGCGCTTGCAAGTGTACGAAAGCCACAAGGACTCGAAATGCTCCACCTAAGTTTGCCTTTCGGCATATGTCGATTGTGGCAGGCAAACCCACCCAAAGGAGCTAGGATGCTGGAGGTCTGTAGGTCTTGCACTCCTGCAAATTAACATGGAACCCCAACAGCCGCCATTTGTAGAGGAAACTCCTGTTGGGGGCCGGGTTACTTGCAGGACTCAAACCTCGCTGAGACTCCACTAAGCCCTCTCTTCACAGTGCTGCTTCGGGGTGGCTTTAAAGGCAAGCCGAAGGCAACAAAGCATCGTCCTGCACATCAAGTAAAAATATTCCACGCCTGAAACTTCATCTTGCCCCCAGGTGACTGGGATTTTTGTTTCAAAACCGGAAAACCCCAAATGATTTGCAACGCTGTCCTTTTAAGCTTCCTTCAAAACCAACCGGGCATTCCTCCCAAAAAAGAAAGACACACTGCGCATCAGCCATACATTTTCACATGGCTATGGGTCAAAACCCCGTACCCCCGGTGAACATCCCAATCCCCACCAAGGTCCTCCAGTAGAGGTCTCAGAATAAGGGTACCCTTTTTTCTGTAGTCTATGCTAGTAGGGGAACCCTCCCCCAAAAAAGGGTAAAAGGGCACTAGTGGGGGACCTAGTCCCAATCCCCACTAAAATAGACTAAAATGGGTGGTGCACCGGTGCACCTACCCCCCAAATGGGATCCCATTGCTGTTGACCCACAGCCACAATTTGCCTGGCTGAGGCCAGTCATCCGCTGGTCCAGCCAGGTGGTATCCATCTCCGTGACCGCCTCTACTGGCACGTGCAGCACCTCAGTAAAAGAGTCGTCCGGGCGACGGGTGTCTAGACCCTGGAAAACATCCACTTAGCTTTACCCTCCCGAAGTGCACAGACCCCTCTAGAACGATGACTTTCCTCTTAGAAGGGAGGGTACAACTTACATCCCATTTGGAGGGGTTCTCAAAATTACTTGGGAAAGGTTGCCTTAAACCACCCACCAAAAAAAGTAAGTTTCAGCACGGCCACGTACACGGGCTCGGGCCAACCTAGCCTTAGAGGAAATGCTAGCAAAAGTGAGGATCCAGGAAGACCCTCCTTGTAGCACTGGGAGTCAAAGGTAATCACCTTTTGAAACCCGGCAATTCCAGTCGAGTTCGTCAAGACGACCAGATCTCAGATATAGTATTCGGGTATGTCCTTTTTTATGGGACCACCAAATTTGGTTGTCCTTTTGGCTTCCCTTCAAGACCACCACTGAGTAGCCTCCAAAAAGAGACCCTCAAAATCTACCGGGGCCTGAGCCGAACGGATATGCCGAGCCCCGTGTCTCGTGCCCTCGCAACTTGAGAGAATGACATGAACCTGGGTTCCTAAACAATGAACATATTGCAAGTTCCCTCCTGTCCAACATGGAACCCACGAAACCAACCAAAGGATCCCTATCGTCTTCAAGGAGCCCTGTGACAGGCTCCATGTTACTGGATGGGAGGTAAACCAGCCTACTCAACCAAACCATGGCGAAGTACGGCCAAGTAGAGTTGATTGCAAGGCCAACCCCAGAGTAAGAAGCCCAGGTTGATTGGAGGTCTCCGACCCCCCTCTTCCCCCGCCCCCTGAGGATGGGTGACGTTGAGTCGCCAGGGTTTTCCGCTTGACCTGTGCAAGGAAACGAACGAACCTTCGCCAAACTAGCGTGCCCCGTGCAATCTGGTCCTTGCCCCAGATACCGATCTCCAATTTCATTCTGCGATTGATGCTCAAGTAAAGCGCTAAACCCAAGAGGGGGAGGGGGCAGAAGACAAAGCCCAAAAAGAATGCACGCACATATTTGGGCAAACGACTGTAATTCGCGAAAATAAGAACTCCGGACCGTAAAAAAGAAGAACTCCGGATAGTAAGCGACCTGCATCTGTCAACTCCCCCCTCCCAACTAGATCGTCAAGATAGGAATCGATCCATGCGGAGGAAAACCAAATCCGCCAAAACCAGGGCGCCCGGAGCTTCATGAAGAGCAGGGTGCATTTGAAGAAGGTGCTGAGCCGCAAGTTCCGGTCCCCAAGCTCCGGCAAATAGACCTTCCAAGCCGAAAGCCGGCAGCTTCACGGCAGCTTTTCGCCAGAAGCCTAGGGCCCGCCCGCTGCTGCCCAGGTTCAAAAAGACCCGCTGCCAGGCATCAATCCCCGAACTTTTGTGGGGAAACCCAAAGGAGGAAACACCTGGAAGAGCCTGTGCTGCCCAAAAAAAGCACGGACATCCGGCACATCAAAGGTGGCCTGTTGAGACCAAAAGCCCAGAATGCGAACGCAAACAGGTAGTTTGCCCCAAAAAGTCAAATCCGGTCGATCCGCTTTGGGATGCTTTGGCGACACTGGAGATGGAATTCGGATGTCCCCTGTTGACTCCAGTCCACCGCCTTGTGATAAGCCAAGACGTTGGCCAAGATGTTGATGGAGGCCGTAACCTCACTGCTCGGTGCAAAGAACTTGGCACCAAAGAGCTCATTGACTCATTGGGTTCTTGTAGAGGCTCAATGGGAAACGTCTCCCTGAAAATACCAAACAAACCTCCAAAGTGGGTTGCTCCAAAGACTTTGGCAAAGGAAAGAAGCTTGGCACTCAGGGTTTAACCAAAAAGAGATACAAACTACCACAGCTGTTGTTTGTTTGACCTGAATTTTGCCAGTGTTGCCACGCATGCAGCTACTGGCTCCAAACTGCAAGAGCCACTAGCATGATTTCCCCGTCGCCGCGTCTGGAACCTTCTTTACAAATAGACCGTTGGTTGCCTACCCATGACCATTCCCAGTAACCTCAGGCATTTTCCTATGCATTCGGGCTGGTACGGGAACAACCTAAGCCAGCCCCCCCCCAGCAAAGGTACTTAGAACCTTGTTACACGGGGCGGCCAAAGGGTTCTCAGCAACTCTTTCTGAGGGGTAAGGGGGTGAAAGTTGAATATACTAAGGGGTGCCTGTTTAATCTTGATTCCTTTCTTCCAGGGGGGCTGACCTGAATAATGACTGGTAGTATTCATCAACATTTCAAACCATCCCAAACCAGAAGCTTCTTAAATTCGCTGCCTCTTTAAAAGAAAATTTGGAGACCTCCAGTGCCACGGGGGAGAGTCCCAGCTCCGTCTCTCGGGAGAAACCGACCGAACCCCCGCCCCGCTTGTCGCCGGAGGGGCTGCAGCGACCAGAAGGATCAAGGCAAAAGAGGGCCTCGAGCCCCGCAAAAAATGCGGTGGCTTCATCTTCTTCGGGGAGCTTCCATGTCCATTCTTTTCAGGGGATCCGAGGATTTGTTTAAAGGAAACCCGCATCAAAAACCCAGATCGGACATTTGGATAGATTTTTGAGAAAAGAACGATGGTTGAAAAGAATGGGGAATCAGAGCATAGATCCATTGCGAACCCCCGGAAACCGTCCAAACAAAGTACTCAAAAAAAGACACACTCATAAGAATGAGATTGCCGGAGCACGTCCTGCCCCGCGTGCTTCGCAACTTGATTGGTCAGCTTGAGATGTTTCACTTCGTGCTAAAAGTTGAGCTGTTGGCAGGGGATTTCTCAAATTCTCGGAAGTGTGTGGGCTCCTTTCGGGCTTCAAACCAACCCCAAGGGATAAAACTCCAATTCACGCTCAAAGTCTCAAGGCTCAGTCGTAGGGCCCCCCAACCCGGTTCCAAACATCAGGAAAAGGGAAACCAAAAAATAAACTCCGGTTGAGATACAGGCTCCTTTAAATCGCTCCGTCTTCAAAAGCAAAACAATGGATACCCCCGGGCACCAATGATTTCCACCAAACTCATAGGCGAAGAAACCTCATTTTCAGCCAAGTGCTCGTCCTCCCCCCCCCCTGACACGTCATAGTATAGTTTACATGTTGCCCAACTTGTAAAGTAACATGCTTAGATTCTGCCCCATATATGAACTTTTGATATGTCCTCTTGAAACATCACTCCCCAAAATAAAGCCCAAGACCAAATTGGCAGCAAAGCTACGTTCCAACCACAGAATATGTAGGGAACCTCTGTAGGGAGCAATCTTAGATTATCCCAGGTCAACGGACGATGCCCCTCACTGACATGATCATTGAGTATGGCTAAGACGGGAGCCATGCAAAGGGCCCTGGGTCTACTCTGGTGAATAATCTTCCTCTCAAACATGTAGCATGTGTGGAAGAGTTCCTGAAAAGAGGAAGGGGGGAAGGAAGGGAGGGAAGGGAGGAAGGGGAGGGAGGGGGCATCACTCGCAGACCCGAATCAAAATCCTGCAGCAAGAACAAGAACTCTTCGGGTGAGCGCGGAATAGGGTAAACGCCACCTGTGCAATTATTGTACTGTGGGCCAATCATGCTTTATCATGCTGCGCGCAAATGGAGGTTGATCAACAGGTCCGTGATACATGGAATGGACCCACCAAAAAAGACGACTTTCCCAACTAAACCGGAAAAGTTGCACATGGTCATTTCGGGTAAGGAATATTGATCAATGCCCAAATGCTAAACAGCACCAGTGCCGCACCAGTGCGGTATACTGATGTGTCAAGTACCCTAAAGAGCGCGTCTGCGATAGCTGGCTGCTTTCAGCCTGAATCAAGCAATCACTCACGGTTCGAACTTTGGTCGCAAGGAACTCTTGCGCCCAGCTGCTTACGCAAGCTTACGAGGGCAAAGGCGCAGCTTCCGCAATCACCCACGCCATTGGGTGGACTTACGCGACACACTTGCGTTGCCTTGCGCTACCACTTGTGACCTCCTTCTGACCAACAAACCTTGTCCTTTGCCGCCCGTAAAAATTGGACAGAACCCAACAAACAAAACTTGATGCAAGAACAGTGAAGCCTTTCCTTGGTTGCTGTTGACCCCCCTGCGAAAAGTTGATCACGTTTTGGGGGTTTAGTGGAAAACACCTGTATTACCAACAAAGTTAAAGTCTAAAGATCCAACCCAATAGCCGTCAAGCCTTTCTGCCCGTGTGCAAAGATCCAGGAGGCCTCTGGGAGCTGGCGGCTGTCTTCAGCTTCGCCCGAAAGGTGAAGCAATCCTTGGCGCGCGACTCGTTGCTTCCCTCGCTGTTTGGTGTGCCGGGGGTACCTGGAGTCTCCGTGACCCTTAAAAAATGGGGTCATTCATCAAAATAATGGGGTCATTGACCCATTTTTAAGGGGTCATGGAGACTCCAGGTAGTTTCCCATCTACCCACAGGAACCAGGGTCCAAGTCCCAATCCAAAGCAAATTGAGGGAACTCTGACAAACAGGCCTTCGAGGCTTTTTGGGTTCCAAACCAATTTGCGGTTCGAAGGTATAATTCCTGCTTCCATCTATGTCCCTCCCGTGTTGGAAGCATAGACTAGCAGGATCTTCGCTGCCGAACCCAAGGAAGGAAAGCCCCGAGAAAAAACACCATCGATTTGGACAGGAGCGCCCAGGCTTCGGCTTGCGAGGCGCGTAGAGCGCGAGGATGGCGCTCAGCCGATGCTTCACCCACCAGGACTTCATAATCACGGAGATCCTGGCGCAATCCCAGCGGAAGCCGTGCGAATCCCTGGCAACTTGGTCTTTTCGCTGTTCAAAAAAATGGGTTCCTGGAGTCTCCATGACCGTTTATAAATGGGTCAATGACCAACCATTATTTTGATTAATGACCCCATTGTTTAAGGGTCATGGACCATGGAGACTCCAGGTTAAAGTCGATCATTGACCCGCCGGAGAATCCCGACACAGCCACGGGGTCCGCTTTCATAGCGACCTTTTCGAAGAGCCCGGCAAAAGGTGCGACCTGGGGAAATCCAAGCCGACGGCGACGGATGAACTCTGGGTGTCGTGGGTTAGACTGCACCGCTCACTTGCCCAAAGGACTTGATAGATCAAGCGTGTGCTCAAGCTCAGAAAGGGCACCGCTCGGGGGAAACCGGGGAGGTCGACGGTCGGGTCTTGGCAAGGACTCGCTTTGGCTGCAAGTGTGTGTGTGTGTGTGTCCGACGTGTTGAAGTGGAGTAGGAAGTTTGGGCCTTCGATTACAGCGAAACTGGCCAAACAGCTGCGCCTCGGATAGACTTTGGCTGAGGGTTGCAGAATCCGGTTTGTCGGGTCAAGTTTGGGCATACCAAACTCAAAGATAAAACACGTAGAGATGACCTCGCCCTTCTTACAAAAGGCCACAACTTCTCCACTAACACGGAAGCTGACACAAGATGCCCTTAAAAAAAACGGCCTTCTGCGAATGGGGAGGGTAGTCTCCGAAGGGCAAGATAGAAGGGCCCTTTTGGCAGCTCATGTTAAGGAAAAGCCATCCAAGGAAAAGTTGAAAAGAAAACAAATCATGGCCGCCTGCGTTTGGCTTTAAGTGGTTGTAGATACAACCCTGTGTATGACCACACCTCTTGGCGACAAGGTGTGTGACCCCCCTCCCACAACAAACAAAAAACAAGAAAGAAAGAAAGTAGGTAACGCCCTTTGGTAGTTAATCTTTTATTGTTTAAGCTTGTCGTTTCATTGATTTGTTTTATACTTTTCTTATATATACAAAAATACTCATTCACCAAAAAAAGCACGGAAGCAACCCGGGGTGTCTGGCTCGGGAAGTTGTTTCTTCTGTCCTCAGCAGAAGCCTCCGACCCCGCATCATCGGGATCTTCGCAGGCAAGATTTGCTCCTCTTCTGCCCAAAGCGGACAGTTCCTCGGGGCAAACGCCGGAACGTCGGAACCGAACAAATCAGGCGGAGTTGTTTTTTACAGGGAATATCGAATGGAGTCGCTTCAGCCACTAGGGGATTCAGGAACACCGGAAGGTGCGGTTTGTGGCCTCAAGTTCAACAAGACGGTCTCAAGTCCGTCCATCGTATTTCTAGCTTGGGGTGTCTATCCTGCAATCAAGCGTGGGCCGTGGTTGGGCAAAGAGGACGGGCACGGTGCGAAAAAAGGGTCTTGAAGAAATGCAACAACTACCCCCCATCGCCTCTTGGTTTCCCTCTGGGCATTTTTCCATCTTTTCTAATAAACAAAAACGGGTGCAAATTAGCTTGGACACCAAACAAAACCAGCCCCCGAAACCCAGGTTGGCGGGGCGCTGGGGCCACGAGACCGTATCCCGGGGAATCCAACAAAAGGTCGAGTAGCCTTGGGCAAGTGAGTCGAACAAATTGGGGGGGGGGAGGCATATGAATCAAATTGAAGGGGCCTTGAAAAACGGGCAGTGTCTTTAGCGTTTTTGTAGGCCAATGTAAAATGATATGCCATCCATATGTAAAATCATCGCGCCAACCGCGTCTCACGGCCAAAGCTCGGCACGCGCGTCTCAACCTCGAAGAGGTCGCAGGCGTGTGCCGCGATGGCCACGGCGGCCTAGAGATCTTTGGGCTCAGAAAAAAATCCATCGGCCGCCTCTGATGAAGCCCATGTGACCCAAGGTGAGCCCTTAAACAAAAAAAAAAAACATCCGGAGGGATGTCAACCCATCCAATTTCAGGGGGAACTGCGCAAGGGGATACATTCCGGAGGTTTACGAACCTAGTTTGCAAGCGAGTACAGGCAGCCAAGACTGCGTAACATACATAGCCGCTACAGGGTATGCTCAAAAGCCACACATCACGGAAGTCATGGAACGGAATGTGTCCAGTCCAAAAAGACACGCCAGTTGAAAGCAGCTGAACTCCAAGCGCCAACATGAAGCACCCCCAAAACGCCAGTGCGCCGACTTCACCCGAATGGATGCACATAAACGTCAACATGAAGCGGCGATGGTTCCTCTAGACTGAGCCCAAATTCCGGCGTGGCCTCTTTTAGCTTGCTGTCGGGCCGTATGGAAGCGGACCGCAGGTCCTAAAAAAAACATGATTTTCCAGTGACCGGAGAGGTTCCATGAATGGGAGCTGCATCTGGCGTCTGGCTTTGTCTCCAACCGAGGGGGGCGGGGGGGTCTCTTTGCTTCCCTTTTGAATATCCAACCGAAAAGTGTACCCAGGGTACTAACAAACATATTCAAGTCTAAACTTTGCAACGCGTTGGGAGTTTTGGGGGAGGGCATGGGTTTGGAAGTGTGGAGATTGTGTCAGGCGTCTATACTACCTTACAACCTTATATTGGTGTCATATAAGTATCCATATCTCCAAAGCCCATCCCTGGAAGATCCCGATATAAAGGCATCGCTACTTGTGCCCGTTCCCGACAGCGGAGACGAAGGACCCCACACAAGCCCCAAAGAAGTGACTGGCTATGGAGGTGCCAAGGAACAAGTTAGGAAAACCACCCTCAATGGTGAGGGAGGTCTGGCCATCCCGATTTGGCTTCCCTGTGGGTAAGTAATATATTAGATATGGATGCTAAAGGGGGAACTCCAAAAAGTTGTTTGAGGGTTTTTGTGTCCTGTTCTTTTTTTCTAATGATCGGGGGGTGTCCAATTGCCCTTTAAAAAAATCAACCACTGTTGGAGGCAACCCCTCCCAAGAAAAAGACAAGAGAACAACCACCGCCCTCCAAAAAAAACAAAACCACAAAACCACACAAACAGGACGGGTGTACGAAGTCAGTTTTTCGCCCGACCCTTCCTGCTGCACCCCTCGAAACCCACCCACTCCATCCCCCGCGCCGTGCAGGCCAATGCCGCCGCCGACAGCAACACCACCGGCAGCCACCCGCAGCTCAGGTCGCACATGCCGATGGGCGTCCTGCCGCGACCAAAAGCTCACCAAACACATAGCGGTTGCCCACCATCCACGGCAAAGATCTCGATTTTGCAGCACACAAAGGGCTCATTGGAACCCGCCGGTGGCCAACGAACCAATTGCCGCCAGCTTTTTTGGCGGGGTCATGCCCTGCATGCGATCGCAACCCATCCATTCGAATGACACGAATGCAAACAGCTGGTGGGCATTTTAGTCAAAGGCGAAGGCGCGCAAATCCCGGCTTCATCCACACAGTTCACCCCTTCCCACAAATAAGCAAGGGAAAGCGACAGCCTCATTTGGGGGTTCCTTGGGATACCAACTTGGTCCCTCAATAGCGAGGAGCTGCCCACTTGCTTCTTACTAGCTTGGCTTATTCAAGGGTATTTTCGGCCATGGGTTTGTGTACTGCCTCATTAGCTTCTGTTGGTGGTATAGCATCCATATCTCCAAAAACCATACCTGAAAGTGCCTTTAACAGGTTCATGTGCATTTGGAGTGTAAAGTGGTGAGGGGTCTGAGGGTAATGCCTGCTGTTGACATGTCCAAGGATATGCTATAGTTACCCTAAATATTACACGTGTATATATATATATATACAACTAACTCCCTGAATGTCATATAAGCATACACGAAATACAAAAACAACACAACCAAACCAACACAATCCATATATAAAACAACGAAATCAAAAAAACACAACCAACAAAAAAACAAAATGAGCACTGCGCCCACTTGCGCGCCCAAGCGGCTCCACCTGATGCCCCGCATGTTGCATGAAGGTTAGGCTCACCACCACGCAAATCGACCTGAATGCTCAAATCTCCAGACCCAACACCTCCATTTGCCTAGGTCCTCCAGAGAGGTCAGAATAAGGGTACCAACTTATTTTCTGTATCTATTTTAGTAGGGGAACCCTCCCCCAAAAAAGGGTAAAAGGGCACTACTGGGGGACCTAGTTGCTTAAGTCCCCTGGAAAAAATACTCATATCCGCCGACCCCTTCTCCTCAAATGGGGAGGCGCACGGGAAGGGTGGTTGCAGTACAAGCGCATGGATTAATCTTTGAGGCAAGCATATGACTACTGGCATCATACGGATGCCCATCATCATCATCATCATCGATATGATCCTTCATCATTCTTATCGTCAATATCATCATCATCATTTCTATATCCTTCAACATCATCATCCTCGTCATCATCCTTATTTTGTGATTTACGTTTCAATTGTGGCGTTAGAGAGGGTTTGACATGCAAAAGCTGCGTGGACATGATGATCATGATGACTGCCCCCCCCGGCCCCTGAAGATTGGGGCTTAACGCCCCGCTCTGGCCCATTGTAGCTGCCACACAGGGGACTCATTTAGGCTTGGGCGCAGGGGGCGCTATCTCAAAAAATGAGCCCCTTACTTTTCGGCACAAGGAGTGCTAGGGATACTGGGCCCATGGGGTAAGTCTCGGGCCGCCCTGGTGATGCCGAGGATGCTACGTTAGACAGCATTGGCAATGCAGAGGATGCTACAACGATAGTTATGATCACAGTCCTCATCCTTATCATCACTAGCATCAGGTCATCATCATCTCTTACTAGCCGGCGCTGGTGATGCCGAGGATGCTACGATGATAGTTATCATCACAGTCCTCATCCTTGTCATCATTATCATCATGGTCATCATCATCTCTTATTAGCTGGCACTGGTGATGCCGAGGATCATCGTCTCTTGGTTCATCATCATCATCACGGTGCTCATCATCATCAGCTTCTTCGTCATCGTCCTTATCTTTTTTATATACGTTTCAAGTGTCCCGTTAGACCCGATTTGAGATGCAGAAGATGCGCGGACATGATTATCATGATGACTGCTGGTGATGCTGAGGATGCGTCATGATGATTATCATGTCAGTTCATCATCATCATCATCAGCATCATCACGGTGCTCATCATCATCATCTTCTTCGTCATCGTCCTTATCTTTTTTATATACGTTTCAAGTGTCCCGTTAGACCCGATTTGAGATGCAGAAGATGCGTGGACATGATTATCATGATGACTGCTGGTGATGCTGAGGATGCGTCATGATGATTATCATGTCAGTTCATCATCATCATCATCAGCATCATCACGGTGCTTATCATCATCATCTTCTTCGTCATCGTCCTTATCTTTTTTTATATACGTTTCAAGTGTCCCGTTAGACCCGATTTGAGATGCAGAAGATGCGCGGACATGATTATCATGATGACTGCTGGTGATGCTGAGGATGCGTCATGATGATTATCATGTCAGTTCATCATCATCATCATCACGGTGCTCATCATCATCAGCTTCTTCGTCATCGTCCTTATCTTTTTTATATACGTTTCAAGTGTCCCGTTAGACCCGATTTGAGATGCAGAAGATGCGCGGACATGATTATCATGATGACTGCTGGTGATGCTGAGGATGCGTCATGATGATTACCATGTCAGTTGGTGTTCATCATCATCATCTTCTTCGTCATCGTCCTTATCTTTTTTATATACGTTTCAAGTGTCCCGTTAGACCCGATTTGAGATGCAGAAGATGCGTGGACATGATTATCATGATGACTGCTGGTGATGCTGAGGATGCGTCATGATGATTATCATGTCAGTTCATCATCATCATCATCATCAGCATCATCACGGTGCTTATCATCATCATCTTCTTCGTCATCGTCCTTATCTTTTTTTATATACGTTTCAAGTGTCCCGTTAGACCCGATTTGAGATGCAGAAGATGCGCGGACATGATTATCATGATGACTGCTGGTGATGCTGAGGATGCGTCATGATGATTACCATGTCAGTTGGTGTTCATCATCATCATCTTCTTCGTCATCGTCCTTATCTTTTTTTATATACGTTTCAAGTGTCCCGTTAGACCCGATTTGAGATGCAGAAGATGCGTGGACATGATTATCATGATGACTGCTGGTGATGCTGAGGATGCGTCATGATGATTATCATGTCAGTTCATCATCATCATCATCAGCATCATCACGGTGCTTATCATCATCATCTTCTTCGTCATCGTCCTTATCTCTTTTTATGTACGTTTCAAGTGTCCCGAGCCGGCACTGGTGATGCCGAGGATGCTACGATGATAGTTATCATCACAGTCATCATGATTCATCACAGTCCTCATCCTTATCATCACTATCATCATGGTCATCATCATCTCTTGTTAGTCGGCACCGATGATGCCGAGGATGCTACGATGATATACATCATCACAGCCCTCATCTTTGTCATCGTAATCATCATGGTCATCATCGTCTCTTAGTAGCCGGCACTGGTGATGCCGAGGATGCTACGATGATAGTTATCATCACAGTCCTCATCCTTGTCATCATTATCATCACGGTCATTATCATCTCTTATTAGGCAGTACTGGTGATGCAAAGGGTGTTACGATGATAGTTATCATCATAATCATCATCATGATCATCCTTATTATGATGTCATCGCTCTTCTCATCATCATCATGATGCTCATCATCATCTCATTCTTGTTCAAGGGCTGCCGCCCCCTGGATTTAGTTGTGGTTTTCGAGCAACCAAAAACACTGCCCTTGGTTTTGGTTTCTTTGGTTTCTTGCGAATGATGCGTAGTGATGATTATCATCAAGGCAGGACTCCAAATCTCAATGACCCAAATGGCATCTGAGGCGAGGTGCCGTTTCGACAGTGATGCGTAGTCATGATTATGATCATCGCTGCTGGAGATGCTGGGGATGCGTAGTGATGATTATCCTCATGATTGCCACAGATGCTGCGAATGATGCGTAGTGATGATTATCATCAAGGCAGGACTCCAAATCTCAATGACACAAATGGCATCTGAGGCGAGGTGCCGTTTCGATAGTGATGCGTAGTCATGATCATCGCTAGGCACCCTTGGTAATGCAGAGGATGCTACGATGATAGTGATCATGACAGGGATCATTTGTTGCCCAGCAAGTCACAGTCCCTGTTCGTGTCTTCAAAAATGCAAACAAAACCCTGAAATACAAGATTAGCCTTTTGGGGCCACTAACATTTCACCCAAAAGAAACCAAAGAAACCAAAACCAAGGGCACTGTTTTTTGTGGCTCCAAAACCTCAACTAAATCCAGGGGTCGGCGGCACTGGGCGGCAGGCCTTAAATTTCCAGTAGTGATACATTCCCTTTTAAGCTAGTGAACCAAAAAAACAATATTCTTAACCAAATGGAAGAACACGGAGGAAACCAAAAGGTCAGACCTGGTCGGCTTGTCCGAGCATGCTTCCCTTTTGACCCTTTCTATAGCTGCGAACAAACGGAGGTTATACTCATGGTCCTTTCCGGCGATATGACCGTGACCTTACCGAGCTTCCACTTGCGAATGTTCCCCCTGCAGAAAAGCACTCGTATTTCCAGTAACGATAGCTTTCCTTTAAACCCAACAGGGGAAACTCTCTTGGTTGCTGGCAACCCCTTTGCAAACAGTTGTTTACTTGTTGGTCCACTTCGGAGAATCCCAATTGTTTCTTTGCCAAAAGGTGAAAGTCCAAAGATCCGTTAAGCTCTTCGCAAATGACGAAATCAACCAAACGTGTTTCCCACATCTTAAGAGGGGCTTAGCAAGTAAAGACGGGTCAGGTTGCAATGAATTCCACCCCACCACGTCTGATTTTTTGAGGCTCGGTACCCAAGGATCCCCACCATTTTGTTTTTGGGGGGCGCCTTATGCCTTGTTGGGTGTGTCTTCTTTGAGGGCATCCCCTCGGCTTTTTGCGGCTGAAGAGGGAAGCCAAAGGAACACCGCCGGCTGTTTTGAGGGGGCGGGGGCCAAAGAAAAACACACCCGTTTGCCACATGACTTGCACCCACCTTCCAAGACTCCAAGTATGGCTGCAAGGACCGTTTCTTGGAGGCCCTTTTCCGGACCAAGAGCTTTGGGAGAGGGGAAAGGCCCCTTAAACAGAAGGTTAACATGTAGTGTCTCAAAATGTTCTTTTGGCGTTCCCATTGAGAAGGAACCCAAGAATAGCCGACTCCCACTTGCAAAAGCGAACCGAAGAGATCAATGAAGTCGGTCGAATCTGTTTGCCATCGTTCACCCATGTTGACAAAAACCTTGGTCAAGGGTGCAAGAGATGAAGACATCGGTGTGTTGTTGGAGGCCCAATTCCGAGTCAGCGACCCATTTTATGCTTCTGGGAACCAGGTGAATCCATTTTGCGGGGAAGGTGCTGAAGCGAACCCAATCCGGAAAACACGAAGGGGGGACACAATGGCATGTGCAGGGCTGTTGATGGACTCCCGAGAAATCAGACATGATCCTCCCAAGAAGGCTTCAAATCACCACGTCCCGGAATATTCCCCGAACAAGAAACCGTCCAACAGGAACATGTTGACACCTGCTCAAAAATAGAGAGGAGGTATTGATCAGAGGGCGACATTGACCATGAATTCATTGTCGAGGGGATTGCCCCCGGAAAAGTCCAAGGTGCTGCATTCGGCTTCCAGAGGAAGCAAATGGAGCCCTTAGAAAACACAAGCCCTGCGTATTTTGCTTGGGCTTTTTGTTCAAAAACAGGATGGGGCAAAAGACAAAGAAACTCCTGCACTCTGCGCGTGGCACATGCACACGCAGACCGCCAGCATGTTGAGCACGCGAACCCCCGCAGTGTTGGCCGCGCGAACGGCCGCGTCCAGAACCACCACTGGCGTTGCCAGGAGGAGGTGGATTTGAGTCGCCTGAAGTGGGCGACCGGCGTCGGTTTCCCTTCGCTTTCCCATTCAATCCCCCAGTCCCACAAAAATCACATGAGACTATGTATGGGTTTGTGCTATTGAGGGTGTCCTTTTCACACTGCTTTGAAGGGAAACCAAAAGGAACACCACCATTTTGGGGGTCCGATTCTTACTCAAATTCGAAGTCCATTTCGGGGTGTCCAACTCCTTTGTTGAGGTGGGGACCCGAAACAATCGCCTTGAACCAACCCCGCAAAAAGAGTCATTACCCTGAAATGAAAACCGCAAAACTGGTGCGACACATCAAAACAACACCGTCACTTGGTGTCGCTCCAGATCTAAGGGGCTAGGAGGCAGTTGCAGCTCATGGCCATTGCCGCCGCAGCAGCCACGACCTGACGGTCTATGCAGCCAGCTGAATTCCCGCCCAACTCACATGGAACCGTTCGACGTTGAGGACCCGGTCCCTTTAAAAGGAACATGGGCCACACTAACACCCCCCCGAAACGTCAGGCTACTGATGAGGCAACTCACAAGCGAAGCCATAGGCGAAGGGCCAGAAATGGTCCTTAATGGCCTTTGAAGTGTTAAATCATTCCACGCATCCCCGCCTTCCCGTTTTGGCCATGTTTAGATCTAGTCAGCCTGGAGCTTGTGGATTCCGGGCCAGAAAAACGGCCACAAGACTTGTTGCGCTTAAGAAAAAACGACCCAAGTCCCGGAGCTCAGCGGAGCTCTTTGAGCCCGAGGCTGGCGACTGAAAGCCTTGGGCTCCCGTGCGTGGGATCGGCACAGCGCCGCACAGCCGTGCAGCAAGCAGGAGCCCGCCAGGAGGCGCAAGGCCAAGCCGGCCCGGAGGTAAGGGGCGCCTGGGCTTGGCGCGGTGAATCGTGGAGAACCCGAAATGGACACCGAACTTCGGGGATTCGTGGCCGACCACTTTTCAGGCGGTCTTTAAAGGACTCTTCCAGGGCTCTTCAAAAACGCATGGACCCGAGATGGACGTCAGACTTTGGGGATGGCCAATCACTTTTCAGGTGGTCCCCCGTGAAAACTCATGGAAGAATACGGAAAGCCCCCGAAAAGGTGTGCGTGTGTCTGAGTGTCTTTTTCAAAACTGTTTGCAGGTGGAAAATTAGGAAAGCAAATCCAAAGACTGGTACCCCCCCAAAAAAAACATACCCAGTTGCGATTGAGTACCCGGTTGAGGAGGATTCAACCTGCTTTTTGCCGCCCCGGAAACAAACACGGGCCCCCGCTTTTTGCATTCCCCAACCTGTTCTCGTGGGGGCTCGGAAACGAAAAGGCAAACTGGAGGCAACAAACAGCAGGATTGGGGTCGGAAAAATCACGGTTTTGTTCCTTGAGGGCATGTCCAAATACCACCTGCTCCAAGGGGGTCCTCCAAATCAGCTGGGAAAGGTGGTTGCGTAATTGGTTTAAACGCGTTTTCGAAGCGGCCCAAGAGTCATTTAAAATCAGGAAGGTCACGACTGGTTTCATCTCAACCCAGTTGTTAAGAAGCGGGACTTGCGGTGGGCCTGGCCTGGTGTACCGCTGAAGAGACACCTGCGGCTTCAATTCCTGGTGTACAGCTGAAGAGACAACCTGCGGCTTCAATTTACTATACCAAGCAGCTCTAACTTGTTTTTTGACACTTACATTCTATGGGAAGAAACATGACAAAATGGAGGGTGGTCCAATCCCATCCATAACCCCGTTGTGGAACCACTGCCAAATGCTGCAAGGGGTGCGTAACCCCAAGCAAGGATTGAAGAGTTCCTTTGAACAGAGGGAACCAGGGATTCATAAACCCCTGGTTTATTGGAGCAGAACCTGCTCAGGGCAAAGATTGATCAATCCGAGCTCGACCTTTGCTCAAACGGGCCATGACCTTTATGAGTTGGAACCCTCAAAAGTGGTTCATGGACAACAAACTGGCTAAACGATGTCCGCGCAAGGGTCCCTAACTGGGCTGTTCAAAATGGAGGCTTGGCCAATCCTAATCCATGATCCCTTTTTGGAAGCCACTACAAACCCTCCCGTAACCGAAGGTAAGGATCAAGAATTACCTTTGAAGCCCAGCCTAACGAAGCTTTTGGAGAAAAACACCCTGGTAGTAAGCTTCGTTTGATTCATATGGGGTCAACATTAGCGGACAAAGAGCCAACCGAATGATGTCCACCCAAGGGTCCACACGCTTGCCCAAATGAACCAACCTTTGGCGACAAGGACATGCCGGGCAGGGCTCTGGTCATCGACAGCTTGCGCGGCATTATGAGAAAAGCAGCGAACCTTGGAGGCCCAGGCACGTGCAAGCAGAGAAAAAACAAACAAACCAACAAAAAACAGAAACAGAGACACCCCGCTCGTTAAAACAAACTAATAGTAATAATATTAATACTGATAAAAATACCCCTCCCCCAAAAAAAAAACAACTGAAGAAAAGCCCAGCCTTCAGGCTCTTTAAACCTTCTCAGAGGGGTTCTGCTCTATGCCGCAATGAGATTCCTTTTGACAAGGCGCAGGCCGTCTGATGGCTGAAACATGCGAACAATGCGTGGTTGCAACACCCAACCATGTAAATGATGTCCGTCAAAGTGCAGCTAGAAAACAGATTCATACCCACATGTGAAACAAGTCTTCCAAATGGGGTCCCTAAGATGCATCCTAAGAACAGCAGGGGTTCGAAATGGGGTTCCAACAGGGTGCTAAACAAGCAGTCTGCGCAAATAAAACTAGATACCCATGCCCTTTGGGACAAAAAAAACAAAAACACAAAAAAAAAACACAAAGCTCAAACACAAAACAAACAATACATACATATTGTTGTTTCATATATATATATACCGGCTAATTTAGCACCCACATGCACCCACAGAACCCGCTGACCCAATTGGCGTCGAGATACGCGGCCATTGCCAAAGCCCACGCGCCGCGGGCCAACCCCGGCGCCAGGCAGGCCGCGTAGGCGAAGACCAGCTGGGGCGCCCGGGTGCGGGGCGTGAGCCTAAGGCAGTCTAGGTCCTCCAGTAGAGAGGGTACAAAAAGGGTACCCTTCTTTTTCTGTAGTCTATTTTAGTAGGGCAACCCTCCGCCAAAAAAGGGGTGAGAAAGGGCACTGGGAGACCTAGCCGTGATTTTCGGGTTGGCTTGCGCTCTCTCCAGCCAAGAAATGGCCCAAGAAATGCTTCGGTGTCTGGTGGCTGGTGGCTTGCGAAGCTCCGTGTTGCAACCCTTTGCTCCTTTGGCGGAAACAAAAACAAAACGAGATATCCCCTGCTCCTTTGCTCGTCCCCGAAAGCGAGCCGGACAAACAACCCACGTCTCACTTCCTGAGTGGAGGCAAAACAATCTTATGGTTTGCCGTTTGCCCCAAAAATGGTTTCCTGTCCAAAAAAGCAAACCGCGTCTTGAGCATCCATCAAGTCCAAGAAGGTGGGTGTGAGTTTAATTTAGGTGAGGGTTCATGTCCATCAACCTCTTGTGCTGTGGCTCCAACTCTTGGAATCATCGCCAAAGTCGACATTCTGACAGGCGTCCAGCTCTGGAACACGCCGCTCCAATCAGCGCCGGACGTCCCTGGCCTCCGGAGATGCGAATTCATTGGCGATGAACAAATTCCGCCGACCAAGTTGGTAGGTGGAGTCATCCCCAGTATGTTTTTGTGAGTTTTATCTGTCCCAGCAGCGAAGTGGATGTTGTCCATGCGCAGCGTGAGTCGTGCGAATGTCAAGACTCCTGCATATCTCGGTTGCTTTCTGCTCCCCTGCTAAAAGTTTAACTTTTAGTGGTTTAGTGGAAAACCCATCAGTTGGCAAAAAGTTAAAGTCCTAACAGCCAAGCAAAATGCACCAAAGATATGGTCTTCCTCTTGGTCTTCCTTCAAAATTGTCCTTTCCATTCGGCCTTTCCACTTCTCAAAAATGGCGCTGGCATGCGATGGCGCTCACTACACGTGATTCACGACATCGAGAGGACTAATAACTTCGTCTACATGTGGGGGAGTTGTTTCGCAAAAACAACATCAAACGCTCAAAACAGCCTGAAAACAAGCGCCAATCAACTAGTTGGTAACCCCTTTTTTAGGTCAGAATGCCATGCCCTGTTTCTATCTTAACCTCTAACAACTTGGCGCCTGCGTTGGCCTGTTTACTGTTTCCAAGCAGGCCAAGTGTGGAAACTATTTATAGACCTGCAGAAGATACTTATAAACACGCAGAAGCTATTCATAAACATGCAGAAGCTACTTGTAAACACGCAGACGCTATTTTTGCGCATGTGAAAGCTACTTATACCTTGGAAACGGCTTGCAAACACGCAAGCAATGTTTGCAACACTACTTAAGCAGGGCTTCAACCAGCAGTCAGCAGCAATGAAACCTCAACAAACTATGCGCACAACCGCTGACACACCCAACAGCCTAAGCTCGGCGGTTGATAGATTACAGTATGTGGCTTGGTGAGTGTGACTATGTCCCATTGCTTCACCTGCGCTGCGCAGCAGATTTGAGCACTAGGCTGCAAAGCTCATTGGTGCGCAACAGATGCTCAAACCTGATTACCCTTCAGAACCTTGGGCTTCGCAAATAAATAAGGTGACCAGGCAGTGACCGCAACTTAATGTTCACCACCGGCGTCAAGAGCACGATTCCACGCATGGTATGTAGGCATTGACATTGCGCAAGCAGTCCCTCGAACATTTTGGCACGGGTCATAAATATGTCACATGTGTTGCGTTTTATGCTATGATCTGGCGCTTGCTGCTTGCCGGCTCACCTTAGGGCATCGGCAAAGCGCGCGACAGGTTGTGCTCTTGTATTCCGTTTGGCGCGTCTTTGGAGTACTGCAGCTACGCTATGTTGAGGTTTGGTACGTCTCCGCGAACTCCGCCGTGTTATGCCAGCTTTAAACCATCCCATGCCACGTGCTTTGCCTGTGTGTTCTAGGTGTTCAATGGGTTCACTTGCGCCGTGAAGACGGGGGGTCAAATCACATCATGGAGCTGCCCAGATACAATAATCAACTTATTGCAAGCCAACGTGTTGGCTGCCCACGCATAGCTTTGCGACACTATGTTTTAGCTTTGTGCTGCATAGCTGCTGCATCCTTAAAATCGCAAGAATCGGTTGGGCCCGCTTTCAACTGATTGACTCTCACGCTAGCCTGCGATAACTTCAGAGCGGTAAACATTTTTTCTGAGCAAGCCTCCAAAGATCGCAACGGTTCCGCGTTATAAATAGTTCACGACGGTTCAGAACGGTTACGAACTATTTGGGCTCAATGGTTTGATAATAGTTCGTAACGGTTCGGAGCGGTTGCGAACTATTTATGCATCCAGAAGTGTCCGGAACTGTTTGGAACTATTTGGAACTATTTGGAACTATTTGGAACTATATGGGCTGGGTCGCACAAATAGTTCGCAACGGTTTCGAACGGTTGCGAACTATATGTAAAGCATGGCCACAAATAGTTCACGACGGTTCCAAACGGTTACGAACTGTCTGTGACGCATGGCTACAAATAGTTCACGACGGTTTCGAACGGTTACGGACTATATTTGAAGCATGGCCATGAAATAGTTCGCGACGGTTCCGAACGGTTACGAACTATGTTTGAAGCACGGCCATGAAATAGTTCACGACGGTTCCGAACGGTTACGAACTATGTTTGAAGCACGGCCGCAACTGGTTTACGACAGCTCCGAACTGTCAGTGTCCAGCCGAAAATGGTTGAATAATAAGTGCCAGACATTCTGAACACTCGCAGCAGGTCTCGGCAATAATCTCAAGACTGCTTGGCGCGCTCGTCGACGCTACTTCTCTATTTCGACGCCAGCTCGTCACGGAACTGTTTTCTTGGGCACCTTGGCCAACTGTCCATGATAACGCGGAGCCACGGGCCTTTCAATTTCTAAGACGATTCGAGCTTGAATGATTGAAGCAGCTAGGGGTGGCGTTGCGTCAGTGATGTGATTCTTCGGCGCGCGGCCTTTTTTTCCCAGGCTTCAACGCGGATTGCTAAGCCGGGTGTCCGCACTCTGCGAATAACAGGGTTGGCGAAGGCGTGGTGATCATTGCTCGGGTGGCAGCTACATTTGGGCATTATCCCTTCCAACGTGACCCATTCCACGCTTGACTAGTTCACGTTTTCGGGCAGGGGTGGCGTTCGTCGCTTGGGCTCCAGCTGGGTAGGCTGGGAGCCAAGGCCTGTGTTTCCAGCCTAGCCCCCTTTCATAAATAGTTTCCAGCCTTTTATAAATAGCTTCCAGTCATTTATAAATGGCTTCCAAGCATTTAGAAATAGTTTCTTCATTGTTTTGAGAAGGGGGCTTGAAAACAAACGGCTCGCGTAAAACCCCGTCTGGATACGTGATGGCCGGAGCCAGCTGATGGGCGGCGCAGTCCCCCTGCTAGTCCTGCCAGCGCTGCCAGTCCTTGGCAAGTTCTCCAGCTGTGTCGGCCAGTCCTTTTGTCCTGGCCAGACCTGTGCACACCTTGCGTGGCGCAGGTGGAAGAGCAATCATCACGCCCTCACCCCCTCCCACGGATGATCAATGAAAGCCACAGCCATGCCCTCGCAGCGCTTGTAAGGCGAGTCCCAAAACCAAAGTCTTAGCGCTGTTGGCGAAGGACTCAGGAACGTTTGGCAACGCGATGATAGTGAGGATGATGGCGGTTGCTGGAACGTCGAAAGTTAAGACGAACCTAGACGTGAGGCGATGCACTCTGCGGCACAGAGGACTTGGCCGGACAGCGAGCTTACTTCAGTAACTTATTGCAATAAAGGGAGGGGGAAGAGCAGTCAGCAAACAGGAGTAGGTTGGCACCTAAAATGCAAAATGGGTGAACATGTCATACAAGTAGTATATAATTTCCAGGCATCGTCCTCAGCATTCATTTCTCCTTGAGTTGTGGCGATTTTGGTGGCCCTGCTTATCCAGGCTAAGTATTCAACAGCGGTTGGGCGCTTGCGGGCCTCTCACAACATCCATCCACACTGCGCTGAGTGAGCATTTGCTTGTTGCTAGCTTTTCAAAGCAATTGAAGAAAAGTCGTGGCGCAGTCATGAAAGCCCAGGCCCTCAGTAACAGGGCCGGAATCACTTCCAGCCTATTCTAGCTAAGATGGTCTTGAGAAGGAAACTTGTGGGGCCTGCAGCCTGCAGGCTAGCCGTGCCAAGAGAATAGGGGAAGATGACCGCCAGCAAGTGTCGTGAATGCGTTGCACGAATGATGCATACTCAGACTCCAAGGATTTGTAGAGAAGTTGCTTGTGTGATTGTTACAGAAAGGCTTAGCAGTCAAGGGAGTCATTTTCTCCTTTTTCTTCACGATCCTTACTTAACCACCAATCATGAGTTTCGACGGAAGGCCTTTTAACCCGTACGTCAGAAGTCCCGAAGCATGTCACACAGAGCAAGTAGATCAGGCCTCCGCAGCAACACGACTGGAGCCTTCTCGCCCAAGCAAGCGGCTGTTGCTGGGCATTACATAGGTCCATCAGCGCGCTGAGTGGCAGTGTTAGTTATGTTTGTCACGAGTTTCGCCATTTGTATCATCACGCATGGTCGCGCGGTGTGTAAGTTTCGCCGCACTGGTCCCTGTGGTTTGGGTACAACCCCACTGGATACAATGTCACCTGAGCTCAATAGAGCTGGGCCTTTGGGAGCTGGAGGCGCTAAGAGGCCAGATCTGTCAGCGAGGTAATTGACGCAAAGTGCAGTGATGACAATGATGACGGTGGCGGTGCTGAAGTTGGTGGTAACTTGGTGCAGTGTGGCAGTGACAGTTGCGGTGGAAGGCTTTTTGCAGGGGTGTTGTCCGCAGTGGGGCGTTGATGGTAGTGAAAGGTAGCAGTCATTGAGGTTCAAAATGTTCTCTGCGCTGCTGGCGGTGGCGACAGTGGTACTCGCGGGCATGTGTTGGCTAGCCAGGGAGTAGTGAAGGTACTGGACGTGGCGCTGGTGTCGAGCCAGTTCTCCACGGAGGGCGCGTTTGTGTTTACATCGAACGACCTTTCTTACATCCGGCCCTTGTCGCCCTGTCCTGTTTTAGTTTTGTGTGAACCTGCTGTTCCCTGAGCGCAAACATGTGCTGCAGTTGCACGCGTACAACACGCCATCCAAACTACAGCTTGCAAGCAGCTGTTGTCCAAACCAGCCTGAGAGTGGAACTAGCTCTAAATAGTTCCAAATGATTCCAAAGACACCTCCAAATAATTCCAAATGGCTCCAAATAGTTCTGGGGGGTGGTTTCAAGTAGTTCCGTGCATGTTATAAATAGTTCCCAGCCATCTATAAATAGTTCCCAGAGATTCATAAATAGTTCCCAGAGATTTCTAAATAGTTCCGGCCATGGTGGGTTCCCAAAACAGAAAATGGGTTTAAACAGGCCAACGCAGCCGCAAACTAACAACATTCAAACGAAACATCACCATTTTGAGGGGCCCGCATGATTTTGTTCTGCATATCTTAAACATGATTTGGTCTACGTGACCAGGATGTCAAGGGACCAGTCACGGGTGTCTTTCACCAGAGGCCTCCGAAGACCCATGGGAACAACTCCCCAGGCGGTCCAATACCAAATTGCCCAAAGGACCTGGAACTAAAAGGTGATCACCTTTTGGGGTCATGACTAGATATGGACCAAAATAGAAAAAACAAAAGGTGAGAAGGTTGATTCGCTTTGAAGAACTGAGAATATGAAACGTTCAATGTTCCTTCCTTCTCGAGCTCCAATTCTTTGTGGGGATCCAAAAGTATTGAGACCGTTTCAATGCAACAGTCACCCGATGTTCGGAAGAAACGCCAACTTTTTGGGCTCCCAATTCCCAACCTCCCCCCCCCCCACTGCTTCACCCAGAGCCGAATGGTGGCCTCTGAAAGTGCCAGGGCCGCACAAAGCGCCAGACCTGTGCTGCCCCCTCAAGCAAATTCACCTTTGCAGGGGTAGCTCAGTTGTTCAGTGACCCTGGAAAAACAGGGAACCCATTTTTGGGAAGACCATGTTAGTGGGGCAGCCACCAAAAAAAGGAAAAAGGGAGCCACTGAACAAGTGAGTTAGTGAACAGACTACAAATTCCCAAAAAGTTAACCATGCAACATGAGCCAACATGTTGACCCCAGATTCATGTATTAATCGGAGGGCGTTCCCTTCCAAAGGTGATGAACTCCGACAAAAAAAGAAAACACTCCCCTCATGGGTGTCTTCCCAAAAAGGACGAGGTCCCGCACCTCCTGTGTCGGATTGCTCTGGTCTGAGGGCGTGACCACAGTAACTAATAATGTCCGAAACGGAACTCGGGTGGCAGCACCAAGAAGCTAAGTTGAACTGGACATACAAGGTCTTACAAGTTGTTCCCCCTTTGGAAACTTAGGGACCTGGAATAATAGATGGTCTAATTTGCAAACTTGACTACCACAACCTTGATCTTCCAGGGCCCCGAAAAAGCAGGCCTTTGGCTGATTTTCATTTTTCATCCAGCAAAATCCAGAAGGACTCTGTGTTTTGCGGGTCAAGCCTTGGGAGACCAAGGCAAGGTCAAAGGTGGAAGGTTACCGAAATGGTAACTAAACCCAAAACGTGCAGCTAAAGCTAGGGCGTGAGAAAATTGCCGCGGTGGAGTGGGGGAATCCAAGCAAAAGGATGGCAACTCAGAAACTCGGGAACTGAGACAACTTGGACAAACGAACAAGCGGGGATACGGAAGGAGCGGGGATATGGGGGATTCCCTTGGCGCCATTTCCCATCTCAAACTTGGTCAAGGTGCATCAAAACAGGGAATCCTCCCGTATACCTGGTTATTCCTGTCTTGGTTGACGTTGGAGGGGAGCAAAAACTCGAATTTTATCCCTTCAGTGGTTGGTTCCAACCACTAAACCACACAAGCAAAAATGTAAAATGTGTCCCAACAACAACCATGTTCCGCTGCCCAAACCACCATCCACATGATTCAAGAAGACTTTAGACTGGTAGATGGGACTAGTGGTTGCCACGGTTCGTTCCCAGAAATGCAACTAAACTGCCACGTGACCGGTGGGTTTATGTCCGGCTGTATCCCTTGGTTTCCCTGATCGACAATGATCCTAGAGAAGGGAACCTCTTAGGGTGAGGAGCTGACCCCAAGATTCCCCAGAGTTCCATCAACTGTTCCCTTTATATGCCAAAGAAACAAACCACTGAACCAAAAAGCAAGGGGCGAGGCCCAAGGCCGCCAGCAGCGCCAGGGGCGCCAGTGAGGCCAGCAGCGTCGCGGGCTCCGGGCGCGCGCAGCTGCTGGAGCCCTGCGAAGTCGAAGGAAAAAAACCGACCGAAAGAGCGGTAAACCTGCTGGCCACCCGACACAGCGGAGCTTCTGCCCCCAAAAAGGGAAAGGCGCGGCGCGTAAAAAAGCTACACCAACCAAGGGAACCTCGAAAAAAGAGCGGTCCTAGATGGCCAAGTTGCCGCTTTTCAGTCACTGTTGCTGGTTTTTGGGGCAAAGTGCATGGAACAAAAGCTTTGGAATTCTCAAACCATGAAAAAACCATGGGGGGACGGGTTGATACAAACCGTGAAAATGGGGGGGGGGGGGGGTGAACCCCCCCCGGACAATGGGCCAAAACATGGAAAACCGGGGGGGGGGGGGGAATATAGAGAGCGTCCGGGGCCGTTCTGTTGATGTAATCATCGCTTTAAGGAGTTTCATCAGAAATATGGTCGGCCCTTCTTTTGATGGGGGTTGAACTCTAGGATCGTCGGCCCCCGAATAAAGCTGCATTTTGAAAGCATGTTCAATGTTCGCTGAAAAGGAAGCCCGTGACCAAAACATAAATTTGACATACGGAGGTTCAGGGCACATGGAGTTTGACATTTACCTGGGCGCAAACACAATTTCACTGAACGAAGTTTGGCATCTCACAAACTCATGCAACTCACAACATGCAACGGGATATGAAAACGCATGAAGCCTGAAATGGGTTCCCAAGTTGCAAGACTCTGCTTAGCTCCCAGAAGCAACTGGGGGTCGATTCCCAAACTAATCTAGCGCAGCAATTAAGAAATGGACACAACATGGAACATTGGTCCGCTTTGCTGGGCACCTCCTTTTTGGCAAAAAAAAAGGAAAGCTGAAGCCATGTGTTTTTTCTTTTCTTTTTTTTTCCCGCGGCAAATCCGGGGGAATCCCCTGGCAACCGCGAGCCTTGCCACTGGACCAGCCCTCGGGGCATGGCTTGCACACGAAGGACCCCAAAGGTGAGAAGTGGCCAGGGGCGCACAGCGAATCCTCGTGGGCACGGTAGAGGTCCTCACGGGCAGTCACCGTCCATTTGCGGCTACGTCCCCCCGAGCTGGAGAAAGCAAGCACGGGGGAATAGCAACAAATACATGTCTGCAAATGGAAGCTAGTCCTTACAAGCATACTCCCCTGATTAACATGGAATCCATGCTTGCTCCAGAAGCAGATTCCCCGGCCAAGGCTGGCTTGGGTTGCACGTTAAGCTGCAGTGTTCCAAATGCCAAAGGGACCCTCCAAATCAGTTTGCAAAGGTGAGTTTGTTCACCGGCCCAACTGCGCTCCTTTTCTGGGACCGGAATCGCGCCGAAACCCTCCGCGCTGTTTTCAGGAATGCATCTACAAGGGAAAGAAAGGTCCGGGGTGGTTCACAACAACCATGCAACCTGCCACTCAACCCCCCCCCCCCCGATGTTGATGATTTTTGGAAAGGGCGCCTGGTTGAGTGACTGAGTGGCTGGCAAAGATGCAAAACATGCTTCCCAACAACCACCATGAATTTTGTGATTTCCCCTCCCACCAGCTAGCATCGTTTTTGTTGCGCACAGACCGCAGAAAGACGACTTGCTCCGTGACTTGGCGTTTTTTTGCACCTCCCATGTTTCCCAATCACAACCGGGATCCTTACATTATACGCTTGAACATTGCGACTTGTAAATGTGGGTTTCCAACTTGATTTTGGTGTTGAAAAATCAAATGGTTGCAAAAAGTGGTTTTTTAAGCAACATGTTTCAAATGGTTGCAAAATGCATTTCTTTTAAGGAGCCCTGTGCAACCACGCTGTATCCCCGCCAGGATCTTCGCCCAAGCGGCCAAGCCCAGCAGCAGGCCATCCTCCCCCACCACGCCGACGCCTGACTCAGCTGCAGCGGCCAGGCCCATCGAATCGGGCCCGGTTCGAAGGGAAACTGGGGAGCGCAAAAAGGGAAAACCGCTTTTTGGGGGGTTCCCGAATTCTGGGCTCAAATCCCCCGCTGAAAGTTCAACTTTTGGTGGGTTAGATGCGGAAATCCAACTAAACACCAAAGAAAACAAGCCAAGGAACCGGATGGCTGGGAGCCACCAAGTTAAAACAGGGATCCTTACATATCTTACATTATACACCTGAGCATTGCCTTGTCAATGGTGGTTTCACTTTATTGTGGAAACAGCCATGTTTCAAATAGGCAAAATCTGTATCTTTTAAGGAGCCCTGCTAACACAAATCCGTTTGGGAGCTGTTTCACCTTCACCTTCAGTTCCAGCCGGTCTGCTGATGGACGGCATCGCGGGGTCCACGGCCGTGACCGGCAAGCGGGCCAACTCCTGGATGACATCCTTTGGGTCGAAGGCAAAGACGTAGAGCAAGTTGATGTCCTCACGTCTAGGCTGGAATTAGGACCCCATTTGAGAACCTATTTTTGTGGTTGGATTAGGATGTTCACTGGGGGTACGGGATTTTGAGCCACATGACATGGGTGCATCCCTCCTACCTTAGGGAGGAGGGGGTAGGGAGTCCCCCGATTCCATTTTTATCTAGTTTTGCCCATGAAAGGAAAATGGAGCTATAAATTGAATTGCAGGGGTCACCACCCTCCCCCAATTCCATTCTTAAGGGGGCGGGGATATGGGTTCCAAAGAAACCAATCAGCCAAGGTGGCATCCCCAACGGAATCCGAGCCTTCAGCGGGGGAAACACATAGAATGTTGCTTTTCGTTTTGGGAAAGCAAGGATTCAGCGCCATGAAATACCCCGCACGAGCAACCCTCCTGCGACCCGAAAAGTAGAAAAAGGCTTCAACTCCTTTTTGAGCTGATTCCAGCTTTGACATGGGAAAAAAACACGGCGATAACAAGAAGCACTGGGCTTTGGAGAAAAATAATCCAGTGGTTGGGTGATCAAGCGGGGGCGGTTGCCCAAACAAAGCCAAGGCCACCAATCTGAAGGCGATGTTGGACGCTTCAAGCAAAGATGGCTAGGTCCTCCAGTAGAGAGGTCAGAATAGGGTACCCTTTTTTCTGTAGTCTATTTTAGTAGGGGAACCCTCTCCCAAAAAAGGGGTGAGATAGGGCACTACTGGGAGACCTAGATGGAGGTCACCTCAAGCGATTAGATGTCCATTTGTTTGACACGGAAAGCCGCCTCTACCAGGAGCCAGCGCAAGGTGGGGTGCACAGTTCCAAGAGAAGCAGTACTTGAATGGCTTCCATCAAGGGCTAACATCTCGCTTCCTGGGTTGACTGGCCCAAACAACGTCCTGGGTTCTTTCTGATCTAAAACGTGGCAAGCAAACCAACAAACAGTGAGGCAAGTCCGAGTTCCGGGTTCAGCCAGAGGCTCCCACTGCGTCCACTACCAATCCAAGGCCGAAAAAACAAATCTGCTGGACACAGAAACCTTCCTTTGTTCAACACGCATATCGCAAATCGCCAGCAGAACCCCTCTCCCCTTCTCCACACCCAGTACTTCCCTGACATCCAAAAACAGATAGGACAAGCCCCAAATGCAAATGGCCCCCTCTCTAGGCCGTGAAAAGCCTTTGGTGCAACAGGCTTGTGGATAAAGGGGTCGGCTTACGGGTCCCTCAATCCTCCAACAGTCAAACATTTTGGAGGGCTTGCCGATTCAATCGGTGCCCATCCTGGAAAAACGAAGCCGGAATAAGGGTGGCTCTGGTGCTTAACGTGCTGGACACCCAGTCAATGAGTAAAAAGTTCGTTGACCACGGGAACGGTCTCCTCATTTCCTTTGCCTAAATGACAAGGGGAAGCCTCACAACATCTCACAACATGCTGGTATAATGGTATAGCTTTTGGCTGCCAGCCGAACCGGGACACAAGGAAAATCAGGGAACCACAAGGACCACCCCGAAAAAAAACGGCCCACTCTCATCTAAGGCATCCTTCTTTCAGCCAAAGCGAGCATGCTGAGCCAAGGGGCTGTAGCCACCTGGTGGGAAAGCGAAAGAAACACAGGGTCTAGGTCCTCCAATAGAGAGGTTAGAAGAAGTTGGTGCCTGCTTTTTTTCTGTCGTCTATTTTACTAGAGGAACCCTCCACCAAACAAGAAACGGTAAAAGGGCACTACTGGGGGACCTAGGGGTTGTCCAAAACTTCTGGCACGATAGACCAAACTAAATCCTAAAGACCAGCCAGGGACTCCCCGCTGAAGTACGGCGAGCGCCAAGCTAGAGATTTACGATTGGGTGCCAAGCCCCGTCTTTCCCAACGCCTCAAGCCCTAAGGCCAGAGTTTCGGGAGCAGGGGCAGAGGTCATATCCTATAATTAATTTCCATTGGGAAATGAACAAGATGCTGATTGAAGCAGCTTCACTACAGTGGACGAAAACCTGCACCTCTTTGAAAGCATGGGAAGCCATTGTTTGTTGGTATGTACAGGGGGAATCATCATCCCATGGTTTCTTAGATGGTGTGAAATGGGTTTCGCAGCCATCCACAGTATAAATGGGCTCAACATGTCGAAACGCTGCGCTACGTGGTGCAATTTGGGGTGGAAGTCCTTTGGCAGTATCCCTGAAGCCCGTGCGCGAAGGTCAGGGTCGAATTTGGTGCAGCATGCAGGGCAAAACGCATGCTTTTCGTAGGAAGGGGGGTTCGGTTGTGGGAATGTATGGGTTCCCAAAGCTTCCTACACCCGCAGTTACGAAGGTTACGGAGGTTTTGCGGGGATCCTTTGGGGGCCATGGATGCTAACCCCGTTTACTTAAGCATGTTTCGCCGCAAAAGGTGTAAACCAGCTTTCAGTTTCCCAGCAAGGCCACACCAAACGGCTGCTTCCCAGCGAAAGCCAACAGCTGGTTATCCTTGGTTACGTTGGAAGAGAAGCAAACAAATAAGTCTTAGCAGTTAAGTGGTTGGATTCCAACCACCAAACCACAAAAAGCAACAATTAGTGAAAAATGTGTCCCAACACCCCATGGTTCGATTTTTTCTCGGCGGTTTGGCGCCCCGGGCCAGGAGATATCCATCGAGGATCTTCAGGCTGAAGACGGGGCCGGGCACTTCGAAGCGGTGCCGGAGTTCGAGTCTGCCGCCGTTCACCGTGAAGAAGATCAACTCGGGGCGCCCATGGACCCCGACGAAACCCGCGCGCTCGTCTCTGGAAAGTGCGCTGACGCGGGGGATTAAAGGTGATCAGCATGTTTGGCTTGGAAATTGGTGGTTTGGAGGCTGGAGGCTGGTTGCTCTTCTTGTTTGGTTTCATAGGTCAATTGGACGTAAATCTGATGGCAAAAAAATGTGGAAAACACACACAGTTTTGCTGATCGGCCCAAATCTAACCCTCCCACCAAACATGGGTTTGTGCGCAAACCCCTGCAGAAAAACGACTTTCGGGCCTCTTGTTAGCTTCCATGTTGGTTGGTGGGAGGGTATCCTTCAAATTCCTTCAAGGGGCCCAGGATATCCAAGGCCAACTTCCTGCTTGGCCCTGTCAGGCAGGGCTCCAGATTGGTCTGTTGTCAAAACTCGGGGGGGGAGCAGGACTGACTCAGAGCCATTGCAAATTGAAGGATGCAATGGCCTGTGACCTCCGTGGTCCTTTCTTTTTGTCGCTTATAAACACTACTAGCTTCCAATATCACCCCTGATCAGCACTGTGAACGAGTTCATGCTTGAACAGGACGTCACAAAGGGCTCCTGAATGTCATCAAATTCTCACTTGCCTATAGCTAGTAGACCCGGAAATAAAAAGGTTGACCTTTGGAATCTTTACTATGGACCACATCAGGGAAACCAAAAGGTGAAAAGGTCGACTAGCTTTGGTTGCAAGTGAGAATTGGTTCAACCCTGGAATGATTCGATTCCCTGAAAATACAAATGAACGTGATGGTTTCAACCATGCATGCTTAGGCCATCCACCCTACCATGGGTTAAGTGGGGAATCAAACCACTTTTGGAGGGGGAGCCACCCCCCTAGTAATAAAATGGGAGTCAGTCAAATTCATATCCGCAGCATCATGGTCAACCCAAAGGTCAATCATGGTTGAATGGTTGACCCCATGGTTGGCATGGTTCCGATTTACCCTCTACAAAAGCCAGGGGTTCAAATCTCCAAACCATTCAATCCACCCATCCAAACCACCAATTCAGGGTAACCTGTAATCTTGGTTGCTGTTGACCCCCCTGCAAAAAGTGGATCACTTTTGTTGGGTTTAGTTCGGAAAACCCACCTTGATTTCAACCAAAAAGTTAAAGTCTAAAGATCCGTTGCCCAATAGCAGTCAAGGTGAACCCTTGATTGGATTGGCGAATGAACTGTGACATCTGTCTCTCAAATGAGCATGTCAAACCCCCCGCGGGGCGCCACGCTTCATGGGTAACCTGTAATAATCTACATATCTATTTCAAGTTGTTCTTTTTGAGTCGCTGTCCATGTTAAGCCAATTGGAGGGAAGCTGATGTCCAATGGCTGGTCAAAAATAGGTACCCGGCAACCCCAAAATAATTTGCCTTGGAAAGTCGAATGGACCAAAACCTGTGGTCTCCTGGTGGACCACCTGTTGTCCAATTCCTGGTGGTTTAATTTTGATCCATGCCCAAATTGGGAAAACCCCGATTTGTTTTTGCTGATAGGCCTCTCCGGACTGATCTGCAGCGATCCATCGCCCCCAGGGGTCCTGCACAAAGTCCCAGACCGCGCCTGGCGAAACGACCCTCCGACCCAAGCGACCGGGTTCGCGGGTTGGGACGTCCAGATTGCCACAGTGTGGGGCCAAGTGGTGCGGGTTGCTTGACACCAGCTGTTTGCTGGACAGGAGATGAACTTGTGGCTGAAAATTAAACAGGAGGGGCGCGGGTTTTGGTCCATGTTTCCACTTACCAAGGTTCCATTTTGGTACTGTTTTTTTGAGCCGCAGCCACTTGTGAAATTTGGACCTTGGGGCCATTTTCAGGGGAAACATTGTCTTTCAGGACCTTTGGGATCAGTAATGTTGCTGGACAAGAAGGTAACCTGTTGTGACCGAAAAAGAAATCAAGGTAAAAAGGTCGGTTCCATTTAAAGGGGCAACCAAACCAAAGGCGATAAAACAAGCCTTGGGCAAACCAATGGAGACGTCGCCCTCAAAAACAACCATCCAACTCTTCGGGCAGCCCCGATGCTTAACTGGGCAAAACGTTCTGCGGGCAACATCCTCGCTCGTGGAACCTGCTTTTTCTGGTTCAGGAGAGACCCCTCTAAAGGGAGCGGGCAGGGAGCCCTAGCATGCTCTGGTGGTTTCTTTGCGGCGTCCCTGGAAAAACCCGCCAAAGAACAAGAGTCCCTCACAACAGAGACTCATACGATAGCTTGGGAGACAAAAAAAAGGTGCGAGAGTTGAGTCAAGACGCGGGTCAATGACTTTTTGGTTGCCAGCAGCCTGTGCCTCCATCCTCCAACCATGCACACTGACAGAGGTGTGCGAAGACGAGTTACTTCTTGGGAAGCCTCGCGGGAATTGCTGCCACCCAAAAAAAGGTCACCTGCACAGCACGAGCTGCCGTGCTCTTCAGGCAGAACCGCATGACCTAAGAAACCCTAATATGATCTAGGTCCTCCAGTAGACAGGTTTGAATAAGGGTACCCTTCTTTCTGTAGTCTATTTAAGTAGGGGAACCCTCCCCCCAAAAAAGAAACGGCTAAAAGTTGTCACCTAGCTGTGGGACCCAGATGATGATACCCCAGCTAAACCATGGCTTCGCCTGGTTTCAACTTTGGGCGAAATGGAGTTCGCACCCCGCGAACTCCAAAAAAATCAATGCTCCCCAATCCGAAGCCTTGAGAGCTTTGCAAGGGCTCCCGTCTCACTTCCTGAGCGCATGGAAGTAGAACAAGTCCAAACTGGTTTACCACTACGGTCCAAACTCCAAACCCCAAATTTCATAGAAACCAGCAGGAAATTCTACAGGAAGTTGGCCAAATACCCAAAATCAGGGGTTTCCTGTAGGATTTCCCGCAGTTGGTTTCTTAGACAACTTAAAAAATACAAATCCAAGTCCAGGACCCTCAGGCAAGACGCCCTAGCTCGCCGCAGCGGAGCAACGGACCCAGGCGCCGACGCCCGGCCTCCGGTCCACAGGCCTCCGCTGATCGTGTGGCCCCACTCCTCGGTTAAGTGCTGCGCCAAGGACGACGGGGGGCCCTCCAGGAGGAGCACCTGCGCCGCGCAAAACGGCATCCAGTGGCTCCAGTGGGCCTCCAGTGGGTCTCCAGCCACTTTTTTTCTTTTGGCCTTAGGGCGGCTTCCTTCCCAGTGATTCCATGTACCCTTTAAAAAACAAAAGGAAAATGGTTGGTGACCCACTATAGTGGTAGCTGGATCCGCTGGGCTTGGTTACCAATAAATTTTGGGTAAATGGAATCAATGCACTTGAACAACCGACCCATGTCCTCGTTTGCAAGCCACTCAAAGCGGCAAGAGCTCCAGTCTCCTGATTGACACTGGAAGACAGGCAAAAAGACATTTGAAACAGAAAGTACTTCCCCTTCCTCCCACTACCATGGCATTTGTGGGAGGGTACCTGGAAGATCCGTTTCCTCTTGGAGGGACCGCCTGTCAGGTGCCATGTTAGTGAGAGAGAGGGTACCCTCCCACCAATTTTCATGGAACCTGACAGGGGGTAACCCCGCATGGCGATTGAGGCAGGGCCTGGCTTCAAGATACTCCGCGAAACCGGCATCATCTTCCGAGAATCCCACAGTGATTCACGATCCCAGTACAGGACCTATACCGAGACCCGCCGTTAAACTTTGGGCAACAATTATTCGTAAGGAAGATCCCCAGCATAAGATCCCGGACGTTGCCCCCTGAAGGTTTTGGGGTCCCCTATGATTATCGACCATGCCACAGAGGTCGACCCGAGGGTAGATGTTGCGAGCATCTCTTCTCAATTCGTTGGGTAGATTGCCCAGTCTTGTCTTTTTTTACGCCAGCACGCAAGCATCTCTGGGCTGCAAACATGTCTATTTATGCTTGAATCCAGAATAGCCATTTCAGAACCGAATGCAACTGCATCTCAATGGGGCATTTCAAACAAGCATGGCATCAGCAACATTGAAATCCACCCCAGGCATTGGGTGAACAAACAGTTCCAGCGAACCGGACCCGCGGCGATAGCTACACATTTGCAAGCAGCTTTGCAGCTTCAGCACGGATGGATTGAAGAAGAGATGGATCAGCATTCCACTTGGTGGGGGATTGCACCAGCTGCTTGATTAATGGCACAGCTCGCTTGCCCAATGCACGGAAGAGTTCCCAATCTTCCAAACCATCGCGGATGGCATCCAGGCGAATGCTTCCACAGGGCCCATCAGGGCATGGATAGATAAACTGCCCGTCGCCATTGGCAAAAAGATCATCGTATTCCCCTTGCCAAATGAAATTGGCTTCAGGCCAATCGGTAAATGCAGTTCTTTGCAAGTCACTGTCACCAACCCAGACCACGGGATGCTTGGACACCGCCCCGCCACAGCTTGGCCCGTTGCAAGGCTTCCAAACATTCATCTCGTAATACAGCCAGCCAGTGGGATGTCCAAATTGTATCTCCCAAAGCGCAGCCAGCCAGAAGAGCAACCGCCCCTGAATCGATGGCCGTTCCGCAAAGGTATTCAAATAGTCGAGGCCGCTGGGTTCAATACAATGATAGAGCCAGAGTTCCTTCTGTGCCCCAGTCCAGTTGCTAAAATATACGGGGTCAAATTGATCAAACAGTTGGTATTGCAAAACCCAAACGTCAAGGGGCAAATCTGTGGGCATGTGTTGCCAGTTGATCGCTGCCATGGTCTTCAACCCCGGGAAGGAACCTTTCACAGCGCCAAAGACTTGTCGAAGTTGAGGCTCACAAGTTGCAGGCACCTCGTCAAATCCGTATACATAGCTTCGTTTGTCAAGACCTTTCGCCTTGAGCTCTTCTAGAGTTTGTTGAATGGTCTCCAAAATAATCTTCATATCAGCATCTGTGAAGCTTGGGCAGCCACCTTCACGTCCGGAGCTGTATGTACCAACATTCAGGATGCCTAACCACTTGGTACCCTTGCCGCTGAGGTACACAAAATCATCCAAAGGTCTAGGATGCTTCTGGACCATATCAGGTGGAGTGCGATGTTCCAGCATCAAGTCAAACCAAAGCTGCTTGTTCTGTTCCCAGTAGTCTGGCCCATAGTAGGGCTCGAACTCTCGGGGTCGCCACTTCCCTCGCCAAGCGGTCCCTGTCTGGCTCTGCTCCAGGGAAGGGATAGGTCCATCCCAGATCTCAAGAGCAAGGCCAATGCAAAGTGATCCTCCGGGTTGCAAAGTCAGGAAGAGCTCTGCGTCGTGATGTCCTGCCGCTGCCTGCGTGCTCACAGAGCATTGCAGCCAAAGCGGCTGCGCCAAGTTGCTTGGAACTACGGCAGAATCTGATGGCCCCAATGGCCCTCAGTGGCCCAAACAACCTGGAACTAAAAAGTCAACCTTTTGGGGTCATGGCTAAGTTTGGGAACAAGGATCCCAAAATCGGATCCCAAATCGGATCCCAAATCGGATCCCAAAATCGGAAAAGGTCAAAAGGTCAACAGGTGGATTCGCTTTTTGCACAACCGAGGGTCGTAGTGGGTCAGGGCGCCAACCACCTCCACTGCCGGGCACACGCGCCGAAGTGTTGGTGAAGACAAAGCCTACCTTAGTTGCTGCAACGAACCCCCCCTGCAGACAGTTTAACTGTTGTCGGGGTTTAGTGGGAAACCCCTTGATTTCCCTCAAAAAGTTAAGGTCTAAAGATCCAACCCAATAGCAGTCGAGCTACTTGCAGAATCTTGCAGTCCACACCTGGTGGCAATCCCTGGAATCCCTTCGACCTCAAAGTAGCGCCGGTTCGCCGTGAGCTCGGAGTGGACGGAATGCGCAGCAGCATCTGCGCGGCTTCGACCTCGCCTCTCAGCGCCTGTATCTTCAAGCTCGCTTTACATGTCGAGCCCAGCTCGGGTCTCCTGGAGGCGTCCAGGGCACCGAGTCCGGCGAAATCTGCGCAGGTGCTGGTGGGTCGCACCTGGAGACCAGTGGCAACCTCACAGATCTCAAGCTCATCGCCTGGCCAAGCGGTGCTCACCTGGACCAAAGAAGCCGAGGCGTCTTCGTGAAGACCCACGCGCGCAGCTCCGACCCGCTCCAAAACAAAGCCAGACGCAAGCAGCGCAAGGCCGAGCATAGTGAATCAGGAGTGAGATGGGCAGTCAAATTCAGCCAGCTCCAACATGTAACTTGAAATTCGGTAGCTCGAATTTAGCTCGGACGAGCCGATGCTGCGCTCAAGCATGGGCTTCTCAGAAGTCATCCGCTTCAATGTCAAAAGGCGATTTGCTTGGGGTACATCGTTCTCTCTCAAGATTAATGCCTGATGTGTTGTTTCCACGTGGTTTCCTTAGTGAAAACCATCCAAAAGGAGGTTCCCCTACTTGGCGGTGTGCTTGTGCATCAGCATGCCATCAATTGTTCATCCAAAAGGAGGTTCCCCATCAGAGGTTCAAGGGTTTTCTCCATCTATTGCCAAGTCATTCTGAGTGTCGTACGTTTTCTCTTGAAACACCGCCCCATCAAACAAAACCTCACTTTCTGCTTGCCCCACAGGTGATGAGGAAAAACGCACAGGGCAATCCAGAAACAGCCGCTGGTATTTGGGTGATGCCCAAAGGACCCCAAAATCAAGGGTTAATGTTGGGCCCATGACTTAACATGGACCAAATGGTCAACAGGTCGGCTTTGGGCAAGCAAGTGAGAATTTCAAGGGAGTTTTTTAGGTATGGGTTGCGGAGCTATGGATGGTGATCTACCGCCAATAAGCTTGTGAGGCATGTGCCACTTATACAACTGGCCTATGACCTCATCCAAAACCCATATACCTGAACCCGGCATAGTAAGTTTAGCAACGAGTTTGCATATGCAAACCAATAGGTGCGCTCGTAAGACGCGAGGGAGGTTCGGGAATGAACCCTAAAACTTAGCCTTCCTCCCAGCAACCAGAAAAGCTGGAAGGTAGCTTGAGGTGAAGTTGGTGTATCTTAACGGTGGGACCCCTTATTGGCTGTAAAGCACCGAGAAAAAGACCAACTCAAAACAAATGAACTTGTATGGCTCGTCTCCCTTGTGCAGAACACAATTCAGGCCAGGTACCAACTCAAAAAAACAGCTCCTGGCTGGCATGTATTTTGGGTTTCCCAGTACAACGACCCAAGCCCTGGCCGCATTCCCTGAGGGCTTCCCTGTCAAAACGGCCAAAGCCACGTGCGCCGCTAACTTAAAGCAACTGAGCGCAGCCATCTCCCGGACGACCCTTGGCTGGAAAGATCGGACCCCGGCAACACACATATATATATATATATATATTTGCCTGGTGAGTGGAAAACAAAGGAAACCCTCCCAACAAACAAACAAACAAAAAAAAAAAAAAACGGGGAGCTATTTCTTGGGAAGGACCGCCTTGGCGCCGTCTTCCGAGCTCCGAGTTCCGAGGTCGGGAAGCCTGCTCCTCGGTGCCCAGCAGCAGGCCGCTCGCGTCCCAGGCCAAGGCCCCCACGGTGCCGATGTAGCCATGGGAGGCTGCGGACACCAAGTGGAAGGAGGGGTGGGGGAAGGGAGGGGGGGGGGTTGTTGGGAGCGAGGTTTTGAGTGGTTCAAGGAGGCTAGGTCCTCCAGTAGAGAGGTTAGAATAAGTTGGTACCCACTTTCTTCGGTAGTCTGTTGGGTTTTTTCCGGAATGGGCCGCAGCGGGAGGGAGGGAGGGGAGCGCGATGTGTTGGAAGGGGTGGAAAAAATGCAAAGGAGAGCCGCAACTTCTGGGGGGGGGGGGGGTTGAAGGGGTCCTAAAATATAAAAAGGAGAACCCACAACTTCCGGGGACTCCCAACACCACATGCCTAGAACTAAAAACTATGTTGTGGCGGTTGGCTTCAGTCCTAGGAATGCGGTGATGAGGGGAGTGCCAACAATTGTGGCAGTGGTTCTCTAGGCTTCGCGGTAAAATCCAACCTGAGAAGGGCGGGCAAATTTCTTCGCCCAGCCGGGCACCACAAGGTGCTGAATAACTCAGATGGCCCGTGGCCATGGGAGAAAAAAAAGGGGCACATTTTTCGGTTGGTTGAGTGTTTTTGGAAAAACCCTTACCCAAAGAAGGAGAAAAAAAGGCGCCACGGGGCAACTCAGTTATATAAGTTGGCCTCAAGCGGCATAGCAGTTCTACTCTTTAAAAAAAAAAAAAAAAACAACAACTTCAATTCCCTGGCCAGTGCCCCGATTCGGAATGAACCTCGGTGCGGAAGGGAAGCGATCGAGGAACAGGACAGGGCAAGGGAAGACCATACCGAAGCCGGCTGTGGCTTGGAGACACCCAATTGGGTTTTGACTAGGAGGTCTGAAGACAAAAATGCCTTAAGTCTGTGCTGCTCAGAACTACAATTGCCACTTTCAAACCCAAGTACCTTGTTGTGCTTGGCTTGCGCAGAGTGGGGCCATTTGGGAATGGTCCCTCGGCGCCCTTCGATTAGCTAGTTGCAAGGGAAACTACCCCCAGATTTAGCAACCCCCGGAAACAGTCAAACCAATGACCAATCTCTCTCTCTCTCTCTCTCTCTCTCTCTGGGTATGCAGCCGCTTTTCCTCGTGGAGTGGCAACCATGGACAAACTTGTTCTTAAAACATCTATCAAGCCCAGGAACTCAGGGAGTGCGAGCAACCTTGGCTCGAACACGCGCAACAGCACAGCCCCTCTTCCACCCAGAGCTTCCATCTCCCTTTTGCAGAAACCAAAAGTGGCGCTCGTCCCACACTTGCCGCGGATGGGACCAAGAGCGACAAGGTGATCACTGAACTGGCCACCGAAAATGGGAACTCAAGGAGCGACAACTAACAGTCAGGTCAGGTCAATTCGCTGTTGGTTGCAAGTCCCCCCCCATTGAATTAGTTCATCTGCAATCAACATGCTTACCATAATTCCAAAAGATGAATTCAGGGATCCTCAGGTAAAGGACCTTTATCATGGCTTTCGCTCGTTTTTTACCCGCGTCATAAAAAAAGGGCACCTGGATCGCCAGTTGCTGGATTTTTTTCCATGCACTTTACCCCAAAAACCAGCCACAGTGACTGAAAAGAGCGATCGCAACTTGGCTGCCTAGGCAAGCATTTTCGTCCGCCGAAGCTTCGGCCTTGCGATGCCAGGGGGGCTCCATGAGCCTGGCTTAGGTCGTAGATGCCCAGGCCATTGGCGTAGAACCCCAGCACCAGCAGGTTCTCCGGCAGCAGCAGGGCCGCGGAAACCCTCGCAGTCGGATTCCGCTCATGAAAATCCACTCGATCGGCTCACGACCCTTAGAAAATTGGGTTGCCCAACAGAAAGGGGTCATGACCCCGCGTATTTTTACGGGTCATGGAGCTCCAGGCAGAAATGACAGGACTGAAAGGTCAAAAGGTCGACTCGCTTTGGCAACGGAGTTGCGATTGGCCCAGTCACAGGGCCTCCGTGCCAAGTGCACCAAGTCAAGTCCTTGGGGGCCTTTCAACGGCTTATCCTTGGCTTCAGGGGTAGCCCCTTCAAGGGAATGTCCATGACAATAGAAAAAAACACCCTTGAGGAAAAAGTAAATAAACAGCATTTTGCTAAGAAAACATCCTCGAACAATTGCCCCCTAGGTCGAACTTCGAAACGACATCTTGACAACGCCTCCACTGCACTCTCAGGGGCCAAATAAACCTCCCCACTTACAACCGGGTTTTGAAAAACATTCCGCTGGAACTGTTGCCGGCCCACAACTGTACTCAAAACTGTGATTTCGCCGAGGCAGCAGAACTATGCAGCACTGGCATGCCAAAAAAAAGACCAACAAAAAGGGGCTTATTTTTGAGGCCACGCACCTGCCAGCGTTTTGATGTTGAAAAAAGACATTTCGATCTGGGCAAAACCAAGGCATGCGCACAGGTGTGCTTCCCATGTGCCAGGCATGTGCCTGTGCGACGGAGTGCGTGGGCGGGTGTGACAACCCGGTCCAGCCTCATAACGAGTGGAACCCTTTCCACATCCACAAGCAAGTGTTCGTTCTATGCCTCCTGACACCAAAGGGGACCCTCAATTAAAGCCACCCAAAGAAGCCCTCTATGTTGCAGCTGCTTTGCCCTTTGCCCGTCAAACGTGCACAGAACCACCCCCCACCCCCCCGCCCAACACAAACAAACAAATGCCCAGCGCCGAGCGCTGCCAAGGCCGAGCGTCGACTCAAGGCCAACGCTGAAATTGGCCAGGAGCTGCCAAGCGCCTGAAGCCACCCGCTGCCCCCGTCGAGGTCAGTGGCATGTGACCAGCTAAGCTGGAAGTTTGGTTTGGATGGTCTGGTGAAATGGAGGGATTTCCCATGTACCCTCTACAAGGACAGGGTTCAGCTCCCCAAACCACGAATCCACATCACCAATTGCGGGTTATCATTCCGCATGTAAGAAGGAGGGCACCAAGACAGACGTCCTCTGGTAGGGACCCCTGTCACGTACGATCCATGTGGGAGAGGGCAAGTTTTGGTGTGTTTGGTTCGTGAAAACAGCAGAAACCGCAAGCAGAAGTTCACGATCCAACCACGGTCTGCGACGAGACGGTTAGTTGTCAAGTCAACACCTGGAATAGCACTTCGAGCATGTGTCAAACGAACTGAACCTATTCAGCTGCTGGCTTCTAGTTCACGTCCAGCAGACTAAAGCACCATCCGTCAGCTTTGCCCCAAAATGTCCGGTTGGCTTCGCATTCAACATGTATTTTAGGCGACCTTTCGAATGAACGCATGGGTTCCTAATGCTATACGCACATGTTTGTCCGTTGGCATAGGGGCTGAAAGCGGTTTATTAGAACCAAACGATTCCTTTCGGACGCTGCCACTAAAATTGCCCAAAACGCGAAAAGCAACTAGTTGAAGTCCAGGAACTGGAGTTGAGAAAACAGGCCTACCGAATTCTTTGCCTCACATCGAAACTGCCAGTTTGAACATGTTTGACAGGTGATGTGTTAAATACCCTTACAATCCCTTACAATAATATGGCCATGGGTCAAAAACCCGTACCCCCAGTGAACATCCCAATCCCCGCTAAAATAGCTTCTAAACTGGGCGGTGCACCTAATTACCCCAAAATGGTACCATTGTTTTGAGACACAGCCGTATGTTCAAAGGACCTGAGCGGGAAACAAATCAAACGGAGCCCTGGATTCGGCCGATTTTGCGGCCTCCGTCCCGCCGCCAAAGTTGGGGGTCGCCTAAGCAGAGCTCGCAGAACCCGACCCCCGCCAGGGCTCCTGAGTCGCTTGGTTTCAGAGTTTAGTTTCGTGGGTTCCCAAAACCAAACAAGGTGGAACAAGACACAAACCTGCAGGGAGCGAGCATCCCCCATGCAACATGCAAGTGATTGTGGCGGGTCCTGATTTTGACCGCCTGATCAGCATGGGTCTAGCAAGGCTCACTCTATTTCAGCATGCCGGGAAACTCAACGAAAATCCACTTGGGCGACAAACATGCAATGTGTAAATCACCGACCCCTGAGACAATAGGAAGCAACCGAATCCGAGAATGGAGTCCAAGGAGTCAGCTGAACGGAGACGTGATCACCTAAAAGGGGCCACTAAACATCGGAACCGACCCCGTTTGGGTGGACCAAAAGGTGTCTGGTCGACCCCATCACTTTGCCAGGGTAGGTTTGTTCAATCTGGTGGTTTTCTTTTGCCAAATAACTGAGCCAAAGCAAAGTTGGGTAGTCTGCTTTCTCACGCTCGTCCTTTGAATCCTTACGCTTGGATGAGCTTATAGGCCTTTTATCGAAAACAACATGAGGCACTTCAAGTTTCCCGGGAGCGTGTTTTAAAAACAAACTGCTGACTGGCTTGGTCCTTGACCCTCTGCAAAAATATGCTTGCTAGCGGGAATGTTAAGGTCACACCAAGCAGCCGCCGTCTTGGTGACACACACCATTCACTCACTCACTCACTCACTCACTCACTCACTCAATCACTCACTGACTCATTGACTCACTGACTCACTGACTCACTGACTCACTGACTCACTGACTCACTGACTCACTCACTCACTCACTCACTCACTCACTCACTCACTCACTCACTCACTCACTCACTGACTCACTCACTGACTCACTGACTCACTCACTCACTCACTCACTCACTCACTCACTCACTCACTCACTCACTCACTCACTCACTCACTCACTCACTCACTCACTCACTCACTCACTCACTCACTCACTCACTAAAGCCGCCAAGGTGGTAACATAGCACATGCCATTCATCCAAACGCCCAGCGGAGTGGCCAAGCCCAAAGGGCACCGAAAGCTTCGCTGGTTTGGAGCCGAATCGGTTGATGAAATGGAGGGCTTCAAATCCATATCCCCTCTACAAAAGTCAGGGTTCAAATCCCCAAACCACCAATCCAAACCACCAACCAAGCTTACCCGACTTTGGTCGGCTGATTTCGGGAAACGCTTCAACCAAAAACCGGAAAACAGGCACTGTCTGGGGCTTTCCCATATCCTTGGCTCCCAAAATTGGGGAACAGTTGGGCTTCGAGAGTCAAATCAACACCGGGTAAGCTTCGCACGACATGGCAAAAGCAGAAAACGGGGAAAGAGCATAGAGCCCCCCTCAGGCGAAGGGATCTTTTTCAGGTTTCGCCCGGAAGGGGCTCCGATGCTTCGCCCTGCTGATCGCAACTGCAAGCCCTCCAGCCCTCCCCTTGGGACTCCACCTGTTACGGGCGGATCCATCAGGGAATTGCTGCCTGCGGCTTCGCGCGAAGCGAAGTACAACTCTCAAGTCGCCCACACTCGTCCATGGCAAACGGGCCCCTTGCGACAATAAAGTCATCGACTGGCTAAGGGTGGTACATAGCCATTGCTCAGACCGCTTCCTTGGTCTGGTCATTTGTGGATTCCAACCCACTTTAAAAGGAGAAGGAAACTCCTTTTGGGGAGAGAGGTATGAACATCAGCAGGGCTGTCAGGGATTTGTTTGCTGCTTGGGGGCATGTAAACGGGGTATGTTCATTTGCACCCATGGACCCTGTGGTTCATCTTCCGGGTTTAGATCTGGGAGTATCGACTTTGATTCTAGGTCTGGTTCTACAATTTGTGGTTTCTTGGTAAATGTTTCGGCTAGTTTCAACATCCTACCCCCTTGCTTTTGGGTCCTTTGGATAACGAGATAGCTTAAATTATTGAAGCCAGCGGAACGGAATTTCTGCGGGAACTTGGATTTCACTTGTGCATAGACTAAACTTCCCCCAGTAGAGAGGATAGAATAAGGGTACTCTTTTTCTGTAGTCTATTTAGTTGGGGAACCCTCCCCCAAAAAAAGAAACGGTAAAAGGGCACTACTGGGGGACCTAGTTAGGTGGATTTTGGTTTCGGGGCCAGTTTCTGTAAGAGCCTGCAGGAATCCTCCAAAGAAATTGGGCATGGAGCTCTAAAGGCCCAGCCAGCCGCCATGGAGCCATTCAGCCTGAAGTTTGCACGGGCAATACCGGCTCACTACCTCAAATGCCCAGTGGATTTCCATGGGCAAAAAAGGGGGCATCCTTTTTTGGTGGGTTGACCTTCAATTTCAGTCCCTTGGCCTTCTCGCAAATTCAGTCCCTTGGCCTTCTCTCTGAGAGGCTTCAGGTCTCACCAAGAACATGACTTGATGCGAACGCGAGAGGTTGGTTGGTTGACTTTCAAGGGAAAACCTGCCAAAAACAATGAACACAGCTGACTTTCAAGGGAAAACCTTCCAAAAACAATGAACACAGCTGACCTTCAAGGGAAAACCTTCCAAAAACAATGAACACAGCTGACCTTCAAGGGAAAACCTTCCAAAAACAATGAACACAGCTGACTTTCAAGGGAAAGCCTTCCAAAAACAAAGGAACCACTTTGAAGGGAACACCTTCCCCCCAAAAAAACAAAGGAACACAGGGCGCTGGGCAACTTCCTTCCAATCCCAACCGATCGAGCGCTTCGAACCCGAAGGAAGCAACGTTGCAGAGGCGGCTGAAGTGTCCCCGGTCTCTGTCGGTGTTCTGGTGATTTGTTTTAAGCCAAGCACCGTTTCAACAAAAGCCGTTGCAAAGCAACTCCTCTCAATTCTTTTTTTTGCCGGGATCCTACCAGGTCTGTGTGCTTCTTTGACAGCTGCGAATCCATGACTGGAGCACCAATCCACGGGACAATCCTTTGGACTGTCTGCCCCAGGTAATCTCATTGGGACAAGCTCAAATTTGCTCAAAGCTGGGGCTGGTCAAGTGCTTAAATAAATGCCGCTTGCTTTCTGGCCCCCCAGCTTTGCGTGAGGAAAAAAAAACCGGGGCTGGTCAAACAACCACAGCTGCGTTCTACCCGCTTCAAATGAGCATAACCCGGGCAAGAACACCTCGATCTCCGCGCCTCGAACATGAGGCTGGACAGTTCGACGCGACGGCTTGTAAATGGAACTTCTTACCTCCTGACTCAATTGGCCCGAACAAGTCCAACTCTTTTTGCGAAGGTAAGATCTTCTAGAGGTCCTCCAGTGGAGAGGTTGAATAAGGGCACCCTTTTCTCTGCAGCTTATTTGGGGCCTCATTTGGTTGAAAAACCCTCTCACAAAAAAAAAGCCAAATGTGGGCACCAATTGCTGGAAAAAACACCCATTGCCCTTAAACAACAGAAAACAACAACACCTTCGACTCACCTCCCCGGAACTCGGAACGCGGGGACTCGAGTGAGATGTCGGCGCGCGGGACCCGGCCTGTCCTATCCACCAGAAACAGGCCCTCCTGAAGGCTCCGACGCTGGCGATTCGTTTGGTTCCCGATTTTTTTTTGGCTGGACCATCGAACCAAACCAAACCAAACCAAACTTTGCGGAAGAACCAAGTTTCTCCTCGCCCCCGATTTTGAACCTCTACATTTCTTTGAGGTTCTCGCTGAGAAACCAACATCGGACTTAAAACGCAGGTCGGCACGCGTGTTTGCAATTGCGGGTCTCCAAAGTAAAGGAGCCTCCCAAATGAGGCCTGCGTTTGATCTCAAACTGGGCTGCCATCGGATCCCCTGCTAAAAGTTTAAGTTTTAGTGGATCAAATGGAAACTACCACTAAACACTAAAAGGCTAAAAAGCTAAGGAGCCGGATGGCTGGGAGCCAAGAAAACAATCACATACACGCCTTTGTTCAGATCGTTTCTCACTTCACTGGGCTGTCCTCGCCACCAAGTTCACTCTCGGTTTGCTTGGTTGCAAATGAGTGTGTCATTCTTCAAATTTTGGGGGGTTGCTGGCATCATAATCCTACCTGCAGTCTCCATGACCAACCCAATTCGTACTTTTTGTAGCCTCCCACCCAAGTCACATGAAACCTGACGTTTGGCACCCGGTCCCTTTCAAAGGAACATGGTTCAAACCAGGTCCCCCAAAAGAACCTCGAACGGTTCCACGTGTTAATTGGGACGGTAGATGGCGCCCATTTGCGGCTTTGTAATTATCTTGCTGGTGCTCAGGGAATGCGGGAATGACCCCAAAACTCCCAAACATCAAGAAACCTCCAGTTGGATTGCATTTTTGTTGGGGGGGGCAGTTCATTTCTCATTCCCTGCATCTCTCGCACCGAAGGCAATACTCTAGGCGTTGATTCCCCATTCTTTTCAAACATCGTTCTTTTCACAAACCGGATCTGTTTCCCCTGGATTTTTGGATGGTTTCCTGAAAAGCTTCGGATCCCTGGAAAGAATGGAAAGTAAAGGTAGCACTAGAGGATTGCCCAAGGAAAGGAACTTCTTGCCTCCCAAAATGGCCCCACCAAGTGTATAGTCCATGAACTCAAGTCAATGGTTTCAAGACACAAAAACAAGAACTTGGAAATGGAAGGTCGCCCTAAAAAGCTGTTCTTGTTGCTGCTCAGGGAATGTGGGAATGAACCCAGGGCCAGCCCTGGAAGTCTTCCAAAACTGCCAGAATTGGTTAGCCACAATTTCCTTTCTTTCTGGGTTGGAGGGGGGATTTGAACCAGAGATCCATAGATCCAAAGAATCCAAGAATGGACATGGAAGGTACCTCCTCCTACGCCAAGCTCCGCGCGGCCTGCTCTTTGAAGAAGCTCGCGTGCCCGGGCAGGGAGAAGGCGGGCCGAGGCTTGGACTCCACGCCTGGCAAGGGCAACGCCCTTCGGCTTCCAAGGCAGGGACTCCTCCCCGCCGCCAAGGGACCCCCCAGAGCCCCCCCCCCCCCGGCCGCCACGCCCCACGGCCCTTCCGGAACCAGCTGCTTGGCAACAATCTGGGCACTAGGCTGGAAAAATCGCACCCCGGCAAAAATGGTTTTATCCTTTTTTCGCCCGGTTAGTGGGAAAACAAAGGGAACCCAGAGAAGCAAACAGGAAACAAAAAGGGGAGCTAATTCTGGGGAAGAGGCCGGCCCTCAAAGGGCACTTCGACACCATTGGTGGGTATTTACGGGGGAATCGAATCAATTCAGGGTCTCTGAACGGTGCTGTGAAATGGATTTCGCTACTCTGGATGGTATCGAAATCCATTTGCTTCTCGCACCGTTCGGAGAGCCTGAAATGGGTCATCATCAAAACCCGGTATCCTTCTGGTCGCAATCTCAGAACGTAAAATAAAATTGAGAAGGCGGACATCCGCAGCTAGGGATTGTCTCTTCATCATGATGCTTCCATATGCGGATCCAACCTGTAAATACCAAGCAATGGTGTCCCATAGTTTCTCAATTCGGTGCCCTCCCAAAGGCCCAAAGGGCCTAGTTTACACGGTGATCACCTCGTAAGGGGTGACGACGTATGGGAACCCAACCACGGGAAAACCAAACGGTCGCGTGTCAGGTCGCTGAGCGCTGAGCTTCAACTGAGAGGTTCAACAGCTTCAATGTTTGAAGCCGGATGCCCATTCAACATTGCGAAGGGACCCTTCGGACACTGATCCTCTCATTTGCGGCTAATAAGGGGCTAAATATATCCGAATAGTTTATCATGCTAATAAGTTTGGTTACTATTTTGTGTTGTGTTTTTTCTATTAAGCATTCCACAGCCAAATCCATTCACTTGACTTAAGACATCCATTTGTTTCCCTGTGGCTCTGCTGGGTTTTTCGTATTGGCGACCACTAGCAATGGGATCGGGGCAAGGGTCGATCCCCAACCTTTCTGGTGAAGCCAACTGCCTTGTGTGGGGGGGGGGGAGATCCCAGAATCCGAAAAGGCTGAGTAGATTGGCCAAACACAAGTCCTGCAACATCCTGTAACTAGTTCCAAAATGTTCCAACCCCAAAAAGTGCCTGAAGCCCATAAGTCCATACTCAACTCAAGCGCGATAAGGAGAGAAGCAAGGGCTAACTGTCTGGGTGTCACTTTCTGGGCGTTTTTTTTGCGACATCCTGCGAAGAACGTCCTGCGTAGCTGAAGATGTTCACCTGCCGAAAGGTGGCCACCGCCAAGCCTGAAGGGCGGCGAAAGGGCCGAGAGCTTTGGTCATTCTTTGTGCTTCTAGAGAAAACTGATGTTTCAATAAGATAAGAAAGGGTGGACATTCATGCATATTGCAGTCAACAATCAGTGATTTTTCAAAAGTGTGTTTTTATCGGTCGACGTGTTCGGGGGATCGGTCCTGGCGACCATTTTGCGTTCAAAGGGACGCCCAAACGCCAGGTTCTCAAATGCCCAGTGGATTTCCATAGGAAAAACAGGGCATACTTGTTTGGTTGACTTTAAAGGGACACCCTTCCCCAAAAAAGGGGAAAATAAGGGCACCACTGGGCAACTGGGGGTTCCATGTGAATTGGCGGAACCCAGCGGATCCCGGGCTTCAAAGGGTGGCCCTGGTGAATTACCCGCTGGACAGGGAAACGGAATCACTGGGAGAGCAAACCTACCCTTCTGTTCTTTGGACTTGGGTATGTGTCAAACTAGGGCCAGCAAACCATAGCAAACCAGTTGTTATGTTTCTTTTGGTTCTTACCCCCTGCAAATCGACCCGAGACGGCCAGAGGCGGCTGTTTCGAAAGGAGGAACAAGGCAAAGGGTTAACGGACAAGGGGCAGAAAGCGCTGGTGAGAACTCATAAAATGTAAGATTTCCGACTACCCAGAAACAAAGATAAAATCCACAAGCGATGCGCGGAAATAGCAAGGCGGAAAATGACCATGGGTTGGCAGGACGGAGGGCACCCGCCCACTCACCCACCCACTCACTCACTCACTCACTCACCCACCCACCCACCCACCCACCCACCCACCCACCCACCCACCCACCCACCCACCCACTCACTCACTCACTCACTCACTCACTCACTCACTCAATCACTCACTCACTCACTCACTCACTCACTCTTAGGCGCTCACGCACTCTCTCGCTCACTCACTCACTCCCTCAGGCACTCAACTCATGCACTCACTCACGCACTCACTCACGCACTCACTCACTCCCTCGCTCGCTCACTCACTCACTCCCTCAGGCACTCAACTCACGCACTCACTCACGCACGCACTCACTCACGCACTCACTCACTCACTCACTCACTCCCTCGCTCACTCGCTCCCTCCCTCACGCACTTACTCAAGGGAGTGAGCAACTGAGTGCGTGCGTCGGTGAGTGCGTGAGGGAGCGAGCGAGTCAGCGAGGGAGTAAGTCAGTGAGTGAGTGAGTGAGTGAGTGAGTGAGTGAGTGAGTGAGTGGGTGGGTGAGTGAGTGAGTGAGTGCGTGAGGGAGCGAGCGAGTGAGCGAGGGAGTAAGTCAGTGAGTCAGTGAGTGAGTGCGTGAGTGAGTGCGTGAGGGAGGGAGAGAGTGAGAGAGTGAGCGAGGGATGGAGGGAGGGTGAATGAGTGAGTGTGTCAGCGAGTGAGTGTGTCAGCGAGTGAGTGAGTGAGTGAGTGAGTGAGTGAGTGAGTGAGTGAGTGAGTGAGTGAGTGAGTGAGTGAGTGAGTGAGGGAGCGAGCGAGCGAGCGAGCGAGCGAGCGAGCGAGTGAGTGAGTGAGTGAGTGAGTGAGTGAGTGAGTGAGTGCGTAAGGGAGTGAGTGAGTGCGTGAGTGAGTGAGTGAGTGAGTGAGTGCGTGAGTGCGTGAGTGCGTGAGTGCGTGAGTGCGTGAGTGAGGGAGTGCGTGAGGGAGGGAGCGAGTGAGGGAGCGAGGGAGCGAGGGAGCGAGGGAGCGAGGGAGCGAGGGAGCGAGGGAGCGAGGGAGCGAGGGAGCGAGGGAGCGAGTGAGAGTGAGTGAGAGAGAGAGAGTGAGTGAGTGAGTGAGTGAGTGAGTGAGTGAGTGAGTGAGTGAGTGAGTGAGTGAGTGAGTGAGTGAGTGAGTGAGTGAGTGAGTGAGTGCGTGAGGGAGCGAGCGAGCAAGCGAGCGAGTGAGTGCGTGAGTGAGTGCGTGAGTTAGTGAGTGCGTGAGGGAGTGAGTGAGGGAGTGAGTGAGTGCGTGAGTGAGTGCGTGAGTGCGTGAGTGAGCGAGTGACCCTGCCTTGCTCCCTCCCTCGCTCCCTCCCTCCCTCCTTCCTTCCCTCGCTCGCTTGCTCGTTCGCCCACTCTCTCTCTCTCTCTGTCTGTCTGTCTGTCTGTCTCTCTCTCTCTCTTCTCTCTCTTTCTCTCTCTGTCTCTTTCTCCGCGCCTTGGCCGGGAAGAGGCACCAAGCTCATGCCCATGGAGTCCACAGGAAAGGCCCGCGCCTTCTCCATGGTGTCGTCCACAATGGACTGCGAGCGTCAGCCGGGGCCCAAATGCACTCCGTTAGCGGGAGGGGCAGCAAGTGCCAACCCCCTTGCCCTTTCGCTTTTGTTTAATGGGCCTGGGGCTCAAATCCATGCAAGGATTGCCTGACGTACCTAAAAACATCTCTGGGTCCAATCCGGGAGAACCAAGCAAAAGCTCGGTTGGCCTGCAAAGGCCAGATTTCCACTGAGTGAAGTCCAGAAGAGGAGGCGATCGCATCGCCCAAAGCCACAAGGAAGTAGGTGGGGTGCGTGGTTTTCAGGTTCTTCCTTTCGCAGCCTGGCAGGGCAAATGGCACACGTCCCTTTGCAACCGGTTGCAAAGGCAACACCTGTCTGAAGTTCTTTGTGGGGGACCGAAGCAAAAGGAACAGGGTGCCACAGGTGGCAAAATGTGAATGTTGATTGAGACTAAAACTGATTAGCACCAACAAAATGCGCAAAATAAACAGCATTGCATGCTTCAAAAACAATGAAGCGGGCAAAAACAAAAAAACTGCTTGCCTTTCTTCCAGTTGACAACGGGCCGACTCTCTTGGCCTGCCCCTTGGCGCGTCTTGAACAAATATCTATACAAATCGGAGAATCTCGTGTAAAGTCTCTCTGGGTCACAGGTGGCCCTTTGCATGGGTGTGTTCCAAAGAAATGAATCCACAACTGGCTGGCTTCCCTTTGGCTTCCACTTTACCAACATAACACGAGTAGCCTCACGAGAGAACCACCGGCATGGTTTTTCCAAACACTCAAAGACTGAAAAGGAATACACACCAAACAGGCCAAAACGCGACACACACACACACACATCCCTACTGACGCCATCAAAGTAGATGCTACCGATTGACTAATAGATAGCACACCTGATTAGCGCTGGCCTGCTCCCACCCTAAGGGGATGTTGCTTTCTTAGAAGACGTTGGCCAATTCCCGCACCCCCCCCCCCACAGCCCTTCCGGAACCAGCTGCTTAGAAGCTATCTGAGCAAAGACCCCAGCTTGCAGCTGGCTGTGGCTCCAAAAAACGTACCCAAAACGGCATTGGTAAATGGGACCAAAAACTAACACCTGCGTAACCCTAGCTCTTGAATTTTGAGCCAAGCTCAAGGGTACCCCTATTCAAGGGCAGCTAATCCAAACTCCCCCCAATTTAGGGCCCCACTGGAATAATTCCCTAGGGTCTGCTAGGTCCTCCAGTAGAGAGCTTGGAATAAGGGTACCAACTTTTTTCTGTAATCCATTTTAGTAGGGGCTTGCCCTCCCCCTACAAAAGAAACGGCACAAGTTGGCACCAATTGCTGGGGGACCTAGGTCTACCACAAAACACCCAAGAAGTTTGATTCGCGCTCTGGCTCCGAGGCTCCGGCCGATGTGCACGAGCCTCGGGTGGAAGCGTCGAAATTGACCCCCTAGATCCTCCTATGGATGGATAAAATGCACTTCGCACCACCCAAGAAACCCTAGAATGATTCGATTCCCCTGTAAATACCAACGAACAATGGTTTCGCATGGTGTCAAGGTGGTGCAGGAAATCGTCCATCCACAGTACCAGCTATAAAGGCGTCTCAAGGACAACTTCCAGACAACCAACCCGATGGGCTTGCCGTTTGCTCCAGAAGCACCCTCAAGCCTTCTTGCATTTAAGAATGCCCCACAGCGGTCACTTCCTGAGCAGGCTCGCCAGCCAAGTCCAACCTTCTTGGTTGCCACTAGAACGGTCATGAAACTCGGGGAATGCGCCGTTCAACAGATTGGCCCCTGCTCAAATGGTATGTGCTAGGGTTCTTGGCCCGTAGGCAAATTAATGATCTGGTGCATGATAAGAGCAAATTTCAAACAAATGGACTCCATCGATTTCATCCGGAGTCCAAGCACTATTCAGAGCGATTCTCAACTTATATTGTGGAGAATCTATTAATAGATCATTCCTCTGTTGGTTCGGATTCATCTGAAAATGGCATTGTAGACAACCCACCTACAGGTGAACGTAACTTCCCCATTGCGTCGTAAAGTAAACTGTGTGCCATCTACATTTACCTGGGCGCAAACGGAAGCATGGGGGCGAACAGTCGATCAAGTTGATCAGTGCGAGTGTTGGAAAGAGGTTGGCAAAAGAGAGCTATGACTATGACATGTCCCGGGGTGGCCGCGGATGGTAGGGCTCTGGAAAAAGAAGCAGCTCATAAACATGTAACTCAAAAGGGGGGCCCCCCCAAAAAAAACAAAAGGTTTCCTCATCAGGGCCTTTTTGGCATTGTGCTATTTGCGGGGGGTACCATTAACCTGGGTCTCCCAAGTGTACGACCTCCTCTTACATCGGAGAACCTCTTTTTCTCAGCCAGGGATGTGTTAGTCCCCCTTGCCAGTTCACCCCAAAGCTTCCGGGAAGACCAATTCAGTGCTTCCATGTGCTTCCAGTTGCGAGTGGAAAGAAACTCTTCTCAAAACCCAACGCTTGGACTAGGGGACGCGTCTCCGCCTGACCTCCCCTTGCGGGCAGCGCCGCAGCGCCATCTCCCGCTCTCAGGCGGGCAGCTTGAACACGGAGATAACGTTCACGGTATAGCCTGCACGGGTATGATTCTACATGCTCAATGCCCAATGAGGCTTGACTTAGACTCCTTGCAAAAAGTAAACTGTTGCTAGTTGAAAGGTGAAATGATGAAAACCCCAAAGGCCCAACAAAATGCACGCTAGGCCATGCAAGCCATACGTTACCAACAAGCAGGGAATCAGGTCGCTGCCGCTCCTAATAAAGCCTCTCCAAAGAAAAAAGAAGTCAGGTCTGCTTGGTTGCTGCTGATCCCTCTGCACAACGTTTCACTTTTTGTGGGTTCAGTGGGAAACCCATGAGTCTCCAAGTTCAAAGATCCGGCTGCCAATGGCAATCAAGTCCGGTGGTCCAATTCTTCCACCAGGCCGCGGGTTCCAACACAAAAACTCGGCGGAATTCGCCTGGCCCCGAGATCTTGTTACACTCAGCGGATGATCGGATGGTCCAGTTTGGGGCTCCGAGTCATTCCCTGTACTTGGCCGGGATCGGCTTCAAGCTCTGCCGAGATCAAGAAAGCCAGCGGCCTGAGAAACAACAGTGGCTGAGCCATCCCAACGCCCAAGAACAAGCAAAGCCAGCGAGTCACAACAGCCTGATCCCCAGCCCTGATCCCAAGCAGCAGCTGGATGAGAACTGCAGCTAGGATCAGTTTCCCAGGAATACGCCAAACTGTTTGGAAAGCAACAGGGATGGCTAGGAATGGCTGTCCTTCCAGCGGAAACTTGATCGAAGGAAAGCAGCTAAGACTGCATTCCGCAGAGCGGGATTAACTCCACGAGCCAACCTTCAAATTGTCCTTGGACCTTACGTGTCATTAAAAGCGCTGATCAACTGAGAAACGATCGCTGACTCCCACCTACGAAAGCGCCAGCTTCGTCAATGGGTGCCTTGCATGTGGCAAGTGAAGCAAGCACATCCCGCAACTACATCCTGACACTGTGCGAAATGCAGGGCTGCCCCCCTGGCAATACCTGTGGGTCAAAATTCGACCACCAGCACCCCGCAAGTGGCTGTCCTTGTTTCCATTCCCCAGGCCTCCATTTTGGGGGCCCCCGATTTTCGACCGCACCCACGCAGCCACGAACTCGACGAACTCCCGCCTACGAGGAAGCCGGAGGGAATCGCCACCAGGGCAGTCGGAAAGCCATCCTCGCCGTCCCGCGTTGGTTTTTGCAGCTCGAAGAGCGTCCCGTTTCGGAGACTCCGTGTCCCAAGCTGGTCTTTCCATTTGTCAGTAGTGAAATGGAGGGTGGTGCTTTGGTAGTGAAATGGAGGGGTTCCCCACTTACCCTCTGCAAAAAGCAGGGGTTCAAATCCCCAAACCACCAATCCAAACCGCCCAGTAGTGGGAAGCTGAATTTGCCTAGGCACCCTGCAAAAACACGCAGCAGTGATAGCCTCGGTTTAAAACTAACAGGGGAATATAAATCATAATGCACATCTTCCGAAATGAAAAGGGTGGACAAGCGACCTTTTCAAGTTTCAAACACAGGTGACCTGTGTTTGAATACATGTCCCTGGTCGGATCAAACCAATCTAAACGAGTGCCAATGAGTGCCTGTTTCTCACCAAGTTCGCCTAAAAACGACCGACTGGCCGCTTTCGGGTCCGAGCCATTCCCAAGGAGGTTAGCTAGCCGTTTGCGACTCAACATGGCACTGGTAGGCCCAACTCGTGAGGGAGTCTTTGAATTGGTTTAAAATATCAAAAGCTATGCTAGTGGCAACAGGTCTACAGAAAAACAGCACCATGAAAGTGCAGGATCTCTGGTTCTTACCCTGTTCCGTGGGCATGCGGGGACGCTACCAGCCTGCCCTTGGCACCACCCTCCTCAGCAGCAAACAAAAAAGCCAGCTGCTGGTCACCTAGTCTCCTGGTCTCCTGGTCACCTGGTCTCCTAGTCTCCTGGTCTCCAGGTCTGCCTGCACAGAAAACCCAAACACTAAAGCAAGTGCCAAGAACGGCGAAGCGTCTGTGCCAGAGTTGGGCCTGCAGGGCCAACCCCCAATTGAATCATGTGATAGTCACTATTGCTTGAACCTTACGTGCGGGTTGTCATTTGAAGAGGAATGTGACCAAATGTGACCAACCCCAGTTGGTCCAGCACCAAACCATGTTTGTGTATCCCCCTGCAAGCTGGGGGGGGGTCCACTTCCCAGAAGGCGGTTCCTCTTCAACTCGTGGCTTCCTGGGTTCCAATTTGCGGGGCGAGTGGGAGGCAACTCCAAGGCGAGCTGCCTCCATCACGCCGCACTGCATCTCTGAGTGCTGTATGCCGCCCTGCGCGGGCGGATGCCGCGACAGGCGCCAAGCCCTTCGGACAATACAGGAGCTCCCGAGTTTAGTAAGTACAAAGGGGGGGGTAGTGCCCTTCCTTACTCATGGCGTTTGCATCGTTTCTCGGGCTCGTGAGGGAATCCCTTGGAGCCGGACCCCCGATTCGGGACTCCAAATTTCGAGTCCAAAAGGGCAAACGACGCATCAAAAGGTGAAGGATCGCCTCGAGGCGAAAGTAGGAATCACCCAGGGTCCGTCAACTTCCCAGTTATCATGGATCCGGATGCATGAAAAACCTGAACATTGCAACTTGTAAATGGTGGTTTCCCTTTAATTTGGTGTTGAAAAAGCAACATGTTTCAAATGGTTGCAACATGAATTTAGTTTAAGGAGCCCTGTTTGACGGATTCATGACCCGCTTTAAGCGCTGGGGATCCCAAAAGTGATGAACTCCAAACGAGATGGACATCCCCTCGAATAGGAACGATGTGAATCAATCACCCGATTTGTCAACACGCATCAAATTCTTTATGTCTTGGGCAGAAGGGTCCTTAGCTGCCAAGGGCTTTGTTAACCTTTCTATTCAACTACCCCGCCTTCATAGCCGTCGCCAAGGGGAAGAAGTTAAGGTACGTCTGGCCCAGCAGCACCAACCACCCATCCGCAACTGCCTGGCGAGGTGCCCTGAAGCACGGTTTCGTCGTTTTTGAGCAGCAAACTGCTTGACTTTCTTTGCAGCCCCCCACTAAAACTGAAAAAAACCATGCACCTAAAGCACTAGAACTTATGCAAAGAACTGCTTAGCCTTTTGGGAGTTGGGAATTCACCTCCCCTTGTGATGGAGTCTATGTGGCATAAAAAAAAAAAACACTCACTATGGGTACCAGTCTGAGACGAACCATCTAGCCAAAGAGCACAAACACAATCAAACCCCTTTTGGTTACAAAGGGTTAAAGGTAAACGACTGAACTCACTGAAAACATAAGGTTCATCCTTAACCCTTGAATGGGCGTCTTAAGATAGAGGACTCATGTTAAAACTCGCTGGTGTCCCGTCGGTTTCCTCTTAAAGCAACCCAAAAAAACGGTACTACGAGGGCCTAAACAATTTGTGAATGGGGGTTATGGGGTTCTCTAGAGCCAACGTTGCCATGATTCACGTGAGTAAACTATTAATTGGTTCTTATCTTGGCCCGTATGCACGTACTTGCCCAAATCCCCTGGAAGTGGAAGGTCTTTTGGGACCTTCGCTATACCCTCCCCCATGCTAACATGGAAGCTCCTAGAACCCCTTTGGCAGACTTGGTTCCATTTGCAGAAACCTTTTGGCAGCTTCCGTGCTGCCTGAGGGAGTGAACAGACCAAAAAGAGCAAAAGCCGAATTGGGACCCTTCACCATACCTTGGTTGATGTTGAAAGGGGAGCAACAATCTAAATTTTAGCAGTTAAGTGGTTGGATTTCAACCACTAAACCACAATAAGCAAAAATGTAAAATGCTTCCCAACAACAACCATGATACATACCTAAAAAAAACGAAAGGCAAAAAGGGGCCGATTCGCTCTGGACCCCTGAGTTTTCTCCCAATGGTCGCCCGCGATTTGGATCGTTTTTTTAAGTTTCATTGGCGAGGCTCCAGGTCGAGGATCCGGTCCAAAAACTGCAAGGTGGCGAAAGGTCCGCTGGCCATGTTGCTGGCGTTGAAGAACACCACCTGCATCCAATTTGGGGTTTCCATTTTTTTTACGACAAGCGCGCGGACCGGGGGTCTAGGAAAAAAGGGGCGGGCGGGGTCTGGGAGGGATCCTGGGTTCAAAAAAGGCCCCCCCCCAACAAGGGGAACCTTTGGGCACAAGGGAAGAAGGGAAAGCTGTTGCTGTCAGGTCCTTTGGCAAGTAAGTTTAGAGGAAGCTCACTTTCAACTAGCCCGCGGTTTCCAAACTCAGGAATTGATCCTGGACCCACGTTGAGCAGGCATTAAAGACATCTCACCCATTTAGCGGATCCCGCTGCAAAGCACATGGAGTTCTCTTATTTTTGGGGCCCCAAAATGGCAGCTGTCCTTTTGGTTTTGCTTTCAAGCCACTAAGCAAGGGGTACCCTCGAAAAGGCACGCCCAAATACGAAAAGAGGCCAAGGGAAACCGCCGGCCTTGGGCAACCGAGTTTGGCGAGACGATTGGACACATGGCGAGGTGAATCTTGGGGGACCCTGTGGAAATCATTCTGGGCAGTGTCCTCCGAGCCCTTTTGAGGTCCCCTATTCATCAAAGTTCACTTGTGAGTTTCCCTTTGGGGTGAGGTCCCGTCGAACAAGGGGAGGAGAGAGCCCGTCGGCTGCACATTTGCTTCGGAGATGTGAAGGGAGGGCACAAACTGACAAACGAGGGAAACACCATGCAACTACCAGGTGCAAAGATGGGCATCAAACAACAACGTGAGAAATAACGTGGCAGAACGTGAAGCCCACTTGCTTCCCACAGGCCTCTCTCGGCCTAAGCAACTTATCTTGTGATTGTCTGTTGGAACCTTGGCTAAAAATACCCAGCAGGTTGATATCGCGAAAGACGGATCCCCCAACAGAGGATTCCTCTACAGCTCAAGTTGGAAAAGCTGCGGGTCAAAAGGGCAGGTGCAAGAACGCGTGCCCGATGCCCAAACGAAAGCGGCGGGCCAAAAGGGCCAGTGCCGAGAAAGTGCTAGATGCCTCAGACGGCGCGCGCGCGCGATTTTTCTCTCTGACCCATCTAGTCTTGTGTATTGAGTGCAGTGACTGTGGGTGTTTGTCAAACATCCTTACCCCTTAAAACTCCAAGCCCTGGGGAAGTTAATCTTTTACAGACATATAGCCCATGTTACCCAAAAAGTTACGACAAGTTGTGTTTTTAAGAGGTAAGCATCTGCCAAATCCACAAAACCCACCTCTGAAATCCGCTTCCTTCCCCAGTCCCTGCATGCAGGTTTTTGTTGGCTCCACCCTTCCCCCGGAGCGAATCTGCACATCTCTCAGGAGATATCCGTGCAGACAGGTGTTGCCGTTGCTTCAGAGTGAAAGGGCCTAAACTTTCTCGCCATGAAGTCTGCACCAAAAGGGGACATGCAGGCCGTAGCCAAGTGACTGACAAACGTACATGGAAGAGTATGATTTAACCAGTCTTTTGGATTCCTTGGGTTCCCTGATTCTGCTGGTCACTGTTGCGGGTCACGGCCCCCACTCGAAGGCAAAGTGCTTTGATTCAAAAACCAAGCGCCGGTTCAGCGACCCTGGAACAAGGGAACTATCGTTGGGGTTGACAATCGGTAAGGACCTAAAAAAAGGGGAAACCACTGAACAGCTGGGAAACGAAAAGAGCACCTACAATCCTGCAATTGCCACATTGCAAAGCCTGCTCCCCAAGAAGACCATCACCTTCGGTGAAACCACTCTTTTAGCACCCCTTGCCATCGGCAGAAAGCCTGGCATATCGACAAACACACGGACAACCACAAAAACAAATAGAAATACAAATATAAACGCAAACACACACACACACAAACACAATTACAAACGCAAACAGGCACACCCAAGCAAACTAACAAACCCAAACAACCAATCACATGAACATCCCCACATATCCCCACCCTTAACTGGAAATCATGAGGCTTCGCCTGGCTGCACATGTTCCAGCCCCAAGAAATCAGGGCATGCTGCAACTGTAAGCGGCCTTTTTCGTGTGGAAAGTTGGTGACTCAATTCCTGCGGATTGGCCAAAAAAAGGGCCAAACCTCATTTGTACCATAACAGTTCGTCTTCCCAAAAATATCTTTTCAATACCAGCTCAGATGCCCAGTCGATTTCCATGGGAACCAAAGGGTATCCTTTTGTGGTTGGGGAGCGAGCCCTTGCCCAAAAAACGTCCATTTGCTTAAGCCCCTGCGAAGAAAAAACAACTTCCAGTAGTGATAGCTTCCCTTTAAAACCAACAAGGGAAAACAAAAACCACGAATATTCTTACGCACATGAAAGGACAGGTTGGAAAAAGGGGCGGGATCCACCAACGGCCAGGCCAGGAACTCGGGACTCGGAGCCGTCGATCAGTTTCTTCCTGCCTGGCAGTCCCCGGCTTCCCCCACGACTCCCAGCACCAAGTTGTGGGTGAGCGTCAACTTCTGGACTGGCATAGGCAGTCGAAAGATGAGCCGCCTCGGGATTTTTTTCGAAGCGGAGAAATTTCACGTCGGGTTTCTTCCGAGTCCCTTGCAATTTGGCATCTTTTGGCTCAAAAACATGGAGACCAAAATGGCACCTTGGTACATCGAAGACTGAAACCTGCGCAACCCTGGCTCTTCAATTTTTAGCCACACCCATACCTGAGGAAGCCAAACTTCCATGAGAAACACGGGGCACTCCTTTCTGGCGAGCTTCATGCCAGACCTCCAAGAAAGGAAGAGAAAAATCCAAAGCAACTCACGTGTCCGGGGACACCGAAATGTTGTGTGAACAACTTTGGCCCAACCCTGCCTCAAACCGCTTCAACGGGCCCAAGGTTGGCCCCTGTTGCTTTTGGCATGGCTCTGCAACTATGATCCTGCCAATCAGAGAACCACAGTCTGGTTGTTCAGTGACCCTGGCAGAGAAAAGAAAGACTTTAGTAGCGGTCGGTCAGTGTTGGGGAAGCCACCAACCCAACTAGGAACCACTTGTCCGGACTTTTCGATGCGTCGAATGCGACCGGCTGCAAGGCGACTTGTCCATATAGGGACATGATTTTTCACAGGTTCACCTATCAGGACCTCCACTAAACATGGGAAAGCCAACAGGTCGAAAGGTCCAGTTCTGGGCATCTGAGCAACTGGACTCTCTGATGCTCCCAAGGCAAATGCGGCGTTTTTCCGCCTCCAGGACAGGAACGGGCAATGAGTCCACACTCGTGAACACCAGCTCACAAATGCTTGTTGGGGTTTTACTTGTCAGTCAAAGCCGCGCGCATGGCTGGAAACTCCATCCAAAGGGCTGGATTGCGATTGATTTCCTCCATTCGAACCCCCGCCGAACGGTTGGATTACTATGTGCTTCCCATTGTAATTCTAACCCCATCCAAATGGATGGACTACTGTATAGGTTTCCCACCATGTCCAACCCCCGACAACCCCGAAAACATGACAGCTGGGTCGCAATCCGACAGCCTCATGATCATCATCCCCAATAGATGTGTAACTCCGTTGCGCTTCCTGACTCGCTCTGTCAGTTTGCTGGTTTCACCCAGCTCTACACTAAAAAAATGGGTCTGTCTTGGTGCATTGGGGTAGCACCTCTTTCCAGGGATCTTTCCTTCAGATGCCAAACAACTTTCGCGGGCGGGCTGTTGCAAAGAACGATGGGCGATTTTCTATAGCAAAGTCGGTTTTTCTTTTTTGGACCTCCAAAAGTTGCGCACTTGTTCGAACCGACCCGAAACAAGGCAGTTTGTATCTGTCGAAATCCAGTGACGCAAGACATGAGTCATGTTGAAGACTGCATCGGCATGAATTTGGGCTACCCAGAGCCATTAAAAAACAGAGAGGCGGTGAAGGCACCCATGTTAGTATCAGTTTTAATTGGGGACCCTTTGGTGGACATCATCTAGGTGAGGATTTAAGGGCCACCAATCACTTGTTCCAACCATAAAAATTCATTGCCATTTATGGCAAAGGGGATTCTCCCTAAACCTTCATCGACCCAAGGATCAGTTTGAAGCATAGCTCACAGCCCCGTTTTTTCTGGGCGACGGGCCCGGTCTCCCAGTCTGCCGGTCGACCCCGTTGCGAGGCGCTCCCCATCCGCGTCGAAGGCGTCCCTCAGCACCCAGACGCGGCCGCTGGGGGCCTCTTGGCCCCAGGTCGAACTTCCGCAAAGCACAAGCTCGCCCGTGGCCAGGCGGTGGACACCTGTCACCTCGCGCAAGCTTCCCTCTGGGTGGCTTGGTGTTGTTGGGGATGCTATCTCCAATATTCCCCAAATCACCAACTAAGAGATTCCTGATCAAATGACCAGAGCCAAACAAACAAAAAAGTAAGACACAGGTGGAGAACAGTAAGGATTTGATGAAAATCTGGCATGGACGTCTCTGAGGCAACAAACAAAGCAACAGGAGTTCTCCTTCAATGGCAATTTGTTGTGAGATGGAAGCTGCTCAGTGGCAGTGGGCTTTCCCCCTGTTTTTGGTGAGGCCACGACTTTCTGGTCAAGCGCATGTTCAGGTATATATAGGGCTTGGAGGAATATGGACGCTTGTATATAACCCAATTGAGCCAGGCAGTATGTACCTCTTACATAAGGGTGTTCTGGCATACCGTAATCATCCATCCCTGATAACTTCGTGAGTTTGGAGGGGATTCCCTCGCTATCTTGGCCATGTTACCTCCAGAACCAATACCTGAAATCTGAGTATGTGTTTCCTCGAGTTTTTTCGGGGTTTAGGTTCCAGTACATTTCTCCCGAGACATGGTTTGTTTGTTTCGATTGAATTATGTTGCCTCAAACCCTGCAAAATATATATATATATATAAACAGAAAAACAAACGGGTCGGTGCAACAACCCACCGCTCACAAGGTCCCTTTCTGACCTGGTTTCCTACCTCTTTCGTAGTTTTGTGTTCCGTACCGTTTTCATCCATGCTGGTGGTTGGGGAGTCCCTTGCTATGGCCATGTTACCTCCAAAAGCCGCTGCCTGAACAACTTTAGAGGTGCCTGGAGTGGCTGTGGGTCAAAGCCCTGCACCCCTGGTGAACATCAAAATAGGTGGCAAATGGATGTTCACCTCAAAATGGGATCGCCATTATGCCCCACACCCGAGTGTGCATGATCCTTAAAACTCATAGGGCCGAGAACCCGGCCCAAAAAAAAAACGGCCAGAAAGCGCACTGGGGCCTAGTCCATGTTGACTGTTGAGGGGAGTCCCTCGAACTATGGCCATGTTACCTCCAGAAGCCGCTCCCTGAACAAATGCCCGGGTTGCATCTTGGTTGCAACGACCCCCCTGCAAAAAGTGGATCACTGTTGGATTTTTTAGTTCGGAAAACACCTTTGTGTTAGTGGAAGCACACCTTGATTTCCCAAAAAGTCAAAGTCTAAAGATCCAACCGAATAGCAGCCACGTGCTGGGGCCGGTTTCAAAGGCCTCCCCTGCGAGATGCACCACGGACAGCGGCTTGTCCATGCTGCCCAGGCGATGCGCGTCGTAGAGCCGCAGCTGGCTGGTGGGATCTGCCGCCCCGTCCCTGGCTGAGGAGATGTAGGCTGTAGGGTTTTTCGGGTGTAGGGTTTGGGCTTCGTCTCAAAATGAAAGTTGGAACCCTGAAACAGATGGTTCCTGCTCTCACTCCCAGAGTGGATCGGCACAAAGTCCACACTTTGTTGATTGCAACTGAAATCGTCTCCCCCCCCCAAAAAAAAAGAGGAACAGGCGAATGCAGGAAGAAACTCGTGTTGGTTTCCCTTTAAACCCCGCCCCTAAAAAGGCTTTCGTGAGTCCTCACGGATCCCCAAAGTCTGCGATTTGCTGCCCACTCAAAGGATCCCAGCCCCTGTCCATCTACACAAACAACGACATCCGCCTATTGGAAAGAAACAATGGGAAACGTGGCCATGGGTCAAAAGCCAAATCGTAACCCAGTGAACATCCCAATTCCCAAAAATAATGGTACCATTGGTGTTGACCCACAGCCAAGTGATGGCCAAAGGCTTCCAGCCACTTCCAGTTGAACGCTTGCCGCCGGTTGTAGAAAGGCCTTAGGGTCTTAGGGTCGCTATGGAGGCCTCCGATCTCTGGACGAGTCGGGGCGGCCCCGACTCTCGAAAGCTTGAAGGAGGCTCAATGTGAGAAACCAAACGTCCAAAGCGTGCAAAGGAAGGCTCGGCCGTTGCCTGGCAATGTACTCTTACTAGGTCCTCCAATAGAAATGTTTGAATAAGGGCACCGTTTCTTTTTTTCTGTAGTCTATTTTAGTAGGGGAACCCTCCCAACCCAAAAAGAAACGGTAAAAGTTGGCACCTAACTGGGGGACCTAGTTTAAAGCCCATGCCGTTCCTGTCAAACCATCCGAAGGGAACTCTTCATTTTCAGCCTGGCGCCTGCGAAGTGGTTGCCAGGATTTACGAAACCTTCTCCTCAGGTGGTGGCCTTTTGCCTCGGGGTCCTTACCAGTGAGCCAACCAATTCGCCAATCATTCGGGCCGATCCTTGCACAACGCCTTCTCAGACTCCTAAGCACCCTGAGTCTGAGACGCCTTGCGAGCCTGATTCCTGCTTGGGAAAAACGGCACACTCCCTGACTGGATGGGCCGAGAGACTTCCAAATTAGTTGCGTGCCACTAAAATCGCCTTCCCTAAAAGTATAAAGTCCAGCAACACGGGAGGTGAGGAACTTCGGAAAAAGTCAAGCGAAAAATGCACATGGCAGCCAGACTTGGTCCCCCTGCAAAAAGGGCCAAACTGCTGCTGGCAAGGGGAAAAAAAGGAAACCCAAAAGGCATCAGGTCAAACAGGTAAGCCACATTTCTGCCAAACACAGCGGCCCAAATTGTGACAGGAAATGCGTGGTTTGCTGGCACGAGGGTAGAATTTCTGAGAATAAGGTGTTTTGGTTGACGTTGGAAGGGGAGCAACAATTCATTGTTTAGCAGTTAAGTGGGAATTTGGCCACTAAACCACAACAAGCAAAGATGTAAAATGTCTCCCAACAACAACCATGGTGTCGTGCAGTAGAGAGGTTAGAATAAGGGCACCGTTTCTGTCTTTTTTTTTTTGTAGTCTATTTTAGTAGGGGAACCCTCCCAACCCAAAAAAACACGGTAAAAGTTGGCACCTACTGGGGGACCTAGTCAAGGAATCCCAACGAAAACTCTGTGTCCAGGGCTTCGCTCGGTCTTCAGGCCATGTGTCCAGGGCTTCACCACCTCCGCGAAAATCCCCCCGTGGAGAAACGCCACCACGAGGATGCGCTCGTGGCGGGCCGCCTGCAGGGCTCGGCGAGGGCTCCGCTCGCCTTTGGGTTTCACTGCTGCCCCTTCTAGGCCGAAGTCTGGACCCAGTCCCGTCAGGGACAAACCCATGTTCTTCGGATACCGCTATGATTGGATGTATTCCAGATGTAGCAGCGGGGACAAGTTTGGCTACAGGAACATCTACAGGAAATTACCCCAAAACACCCAAAAGATGCCGCTTTATTGCAGAATTTCCTGGAACCCAATCCTCTGGTTTTCCTTTCTCCGACATGAGATGTCTGGGATTCATATATCCAACCATTTGTGCTGCTTCTTGCTTGATACGCTTGTGCAAGTTGAGGACCCGACGAAGGTCGAAGGCCTTGCTCATGCGAAGAAGGCGCGTGAGCTCTCCCGAATCTCTATGTCGTGTGGTTGGCGGATGCCGTTTTGAAGAGGCATATGCCAAAGGGATTTGGCCAATGACCATGCAGCCTCAGGGAGCGTCCGAGCCAAGAACCCCGAGTGTCTAGAAACCCGGGCTACAGTCGGCCCAAACCTTGAAAAGGGCTGAAGGAACGCCAAATGAAACAGGCACGCTCAGCCAATTGAAGTACCGACACTTGTGTCCAGTTCTAGCCTCGATGATTTGAACAAAAACTGTATACACCCAGTCAACCAGCTAGGAGGCCTGAAGTGCATTTGCAACGAAACCATGCGGCCAGTTGGGCCTACTCAAGTGCCATCCTCAATGTCGCAATCACCCTCTTTTTGGAGGGAACCGAGATCCGCTAGGGGTCGTTCTCCACTTTTAAGGAACCCTAGCGGCGTTTGACTTTGAAGGGAAGCCGAGAAGCCCTTCCCCCAAAGGAAGTAGTGATGAACCCACCGGCCAACTCTGTCTTTCTTTCTTTTTTCTCTCTCTCTTTCTCTCTCTCTCTCTCTCTCTCTCTCCCCCTCCCAGGCGACTACTGTAAGCCAAGGCTCTGTGTTGCCGAGACGGGCCACTGGCCCGTTGTGGTGGCAGGTGGTGTCATTCCAGAACTCGAGCTCCTCGCTCGCGCGTGCGGCGACTTTGGTCGTCATCGGACGGGCTCGTTCTTAAGGAGTTTAGTGCAGTTATGGAAATCAACCTGTGGCCTCCATTTGCTTTAAGTCGCCTGGGAAAAAGAACATATTGCCAGTAGTGATAGATTCCCTTTAAAACCAAAAAGGGGAAAATAACAAGTCATAATGGAAGGTGACCAATGGAGTGTTCAGTTCGGACCGACTCATGTCCTGCATATTGCGGATGCCCCCCAAATATAGTGAAAGTAAACCAAACGTGCTCAACACGCAAAACCATGGATAAGTGCGGTAATTTAGATGTCCTCGAAAACACGACTCCTATTGGACACTGATCGAAGGCAACAATTTTGCGCCCCTTGATACGCACCCCGAGCATGTAGGTTCTTAGTTGTCCAAAGCCGACCTTTGAACCTGTTCTTTTGGTTTTCCCGTCTTGGTGTATATTCAGTCAAGGTTGCAACAGCCTTTAATTTCCGGGTCTTTTGGGCAAGTAATTAGGTTGCTTGGGATCTGCAATTTCCTGTGGATGAACCCAGGCTTCCATTTGCTTAAGCCCCCAACAAAAATAGTTCCAATAGTGATAGATTCCCATTAAAACCAACAGGGGAAATAACAAGTATTCTCAAGCAAATGGAAGAAATGTTTGGGTGGGCGGGTGGGCGGGTGGGCGTCTGGGCGGGTTGGGTGAGGGGTGGCTGCATGCCTGTGCTCGGTTGCTCGGTTGCTTGCTGGTTGCATTTTGAGTGAAACTAATAGAATAGGGTTGTTTGGAGTTTCGCTGAAAGAGCCCCGCATCAATCCTCAGGATGGTACATTCCGTGGAACAGAAAGGCCACACCTTCTACAGTAAACAAAACTATGCCTGCGGGTCTCCTATGCCTCCCAACACGAAAGTGCACATCCTTTTCAACAGAAATCACGCATTTTCTGCTTCATGTATGTTAGGTGGAAGGGTAAGTTAGAATCCAAGTGGGAAATACATGGCAAGAAACTGGGTTTCTGACCAGACGGGTGTGGAATCTAGCGGCCCTCCTGATATTCACACACCATAGCCGCCGTAGCCTATGGCAAACTAATGCTCACATTCCATGCAAGGCCCAGAGACCTGCCCGAATCCTAAAAGGTCCACCTTCGGATTTTTGGACGCGTTTTGGATTCCCAGGTCATTCTGTTTGAAACTAAAGCTAGGTCCAACCGAAAGCCAAGAAGCACTGGGTACACATTTAACACATTTCCATCTTCAGGGTTCAAACGGCGGATCCAACCAACAAAAACAGCCCAGCTGAAGCAACGGCGCATTGCCGGTGCTCACCATCATCCCGGCACTGCCTTGGATTCTGAGCCGAGCTCTGGTGGATACAAAGGCACAAGGAACTCTCTTAATTTACCATGTTCACCCTGGCTTCGTGGTTGAGTATGCTGGGTTTGCGGCAAAAATTGGAAGGCAACCCGTCAAACACAAAGGGACGCTAGATTCTCGCCCATCTGTGATCGTAGCCATGCGTACCATCGGTGGCAACAATTTGGAGAACAGGAGCCATAGAGCCACAAATTGACTGCAGCTCCTGCGACATGGCTGAGGCGGTTCAATCATAAAGACTTCCCACTCCCGAATGGAATCAACCAAAACGTTTACTCCAAATGGTCGTCCATTTCCGGCGTCCCGTCCCTCGACCAGCTTCGCACATAGAACAAAACCCACTCGCTGTGTGAAGCTCCAACAAATGCCCATGCCCCATTTTCTCCTGCCATAGCCCATGAGTTGCCATAGCTCATGAGTTTATTGAAATTGAGGCCATGACTTTCCCAGGCAGGTATCGGTTTCGGGATGTTTTGGGGGTTGGTTTAGTATGGACACTGGTATCACCGCAAGGTTGGTAACAAGCACCACGCTTAACATCCACATTTGAAAATTCCATGAACCAGTGGGTTCCCAGAGAAGCAGCTGGCACTTTGGGGTTGATTTCAGTACACACAGAACAACTCCACAAAAAGAAAGCTTTCCATAAGATCTCATCCCTTGCTTTGTCCCACTTTGAAGGGGGTTCAGCACCAGCACTGTGAGACAAAATCCTACTCCGGCCAGTAAGTGGGCCTCAAACCTAGTACTGATGCGAGTCGAGCCCTGAGTCGAGGTGCTCATCTTGGCAGGGAGGTTCCCCACAAATGTCCTGCCGAGTATCCGTGGACCTCTTAGCCGGAGGCCTTGATTTTCGAGGTCGCTTAACATGATTGGTGTGTTTTTCGTTCGATGGAAATGATATGTTCCAACAAGACGCAATTCCATGTTGGGAAACACGGGGACCAAACTTGTGCCTTGCCGTGTTCGATCTGCAAAGGGGTGGCGTCAAAAGAAACACTCAGACTGAAGCATATTCAAAGGCCTGCCGGCTTACTTTTTGTTGTTTGGATATGAAAGGAGGCAGGGCACAAGGTGAAAAAGGAAAGCGATCCGAATGCTTTCAAATACTACAAAGCTGCTCCACGGATGGAAGGTCATCTTGGCTCGAATTCAGATCAACCCGCGGCCCTCTTCGTTTTGCGTCGGGTTCTCATGCACTCCCTTCTGCCCTGGCCCGCACAGTGAGCAGCGACCAAAACCCGTCGACTTTGGGTTCTAACATGTATGGCGAGTAAGATTCGTACAGAAACTATAATCACTAACTTATAGAGTTGATGGCAAACAAATCAAACTTGCCGTTTGCCATCAACATGGTCTTTTCAAACGGAACTCAGGGAGTGACCTATTCAACCAGCCCAACTACTTGTTATCAGCTTCCCTCCAAGTGATGGTTTGGAGCTCGGTGGTTTGGTGGCTTGGTGGTTGGTGGTTTGGTGGTTAAGGAGGTGTTTCCCATTTACCCACGGAATCAGGGGTTCAAATCCAAAAAAAGCAATCCAGACCACCAATTGGGGGGAGGCTGATGCTGAGTCACCCCAACAATCCCCTCAAAAAATGTCGCCCTGAAGGCGATCCCTGCCAGGGTCGTCTTGAGGTCAAGGGACGTTCAAGGGCTGGAAGTAAGGGGCACCGTCCCACCATTTAACATGGACCCTGCCGTTTTGGGTCCTGGTTTGGACCATTCTTCTTGTTCAAGGGGCCGGGTCCCGAACGCCGAACGGTTCCATGTGAAAAGGGTGGGGGGGCACCCCATTTTTTTTAACTGGTCCAAGGTCAAACAAAAATACAACAAAACTCGGCTGCCCTCAGATCCCCCGCTAAAAAAGTTCATTTTTTGTGGGTTAAATGGACACTGCAACTAAACACTAAATCACTTTTAGCTGGGAGCCACCAAGAAAACAAACCGCTCCTGCAGGGCACCCGCGGCCAGGCGCGGCCCGGCGCGGAAAACAAGGCCAGGGGTCCTGACGAGCAACTTGCACCCCCCTCACCGAAAAGAACAAAATGGCGAGTTTCCGTTTGGCATCCCATTGAAACCACGCCAAACGGGGTAGCCTCAGAAAAAGATACAGCCATATGGCTCATATGCGGATGTTAGTCTTACTGTCCCTTGGGGCAGGGATTTTATGTCCAACCACTGTTCACGGGGTTTCGTTGTTCTTGTTGAAGCCTACACCCCAAACCCTGCACCTTAAGCAAAATTGACATGTTGCCAATGTTGGAGTCTATGAGATGGTCGGGAACGAATGATCCGGGATTGGCATTGACCCTTCCTGAGCAATCAAGAACCGTGTTCGCTGAAAACGGTATCCAGTTGTCCAGCACCACAACAACTACACCAATAACAACGACTACCAAAACAACCACGACCACCAGGCCCCCGCAACCACCACCATGACCACCGCCGCCACCGCCGCCACCACCTCACCACCACCACTACCACGAACACCACAGCCACCAAAACAGCCTCTTTCTCTTTGCGTGTTTCGCTCTCTCTCTCTCTCTCTTGCTCTCTGTTCCCACAGGAACCTGGGGAACCCGTTCTTTTTGGATTCCTTTCTATGCCAAATACTGTTTGGGGTCTCTTGCCCGGATGATGGAGTTTTGTCCTTTTTCACTACCGGTGCGCAAGTGCCATGGTTCACAGAAACTAGTTCTGAACCAGCACTGTCAACATCCTGGCATTGTTTTAACATCCCTGGAGTAGCTTTCAACATCCTCAGCATCACCAGTTGGCTTTGCCTTAGGCCGGGTTTAGGGTGGCAAGTTTGGGGCTGGGGTTTAGGGTTGCAGCGGGTTCGGTTGGTTTTGGGTTTGTAGGTTGGTGTAGGCTTGATTGGTTTGGCTGCGCGGGGGGTGGGTTTGGTGCTGGCTCATGGTGGATTTAGGGTCGGCATAGGGTCTTAGGGTGGGCTTGGAGCTGGTTTAGGCTGTGGGATCCGTGTTTAGGTGGGCTATTGGCCAAGGAGCCAAAACGACAGGGACCTGGGAGCCAAGAAGTCAAACTAAAAAAAAAAAATCAAACGTGCCCCCAAAGCCTGAAGTTCCCAAAGTTGGTCTTTAGGATGCCAATCCGACCCAAGACCAGTCGCATCGGCAGGGTCTCCTGTAGTGCGAATACCACTACTAAACTAATACGGGGGGAAAAAAAAATACACCAACACTGAACCACTACCCAGCCAAAACATGGAGGAAACTGAGTTGCCCATAGGACCCAAACATGCTAGGTTAACCTTTTGGGGCCATGACTAACCATGGGCCGGAAAGAGGAAACCAAAAGGTCAAAAGGCCGGATTTGGGCACGTGAGTCAAATGACTCTGATTTCTGCTGTTGACGGACATTGCGGCTTCGGACGATTTCCCCGGGTCCAAACAAATAGGACTGAAGAGGACTGACCAAAAACCACCCGAATTTTTACCGGGGGCCCTTTGTCTTATTGATACAAGCCCCATTAAAAAAGAAAAAGGAGAAAAACAACTGACCGCAAGCGCGCGCCTGCCATGACACCCAGGCTGCATATCCAAAGCGCCCCAAAAATATGCGCCATGCCATGCCATCCGGCGAAACCGCTCTGCCCGAGAAAGGGGCTCGGAGCGAGCTGAAAGCCGGGAGCTGCGAAGGACTCGCTCAAGTCCCCAAGACTTGGTAGCCCCAAACAAAGATTTGGAAGACCGGCCCCAAACAACACGGCCCAACACGGCCCAACCCGCCCAAATTCTAAACCCTTGTTGGGACAACCGGCCCAGGTGGTTTAAAGTGACCTGCATCAACGGGATAGGGGAACTCATCCACAAGTCCATTCTTACTGAGCTTCGACACTTCCATGGATTTGGCAAGGAATCTGCGCCCGCGAAAAGCCACACCGCAACTATGGAACCACAACAAAACAGCATGGTATAGAAACTTACCCCTTAAAACTCCAAGCCCTGGGGAAGTTTTCATCTTTTACAGACATATAGCCCATGTTACCCAAAAAGTTACGAAAAGTTGTGTTTTTAAGAGGTATAGAAAGGAACGCTCGAACAAGCGGACGGGAGTCAAATTCAGACCCAAGCCTTCCGAATGGCTGGCTTCCTTGCGGGGGCGCTGCATCTTTTGGGCGCATTCGTGAGAGTGCAGGACTAGCTTCAATAGAAAACCAGTGCTTGAAAAGGTGTTGCGCAATAGCAAATGTCTGCATAATGGATAGCCTTGCAAATTAAGTCTACACCAACTAATACCAAAAACTCACCATGCCGTAGGATTCCTCCATCGTGGAACCCTGAATCGCTCGTGCAACTTAATTCCAAGCCTTAGCGTATCAGCCCACATCACTTTGAAGCATGACATGGGATACAAAAAACCATCCAAGCACTGGCATATCGCAATATGGGGAGTCAGGAGCCTTGTAGAGTAGGAGCAAGGTAAGGGCCTCAAGCACTTTCGCCAAAATGCACGCCGGCTCTAGTAGGTCATGATTCTCTGAAGCGCCCTCGCAAGATGTCTGCGCATCTCTCCAGAAAATCAAGGTTCATGTCTAGCAAACGCCGTGCCAGGCAAGGATGGTTGATTCTTCTTGGCCACAGAGGGAGCTTTTGAAGGCGGGCTTACAAATGGAACCACAGGTTCCAAACTCGGCCACATGGAACATGAAAACCTGGAACCACAGTTACGAAACACGGCCTCAATTAATCTAGAAATACTCAGTTGCCCAAAGGACGTGGAACTGAAAAGTGATCACCTTTTGGGTTGCCCTGACTAAATAAGGTATCCCAAAAAGGGAAAAACCAGAAGGTCCTTTCAGGTCGATTCGCTTTGAACAACTCAGCAGCTGAAAAAAAAACACAAAAAACAACAGTTCTTCCAATGACCTTTCTGGCCGCGCGGGCACTCCCTGAGTTCAAAACCTCCGTTTGCGTTTTCGTCCCCTGGAAAATGAGCAAATATGTCCAGTAGTGATCGATTCCCTTGAAAGCCAACAGTGGGGGAAAACATATATATATATATATATATTATATATATATATATATATATACTAAAACAAAAGAAAAAACATATTCTTCACCCAATGGAAGAAACCCGACCGGGGAGAAGCCATTCGCCGGGGTCTGACGCTTTGGGCCATTCGAATGGCCTCACGCTGGGCCGCAGCTCCGCTCGGAAGGCCCCGGGACTGAGAGCGGCGGATCGAAGCGCGCCGAGCGAGAGGTGGGGAGGTGGGGGGGGGGGGTCAAGGGGCGCAGGTGTGGGTCGTGTTGGTGGATTATTATTTTTTTTTGGGGGGGGAGGGGGTGGGTTGGGGGGGGGGAGGTGGGGGGGAGGTGGGGGGGAGGTGGGGGGGGGGAATGGGGGAATTTGGGGGCGGGGGGAGAGGGGGTGGACGTTGTAAGGGACTGCTTTTGCTTTGATTCCAATGGAATCGTTGAGCAAAGCAAAACAAAGAGTCTGGAATCGGGGCGGACGGGTGGGGTTGCCACTGATTGCGGGCAACATCAGCCGGCTGGCGCTTTGGGGAAGTGACCTCCGCGTCACCAAAATGCGTCCTTGCAGGAAAGGCTATGTTCTTGCTTGTTCTGGCCCCACTGGCACGTACCGGTCTTCTCTGTATCATGCCGTTCCCCTACGCTTTGGGACAAGTTTGATCAAACCTGGACGCACTTGCCCCCTAGGGACCTTGAAATAAAGCTTGATCTTGTGGAACCTTGACTAAATATGGACCAAGCAAGTGAGTGAAACTAAAAAGAGGACAAGGATCGAGCGTCAAGAGTGCCCTGATGCGCCTTGTACAACGGGTGCGCTTGTCACCCTGGCACATAACCCATACTAGTAGCTGTTTGTGTTGCTTCGCGTATGCTCAAGAAAAGGATACGAGAAGCAAAGAGGGTGGGCAAAGGGATTCTTCCTCTGAGCCTTAGCCTTGGGCAGGCTTATGCTAGCCCTTGGACGCTGCTGTTGGTTCCTCTGTTCCTCTTGGTGTGAAGGGACCTGTCGTTTGGCAAAACTAGATTCTATTTCTTTTGTTGCCCCCCCGGCAATGGAAAGGGGAGTTCTTAGGAGCTGGAAGCGTAAAGTTTTAGCAGGGGGTGCAGGACATCGCGTTGTATGCGAGCCCATGAGAGAGAACCCGATTCGCCTTTCCCCTTAGCCTCACAAACACACCGTCTCAAAAAAAGAGCCTTTTCCCTTAGCCCATCCCTCTGGAGCAAATGGAAGTGCAAGACAACAAGCAAAGGAGAAACACGGTGGGCCGCCTTTGGTTGAGGGGTCATTCCTTAAGACCTGGTACAGCAAGCATTCATACATCTTCGCTCTCATGTGTGGTTTGTAGCCCAGGTTTGGGGTTGGTTTCTAATTTATTTTCTACAAGTGACTCTGAAAGAACTGGGGGTCAAAACCCAAAGCCACCAATCCTAATTTGGAGTTACTACCCGAAGCATGTTTCCACAAACAAGCTCGGACATAGTGACTGCCACACTGACACCTGGAATGACCATGTCTGAGGCTCAGGCGTTTCGGGACCCAAGGTGAGAGGCCAGGCCTGGAATTGAACAGCCGGCCTAAGGCATGCTGGGGTCCCTTAGGATTTCGAAACTTCAAGTCTAGTTAGATGCGTTGCTGCACTCTTCTCTCACATGTTTAGCACGGGGGATCCACCGGGGGGCCCTGCAAACGGGCGGCTTGGATTGGCTGATTGGTCTCTGGAACCAGGCCGTCAAGTGCCCAACCCAGCCAAACTGACCAACTAACCCTGACGCGGATTTGGCGCTTGCCTTCTTTCGACTCCAGGCTGGCAACAAACTCTGGTGGTTGATGGATTTTGTTCATCCTGATGAAAAGAAGCATCTACTCCTCCTCCTCCTCCAACATTGGACGACAAAATATTGTTGAGAAACTCTTACGACCTGTGTGCAAAGTGCAATGGCTTCAATAACATGTGTTATGACGCAAACTGTTCGGTCAACCTTCAGAACCGGACTGACTCAGACTCAGCCAGGCTTTATCGGCAGGGGAAAAGTGCGCCATCATTCCACCTTCTCAACTCGTGCATTGCCAAAGATCCCCTGAACCATGGCAGTGTTCGCAACATCGATGACACACGGAAGGATTGGGATAAGCATGTACCAGTTGCTGCAATGATATATCCTCAAGAGGGAAACCCAATCTTTGACTCGCGGCAGGCTGAAGCCCAGTGGTGGATTTCCTCGAAGGGGGAACCCTATCATTGACTCAAGGCAGGCTTAAACCCAGTGGCTGATTCTCCCAAAACGGGAACGCCATCCCAGTGGATCATTCACTCCAGGGCACCCCACTTGCACTCAAGGCAGCTTAAACCCAGTGACTGATCTCCTCAAAAGGGGAACCCTATCTTTGACTCAAGGTAGGCACAAACCACCAGTAGCTGCTTTTCCCCAAAGGGGACTACAATCTTCGACTCAAGGTCGGCCAAAAACGCAGTGGCTGCGTTTCCCCAAAAGGCGGAGACCACTATTGGATCGACCCTGCCACCTGCAACCCCGACGCTCGGCCTCTCCAAGGCGGAACCTGGACTCGGCGACTCGCTCCGCGTTACTCGCGGGCTGGGCTGGGGGGCGCTCTTTCCGTGGAGTCGGAAAAAGGAAAGCCGGAAGCTGACTTGTTGTGAGAAGAGACCGGCACATGTTGAAGCACCATGCGAAAGTCAGCTTTTGATGTATCTATATCTCACTTGTTCAGTGACCCTGGAAAAAAAGGGAACCCTTTTTGACGAAGACGAATTTTAATTGGGCAGCCACCCCCCAAAAAAAGAGGAAAAAAGGGTGGCACTGAACAACTGAGATATGGTCCCCAAAGACTTAAAGTTCACGGGGAACAAAAACCTTGAAACCTCCCGAGTCTCCCATCACCTTGAAACCTCCCTTCCCAAAAAGGACACTCACCTTCAAATTGGCCCAAGGCACCAACAGAACCCACAGAAGCACCAAATGGGCTCAAAACACCATTGACGCTGAAAAACTGAGCAACAGAGGCAGAAGTTTAGGCGCCCTGGCAGCACAACGATGGCACACCCACCCCGAAAGGTCCTAGGTTCGCTCACGGACAAGGCCGCCACTGCCAACCGAAAATGCGTTGACATGCCTGCTGAGGCGTGCTTTGTTGCTTGCCTGGAGGGGTTTCTCACCCCTTTCGAGGCCGAGAAGAGTGGCGCAAGTGTACCTCTGTCGCTTGCCAAAGACCCGGTATGGCGAAAAGTTGGTCCAGCGAAAGCACGGGATTGCTCTGGAATGGAGGGGTTGAAATAAACACCGAGCCCTGCTTCAAACCAGCAAGGCTTCCTCTGCAATTACCGTACTTCAGACCTGATACCAACCCCAAAATAGGCCCCCGGCCCAAAAGGGCGCGGCCCAATAACGGCTACACTGCGTTGCTGAGTTTACACTGGGAGCCCTTGACAAACATCTGGTGCTCCTGTGGTTGGCTATGAAAAACATTATTAGCCCAGCAAACTCCATCTAACAGGGCTGATAAACATGTCTAGGTCCTCCAGTAAAGAGGTTAGAATAGGGGCACCCTTTTTTCTGTAGTCTATGTTAGTAGGGGAACCCTCCCCAAAAAAAGGGCAAAAGGGCACTACTGGGGGACATAGATGTGTATAACCCACCCTCTTGGTGGCCGAACTTTGCAGGTGAGAAGTGTGACCGACAGACCGACCTCTCCGAAAAGGGTTCCCCAGTGTTCCCCCTTGATCATCACCCCAAAGCGAACCACCCACAATGAACAAAAAGTGCTGGGTACTAAAAAGAGGTCCGGAACAATGAATAGAAGTCCCATCCCGGTTTTAAAGGAACTATGCAACGGATATGTGCCACAATTCGGGACACCGCCCCAAAAAAGGAGCTTTAACACTGCCCAAACAACAGAGAATTTGGTGCCCTTTAATACCACCCCAAATGAGCAGACTTAGACCCCCTGCAAAAAGCTATATAAACTTTCTGCTGGTAAGGCAACCTGATGGACACCCAAAAAGGGTGTCCAAAAGCTACAAGGGCAAGCTAGCCGTACATGTTAACGAGACCTTGGGACATGCCCACAAAGATAGCATAGGGTTGTATGGGCTTTCGCTGGCAAGGACATGGGTCAAAATCCCGTACCCGTAGTGAACATCCCAATCCCCACTAAAAGAAACTAAAATGGGTGGTGCACCTACCCCAAAATCATACCATTGTTTTGACCCACAGCCAAAAGGGTACCTTCAAACAAAATCAGCCCCAGTCTTCCGGCGGGAAATCGTTCATCGATCCGAAAACCCGAGTCTCCAGCCATTGCGTGGCAGATTGGGAGCTGCTGGGGATGGGATGCAGCACCCGCCTAACTGCGAACCAGCAATCGAACGGGAAGAAATAAACCCGTGGGTTCATTTCAGTTGGAACCGGTTCCCAAGCTTCTTTTCAAAGAGACCAACACAAGGGGGTAGCTTTATGTGTCACAAAATGTCACAAGATATCCGGGCCACTGAATGGGCGTGCCACTGAACAAATGGCCAAAAGGAAGGCGTCAAAGACAAGGGAAAAAAGGGCGTCGCTGAACTGCTCCGCCATGCGCCTGGGGTTGAGTCGGGTTGCTTGAAGCTTCGGCGCCCTGCCATGGGGCCTTCGGAGGTGCCGAGCAATCGCCACCAAACACGGGCGTCATGTACCGAGCCACTGGACAGTGGGCCCTATCCCAAAGCCCTTCTGTCAGAAACCCATGGCTTGAAGTTTATTTCTGGAGCTGGCCCCAAACCAAAAAAAAACACAATGGCTTACCAAGGGCGCCCCTCCAACGGCTTAAAATAAGCGATCCGGACGCGAAGTTCGTTGCAACAAGCGATCCGGGCGTTCGGCAAATTGAAGCGCCCAGCGCGCAAGGGCTCCACATCTTCGACGAAAAGCCTCGGGCCGAGGCTGAAGTTCCCATGGTTCCAATGGACAGCATGGGTCCCTAAATATATAGCTGCTATGTAACGTAGGGGGGACCAAGAGTTGAGTTTCCATTTTGGTGTCCCGTTCAAAGACCCAAACGAGGTGCCCTCAAAGAAGTGCGAACACATACAAGGAAAGTAGTCTCCAAAAACAACTCCCTCAAAATGAGCTGACTTTTTGACTGGCCCTATCTGCAACTGAGAAGAAGCCAGCCCCGTCACATCGAGTAACATTCCGGGGATCTCACATGGGTGGAGCCTTCTTCCCCTGAACTTTCCTCCCCCAAAACGAGAACGCTGGGTTTCGGGGTTCCATCTTCATCGTTCATCTGGAGCCTTACTCATATATATATATAATTGCCAGGCACACTCTGTTCAGGTTCCAGAAGGTTGCTCAGGGTCTTGTGGGGTCCATTGCTGCCTGCAACACCCCCTGCACCGGGGTCCACTGGCCAACCCCGCTATTCCCGCCATAACTTCGCTCGACCCAAACACGGCCGAGCGAAAGCCGAAGCGCTCGAGCGCCGTCAGCTCCACCGAGACGTTGAAGCAGAGCTGAAGGTCCAGGAACACGGTCTCCGCCTACGTTTTGCCCCCCCCCCCCCCCAGCCCCCCCAGCCCCCCCAGGCTCCGCGATTGAATCGGAGCAGCCTTCATTCAGGGGGAGTTCTGGAGGCTTCGAGGGCTTTGTGTTGGGGATGCCATCTTGGCCTTTTTGTATTTCAGGTGTGAAAAGTGACCTGTTTGCTGGCTGCCAAAGAAGGAAAACTTGGCTTAGTCTGGCGATGATGCAAAGAGCAGCTCTGAAAATGGCTTCAATAAGTGGATTGAACCGGCTGTGTGAAAACATGTCAAAGGCTGCAATGTTAAAACTGGCTGAATGGCAATAACAAACAAGTTGTCAACCTTGGAACATCCAAAGGTCAAACGGTCAACCTGCTCTGAACAAGGGATTTGGGGCCGATGCCATGAATCAAACAGACCACAAGTATAAACGTGTACGCATGTATATGTACATAAATATCATATTTGTAACTATATTGTGTATACACATGCGCCGTGTTAAAGACAGCATCCATGTGGGTGGGTATATATAGCTGGCGCCAGGTTGAGATACCGTGAGCTGGCCAAGCTCATTCATACCCAACGGCCCAAAATTGTCCTGAGACAAACCGCAAAGTGGTGTCGGCGCTTTTTTGATGGGTCCCTTTTCACCAGTTGCTGAAAGGGCAGCCAGGAGGAGAATTTTCGTTTTCGGTGTTCGGTGTTTTAGGGGACCCCCAAAACAGTGTAGGTGTCCTTTTGGAAGCCTTTAAAAAAAACAGCCAAAACTGGTAGCCGAAAAGAAAGACAGACCTCATTCTCAGATCCCCCCCATTTCGACACCTCTTGCGAGGTTCCAGTTTCGCCCCGGCCCGTCCTCTGCAGCCTGCGGCCAGTGGCCATCGCTTGACCGCCTGCATGGGCACCCATAAAACCACATGTTCTCACTGGCTGAGTGGATGGCCCCCAAAAAAGTCCAAACTTTACATTTGCCACTAAAAAGGGCTTCCCAAAAAGTTTGAAGTTCATGAACTCAGGAAGTGAGTTGTTACAAGCTAAGGGCCCTTGGGAAAAGGCCGCATTGAGGCCTGAATGAAGGCCGTATTTGGGCTCAACAACCCTCCGCCCCTCCCCTCTCTCCCCCGCAAAACCCCATGAACCGTGTTTAGCGGCATGTCCTTCCCAAAGCTTCCCAAAGGACTAAAAAAAACAGCAGAACCACGGCTGGAGCCACAAAGAGACATAATGATCATCAATTTCCATTGTGAAACATGCACTTGTCACAAGACCCAGACATATTTCGGGCTGTTCAAAATGGAGTATTGGCCAATCCAAATCCATAATCCCTGGTCCCTGATGGTCACTTTCGTAACGTAAGGTAAGGATTGTCAGGATTGCCTTTGAGCAGCCCAACTATTTGCTGAAAAAGGTTGTTGCAATGGCTACAGCTACGGCGGATGCCCGAAATGTTGCAAGTGAATCAACCCCAAACCTTCGGACTTGTAGGGTTCCCTTGTTCCCTACTTGCAATGTTTAGGGCATCCACCGCACCACAACTGGTACGCCCAATTTGGGAGGACTCCCCATTCGCCTTCCGGAGTCAGTCATCGTGCTGTGACTTCCCGCCCTTGGGGCGGCAAATCGGAGGGCCGGAGCCAAAAGAAAAAACGCCACATGTGTATTTGACTGATTTTGTTTCTTGTTTTTGTTAAGGCGCCTCTAAGACGCATCTTTTTGGTGGGTGGTTTTAAGGGAATCTCACGAGGAAAGAGCCACATTGCTGCGCTCCCCCCTAGCCACATGAGGTCAGGGCACACAAACACGCGAGTCACTCGCCTCCGAGGGATGGGCCGGTGGCCCTTCCAAAGACCTTCCGCAGCGGGGGGCTCCTGGCATCACTCGCCAAGCTGCCAAAACTTGGTTGCTGCTGACCCCCGTGCAAAAAATAATAATTTTTTGGGGGTTTAGTGGAAAGCCCTTGGTTTCCCAAAAAGTTAAAGCCTAAAGATCCAACCCAATAGCCGTCAAGAAAAAGCCGCGTGCCAAGCCAAGCGTCACGGATTTGGCTGTGGGTCAAAGCCAATGGGATCCCGTTTTGAGGTAGGTGAATTCACCACCCATTTTAGCCTATTTTAGTGGGGATTGGGATGTTCACTGGGGATACGGGCTTTTGACCCATGGCCATTTGTCTGGGGGTTTGCACAGAGAGTAAGCGCTTGCAGATCTTGGAAGAGGATGCCACGGAATGGGTTTCTATCCCAAGTGGCTGTTTATGGCCACGTGCAAGCATAGCTTTGTTCAAGCAACGGCATGAAAATGTGACCAAAACCATGACCCCGTTTGGCGCATACCACGACTCCCACAAAAGCGGATGCCACAATCCCTAAAGCCACCCAAACTGATTTGCTTCCGCGTGTACTTGCGCAGAAAGGAACATATGTTTAAGTAAAGCAGTGCTTCGCCGCAGCTTGTGTAGGCTTCGGCTTCATTGGGCTACCCATGCTGCCTGCAAACACGGGGCCACCCTTCCGCGCGCAAACCTTCCGCGAAACACGCCGGCATTTGTTGCCAGTCAATGTTGGTGATCACTCTTGGCTCAGAAAAGAGAATGTCAAACAGCAAAACGATCCAGGGAAGGATTGAGCCTCGATGTGTGCTTGTCAGCGTGACAAGCAAACAAACACGACAAACAAACACATGACAAATACGACACGGAGAGACACACGCAGAGAGACACGGAGAGGGAAAAATGGAAGCCCAGCTTCCTCAGCCATTGCCACACAAACACGAAGCCATTGCTACAAAATGAGTAAACAATTAAGAAAGAAAGAACAAAATGCTTGCCTTTGCTTGTTTTGGCTTGCTTTTGCTTGCTGCTTTTGCTTGCTTGCTTTTGCTTGCTTGCTTTTGCTTGCTTGCTTGTGCTTGCTTGCTTTTGCTTGCTTGTTTGTGTTTGCTTGCTTGCTTTCTTGATTGATTGCTTGATTGATCGACTGGTTGGTTGGTTGGTTGATTGGTTGGATGGGTTGGCTCGTTGGCTGGATGGTTGTTTGACTGTTTGGTTGGTAGGTTGAGTGAGTGCGTGAGTGCGTGAGTGCGTGAGTGCGTGAGTGCGTGAGTGCGTGAGGGAATGAGTGAGTTGAGTTGAGTTGAGTTGAGTTGAGTTGAGTTGAGTTGAGTTGAGTGGAGTTGAGTGGAGTTGAGTGAGTGAGTGAGTGAGTGCGTGACTGACTGACTGACTGACTGACTGACTGACTGACTGACTGACTGGTTGGTTGGTTGGTTGGTTGGTTGGTTGGTTGGTTGGTTGGTTGGTTGCTTTCTTGCTTCATGGGTTGCATTGGAGTGGATTGGGTTGGGTGTATTTGGCTCCATCAGTGTCCATAACACATTGCAGGAACAGACTCTTGGGTGATGTCAAATTTCGGTTGACATCTGTGTGAAGCGTGCTCGCAGTTGAACGAAGTGTGACACCCTTTTCTTCTAAGGGCTCCCCTGCTTGTTGAGAAGAGGGGGCAGCGACGGGGCCCAGGTAGGCGTGTGTGGTGGGGCTTCAGCATGCTCTCCAAAAGTCTGCTCTGAAGCCACCCTTGGGAAATCACTCAGAGTCTGGGTACGCATCGGGGTTCGGAACGAGAGGGAATGCGATCAGCTAGGCGATTGTGTGAATGTGAGGTGTGCAGGCAAGGTAGGTAGTGTAACGAGCCAGCAAATCTTATTACATAATAGGGTACGCACCGGGGTATGGAACGAATGTCGTGGCTCTGTTGCAAACCCCATCCCTGAGGGTGGGCGGGGGGTCCCCAATTCAACATAAATGGAATTCCATCCCCCCTTCCATATTATATCAGGGGGCGGCTCAAGAAACTGAGCAGCCCCCAAAAGCAAAACAAATCCACGGCCCAACAGCCCGGCCTCCTGCAACTTTGTAAGGAAGGCCACCGGACCTGGCGGAAAATGTTCGGTGGTGTCTTGGGAGGCTGGCGAAGCAAAACTCAAGGGTCATGCCGGGTGTCATTTTCGATGCCCATTTGTGGATGGGTTTAATTAATTGGAAATTGGCAAACGGAAAGGAAAACGGGGTCCAATTTTGACACATACCCACTTGCCATGTAACTGGGCCGGACTTAGACCCGCTGCAAACAAACACAAAACAGGTGTTTGACTGATGGAAAGGAAAGCATAGGAGGACATCTGCAAGGTAAACATTTAGACAAATCAGCTAGGGCTGTCCAAAACACCTCCCCCGAATGGGAACCATAGTGAATTCCCAAAAAATCGAGCGGCTGGCTCACCAAGAGCGCACCAAGTGGAATTGTGATATGTCCTACAAAAGCGGGCCCCAAGAAAAAGCAAATAGAATCAAACCATTCAATTATAGGGGTCCACAAATATAGAACGCACCCGCATGGTGATCATCTTCTGAATTGGCAACACACGTTTCCTGTTTGAGAGTGTATGTTCCTGTTGAAACTCATTGTGATGTTCCGCACATCTCCCCACACAAGCAAAAGCAGGACACCCCACACGCAGCATGCCACACAGTTTCTGATATCCTTTTGGGACTTTGTGAGTGGCATGTGACTTTGAAGGGGGACACTACGTCCGTCCCAAGTTGATCATTCACCAAAAGTATGTCCACCGCATCGCCTGCAAGCACGGCTTCCCACAGCAGGCTTGCCCGAAGAACAGCCATGGCGCTATCATGGCAGTACAAAACGTCTGGCAGAAGGCATTTCGGGACGGGTTACGTGGGCGTGTGTCCAAATTGAGGTACCCAAAAAGTGGTGGGCGTCCTCTTGACGTCCTTTAAACGCACGGGCATCCTGAAAAATTGACGCACATGGGGCGGGAATTTATCTGCTGCCTTGTGGTTCCGTTTGGCGCTTCCTCTGCGGACCTCCATGCCAGCAGAATTCGCGACTCCTTCTTTTGGGGTTCCACGTTGCACAGAGGCGTGGGCGCCCTCTTTCTTGACACGGGCATGAACACACGTGCTGCGCATGATCTCTGACCCAAGCTGCAAAAACGGCAGCTGAACGGCCGCGGCAGTCCGGCACAGCCGGACTCGGATTTTCAGGGAAAGCGACGCTCCCAACTCCTTGGTGTTTTCCTTCTGGCCCTCCAAAAATGAGGGGCCTGCGGCCCGCCCTCCCTAAGGCCTGTCTCAACTGGGAAGCCTTCTCTGGGGATGTGTTGCCAAAGCAAAGTCGAAAAGTGGAGCTTTAAATCTTGAGCCAGAAAGAAACATCTCATCGATGGGTACAATGGAACTCCCTCCCTGCGTTTCTGGTGAAAGGGGGTTCGGCTTCTGTCCAAAAGCAACCATCTGCACCTGAAAGGCAACGACTGTTGCCTCCAATGTCCAAAAACCAAAGCAACTGGAACACCCAAATCTTTCGAACGCCCTGGGTGCTTTACAAGGGGTGTCCCCTTTTCCTGCGGGGTTCACTTCTTTTTGTCGTTCCAACCCCCTGTGACTGGGACGGGTTTTATCTTTCCTGGGTCAAGCTTAGTGCCCCAGCTTGGGCTTCGATGACTTGGGACCCCCAGATTCCAACAGAAAGGACCCGCACCCGTCTCCCCGTCTCCCCCGTCTCCCCCGCATCGCTCCAAACCCGGCGCAACCAAAATCCAGGCCGCTCGTCCGCGCGCGGCGCGGGCACTTTTGGTCCTTCCATGAGCTGTCCGAGCACCTGGCAGGGCTGGAGATGGAGTTGGTTTTCATGTTGACCCAATCGTTGAGAGGGGATCACTATATGGCCATTTTCAGATCTGAACACCCTTGGCCCAAGTCTGAAGAAGGCCATGCCCTTAGAGGGAGGAGTTGTGTTTGGCTGGGGCAGCCTGGAAATTAGGCTTGATTTGGCTGTGGTGGTCAAAAATAGGGTAGCCCCAAAATGGAACCCGGTAAGTGTCAACATGGGCCAAAACCTGTGGTCCCCTTAGTTTAATTCTGACCCATACCCATATCGTTCCTGAAGGTTTCCGGACGTGTTCTTCGGGGATTCACGAAATCACCGAAGACATGATGTTGAGCCCATAGCCCTGTGTATTCATATAGGGGTCACGGTGAAATGTGGGATTCAGACCACTGCTGGAGGGGCCCCCACCCCTATTCATAAACTGGGGTTGGGAAATCTTGGGTCAACATTAGCCACTTGTCTCAACATGTTTAAATCCCTTTGTGGTTTCCTTTTAAAGGGAACCGGGGTTGTGTAACCCACCCTTGTTCAAACAATCTCTGCTGCTTTCGCGTAGGGAAACCACACATGGTTGGGTTTCCTTCCAAGGTCACCATTTGGGCCGTTGCTTAACTTGTTCTATACAAGGACCCAGACGCAACAGGTTCACCTTTTGGGTTGCCATGACTAAAAAAACAGGCTCAGAAGGTCGATGTGGTTTGGGCAACCAATCTTTAAAACAAAAAAACAGGAAGCAGCCCTCACCTGCAGTGCCGCCACCAACTCCTCCGAAGGCCCGCTTTGGACTTCGCGAGGAACCCGCTGAGGTGTTGCCGCCGGTTTTGAGGGCCTCTCCGGAGGCCTCGTTCGGACAGGCGAGAGGTGAAGGCCACTTCCGTTGGGTAGGGTTCAGTAGGCCTACCTGGGGCTAGGGTTCTCCCCGATGTTTTTGGCGAGGTAAGTATACATGTGGGTAAGCCTCCTAAATGGAGCTTACTGGTCAAGCAGGGGGGTTTCCACGGCTTGAGTTACGGATCCTGGAAGGTTCCAAGGTCTAGAAGTCTTGGAAAAAGCTTGGCACACCTCGAAGAGGAACCCGGAAGCGCAGACCAAACAGGGTTCCTTCCCTATTTTTCCCCGAAAAAAATATCCCCCCCACCAAGAGAAAACCCGCCATGGTGACGTTTAAACCGGCTGAAAGGGGAAATGTAGGAACCCCGCCAAAGCGAAGCACACAGCATCACAAAGCAACGAGCACAAAAGGCCACGTGAGCGGACCTCCTGGTCATTCCTGCTTGGTCATAGGGTTGACGTAGACCCACCAAATTTCATCTCGTGTGGGTTGACCCAATCTAGGCTAAGTGAAAAGAGTTCGCCAAGAGTCAACTCAACAAGAACTGACTATGGAAAAAAAAGAACAGGTGAATCCACAAAAGCACATCCAAATCACTCTCCAAAATCGTTTATAAGGCTAGACACCCATCAAATATCCACTTAAAGTCGTTTACCTGGCTAGAAACCCAGCATCAAACAAGGCGCAGGCTCGTCGCATTGCTATCGCAAGGCCAGGGCTTAGCCCCCAAGGCCGCCAACGTCCGCAGCATGGGAAGCGGATGTGCCTACGGCAGAAAGCTGCACATCCCGGTGGAGGTCAAGATTACGCTGGGGGCTAAATCTTGGTTGCTGCAAGGGCCCCCCCGCAAAAAGTGGATCACTTTTTGGGGGTTTAGTGGAAAACACTTGATTTCCCAAAAAGTTACAGTGAACAAATCCGACCCACTAGCAGTCAGGAAATAAGCGGAGGGGTCGGCCAATGTTAACAAATGACCGCTGTTTTTGGGTGAATCAACAGCAATCGGCTGTTTAGCAGTCTGTCAAAATCTCAAATCCCCTGTGAATCGTCCAAGAAAAATCGGAACTTTTTTGTTGGCCACTAGAATGGTCTTTCCAAAACTATAAAAGTCCAGGAACTTGGGCAGTGAGACGGCTACTTCTTTATTCCCTTCGAAAGGCAGCATCTGTGGGGGCGGGTGCCAAAGGAGCCATGATTTTGACAGCCTCCCATCTGTCCGGGGGGAACTAGCCCTGCGATGCCAAAGAAAGTCACGACACCTTGTCACTTGTGAGGATTGCCTTGATATCACAGCTGGGGACCTGCGGTGGATGCCCTAAGTATGTCAAGTAGGGACTACCGGAAACCCTGTGAATGCCCATGGTTTGCGGTTCATTTGCTTGCAACTTGTCTGGTCACCCACCGTAACACCAAGTGCACCGGCGCCCCGAACGGAAGCTGAGTAGCACAAGGGCGTTGGTCTTGGGAGGGAGCAACGCCGTTGGGTTGGCTTTAAAGCGGAAAAGAAAAGGGACACCCACCATAGGTGGCCTTTTGGAAAAATAGATGGCCCTGGTAAATGGCACAAAGCCCATCTAAACCAGCGCCATCTATTTTTTTAACCAGGCTCACCTAACAAGGACACCTATGACACCCACCGTTTGGGGGATTCTCCGACAAACCAGCTGACAATGCAGTCTGCAGTGCCTCCGTGCTCAGCACGAAATGGTCCAGCGGCAGCACCGAGTCCGCAGAGAAGAGCAAGAAGAAGTACCTCTGCCAGGGGCGAAAACCCAATGCTTCCGGGGAGACACGGTGGATGCCCGAAAAACAATGCAAGCAAACCTACGCAACCACAAAGCAACGGTACAATGCGGCAAACTAGAGGGATGCCTGGTTACGGATGGTAGTGACAGCCACCGTACGCGGCCCGCAAAATTATGGGAGGAACCCAAAAACAGGAGTGGACCACTCCCCAATAGAAGATTCTGCAAATGAGTAGGGCTCCATGCCAGCCAGGGGGAGTCAAATGACAAGGCTCCCCAAACGTTCCACTCAAATCACCACCCTCATCAATAGAAACTCCCCTACAGACTTGGGCCCGAAAAGTAAGGGCTGAAAGCAGGGATCAAAACAGCCTCCACGGGTGACGGGTGTGTCTGGACAGCATAACCATGCGCATCCCTGTTTGAATGTTAGCCGGGCTCCTCAAAAGATACATACTTTACAATGGGTCAGCCGGTAAAAGGCCTTGAAACAAACAGCTGGCCCAAATGTATCCTTCCAGGGACCTTAGCAAAGTATCTTTGGATGACGAACCCGCGGAGAAGGCCCCCCCCAATCCAATGCAATGCCCGGCTGCTTCAGTGTCTCGGCCATGAAGAACGAAGGCATGTCGTCCCGCTTGGAAGACGGAGTGTTCCTGAATTCAGGGTCGGCATGCCGTTCGAACGTGGACGTGGACAGGAGGGTTTTGGAAGACCTGGTTATTCCAAAATGGATCGATACCGGATGAAGTGTTCCTTGAGTAGTGGAGCAAATGATAGTTACCTCATTGTTGATAGTTGAATTTAAGGGAACCCCTCTTTGAACAGGACCAAAGCGGGGCACCACTGGGACGTGGGCCGGACTTGATTTGATCAAGAAGTGGGAGGGTCGTGCTCCTGCGACAAGATTGGCACACCTCCAAGAGAAATTCCGTTCTGGGAGGCCTTTTCTTTCTGCGATAACCATTGTTTCCTGAGTGGCTTGCTTGAAATCCACTCTGAAAGGAAAGGCACTGGACCCTCAAACCCGCCTGAGAAACAAAGGGAACTCTGGCTGTTCATCAGGTATCAAACGATGGAGGAACAACATTTTGTCTGGGGAATCGAATGTCGGGAGCTGCCTTAGTTGTGGCATATAAGCCTGCATACCTCCAACATCGATACCCAAAACATCCAATTGGGGGAACGAGGAAATACTAATGAAGGGGCTGCAGACTTTCTATTATGGTGTCTAAATTCAGTTTCCACCCCATAACCCCATTCTAATTATCCAAGACCCCCTGCGTGGGGAGACATAACTTGTCTTTGCGTTGGTTGATATTACGGGGATTCACCACCAGCAAAGAAATCGAAAACATGAGAAAAGGACACCACTGCACTAGTCTTCCCCAAGCTAAACCTGGCACTATCCCAGCAAATTCATGTCTGGCTGGTACTAGAAGGAAAGCATGCTCACTGGCTTGCCTGACACGCGCTTCAAGACCGGGCCGAAGAGAACTAGAACAAGCAAGACATGCTCGCCTGAATCCCAGCCTCTACATCTCCAGCTGTGCCCCTACCCCAGAAACATGGGTGGTTATGAAGAGAACAATGGGGGAAAAAGGGCTCAACCATTAGAGCATCCCCGACTGCTGCGGGCGTTAAGAGGTCTGACACACATGAAGATATCCCTCCATATATCCCTTCTTTTCGTGGCCTTTTGAAAATCCTCAGCATGGGCTATTCAGCGCAGAGTCGATTTGGGCCAAAATCTGGGGAACAAGCAAACGCCGGGCTTGGGAGTCAGGCCCATATTCAGTCTACCCCAAATGTACAACTGGTTTTCTGGAGACCTCAGTTGAGTTGCAGGGCACCAGCCGCCACTCACAGGCTGAAGCGTGTCTTGGTTTTCTATACAAGCATTTCTTTGCAAGCCTCAATGCTGATTCCCCTGTAAACGCCAACCAACCATGGTTTCGCATGGTTTCCAAGTGGTGCAGGATTTCGTCCATCCACAGTATTGTTGGTAAACCACGCACATCCAACTACCAAACCCTTGCAAATCGCGGCAACCTGCAAGTTAACATCGATTCATTCAAGGGTGTCGCCCAATCCCTCTAAGAACGGGGGTTTTATAAAGTATTGGTTCCATGTTAAAACCGGGGAGTACTTGCAACTTTGAGTTGGCTTCTCCACCGAATGCATGTTGAGCTCCATTTGCAAACACGTCCCCTGCAATAGATTCCCTTTAAAACCAAAATAACACATTTCAGCAAATGTACTGGACTACTACATTCCCTTCATACTCAAAGGTTAAGAAACACAGTTTCACCTCACTTCACAATCCTTGGTATGGTCGCCAAAAAAAAAATGTGCTTTTGTGCAGCCCCCTCCTAAAACTAAACGAACCCCCCACAACAACGTGTTTGTTGTTACACCCCCCCCTACCCCCAAAACAACGGGCTTTTGCTTAAGGAAAAAAACCACCAAATCCAAGAACAAAGTTCCGCTTCCATGGAAGCTATCTATCCAAGGTGCACATTGTGCAGCCCCGCAAAGCCGAAGGTGGTCTTCTGGCGGTAGAAGGCCGAGAGCAGCCGCTGGCCCCAGTTCCGGTAGATCTGCAGCTTGGTGCTGCGCCACATGACGTACAAGCTCTCCACCTCGGTTGCGAGACTTTGTTTTTAACCTCCTCAAAACTTGGTTGCTTTCTGCTCCCCTGCTAAAAGTTTAACTTTTAGTGGTTTAATGGAAAACCCAAAAGTTGGCAAAAAGTTAAAGTCCTAACATCCCTTGGCAACATGCACCAAAGAAAGGAAGGAGGAATTTTGGACCACCCAAAATGAGGTTGCCCCTGAATAAGGCGCTTCGGAGCGCGGTGGTTTGGAGCCGAGCTCTCCTCGGTCTCTGGTGCCTGCGCCCCCCCAAGAGGAATTGGCCACACTAGAAAAGGCGCCCCGGAGAAAAAAGGAAAAAACAGAAAAAAAACAATAACACGGCCTGAGTGGTGGCCATGAGACCCAAATCAAAAATAGGATCTGTTCAAAGGGCCTGGGGAAAGGTTGAAACCATAACTTCAAGTTTACTACAACTGGAAACGGTTCTTCACATAGGAGCTTCATGGGGTGGCATTGTTTCCTGTTGCATGGACAAAGTTCCCGAGTGAGGTTTTCATTGAACACATCACCCCATGAGTTTTCCTGTCTGAAGTCTACACCTGACGGTGCTTCGACTCATTTTGGCCCATTCATAATCCCCAGAGGCGGCTGGTGTTCCAGTGCTTACCTCACTTTCCTGAGATGGGCCAACAAAAGTCCAAACTTTTCGCTTACTCCGAAAACGGTTCTTCCCAAGAAGTTGCACCAGCTGTTTGAACCATGATTAGTAACCCCTTGGATTTTGATTGGGGGTGCTGACTGGGTGAAGGCATCTTTCATACAACAAGCGACCGGCAGCATGGCAAGCAGTAAGCTTTGCACTGCCCGGCTTATTGGGACTCAAGATTCATAAACCAGAGACCTTGCGTGGATGAGGGGCAGTCTCATTCGGTCCCTTTTTGGGGAAGACAAAAGGCCTGGGAAAAAAGGCAGACTTTGGGGACCAAGACTCTAGAAACTGGAAGCCATGCCTCCCCAAGTAAATGGTGTGTCGTCTTTGTTGGGGGTACCCCTTGTTGTCTTGTTTCAAAGGGAAGCCAAGAGGGAGACCCACCTGTTGGGGGTAGCCTAAAAACCAACTCACCCAAATGAACGTCCGGGTACCCGGGGTTCCAGATCTGAAGAATGATTCACGAGCACCTCCAGCTTCGCACCTTTGCGTGTCAAACAAAAGCAAACGGTGGTTCGTCAACCCCCAAAAGAGAAACATTCCCTCGGCGATTCATGGGGCTCTTTATGCCTCAATAAGTTTACCCTCCAATTTACAACCAACCAAAGGAAACGGACCTTCATGAGGCCCGTCTTGCTGCTCCGTGAGACGCCCCAAACATTCCACATACACATGCCTTCCATTTTCTGAAACAGAATCTCCGGTTTGGTCCCCCCTTTTTGCATTTCTTTCTCAGCTTTTGCAGACCGAACGTGCGATGCTTGATTCGGTCCATATTCAATGCATCATAGAATGTCAAGTCAGTTCATGTCAGAGATTCCAGCCATAAGGTTGCTTGGTCAGAGACCTGGGCACCAAAGGCAGGCCTTCCATAAAATTAAGCACTAACATGGAAAACCCGCTTTTCCTTAGGGACAGCGCTTCTGGTCCATGGTGGGTTCCATGTTGGTGGGAGAGAAGGTTTTCATCTCAAGTGGCATGCCGAATGCCACAAACTTTGCAAGTAGAGCAACGAGGGAAAGCCGGTAATGTACCGCAAGATGCCATGGCTTTGTGGTTCAGCATGGTTTGTTCACTTGCCAACTTGAGGCATTTGTTCACTTGCCAACTTGAGGCATTTACCGTAGAGATCCGCGTGCGGTGCTGGTGACTTGAGACAATATGTGTCAAAATAGAGGAACAGCAAAGCTGGTGGTTGTCCTCTTGATTTCCCTTGAATGCACCAACCCTCGACAAAGGGACTCAAAAACAATGAAACAAAGATCCCTTTTCCCTTGAATGAACCAACCCCCAAAAAGGGCAAAGAAACGACGCGCCCTTTCTTGGTTGCTGTTGACCCCCCTGCAAAAAGTTTATCACGTTTTGGGGATTTAGTGGAAAACACCTTCATTCCCCAAAACGTAAAACGCCAAGAATCGACCGCGGCGACTCGGCAACTAACCCTTCACGAGGACTCAGCCCGCGGCCGTCTCCGGGCGGAGGATGTTGTGCATGGAGCCGTGGTCGTCGCGGAGGCCCTGGCTGCTGAAGCGGGTGATCTCCGGGGCGAGATCCGAGCCCGTGCGGAAGTACATGTGGACACCTTGCAACCGGACGAGTCCCACCTTTTGTTTGTTGCGAGGTAAGAGTTGAAAACCCACTCTCTCATGCTTCTGGTGGTGCGTGGTTGGTTGAATATCTAGGGCATCCATAGCCACCATTGAGTAAGCACACAACAACAAAAACACTTTTTGACCATGCTAGATCTTTGCCCTGCAGCCAGTGACCTGCACGGTAGAAAACCAACTAGACACTCTTAGGAGCCAGGAGCCATTGTTTAGGGCATGATGCCATTGCTGGCAATTTTTGCCACCTGACCCTGGTGCAAATAGCAATTCATCTTGGGTTTGTGGATAGGAGGGGTGTTTGCTTGTAGGCCATACGGGTGGTAATCCATTCGTAGGTAAACAACAAAATATGTACAAACACCCGTATGGCCTATGGATTCCCCTTCCGGCCATGTGGACACCTCGATCCGGCCCGAAAATATCCCGAGATTGTGGCGGAATCAATGAGTCGACTTGACTTTGACCCCTTCAGAGTGAAACCTTTTGCTCGTGATTGAGATTTGATTTGTATATGTCCGCCCATTCTACCAAAAGCAAGCTCGCCTGGCAGTGCAAAGGTCTTGTTGACACAATGCGCAGGCAGGCCAAAAAAATGGACATCATTTTGGGTCATTGCCTCTTGTCCGTTGGGGGATATTCCTGTTTCAAACCGTCGGGTTTCCCTTGCGTTTCCATGGAGCCCTAGTAGCACCAAACCGCGCCTTCTTGATGGGTGAATTGTGGCTGCAAGTGCCACGGCAACGGATGTTGACACCATATGAATTTCAACCAGCCACTTCATTCATAGACACCCTCTTATTAATAAACGGGGGTTTATTAATATGGGCTCAACATTATGGCATTGAACACTACCGTGTTTCTTTGCTGCTGGTTTCAGGGTGCCCTTCAACTCCACATGAGGAGCTCCATATGAAACAGCACCGAAACCTTCAGTGGTGGATGCGGGGGTACACGGAAAACAACATGTTCAGATTCAGCTTCATATTTAGCCTTCCCTGAAATCTAAACAAAGTTCTTGGATCGGAGGCTGCAGGTGGAGGTGCTTGCCCATATAGGCGATCCTCACTACTTTCGTTAAGAGCTCTATGCATCATCCCACCAGGGGCAGGCAGGGTGGGGGCTCCCCAATTCCATGGAAGCCGCAAATGGAGAACTTCAGGGGGCCTGGTGGGCATCCGATCAGCCCAGTCACCTCCGTTCTTCTCGGTTTTTCTCGGTCTTTCGCATCCAGCCAGCGGACCGAAGCAGGCGGGCGACAGAACAAACACGGCCGATAGATACCTGCGAACACGTGCCCTTGAAAAATGGAGAACAGATTTCAAACAGTGATAGATTCTCCTTAAAACCCAGAAAACATGTAAGCCGGCTGCTTGGCAACTTTATGTTAACTTTGCTTTAACCCCCGCACTTGCGCCGGGGCTCGTTCACTGCGTGGAACGGGCCCTGGCTGGGATTGCAAGTCAAGATAGTTTCGCTCTGATGTCAACAGCTCTTCAGCCCAACACAAAAAAGCGGAACCTATGTATCACATATGTGTTTCCCATCATGTTCATTGCTTGCGATATGGCTCTGAATTTTAGTTGGGAACCCTTTGGTGGACACCATTTAGGTGGGGATTTATGTCCACCAACAACTTTTGAAGGGGTTCCCTATGGGTTCCTAGCCATATCCTCGATCCCACAGGCCAGTTTTCAGGTACGCCTCGCATCTTGCCAGGGCGCAGGATTGCGTCAGCCTGAGGCGGGGCTCACGTGACAAGTGACTCAAGGCCACGAGTCGCGTTTCGAATCGAAGAAGTTTTATCCTTTAAACAAATAGTGCATATACCAAAACAACATATATAATTACAGATTTTGAGGTAGAATTACACAACTTGTTTGGGAGGTTGTCCCATTTCAAGGGCGGCATCTTTTTTTTGTTTTGTGTTGTTTTGCTTTTGTGTGCTTTAGGTTTTTTGGGGGGGTCTCTGCCCAGGTGTTTGTTCTGTGGACACCCTGAAAATAGTCTAAATAGTCGACAAAGTCAGCCAAGGTGCCAAACCGTCGCATGGTGAATCCCTCACACCGTAAAGGTTGAGTCCAATGAGCTTGACAAGGCTCCTGCTTGATCCTCTGCGTCTTTCATCAGGTCCCTAGTCAGTGCGCAGTGGCACCCCCCTGCAAGGGAAACATAGGGAAACTACATCCATCTGCAAGGACTAAACGCTGCCCTTGAGCAACGCAGTGAGTGAGCGGTGCTAGCTCCCTTCCGATAGCTCCATATCCACCAGCTGTTCTGTGGGCATAGAATGCCCCAAAGACATTCCCGAGTGGCGACACGCACATTCACATGAAACAAAAATCGTGTGTGTGCGCTTATGGTATATGCTCACTATGTATATGTTGAATTCATCGTTGGGTATACGTCTGTAGTGATGGACACATATTTGAAGGGCATCTAGCGGTGTGCTGCACATTGCGGAACCAGCGCAAACAAAAACTCAGATTCAGCCACGCCACACACGCCCATTACGGTGTCCTTGGGTTTGCAATGATACCCGACATGGCTCGCAAGAGCGAGTTCCCGGTATCTGGATCTGGTGTTGAAAGCACCTACCCATCCCCTCTTGGTGTTCATTTGGGAGAACGAAGAAAATAGGGTTGCCACGTTACCCCACATCTGATAGATGCCAATCGTAGAAAGCTTGATTTTGAAACCCGGGCAGCTGACTGTGATCAATTTCTCAAATTATCTCTCCGAGCGCACAGATTCGGGAACCCCAAATTTACCTATGATTTTTGGAGCCGCCCCCATTGGCTTCCTACGAGTTTGCGGCCTAGCAAAGGCGGGTGCTTCAAATCGTTTTTTGAACTCTCGCCCACCCCCCAAACCCCCCAACCCCCTAACCCCCTAACCCCCCCAACCCCCCCAACCCCCCCCCCAACCCCGCCCCTAACCCCCCAACCCCCTCCCCCACCCCCCAAACCCCCCCAACCCCCCAATCCCTTCTTAACCCCCACGCCGATCCGCGCAACGATCCGCGCCGATCCGCTTCGCCTGTGCGCCAAAGTGAGCTCCACCGCCCTGTCCTTCGACAGCAAATGGGGCTGCACGGAGACCCCGCCCAAGACCTGGCGGGGCAAAGCTTGTCTCCTGCCGAAAAAAATCATGCTGAAAAAACGATTCATGAATTTAATGGGGTGGTGTCCGAGTCATGACCTTTGGAGGGAGACGCCCCTATTTCTAAACTGGTTGATTAATACGGGGTGAACATCAAGTGGATTGGCGCAAAGAAATCAAACTTTTTGTTTGCCACGATGGTTCAAACCCACAAAGTCACTAAAGCCCGAGTTCCGGAACTCAGGGAGTGAGCTATTTAGCCTGGCTAGTTGTTTTTCTCGGTTCCACCAGGACCTGGAAATCGAAGGCTCACCTTGTGGGGCCATGACTTGCAAGGGTTCAACATGGGAAAGCAAAGGTCGGCTTGACCAAATGATATTTATCTCACTTGGCCATGACTTTTAACAGGGAACCCCCTCCAAAATGGATTGAGACAACTTCCCAGGTACACACACACACACACCCACACAGCCACACAGCCACACACCCACGCACACACACACCCACACACCCACACACCCACACACACACACCCACACACCCACCCACCCACCCACGCACCCACGCACCCACCCACCCACGCACCCACCCACCCACCCACGCACGCACCCACGCACGCACCCACACGCACACACACACACACACACTTCCTGAGTGGATCGTTTTAAACAGTCGTGACCACTAAAAGCCGAAAGTTGAAACTCAGGAGAGTGGGGAAGTGAGTCCCACATGCCTGCAAACTAGAGACGCTTAATCCAGGTCCATAATTTTAATGTAGTGAGCCTTGACGTCTACAATCATTTCAAAGGATCCTAGGTGGCCTAAAAAGTACCAGGTCGTTAAAACGTCCGAGCTGAAAACAATCATCAAGGCGAATTACTATAAATTGGATACAAACAAATCAGGGACACCAAGTAATTCAGGACCTTCATTGATTCATGGGGCCATTCTTCCCCACGGACCCAATTCCTGTGTAATATGGGTGCCCCCGGTTCCCACGGACAGTTTTCTAAACTCCACTGTCTATGGACCATCCCAAACGAGTGCACAGAAAAGGACAACGCCGCCCCGAACAAAAAATGAAGGGGACCCTTCCAAAACCACAAGACAAGCAGGTCCATTAAGCATTGACCACGGCACATGTTTTGATCTGAGCCCCGGTTGAGCGAGCCTCCAGGCTGTGGTGGAAGACGTCGAGGCCCAACGCACCCGGCAGGAAGCAGGTCAGGTGGTCCTCCACTGGTGGGAATGAATTTCAAAAGCAACTTCCATTTGGTTAAGACCCCTGGAAAAAAGAAGCAATATTTCAGTAGTGATAAATTATGTTTAAAACCAACAAGGGAAAACCCAAAAATATTCTCAAGCAAATGAAAGGCAATGTATATACTTGGAAGCTCCCATGTCAGTTTAGCTGGTCCAGTTACACCCTTGTTTAACTAGTTGCTCGTTGAATTGTGATAAAACTATTCACTCCCCGAGTGGATTTGCCAACAACAGTCTCGATTGGCTTTATTCTTATCAAGCAAACAATCTTCCCAAAAAAGTTCAAAGTCCAGGAACTCAGGAAGTGAGAAAAAATAAGAACCCCTGCTCACCCGCATGGGCAGAACATAAGGAAGCAACCCCTATCAACCCCTGCTCACCCGCATGGGAAGAACGTAAGGAAGCAACCCCTATCAACCCCTGCTCACCCGCATGAGAAGAATATAAGGAAGCATAAGGAACAACATTTACGCCCAACCGATAGGCGCCCAATGGCAGTGCTTGTGGACGGGGCTCCGCGCCCTACGCCAGATTGTTTCTTTGCCTGCTACGCCTGGTACCCCTGAATTGATGGGGTGGATTGGTTTGGAACCCCAGACTCTTGTGGAGGGCAAATGGGAACCACCCGCAGAACCCCAAACTATCAATCCAAACCCATGAAGATGGGTGACCCGAAAAGCGTTCTGACACATGGGCTCCTTTTGGATGCTATGCACATGAGTGTCTTCTGTAAGCGATCGGAACCCCTCCATTGGAACCGTCGACCAAAACAAAACGGGCCCCTTTGTTGCCGGCAAAAAAATATCATTTAAAACAAAAACCGCGCGTCCGACAAATGTCACAAGTGCGCCGGGTTGGCCTGTTCCGCTGAGGCAAACTGTCTTCCTTGAAAAGGGTTTCTGCACTACCAGGGCGGGGGGGGGGGGAGGAGCGGTTGATAATGGAAAAGGCAAATCATGGCGCCGGAAATCTTGTGAACTCCGGGTTTCTGCAGCCCGATCAGGATCGGATGGGTAGACATGTGGCACCAAGGGAAGCCGAAAGACCCCAGTAGCAACTCTCCAGCCTTTTTGTTAACCCCGTACTAGTGGCCATGGGAAAAAATGGGCACTCGTTCATGTTGGAAGGGTAACCCACCCCAAAACGTAACAAGGAAAGCAACCTGGGTGTCTGGGTGGGATCAACCCCGTCCATCTTGGGAATGGTGTGCTTCAGGCTGACCTCCTTCAAAAAGACCTCGGAGATCTCGAGAGCCGATGCAGAGCCGATACCGCTTCCCGTGAAATCGAGTTGCCGAAGACGTGCCTACAATGCCCCTCCAACCATAATGGAAGAATGGAAGCTGACAGGAGGGTTTTGGGACAGCCCGCTGTCCCTTTGTTTCCATGATTGTTGGAAAAGTGAAAAGGGTATCCCAGTGTTGGCTTCGCAGAAATATCTTGCTTGACCAGCACCCTCTGGTCCAAGGGTGGCTTTTCCATTACCTCAAGTGCGCTTGTGTGAGCCACTTGGGTACCAATTGGCAAGGGTGCTGGCTGATTTGGTTGCTGTAACGACCCCCCTGCAAAAAGTTGACCACTTTTTGGGGGATTTACTTCGGAAAACCTCCAAGTAAACCACAACTAACAATCCAACCCAATAGCAGTGAAGCTGAGGGCCCTGGAGGCGGCATCGACCATGCGCCACCATGAAGCCAGATAGCGCAAGTCCGCTTCTTCCCGCGGAAAAAAAAAAAACGCCTTGCCCACCACAAGACTTGCAGATGAACATGGAGCAAGTCCAAAAATGGGGTCCCCCAAAGAGGGGATTCCTCTAAATCGGTGGTTGCTTGGGTTCCATGGAAACCCGCAGGACTGTAAATGCAAAGTTGTTTGCATTTGAAACATGGTGTGACAAATTATCACAATTCCACCATTTCGATTTAGTCATCCCCATTGACAGTTGCCTGGGGTCTCCTCCGAAACTCATTCATATTTCAGGGTAGGCTAGAAATATGAACCAGAATCAGAAGGTATTTGTTTGTTAGTACTACCCAGAAGCCACTTTCAAGGAGCCTCATTGGTCTCACAGAAGCTTTCAAAGGGGTCGCCCTTGCTAATTTGCAAGGATCTCCTTGCAAGAGTTGAAAGGGTGAGACGTGCTTTCTTGCACATTCAAAGTCTCACTTCCTGCGTGGATGGGCAAAAGCAGGTCCAAACCTTTTGCTCACAAAAATACACATAGTCTGGCCAAAACGCAAAAAACAAAGCCAGGAACTTTCGCGAACATAGAAAGAGTCGTCCCCAAAAAGTTGTCAAACTCCAGAAACTCAGGGACTGAGACGTCGCTTCATTTTTGTGCCACGCTTCGACTCGGCCCCAGGCCCACTTGGCCACGTCCCGCGAGGACTCGAACCACCCGCCCTTGGCGCCGGCGGCGCCCGGCGCGACCTGGGAGGGTCGTCTGGCCTGGCAGGTGGTATGGATGAAACTCATTTCGCACCACTGGGAAAACCATGGGAAACCATTTTTTCATTGGTATTTACCAGGGATCATTCCAGGGCTTCTTAAGTGGTGCAGCATCCACAGTAGCTCCTCTTGTTCCAGGGGTTGGGGTACAGGAAAATTCTACAGGGAAACGGCTGATTTAGGGTGTGGGGGCCATCCTGCCTTTTTTTTCAGGAAAGCAGCTTGTTTAGGGTCTTTGCCATTTCCTGTAGATTTTCTTGTAAGTTAAACCTTTGGCTTGTGGCCTCAGTTCAGTGGATTTGTACCACAAAAATGGTCCAAGCCCAAAACGTATGAATCTCTTAACTCAGGGAGTGAGTGGATTGAGACATAACTCTTGAAACATCATCGGCTTTTCGGTTTACTATCTAGGGTTTCCAGCGCACCCAAACCACTACCCCAGGAGCTTAATGGGATATACAGCCACTATATAGCCACTATAGAAGGGTATATACGCCCCAATTTTCCTTGCGCGAGGTGGTTTGGGGAAATTGGACACCATCTTATATAGAGTTTCAAAAAGTATAAATCCAGTAACTCAGTGAGGGAGTGGATTGACACATCACTTTTTGGACAAGCTAAGGTGAGTATCCGTTTAGGTGATGCTTAACCCTGCCTCATGGAGTTTAACTACTGTTCAACTGTATTGGGTCGGGAGGGGGGGTTGGGGTTTGGGGGTTGGGGTGTGAGGCAGGGGGGCGGGGGAATATACAATATTTGAAGTTACGTGCTAGTGCTTTGTTAGAGAAGGGGGGTTGTAACCTGACCTGCACATGATTCTGTGGCCATGTTTAGAGGCACGTTAAGCGGAATTGTTGTCCAAAAGCGCCGTTTGCGTCAAAACATGTTTAGCTCCTGAGTGGATTGGCCAGGAAAAGTCCAAACTTTATCCAAATCCAACAAGTAACTGAAGTCCATGAACCCAGGGAGTAAGCAAGCCCCTTCAAAAGGAGAGTAAGCCAGCACGGCTCTCACATTAAAAAGCTTGAAACTCCAAGTGAGGAGGAGCGAGTCGCGAGAGTGCCACAGCCACGAATTCACTCGCCCTTTTCCTCCCTTCGAAGGAGCATTCACGACAGCACTCGCTCGTTGTCTTTGCGCCGATGGTCGGCTCTTCGGCTCCTGGGATGAGAGGTGTGGGCACTAGGCGCTCTGTCGCAAGTTGGGCTCTCACAAATTGCGACCAGCACTCCCCAACTAACTGCTTTTCGGACATTTCGGACATGTTGGGCATGAGAAAAGCAGCATTGGTTGGTTTGGGATGCTGGGGGGCTGATCGATTTTCAGGATGGTACTTTCATGGACCCGGTATTGACAACCTGACAAAGCATCGCCAAGTGTCCCCCGGATTTATTCTGCCGCTACGCCCTAGCACTAAGTTGTTTTCTTCCGTGTCAACATAGGGAGACCAAGCAAATATTTCTTTTGAGACCTTGTTGATTTCCTTCGAACCAAAAGGGAAACTCACTGGCTGAGTGGATGGCCCAAAAAAAGTCCAAATTGTATATTTACCACTAAAATGGTCTTCCCCAACTTGTTCTTTGGACCCTCATGGCACATGTGCAGAGGCTTTGCAAGCCCCAATCATTGACCACCTGGATTGATGACATTGGTGGAGATGTTCAGGGATTTACACCAGGTGCAGCAGCAAAGAGGGCCATTTCTTTATTTGAGGAGCTGTCCACAGGGTTGGAAGCTAGAGGATGCAAGATCAGTATGAAGAAGTCTGGATTTCTTGCCTCAGATACAGCTACAGCCATTGAACTGCAGAAGCTTTTGAAGGACAAGACAAATTGGCCAGGGGTCAAGGAGATCATCAAGGACCTGGGTATTGACAATACACTGGGGAGGAAGAGAAGGGTTGGTACAAGAAATGGGAGATTGACCAAGGCCAGAGCTCGCTTGAAAGCAATACAGCAGTTGCCCAAAGGTCAGAGGAAGAGATATGTCAACATGTCAGCTCAAGCAGCTGGGCTTTGGGGGCAAGAAGCTCAAGGTATCCCAACCAATGCCCTTCACCGGCTCAGACTGGCCATTGCAAAAACCAACAACTGGGTGAAAGGACATGGCTCTGTTGAGCTAGCAATGGCAATGTGTGCAAAGAAGCAGGATGACCCTTTGTATAAGGTAAGACTGGGCCAGATTACCATGTGGTGTGAGCTGGTCAGGATTATTGGAAAAACAGGAAGTGCTGCAGTCAAGAGGGCTTGGGAAATGAGTTGGGAGGCCTTGACCAAACCGGGATGCTATCCTTGGATGGTTGCAAAAGGCCCTTTGGCAGCCACTCAGGCTTCTCTTATTGACATGGGCTGGAACGCCCCTTCATGGGATGAATGGCAGGCTCCTGATTCTTCAAGGTGGAAATTGGACTTTGAGGATCCTTGGGCTGTTGCAGAACTCAAGGAGGTGTTTGCAGACTACCTTGAGAAGGCTCAGTATGCAGTTATTTCCAAACAACAGGCTGGGCAGCACTTGGAGAATGGGATTGACAAAACCTTCCATGCCAAGTTCCTGAAGTATGCACAAAAGCATGGGTTGGAACCCTATGCACATGTTCTGTGGCAAGGAGCTTTGCAGCATGAGGGCAACAGTGCACACAAAAGTTGCCCTAAATGTGGAAGGCCTTTCACCTTACAGCACATTCTGTATGAGTGTGAATGGATTATTGCTGCTCATGGTACAGTTCCAGAGATGTGGTGGCCTTTTCACTTGGATGTGGAGCAACAGCACTTTTGGTTGAGAGGCCTGGTGCCGGTTCAGTGGACACAGCAGGCCCTACCTACTGAAGAAGTACAAGCTACTGGGGTGTTTACTCAGGCAGACCTGGATGGAAGTCTTTATTGGTTTGGCACTGATGGGAGTGGAGGACCACATTCAAATGACCCCAGGTTGAGACGCTGTGCTTGGAGTGTTGTTGCATTGGATTCCCAATACAATGTTGTTGGATCTCTTGCAGGAATGTTGGCAGGACAAGCCAATCAGCACACTGTGCCTCGTGCAGAAGCCAGGGCTTTCTTGGCTTTGCTGCAGGCCACTTCCAATGAGGTACATGTTGCTGTTGATGCCAAATATGTTTGCAAGGGCTGGTGGAACACCCAACATCCACAATGTGTGCAGAAGGATGCTTTGGCCAACCATGACCTTTGGAGGGACATTTGGGAGCACAGACACAGAGATGTCAGGATTACTAAGGTTAAATCTCACCAGGAAGAAGCTGCCTTTCTGCAAGCAGAGGAACATGACCTTCTGTGGGCATGGAAAGCAAATGAGGCAGCAGATGCAGTTTGCACAGCTGTTGCTGTTGATTATGCTGCTCAACATATACATCCTGGTATTGTAGACTGGATTGACAGCAGGGCTTGGAAGCTCAACAAGTTTCTGGCAGAAAGAGTGAAACTCTGGTTGACAGTCAACTTGCCTAAGGCTGCTAAGCAGCCAAGGGTTAGAAAGGCTGACCTTCTGTCTGGGGCAATTGCTAACCCTGTGCAGGGTCACTGCTGGAAACCCTTTGGGAAGGGAATTATGTGCACCAAGTGTCAGCACAGTTTGAAACCTCATCATGCCCTTGCCACCATTGAGAGTGGGCTTGCTCTTGCTTGTACAGGGCTACAGGGCACTGGTAATGTTGAGGAAGCCAAAGTGCATTTTACCCATACCCTTACCTGTATCACACCTGGCAAGAGGCAGTGTGTGCATTGTAAAGGGGTCAAGTTTGGCAGGGGCAAGGTCAGCCAGAAATTGGCTAAGCCGTGCAGGCCAAGGAAGGTATAGAGGACTATGCCATGTCTTGTGTGTCAAAAAAAATGGTCTTCCCAAAAAGTCTAAAGTTCATGAACTCAGGAAGTGAGGAAAGGAAGGAAACCCTGCGAAAAGTGCGGCCTTTAAAAGCAAATCCGCCCGAATCGCTTTTGATTGGGGCTCGAGCGCGCCAATTTTTGTCCAGCTTCGTGTCCCGCGCAAGCGCGCAGGTCGAAGACGTAGGCCAGCTAACCTGTGCGTTGAACCAAATGCACGCCGATCTCTGAGACGACCTGGCGACACTCCCAGAAAGAGACCCGTAGATGTCAATGAACAACACAGCCGACTCCTTTTTTAATGTGGATTTGATGTCAAAGGACACTTTCAAGACAAGTTGCAAACAGCTTCCGTTTTGGGTTGTTGCTTTTTCGGGGGGGTGTTGCTTCCGGAAAGCAAGTAAACAATAATGCAACTGAGAAGGTCCCTAAGAAGCAGTTGCCGGCCCTGGGCGAAGCCCTTTAGGTACGGGAAATTGATGAAAAGGCCTTGGTTGGCTGGGGGTTGCCTATTATTTGAACCCCCCCCAGTTGCTGTGCAAAGAGAGGGACCTTTGACGTTCCAACTCTCACATGTTTGTCAGAAACCTTGAGGCTGGTGATAAATTTGACCACTGCTTCGTGCGCATACCCTGCTTCCTGAGTGGAACACATAGACAAAGTGCGAACTTTCGGAATGGAACAGATAGTCATGCGCACGCTAACTCGATGACTCCGGTGAGCTAAGCAATGCATGGCAGTCCAAACTGGGGACTGCTCGAAATGCTTGAGCTCAGACTGGTTCCTTTTCAAATAATCCCGAAGAATGCCCCCAATTCTACCAAGCTTTTCACACGTGAGGACCCCTCTGTAAGAATGGAAGTTGAGTTCCGGAAAGCGGAGAAATCAGTCAAAAGGCTGCGTTTCAAGATTGGGCTGAGCTAGATAGACTTAATCCCCTTAAATCCCAAGGGAATTCCTCAAGGCAATCCTCCATCCCGCACAAGCGGCTGCAACCCCCGACCGAGCAGAATTGGCCTTCTGTAGCCACTAAAGTCGGAGATGATGATATTTGGGCGCATCTACATGGTGAAAAAATAATAATAAGAGAAACTGCTCTTCTATTTTGGGGGTGTCTCCCCCATACGTGAGACAGACCCATTGGGCACCCCTAGTTTCAAGGTTGAACACGGGCTGGCTTATATAAACAGAAACCAAAAGGATGCCAACCATCTTGGGCCGATTCCTACTTTAAGACACACCCATTAATGGGGTGTCTTTTTTGGAGTTGGTTCCTTTTTGTTTGTGTGGTAAAGGGAAATCAAAAGAGGAAGCAAAAAGAGCACCATTGCGCCCTTTATTCATTCTGCTTTTCTGTTCTTTTCTTCTGCTTTGTTGTTGGGGGGGTACCAAAATCCGCCGACATTGCTCGGCGTGTCGGATACTTACTAGAGGATAGAGGATAACCCCCCCCCTAACCCCCCCCCGCCCGACGTCTATTACGTAGGTTTTTGGGGGGGGGGGGGGGGTCCCCCACGTACCGCGCGGCAATTTGATGACGTTCCACTAAACGTAGTCTTCGGGGAGCCGGTGTCGCAAAACAGGGGTCCCAGGCTCGATTCCCCCTGCCGGCTTTTTTGCTGGCTTGGGCTTCCTGCATCCTTTTGCCGAAAATCTGGAAAAACTCAATGTTTTTGGACGTCCTCTTTGCGAAAACGCTAGAAAAACCGTGTTTTTTGCGGGAAATACATACATACATGCATGAATGCATGCATGCATACATACATGCATGCATACATACATACATACATGCATACATGCATTACATACATACCTACCTACCTACATACATACATACATACATACATACATACATACATACATACATACATACATTACATACATTACATACATACATACATACATACATACATACATACATACATACATACATACATACATACATACATTACATACATACATACATACATACATACATACATACATACATACATACATACATACATACATACATACATACATACATACATACATTACATACATACATACATACATACATACATACATACATACATACATACATACATACATACATACATACATACATACATACATACATACATACATACATACATACATACATACATACATACATACATACATACATACATACATACATACATACATACATACATACATACATACATACATACATACATACATACATACATACATACATACATACATACATACATACATACATACATACATTACATACATACATACATACATACATACATACATACATACATACATACATACATACATTACATACATACATACATACATACATACATACATACATACATACATACATACATACATACATACATACATACATACATACATACATACATACATACATACATACATACATACATACATACATACATACATACATACATACATACATACATACATACATACATACATACATACATACATACATACATACATACATACATACATACATACATACATACATACATTACATACATACATACATACATACATACATACATACATACATACATACATACATACATACATACATACATACATACATACATACATACATACATACATACATACATACATACATACATACATACATACATACATACATACATACATACATACATACATACATACATACATACATACATACATACATACATACATACATACATACATACATACATACATACATACATACATACATACATACATACATACATACATACATACATACATACATACATACATACATACATACATACATACATACATACATACATACATACATACATACATACATACATACATACATACATACATACATACATACATACATACATACATACATACATACATACATTACATACATACATACATACATACATACATACATACATACATACATACATACATACATACATACATACATACATACATACATACATACATACATACATACATACATACATACATACATACATACATACATACATACATACATACATACATACATACATACATTACATACATACATACATACATACATACATACATACATACATACATACATACATACATACATACATACATACATACATACATACATACATACATACATACATTACATACATACATACATACATACATACATACATACATACATACATACATACATACATACATACATACATACATACATACATACATACATACATACATACATACATACATACATTACATACATACATACATACATACATACATACATACATACATACATACATACATACATACATACATACATACATACATACATACATACATACATACATACATACATACATACATACATACATACATACATACATACATACATACATACATACATACATACATACATACATACATACATACATACATACATACATACATACATACATACATACATACATACATACATACATACATACATTACATACATACATACATACATACATACATTACATACATACATACATACATACATACATACATACATACATTACATACATACATACATTACATTACATTACATTACATTACATTACATTACATTACATTACATTACATTACATTACATACATACATACATACATACATACATACATACATACATACATACATACATACATACATACATACATACATACATACATACATACATACATACATACATACATACATACATACATACATACATACATACATACATACATACATACATACATACATACATACATACATACATACATACATACATACATACATACATACATACATACATACATACATACATACATTACATACATACATACATACATACATACATACATACATACATACATACATACATACATTACATTACATTACATTACATTACATTACATTACATTACATTACATTACATTACATTACATTACATACATACATACATTACATTACATTACATTACATTACATACATACATACATACATTACGTACACATTACATACATACATACATACATACATACATACATACATGCATGCATGCATACATACTTATGTACATGCATGCATACATACGAGAGAGGGAGATTGGGGAGAGAGAGGCTTGGGGGGATGGGGAGGATGGGAGCAGAGGGAGGAAGAGAGGACGACAGAACACACAAGAGAGACAAGGAAGAGAGGAAGAAGGAGAAAAGGGAGAGGACAATGTCGGCGGACTGAGCCGGAGGCTCTAAAGTAAGAATGACAAGCCAGGGGGGGGGTACCAAGCTGAGAATGACGAGCCACCCGATTTTCCGGAGCCAAGGCTCCACATCGCTCAGCTCCCCCTTCTCCAGGCCGAAGGCGGTTTTCACCACCGCCACCGGCACGCTCAACTGCACGACCTCGACCGGAGGCGACCGGATCAGGCGATTGGAGTCCCAAAAGCCGGACCTAGTCCCCAACCCCCAGTGGCCATTGGAAGAACAAGGGGGCACCAATGGCAATTTTTGGAGGTGTAGGTGTCTTTCATAGAAACCTCGGTTGCGAACTCTGCTCCCCTGCTAACAGTTGACAACTTTCGGTGGTTTTTGTACGGAAAACCAGTTCATTAGTTGGCCACAAGGTCAAGTCCTAACATCCCTTGGCCAAATGCACCAAAGAAACCCACCAGGTGACAAGGCTGCCAAAAGTGGGCTGTCGGGCTCTTGGAGGTGCAAGGGCCCCCAAAAAATATGGCTGCCTGTTCTCCCAAACCAAAAGCCCACATGGCCCTATCAAAGGACCCTCTGCCTCCTCCTCCCCCCCCATTTTTGTCTTTTTATGCGTCACATTGTTGCTGATGATGTGCCATAGATTGCAACATATTAGTATTCTTACTCTGCATGCGACCCCCTTTCGCGAGATTCCTCTCGAAACTCTGCATCTCACTTCCTGAGTGGGCCAGAAAAAGCCCCAACTTCTTCAAAAATGGTCCACCCCAAACAAATTAATTCAAGTCCCGCAACTGGGGAAGTGAGGGCATAGGGGTCATGACTCTGAGGGTAGGAGAGGAAAAAACGGAAGGAAACAGAAGAACATCTTGAAACGGGGAAAACCCCCACCCCATCTTGAACCCGGGTTTCGGGGTGTCCCTCTCCCCGGCTCTCGGCTGGCCAGATCGAGCCGCCGACTTGGGGCCGCCCGAAGTCAGGCCCTTGGCCTTGGCCAGCGCCGCCACCTTCGCCTCGTCCTGGTGAAGCCGCGGGTAGGGGGTGTGGGATGTGGGATAGGGGGTTTGAGGTGTGGGATGTGGGATAAGGGGGTGTGGGATGTGGGATAGGGGTGTGGGCCGGGCGTGGGGTGGGGTGGGGGGCAGGGGGTGTGGCGTGTGGGGTGTGGGGTGGAGAGTGTGGGTTGGGGGGTGTGGGTGGGGGGCAGGGGGTGTGAGAGTGTGGGTTGGGGGGTGTGGGGTCGGTGTGGCGTGTGGGGTGGGGTGTGGGGTTTGGGGGGGGGGCTGGGGGTGTGGGGTGTGGGGTGAGAGCTGGGGGGTGTGGGTTTGGGGTGTGGGCGTGTGGGGTGTGGGGGGGCGTGGGGTGGGCATGAGGGTCAGATATACGACTTATCAAAACAGAACGCCACAACATGTCGTATATGTTTCCGTTTTGCTTTCCTTCGACACCACCCAAATGGGGCTCAAACCACTTCACACCCCCGGTGACCCGTCCAGCCAGCCCAGGTCGCCGTTATCCGCGCCCCCGCGCATGGCGGAACCGCACTCTGAGGAGGCCTCCGTTGACGGGGCGGCCGATCTGTTTTCATGCGAAAGGTAGCTCCTCCATTTGATGTTGACCCCGGATTAATAAACCGCTGGTTATTCATATGGGGGTGGGGGCTCCTCCAACAGTCATAAATCCCCACTCAAACCAGGGACACCCCCATATTAACAACCAAGGGTTTATCAATCCGGGGTCAACATTACGGTGCTCGTCCCCTGCAATAAGATAAAACCAATTTCCAGTGATAGATGTTCCATTTAAAATCAACTGGGAACGAACAAATATGCTTCGGCAATTGGGAAGGACCAGTCTAGAGCGAAACCAAAGGGAAACCGAAGGGACACCAACCTGTTTGCAGGGTGCCACATTCTATTTTGCATGAGGCAAAACGTGTTGAGCAGGGCCTGTGTCACACCCTGCCAGGGTTTGGTTGGATCGAAATGCCTTCATTTCGAGAGAAACATCCGCTTTACCCACATAAAGGACACTGCGCCGACTACTTTCACCCAGTTGCTTAGACAACCTCCTTTTGGGTGCTCCTTAAAAGTTGGCTGGCAGCGTCTATTTGAGAAGACGTTTATTTGTGGCTGTTTTGGCAGGCCTCCTAAAACACCCTTGGTCAAACAGAACTTTCATGTTTGTCGAACATCACCGTACCAAAGTAGACTATCTCCATGACTTCTGCATTGTCAGGCACACTGAAAATTGTGTTTTTTCCTGAGCAAAGCACCCCCCGAAAGGCTGCCAGCTCAAAAAACACCACCATGCCTCCTTTTTAGTCCCGAGGTGTGTTCTTGGGGTTGTTGTTCCTGAATCCCCTACAAAGGCCGGCGGTTTGAATGCTCAAGCCGCCAAAATCCAAACCACCGATTAAGGGATACATCCGCAAACATTCGCATCGAACCACCAATTCAGGAATACACCAATTCAAACCAACGATGAAAGGTGCACTCTGCTTACAACCCTCCATTTGCTTCTTCGCCCCCTGGAAAAAAGATACAAATATGCTTCCAATGGTGAAATCGATTCTGCTTAAAACCAGAAGGCAAAGAAACAAGACTCTTAAGCACCAGCACCCTCCAAGGTCCATTTGTACCTGAAGTGTCCTTGAGCCATTTGGGTACCAACTGACAACCCTTGGAGGGTGGCAACTGGAAGCAATCGACCTGGTGGCCGACTCGCACTGTACCTTGCACAGCTGTGGGAAGTTCCGACAGCTCTCCGACAGCAGCTGGTCCAGGATCTCCTCAGCTCAGCGGTTTCTCCATCCTTCGTTGGCAGCTTCCCGAGGAGTTTTCAGGGAAACAAGGAATTGTATTGGATGTCTGGAACAGGGGAGCAACCATCACAGATGGATACAATCATGGTATAAGATCTGCAAACATTGTCATCACTCACAAGCCGAAATCACGGAATCTCCAAGAGAGGAGTCCGAGCTCGACTAAAGGAAACCTCACTTTCCGGCGGGGCAGGCTTAAATTCCATTTGGAAGTCGTATTGGATGCCCTGTTTCGGTTGGACGCGAAGTGCAGTGGAGAACCCTTCGCAGGGTCACAAGGCAACCCAAGGCCAGCCCTACACCGTGGACACCTCACTTACACCTGGTGTCTGAACTCGTTCAAGGTCGAAATTGCTTATTTTCTCAAGCGGGAAACGAGGGAGTCCCCGAGTTTTGCGGGACATGTAGAGCTCGTCCCCTGTCCCTCTCAATTTGGGGTTGACGAAAAGGTGCCTTAGTTTCTCGAATGGCATTCGGGAAACCCACCATGTTGGGGGTAAAAGGACTTACCTCTTAAAAACACAACTTTTCAGCTTTTTGGGGGGAACATGGGCTATATGTCTGTAAAAGATTAACTTCCCCAGGGCTTGGAGTTTTAAGGGGTAAGTAAGAAGAAGTTTAATGAAGTTTGGACGTTGTTGGGGCCATCCACTCAACCAACCACAAACATCTTGTCCACTAAAAGGGCTTCTTGCCATCCATGGTCATCCGGGGGCTGCTAAACACCTTGATCAACCCCATGGACGACAAACGAATGAGAAAGGCTCAAAAACATGTACCCAAATGGCACCTTGGCAAGTGGAACCGAAGACAAACACCAGCGCAACCCTACTTGGTTGACGTTGGAACGGGAGCAACCATTAAAATCTTAGCAGTTCAGTGGATTTGGATTTCGACCACTAAACCACCGGCAAAAATGGGGAAAAAACGCTTCCCAACGACCACCATGCAACCACCCACTCAACCCCCCCGCCCCCCCCAAAAAAATCGACAGATTGATTCTAAGGCAGGGACTTCTTTCATGCGCCGCGCCAAAAAAACTCCCCGCGGATCTCGACTCAACGCGCCCGGCTCCAGAAGTTCCAGCTCCGCCTCGTGCAGCTTTCGGGCCACCGGCCGCCGCGCCACCGGGTTCAGCGGCTGCGGCCCCTTGCCTTCACGGAAATTTCCGCCCGGCCAACCCCCGCGACAAGGGGAAAAAAAACACATTGGTTCAACCAAACAAACACGTATACGTGTTTTTTTTTGTTTTTTGTTTTTTTTTCCAACACATTTTTTGTTTAAACAAAGAAAAACAAATATATTAAACAAAGAACACTTGGATCGCCAGTTGCTCTTTTTGTCCATGCACTTTTCCACCAACAAAAACCAGCAGCGACCGACAAAAGCAGCAACTTGGCGATCTAGGAAGAACCAGCTCCCTCCAAGGCTTGCCAGTTGATACTCAAAGGGCTCACGCAAGGGCACTTCAGGGTTTAAATGGACCACCCCTCCAAGGGTGCTGCAATGTCAAAACAAACTTAAAAATCAGCTTCCCTCACAAAGAGTGTCTTGGATTGGGGGAGGTGTAGCTTCCCAAAATAGCTTCAACAAGGACCGGGAGTTCAGCGGTTCAAATATAAAATCCCACCAATTCAAGCCACCAGAATTGACCTTCTTCAAGCATCTCCTGGCCCACCTACAGCAACAACCTGGCTTCCAGAAAGGAACAAAGTCAACGAACTGGAACTTCTTCAGGCCAGTTGGCAATTCCATAAAACGGGATGGCAATGCTGAAAGTGAGCCCAAGGAATGTCGTCTGTGCCAGTTGAGGCATCCCGGAGCACCCCCTATGAATCAACGGGAACGCAGCCCAAGGACAAGCGGACAATTGGCAGATGCTGCCCAACGGACCAAGGTTCAAATAGATCTCGGCGAGGGCATCTGTTCAAGCATCATCATGAGATGAAGCAAGGGGTCTCCCAAACAAAAAAGGCCTTTCGGGCCTTTCGCATGAGACCCGAGCTCGTTTCACTCCCTGGCTGAGATCGTGGTTCGTTCAAACATGTGACCTTGAAGCGGGCGCGCTTCGGCCCAGGCACCCGTCCAATATCTGATCAAGATCTGGCGCACGCGGACCTTGTTCAGCTTCTCCTCACATGATGGGTTGAGCAGTCTGCCAACATGGTTCCTAAGAAGCCCGGTGGCTGGACCTGCTAAAATGATGCTGCTCTGGTGCTATGTGCTTGCAGCGTGGAGTTTCTTTTGCCACGGGTAGAGTGCGTCAGAAGGTTAAAGGCATACCGCCTTGTCTGGGGTTCCCCCAATTTACCATGTTCTTTACCACTAACATGGTCGGAGCCCAAAAAGTGACTGAGGTCGAGGAACTCAGGAAGTGAGTGAAAGGAAGACCACCCTAAACAGGGCCATTGGCATCGGCCTCTCGCAACGTTCCGCCTTGGTGTCAGGGGTCCACAATCTTCCAATCAGACGACCCAGCGGGCATCTTGCAACAGGATGCCGAAGCAAGAAGCTTCGCCGCGGGCCATCACCAAAGGAGTACTTCCCGAGTGGATGGCTCATAAAAACGCCCAAACAGCTTACCACTAAAACGGTCTTCCCGGGAAAAACAAAAAAACATAGTCAGGAACTCAGGGATTGAGAAAGAGGCTGCACGAAAAAAACACCATTGCGTTGCTCCTTTCACCTTGTCCTCAAAAGTCAAACTCAGATGCCCAAAGGAGCCAGAAACAAAGGGCCACCTTTTTGGGGCCATGACCGAACACGGGAAACCCATTTCAGGTCGATTCGCTGAGCCTCTGGTCCTTGGGGAGCCCCCTTTCAGAATTGTCCACGCACGGCAAGTCTTCCAAATGGAACCCAAACCGGCTGTCAGGGGAATCCTCCCTCATGCGATCCGTTACATGGTCAAACAAATAAACCGAATCCTGCGCAGTTGCTACCCGCCTCCCCAATTCCATCTACCCTCCCTCCCACTAACATGGCAACCCAGAGGGGGGTCCCTTCAAAAGGAAACTAATCTTCCAGATACCCCCGACAGGTGCCATGTTGGTTGGAGGAAGGGTATGAGGCTAGACCCAGACCTGTGGATTTCAACCGATTTTCCGGCCTTCTGCTGTGGGGCGACGGAGAACTTGTCGCCCTGGCAAAAAGGCTGCGATCAATGACGTGGGGAAACGTCCACAGCTGTGCGCTGCTGGTGTGCTTGCGACCTGTGTTTTCCCTCTAGAATCCTCTAGGAAACTGGGGTGCAAACATCTCCGAACCAAGCCAAACCAATTCAGGTTCAGCTGAAAAAGCCTGCTCCCTCTGCCCTTGGCCCATCTCTGGGGTCAAAATTGTTGGAGTCTGGCCCCTTGTTTCGTCAGTCTTGAGAGTATGACTATAGTTGGCAAACGAGGGAACACCACAAACATATCCATCTCCTGTTAATTTGGGGAAATCAAGCAAATACGAGCAACTTAGCATCCAACCATGTTCTTAGACACCAAGTATGAAGGCTGATCCGCTTTCGGTGGCTGGCGCTCTTTACAGCTCGCGAAAACACCGATTGGTCCAATCGAAACCCAAACCTCCATTTGCTTAGCTCCCCTTGATATTTAAAAAAAGAGAGAGGAAAAACAACCATACGTATTTCCAGTAGTGGTAGATTCCTTTTAAAATCAACATGGAAGCAAAAGCTGGTGGAAAGTACAACATGTATCCTTGAGGCAGCGAATACCCCTTTTATACCATTCATATATGGGTCCATACTGTGGATGGACGAAGTCCTGCACTGCTTTCAAACCATGGGAAAAGTGATGGTTGGCATTTGCAGGCAAATCACCATCCCAGGGTTCTTAGGTGGTGCAATGGTGGTGCAGGATTTCGTCCATCCACAGTAGAGGCCCATTTCACAGTCCTCGGGAACCTTGGCATTGCTGTACCTCAGCTCTGGGCAAATTGTAAGTCTCAGACTGGAACTCTGGAAAGGTCCCAGTAAAGCACCTTCGTCATGGGGCCTGGAATCGATCGTTTTAGCTCCGAATCAGTGAGCCCGGTTGTGAAGCCAGAGTTTTTGTACGGCTAGATGCACAACTCAAAATTTGTGAAATGATACTTGCCTGTTGTTGAGGATATGGGCAAAGTAAGCCATCTTGCTACGATGGATGCCCCTATCCTTTTAGAAGTGAGCCACCGAACCAACCACTGAACAAAAACAAACCACAAAACCATGCGGAAATAGAGGGCAAACCTTTTGGACCCAAAAACGGAAATACCCAAAAATGGAAATCCCAAAAAATACCACAAACAAATACCAAAGGACACTAGAAGCCAAACAAAAATACCCCCAAAGCCGCTTTGGAGTCGGGGCCTCCAGGCTCAGGCGCGCCCAGGCAGCTGCCACATTGGGCGCCTCACCCTGCCATGGGAGTCCGTTGACTCGACGACTTGGCGGTGTGTGGAGTGTACTCCCCCTACCTCACACACACACACACACGCGCACACGCGCGCACGCGCGCGCACACAGCGCCTGGGGGCAGGGCTGCGAGCGTTTCAGGATAGAACCCGCTACCGGGCTCAGTGGATTGGTGCAACAAACATGTCTTTGAGGGTAGAACCCGTTGGAGTAGATTGGCCCGAGAATCGCATAAAGTGTTTGTTTGCCACTAAACTTGTCTTCCCAAAAAGTAAGTCCGAAATGGACCTCAGTGAGTGAGCGCAAGTTGGTCCCTGGAGGAAAAAGGGCCCAGCACCAATTTGGGCACGTTGGAGGTGCCCAACAAAACTGAAACCGTTTGGAGAGGCATCAAACGGATGCTCTTATTTGTTCAAGTAAGACAACCACAAACTTACAAGGAATAAGTTCTACTTGCCCTATCCTCACTTCCCGAGTGGATGGGCAACAAAAAAGTCCAAAGGTTTTGTTTACACCTCAAATTTGGTCCCACAAAGTACGAAGTCCTAGAATGGTTCAAACTAAAAAAAAACATGCCCCGGAACTCAGGGAGGGAGTATAGGCCATCCACCGACAGGGCTTAAAACGTCACCCCCACCAAGGGATACTCACCTTTCATGGCCCGAAAAGCTGATGAAAACCACCAAAACGGGAAATAACTCGGGACCCTGACCGCAAAAAAGGTGATCTTCAAAACCACCAGAAAGGGACATAACTCGGACTGAGCGAAGAGTTTGCCATTTTTTGCACCAAAAAAAACAAGACACACCATGCCGTCGCCTTGGCGAGCCGTGCCAGGGCCAAGGCCGAGGCGCGCGGCCTCGCCGCGCCATAGGCGGACCTCAGCGGTTGTTCGCGGATGGATCTCTCAGCGTTTGGTGAAAACAACGCTGGCCAACTCCCGTGGTTTTTTTCGATCAAAGGAAGCCGTCTTGCTTCGGCTTAATGCCACTACCATGTACAAGTGAACCAATCAAGCAACCATTGGAGACAAAAACGCAAACCTGCACGCTCCAAGGGTGCATTTGTACCTGAAGTGCCCTTGAGCCATTTGGGTACCAATTGACAACCCTTGCAGAGTGCTGGGACTTGCTGTTTTTCTATCAAAATGTGTGTTTTTGCAAAAAGATGAATGAACCTCTACCAACTGCGGAAGGTGAGCAATGGGTTTGCTGCCTGCACCGTCGTCTTGGGAGTCGACACGTTCTGTGTTGGGTTCCGGATTCCGGGCCATGGCAGCGACGAATTATGAGAAACCGCTTCTCTCCCCATCTTCGAGGCCTAAGAGGTGAGTTCCTTGGTGGAATCTGCAATCGCTCCCGGCGGTTGCAAGGGGGCAAGATTTGATCGAGAGTTGAGATGCGAGAAGCAACGAGCGGATATGCAAGCGCACAGGAAGGCACGACGCGCCAGGCAAACATGCAGTCAGGATTTCGAAAGCCCGACACTCAAGTGATGGAGACTCTGCAGCAATCTGAAGCTAGCGCCAATGCAGTCATGAGCAGTAGCGTTGTGGACGAAGAGCTTGGCGGGATCTTGCATGGCAGCCATTGCAAGAGTTGCAATTTCGTTCTCATTGTCATGGCTGCCCTGTTTGCACTCAGCTCTGCGAATTGGAACCCCTTCCCGGTGGTTTTAGATCCTGCGGTCGCCTACTTCTGCGCATGGCAGCAGACCTCACATTCTCATCGACCAAATCCCACTACGACAGAGCCTGGCTTATCCAGCTGCCAGGCTATCCAAAACCTACACGGTGCGAATTCCCCCCCCCCCCAACAAAGAAAGAAAACGCCCAAACAACCGGCATGTGATGCTTCGAGCCCTGCAGCTTCCTCGTTTGAAAGGCCTTCTTGGGTGTCAGTTCAGGCTTCATCCAGGCTTCGTTTAGTAATCCGGCATGCACAGCCTGCTCAAACCAACCCAGTACTTCCAGTTCCCACTAGAATCCACTATTGGAGGCAACGAGGTAATTAAACCATCACGCAAAACACACACAATAACACAAACGCTGCCTAACCAACCTTGTTTGGGTTTCCCTTTAAAAGTGCGTCATGGTCAATTTGTTTGTGCACCGATTCTGCCCAACCCCGATCACTGGCCGTAGATTACTCGGTGGCCCATGTGACATGGGGAACCTCCCTATAGCACCAATTTTCCCCAACCTTGGCAAGCGTCAGCGTGGGGTATCCGCATGACTGGCTTTCTTTTGGCTTTCCTTTCAGCCAGCCCCCTTTTTAAAGTTCAGCTTCCCATTCATTGGTGGTTTGCAGTGTTGGTTTGCAAGTAAGGGGGCTTAAATCCGGAAAACACCAATCCAAACCGCCAATCAAGGGTTACCTGATTTGGGTGCCCTCTTTTAGCAAGTGCGCCATGGAAACCCCGGATTAATCAACCCCTGTTTATTTATAGGGGGTTGTCCCTGGTTCTAGCGCGGAGACGAAATCCTGCACCACCTAATAAGAAACCCTGGAATGATGATGCCCCTGGAGCAACGGCTTTCCACGGTTTCAAATTGAATGAATTTCGTCCATCCACAGCCTTGACCACAGCCTTCATTGCCGAGGAGAAGTCTCCGATGCCAGCTCAGCTATATACTAAGCCTGAGTAGTACTAGCCTAGGTCCTCCAGTAGACAGGTTAGAATAAGGGTACCTTTTGTTTTCTGGGGTAAGAGCGCACTGCTGGGGGACCTAGCAGCTTTACTCTAGAAAGGTCTAGGTTCTAAACCCGCACAAATTTATTTTGGCCGGTTCCCCGAAATGTGCCGAAAGCCAAAAACGTCGAGCTGCCGGCTGAGGGCCGTGGAAAGAGCGTGTTGCTCGAGGTCCGCACCCGCCACGAGGCCCGTGACCAGCACGGAATCCTGGGAATCCTTCGGTAGTACCTGGCGCGTCAAGAAACCCCAAAAGCCGTAGGGGTTTCAAGTCGAACTGGGCTGTAGGAATAATCCCTTGCACCTTAAAAAGTCGGGGGCATGGGGATTCTCAAGGGGTGGGTATGAGGAAGGTTCCCATTAAAGGAAAACCCCCCTCCAATTGCATTTGGCTGATAGAAAAACAATTGATATGTTTCTGTACACTCCGTACGAAGATCTTCAGGCAACCATGGAAGGCAAAAAGAAAACCCGCTCCAAACCACCAACTCACCCGTAGATGGTTGCCCCCGAGCTATTGAAGCATAGGATGCAACCGACCCGACAGTATCCACTTGGCTGACACAAAAACGTGGCTGAACACAGAAACCGTGGCTCTCACATGGCGCAACGCCATACAAGCAGAATGCCTGTTGGAGTCCTTGTGAAATTCGGTACTGTTCTGGCCCGAGTGTAATGCCTGTTGGAGTCCTTGTGAAATTCGGTGCTGTTCTGGCCCGAGTGTTGTTTTCAGGATGTGACACCACCGAGGGGCATCCTCATGACTGCTTCATCACTTCAAATGACGGGATTTGCTTCCTCGAATGCTAATGTTGACCCAGGATTAATAAACCCGTCCCATTGTTAGGGGGGTGTTCCCTCCAAAAGTGATGAATCCCCACTAAGAGGGGACACCCCCCTATTAATCAACCAGGGTTTATTAATCCGGGGTTAACATTATTGGCAATGTTTCTTCACCTCCCGGAACCGGCCCCAAAGCCGCGGCGAAACAACACGGCCGGTTTGCAAGAGGATGCCCAAGTCCGCCCTACCGACAGGTAGGTCCGGGAGCCAAGCCCATCCAGCCTTCCCCATACAGAAAATGAGTTGCCATGAACGTAGATCGAGAGTCTAGAGCAGGTCGAAATCCCCCGCAAAGTCATTTGTACATGGGTGGTGAGTGACCCATGAGTTCATGAGTGCAGTTCACAGGGGTGAAGCACGAACACCTGCAGAAAGACACAAACAAACAAACAAACAAACAAACAAACAAACAAACAAACAGGCGGCAGGCAAGCGAGCAAGCAAACAAGCAAGGAAGCAAAGCAGGCAAACAAACAACAACAAACAACAAACAAACAACATACAACAGAGCAAAACACACACCACCCACAAACTAAATCAGAACACAACACATGCACACACACACACAATCTAACAGCCCAAGTTCCAAGCACTAAAAAAAAAAAATGCACCTGGAAGCAGCACTTGTAGCCCTGCAGATCCATCTGCTGTACTGCCTGAGGCAAAACGGCATGTCGACCATAAGCACTGAACCGCATGTTTGGTATTGCGCCTGGCCCATACATTTTAGAAATCCCCCCTACCTTCAGGAGGAGGAGGATGGGGGTGGGGGGTCCCCAATTCCATTTATCAACTCTTCCCATAAAGTGGGGATTTTCAGAAACGTGCACTTCTCATTTGGTCTCGCTTCTTTTAAGGGGGAGAGTGTGACCTTTGATGGACACCACGACGTAGAAGACTTATGTCCACCAACCATTTCTCAGGCTGTTTCCCAGTCGCTTCAGAGCCATTTCGGAGGAGAAACCGGTTAACGTTCGAAGAATCAGAAATCAAATATGTTCTGCCAGCTCAAGATGGTGCCAAACGTTGACCCAACCCCATTAAACTTCACAGCCCTTGGTATGGGCTTGCAAAAATGAATGTTCTTTGAAGCCCCTACTAAAATGAAAAGAACGACAAACACAAACAAACAACAAAACAACTTGATCCAGGAACAGTGAAGTAAACCTTGTCTCAAGTGCCCAAAGGCCCCAAAGCTAAAGGTTAATCATTTGGGGCCTTTACTCGAAGTGGGCCAAAAAGGGAAAAAACGTTGTGGAAAGGTTGGCTTTGGGCAATGCGTGAACGGGCCTTTTATTGGGGGGGTCCACATGTGTTCCCTAAGCCACCCAGGGTATGCACTCAATGTGTGCATTGGGGAAAGCATCTCGCCAAACGGCTGTGGCTCAAAAACATGTACCAGAATGCACCTTGGCACATGGAGCCCGAGACTAAAACCTGCGTAACCCTACCCAAACCCAAATTGAATCGCATGAGCTTTCTGAAGGCCAAATCTCGCCTCCCCGCTCTCGAGAATTGCCATCGCCGCGTCAAAGGAGGCTGCCACCACCCGGCGCCCCAGCTGCAGCACTGCAGCCATAGGTCTGCGGCCGCCACCTGGACGCTTTGGCCACGTGTGGGTGGCTTGTCTTTGCTCGGGAGCCCGCTTTGGAAACCAAAGGCAAGCCTTGAACCAACCTTGGGATTCCGTGATTTTTTTGCGCTCTTTGGCCTGAGGCTTAGTTGGTGCTATTTTGAGGCCCCTAGGCCCAACCGAAAATGTCCTACCACCCCCCCACACGAGCAAACACGGAGTTGAGCCAATTCACACGAGGAAGGTCGCCTTCACTTCCCCTTGCTTCAGGCCTTCGGAAGCCAAAGTAGAGGGTTAGAGCTAGGGCTCGGGATCCTATGATACCCTCCCTTTCCATGGCAAAGCCATGGAAGCCTTGTAGGTCTGCACTGCACCCGAACATAGAGATGTGTGCTAAAATGGGGTGAAATGTTAAGCCACCTCCCAACAATCACACAGACCCATATTAAATACTTTTAAGCTTCCCTCTGGTTGCAGGATTGGCGGTTTGCAGGATTTTTAGCAGTTAAGTGGGGATTTCCCACTAAACCACCATGAGCAACAATGTAAAATGCTTCCCAACAACAACCATGTTAATTACCTGACATGTTGAACCCCGATGGCGTGTCCGGCGACTCGTCGACTGGCCTGGCAGGTCCATCATGGCCCCTGTCACCGCTCCGCACCAGGCCACGTCCAACCACCCCGAGCGCCAGGACCCGATGCGCCGCACCAACTTCTCATGGAAGGCGCGTGCCAGGGCACTCGGGGCAACCATCTCCGCAGACGCCGAAGCCGCGCCTCTGTGGCGAACATGCGGCCAAAGGATGTGCTTGTCTTTGTGTGGTCGTGTCTTGTTGCTGCGGGAAAACCTTTCAGGTTCGCAACAGGTTTCGACCGTTCATTCCGCAACTCCCTCCAAATCCCTAAAATTGGCACATACTCCATACCCTGGTGGTTTGGGCAGGTTTGCTCTTTCTTTCTCTTGAAGGGGGTATCTCCCCACGCTTCCAAAACGGAAAACAGGGCTCAAACGGCTCAAGCACCCACTTCGGGCTTGTCGCCTGGCGCGAAGACGGCCACCATGGCCGCGGGCTTGTCCACGTGGTCGAAGGGCACCTTGAGGGCAGCGGCCACGCGGTGGAGGTCCGGGATCACCACCGTCTTGCCTTAGCCGATTCAGCTTCTAGGTCCTCCAGCTAGCCGAGCTTAGAATAAGTTGGTACCGCTTCTTTTTCGGTAACCTATTTTAGGGGAACCCTCCCCCCAAAAGAGAAAAGGTAAAGGGGCACTACTGGGGGACCTAGGCTTCCTTCTTGGGTTGTTTTGGAGTTTTCGGTGGTTTAGAGTGGATACCAGAAACACAAGTCTTGACTCATGAGTCATAATCAAAACCTGGTACTGTAATTTGTCTACCCATGTAAAGAATTAAGAAGGCGGCTGCGCCCATTTCTGGTTGGGATTCTCATGGATTCTGCCTTGCTATCTACCGGGTTTTGATTGTGGCTGGCGGTAGCAGAGCTGTCTGTCCTCCAGGGCTTTGCCTGGGAATCACGGTTCGAACCCTAAACGCGAAAGAAGGGCCACGAGGATGCCGACCTGCGAGGAAAGTTCAGCGACTCTTGCCTCGCAGGCCGCAGGCGTTTTGATTGTGGCTCACATCAGCTTCCTGCTGGGTACTTTGGAGGGGAGACCGAAAACACGAGCCGCAAGCTGGGCCAACCTTCCTCACCTTCAGCTTCCTTCTGGTATGGCAAGTCAACATGGGACCATCAAAAGCTCGAAAGGTCCACGCCGGTTTGGAGTGGATACAGAAAACACGAGAACTCGGGCATTCAGCTTTCTTGTTGCTATCTGCCTCTGCCCAATGTTTGGGTGTGCGCCTAATTGGTGGTATGTTGTTTTTCTTCCTTCTCGTTTTTGTTTGGTTTGGGGGGGGTGAAAAAAACAAGTCGATCTTCTCATGGTTTCCTTTTGGACAAACTAGAACATGAGGCAAGTTGCTTCCAAAAGGTCTGAGGCCGCGATTCGGTCAACCCAAAGACCGGTGATCATCAGCTTTCATTTTGATGGTGAGGTCTTGGGAAAAAACCACACGCGGAAACCCAAGGTGAAACAAATCCAACCCAGTCTTCAAGCCACCTGATGTGCAAGGACTTGGATCCTCCAACTTGCATCGGCTCCTCCAAATCTATCTAAATCTGATCTTGGTTGCTGTTGACCCTGTGCAACAGGTTGCACTTTTGTGAGTCCAACGGAAACTCCGACGCGTTGCTACCAAGTAATCATAACTAGGTCCTCCAGTAGAGAGGTTAGAATAAGGGTACTCTTTGTTTCAGTAGTCTATTTAGTAGGGGAACCCTCCCCCAAACAAGGAACGGTACAAGGCCACCACTGGGGGAGATAAGGTGGTCTTTGGGCAACTGGCCAAAAAAAAACATCCTTCTGACTGGAGACCCACGCCTACCTCTTGCGTCGACCCCCCCAAGGCCAAGACGCAGGTCTCCGCAAGTGCCGCCGTCCCCGAGACAAAGTGAGCCTCCGGGATCTGCAAGCCCTCTCCTCAGGCAAAAAATCGATGGCAGTGGGTCAAACATGGGTACCCCAAGAATTGAAACCTGGTAAATTGAAGGACTCAAATCTGCGGCCCCCTGGTGGTTGAATTTGGACCCGCACCCAGATGTTGTAAGTTAACTTGCTTGGCTGGCTGGGTTTCTTATGCTTTTCGTGAAGCAATCGCCCCAGGGAAAAGAAAGGAATGGTGCTGGAAGCTGACTTGCTTTGCTTCCGGGGGTTCCTTGCCTTAAGGAAGAATGGACATGAGAGCTGCTTTTGACATGCTTCGAGGACCTGAACACATGTGTTGCCAGAAGCCACCTGTTTGGGGGCGTCCCACTATTTTGAGCCCCCTGCCAGGGCAACTCATAAAACAATGCATTCAAAGGATGGTTTCCCTGCCGGTCTGCATAAGACTTGGTTTGCCATCATTCCCAAATCTCGCTGAGTTGCAACCGGTGAAACTAAGCGGTGGAAATGGGGCCCTTTCTTCTACAAGGTCTAAGGGTCAACTTACGTACCCCAAATGCACATGCCACACCTGTAGCCATATAGATGGTGTTTGGGGTATGTCCATTTGGGCAAGCAAGTCGGAACTCAAAAACGGCATGGGTTCCATTTTGTGTGGACTTCGGTTCCCTTAAAACCAACTGCAACCTCTTCCAGCGGGCCAATAAGACAAGCGGCTGATGGGGCAGAACATGCCGGTACTGGAGTTCAGCCAGGCTAGCGCACCCGTCTTCTTGCTGAAGAACTCCTGGGTGGGTCTCAGTGGAAAAACACTCGCATATGTCATACATACACGTACATATTATACATATTGTGTGCATACATAATATATATATATATATATATATATTATGCATTGCGCACCACAAACGCCTTGTCTATGGATTCAGGGACCCGAAAACTCATGTTGGTGCCTGTTTAGAGGTTCATGCCCCGGCAAATAAATACAAAATTAGGCATAGACGGTACAGAACAATACATTTACCAAGCCGATACCAAGCTTTTCTACCGATGGGCACATGGTTGCGCCCCTAGACTGCCAGGACAACAAGTGAATCGTGCTTGGAAGCGAGCTTTGTGGCTTCAAATAGCCAGGTACCAGGATCTGTCCAGACCAACTAACGTGAGATCCACCAAGAGGACATCACAAAGGGGCAAATTAACAATCATGGTTGCTACTCTTCGCACTCAACCCCAGACTCCCAGTGGCCATCATGGAAACCACGCGGCACTTTTTGGTGGTAAAACAAAAAACAAAGCAGGAAAACGAAAACAACAACAACACACAAGGGACAAAAAGGCACCGCTGGGTGTGTGGCTGCTGATCGCGTCGCAACTGATGGTCTTCGCTCCTGGGTCGAGGAGTTGTAGAGCCACTGTTCGTGTTCGCACTCTTCGAAGCCGGGAGGCGGCTCGATCACCGAATCCGCCTCACTCCTTGTCAGTGCGGCCGATTCCCCCGTCCAGGGGGGGGGGGGAATCGGTTGAGGTCCCGCAAGTTTTGGGACGGAACTCCAAAGTCATATCCCTTCAGTTGCCCGAAGGACCTGCTAATCTTTTTGAGATGACTAAATATGGGAAAAAAACATGGAAAATCCAAAGGGCCAAAAGGTCGGCTTTGGGAAGCTGAGCAGTTTTAGCAATACCGCTTCCATGTTCCCCTCCTTAAGGATTTAAGGGTTTCTTGGTGGTTCTAGACATGACCGTTGCCTCCATTTGCTTAAGTTTTCAAGGAGAAATATATTTCCAGTAGCAGTAGATTTTGTTTAAAACCAACATGGGAAACACACATATTCATTTCAGCAAATGGAATTTTGGGTGCAATTTCAAGATCGAGTTTCCTTTCGGTGGGGTGATAGAAGTTCGGATTCCCTATTCCAAAGGGTAAAAAAAACACCCTGGCCATGGGAAAAATGATACCTTTTCTTACTAAGGGAAGCTTCCAGACTTGAAGAAAGGCATGGCATGACGGCACGGCAGTTTGGATTGTGGCCAAATCAGGCCAAGCTTCGGTGCCTCTTCTCGCAAGCCCAGCACCTCTTCGATCATATCCTGTAGTGGCTCGCTCGGCACGAGAGGAAGAACCTAAGCCCTTTGCCACATATGCCCACGTATGATCCCTGGAAATTAACAGAACGACGGAACCCGGAAACAGGTACCAGGTCCGGTCCTGTCCCCCTTGAGGGGTGGGGGCCATATTCATCTTCAGGGTGGTAACTGGGAAATACAAGTTGTGATGCATCTTGCGCAAACCAATCCATCAGGTTTGGAATGCCAAGAGGAAACTCTGCGGCTTCCGACAAAAAACCTGGAGTCCCTCTAAGTCTTCAGGAACCGTACCAATTCGGTCGACCTGGAACGTGGCCTTCTTGGGCACAACATAACAAGTAGCACTCTGTGTCATAACCTTGTAACAACCAGGCCCTACTTGCCATAGGAAAACCAACAAAGGGCTGTTTAAGCAAAAGGGTTGAATTGCACCCCTGTGGTGATTTTCTTGCATTGGGCCGGGGTTTTGGTTGAAACCCAACTCTAAAGACACTCTACAGACCATTTGGCACCAAAGCCATGCACAGGTCATTCCCAGCAACTTGAAACTTCGCAGGCTTTCGCATCTTTGAGGCTGAGTCGCCGTAGCCTTCTCCACAGCTTCCATGGTGCCAATGATGGTCACCGTCCGGTCCTCGTAACTTTTCGGCTGCCGGCCTTTCTCCGGTTGAATCCGCACACCGCAAGCACCAAATACAGCCCCCTGTGGTATCCTGCGTCCAAGGGCCTGCTTGCATGTAGTCCAAATGGACATATCACAAAAGCATGGCTAGTAAGTGGGACAAGTAAGAAGAACCTTAGGCCCCAGATCTGCATTTGCCCACTGAAACTAAGAACATACCCCGAGCATGACTAAACTTGGTTTCGAACGCCAGAACCTCTCACAAATGATTTTGGGCCCCTGTAGCACCTTGGCTTCTGCTAACCCAAAATGGAGCCACATTCAGCGGACGTTAAGATGCAACATGATGTCGCAAAGGCTCCCACACAAAGGCTCAAATGTACCCCCCCGTCGTTCCACAGTGCAGAATCCAGAGCCCCTGCGGTGTACGGTGCTTTCTTTGCCCAGGGTTATGCCCTTCAACTTGGATCGATTGTCCCCAGAACCTCTGCAATTGGGGCTTCTTTTGAGGGAACCCCTTTTGCATTGTGGTGCTTAAAGGCAAACCAAAGGCACACCACCATTCTGGGGGTCCCCCAAAAAGACTGCTCCTAACGGAACTGGCCAATTGACAGCATGCAAGGGTTTCATGTGGGTGGGAGGAGGAGGCGTCCCCGGGAAAAACGGTGGACCTGCTCATCTAAAATGGTTTCCGCTGCCCTGAAACCACCAAGTCCTTGAGAGACCCTGCGGTAAAAACCACCATTCAAACAATGCAGGTTTATATAACCACCATTATTTACCTACGGATTTTCATCATCCAAATTGGGTCAACCCTTCTTTTGATTGAGGTTGAACCCCAGGGTAGAGTTGCTATGTATACAGTGGCTGTGTGTCTTAGTTCGGCCAAAACGTATGTGTTGCCCGCGACCACCCGGAAGCGGGTCCCCGAGACCTCCAAAAAGCGTGGCAGGCGCACCAAAAAACGCACTTCCGAGCCCCACGGGCCCCACCCCACCCCAGCTTTATGCTCCATACCCCCTTCATGGAGCGCGGCGACTTTTCCTGGTTATATACTGCTATCATCAACACAACCCTAAATCTAAACCAGAGAAGCCAGCCTCGGATGCACTGGACAGCCAGCTCCAAGCAAACCTAAACCCTAGAAACCCTACACCTTAACCCTAAAAACCCTCAAAACCCTAAACCTAAACCCTAAAATCGTAAACCTAAACCCTAAACACCTTAAACCGAAACCCTAAAATAACCCTAAAATCCCTGAAAACCCTAAACCCTAGCAACCCTAAAACCCCTCAGCCTAAACCCTAGCAACCCTACACCTAATCCTGAACAACCATAAACCTAAACCCAACAAAACATAAACCTAAACCCTAAAAACCTTAAACCTAAACCCTGAAAACATTAAACCTAAACCCTAAAAACCCTAAACCTGCCAACACAATCATACAGCATAATAAGACCTTGTGGGCGACACGTATGTTTTGCGGGTAGAGTTGCTATGTATACAGTGGCTGTATGTCTCACTGACAACTGGGGTAGTGGGGTAGGGGAAATCATCTTCAGAGCCGAGAGTCTGCATCTCGATCTCCGCCGTCGTCTTTGGACACTTCGATCTTGGCCCCGCTGTCACGGGACATTGTTTTCACGGTCTCTCCGCCCCGCCCGATGATCATTCCTCACATCGGCAGTGTCGGCACACAGGCCTCGGCCCTTTTGTCGGAAAATAAACTTTTGGAACTCTCTTCAACCTGGTCCACTAAAGTAACAACCTCGAATCTCTCTCTATGTGCTGGTTTCAGGGGAACCCAGCCCCAAAACCAACCGTGACAGCACCTCAACATCCTCGCTTTAATGGACGGCGGGCCCTTATTGTTTGCTCCGCTACAAATACTATGTGAGTAGGGTCAAAAAAGCCAGGTCACGAACGTACGGAGTCCATTGAAATGCCTTCAAACGGGGCTCTAAACTCTGCCGGGTGCGGGGGGCCCTGAACATGCAATGCCCACACACACACACACGTCGAGCGTTGCAAAGCCAAGTTGCCCACGAAAGCGCCTGCGACCTTGGCCATTGTATATATGAAGCTTGATGCATTTAAACCTTGGAAAGCGAACTTGAGGTCTTTGGGAGAGAGTCTGAAGCGAGCCAAGTTTGATGGGTGCACGGCGAAGGGGCGGAAGAAGTTGGGGAGCTGGAAGGCGGGGCGAGCACGCGGCTGAACCACAAGACGAACTAAGCAAACCCAGTCCGAGAAATACACAAAAGGGCGTGACCTGACTGCACACATGGACAAACAAACAACAAGCAAAACGCTGAAAGGCCTCAAATAGTTGTTTAACCCCATTTAAAAAAAAAAAAAAAACGTTCACCTCCAATCGGCGAACAAGTTAAACTTGACTGCTTGGGGCCTTCATCACCTTCTTGTGCTCCGGCTGATGGTTGGACCTCCGCTCGCTCTGCAGGATCTCCTCGATGGCGCGCACCGCGCGGTCCACCGCCTCTGAGGCCCCCGTGACCGTCACGGTGCGGTCCTGCGGACGGAACCGAAAAACCGTGGTGCCCGGAAACCGTGAAGAAAGGAACAGGGAACCAGACAGCAACCAAACCAAAACCATACTTGTCAAGAAAGCCAAACAGATTTATTAAAACTACGAGTGTTCATCACAAGTAAGGCAACTACATTGAAACTAAAAGCTTCCTGACAAGTAGAAAGACCAAACAACATAACAATCATAAAAGCACAATTGCTAAATGAAAGAGCAGGAGGTAACCAGCCAGCTAGCCAACTAAACAAAGAAAGCCAAATGCCGTTAGACCAAAGTGACCCAAGACTAGCTATTCTGACAATGACGAAAAGAAGAGCAAGCAAAGGAGCACACGTGCTACGTGGCAAGAAAGACCTTCGCAGCAAATCGGGAAGTGCACGCCTCCCCCCTGCGAGACGTCGCTCGGCTTCGGATCCGCAAGGTGCGATAGGGAATGAGTTGAGCCCAGGGGTCGGAAACAGAATGACGCAAACACCGAATAGCCCTTCGATTGGGGGGGGTCCCTGTTTAGAAACCGGATCACTCTTGGGGAACGACTATTCATCTCAGGGTAGTTAATGCAGGGTTGACAGCAAGCACTCCAAAGCCTGAAGTAGGGGAGACGAAAACAATAAAGGACCTTTCCTCGCGGGTTCTGGCTGGTTTTACCCCCAAAGGGAGCTTGTCATTAACCAAACACAAGACAAAATAAACAATAACATAGATGAGGGACACTTATTCGTCACCAAAAGACGGGGTAACTCTCCAAACATGTGGTTTTGTTCTAGCTCCCTTTTAGAAAAGGGTACCCTCAAACACGAACACACACACACACACCCCACACCCTCCTGTCCATGACTCACTCGCCTGCGCCCACTGCCGCTCCCGCCCCAAGCGCCGAGCACCGGTCCCCATCTTTGGCGTCATCCTTGGAGACCTCCACCCGCGCGCCAGTGTCCCGGCACAGGGCCTTGATCTTCTCCCCGCCGCGGCCAATCAGCACACCTGGCTGGCTGGCTGGCTGGTTTTGGTTGGCGGCCGGGAGGCACTTGAAACCACCCCACCGACCTGGTCCCAGTGGATTTCTCCATGGGGCAAAAATGGGGCACTTGTGTTTAAAAGGTTTTTTGTCCGAAAGGGAAAATGGAAGCAACTCACTGAGTGTCTGGGTTTAAGGTTCAACCGTTGCAACATGTCTTCCAAAAAGACACCAACAAGGAGGCCACTTCTTTAGTTGCAGGATTAAAGTTAAAACCTGCAAAAGTGGGTTGATTGAAACCTTGAACAGTTTGAACATACCACGGCCATCTAAGACAAGTCAGAAGGATATCTAAGGTTCAACACCGGGCGTTTAAACCATGAAGATGGGCTCGTCTAGAAACAGTTCCTGATAGTGGGTACCATAGACTGGTTCCCAGTTTTTTTACTCACATCCCCCTGGCCCTGTGGTAAACCAAGACACCCTGAAGACTTAAACAAAAAACAATTTGCTGTGTTGGGGAGTGATGTGTTGCTGTGCCCACAAAATACTTTCGACTTAAATACCCCTATGAAAGGTTGCCGCCTGCTGGCTTAACTGCTAGTAGCAGCTAGCTATGCTCCCCCATGAATTCACGCCGGTCTTGACTGGCTTCAACAAGAGAAGGCCAGCTTCGGATTGATCCATAGCAGGGTCCCACAGCAAAACCCCCAAAACTAAAAGAGGAAAACACACTTGACTAGTATGGTCCTCCTGGCCTTCTTGGTTTGGGCCGTATTTGGAGGTTAACATTGTCTTCACAACCCTTGGTATGGGCTTGCCGAACAATTGACTGTTCCTTGCAGCCCCCGAACTTAAACGTGAACAGGACCAGAACACACACAAAAAACATAATAGTTTAATCTGAGAACAGTCCTACGTTTTCTGTTTGGCACGTGGCTCCTGTGGGAAAACATGGTCATGTGGGTCATGTGGACCCAAGAACAGTGAAGTTATCCCGCATGACCCACGTGCCATCCATTCGAAGTGTCGGCTTCCTTACCCGGCGCCTGCCATGTCGGACGGCACGTGCATCCTAAGTCTTAAAAAAAGAAGCCAAGAAGGCAAGCCACGAAGCCGGCCGAAAATGGAACCCAAAACGGCTCCCCCAAACGTAAGGACTCCTGGAAAAGCGAGGCCTTCCGTAAGTTGACACCGGGAAAATAGGAGAGGTTAGTTGAGGTCCTCTGTCTCAAAGCCACATCCACGAAGCGCTCCTGATACAGAAATACCAGTATCGCTTATCCAAACACGTGTTGAACATGCGCACCCCTGCACAAAGCGGCGACCCGTCAATGAAAATTGCATCCATGTCGGGGAACAGGGTTGTGGGATCACTCTGGGTTTGTCCAACTATTTCTGTGAAGCTTTTGGGAATCCCCTCTTCTTTCTGCAGGGAAAATGTCTTTGGGAGGCCCCTTTTTGTTGAATCACAGAAGTGGGTTCCATTTCCCACAGCCCTGAAAGGGAACAAGGAAGCCCCCCCCACTCCCTCCAGTTTCCCGTAAATGTGCCGTGGTTTTGTGGCTGAGTATAGCTGGTTGACCTGCAAAATGCCACCGGGGTATCCACCATAGCTGACAACTGGGCCACTGTAGGAACCTGATAGTGATAGGCAATAGGTGCCATATTTGTGGGAGGAGCAGTACTTTCTTGGATTCTTGGAGGATACCGGAGAAAATGTAGCCTTTTTGGTGAGCTCTTGACATTCGGGTATGGTTTTGCAGCCTTGAGCACGAAGCATGGGCCGTGGAAATTTTGCAATATTTAAGCTGCCGGGCAAACATGAAGCATGAAATGCAATGCAGGCTACACCGGCGCTCACAGGATTGCGTGTGTGATCACGCCCTTGCACGCTTTGCACAATGGCAAGTCGTGGGAAGACTTGGCCTTCCAACATGGAAGGATCCCCAATTCGTGACCTCTAGTGAGGCACCAGAACAAAGCAAACCGCTATAGATTGGCATAAGGATTCGGGAGGATTAAGGACTGATTTTGAACAGGCCTCGTTTGATGTGCCGCCAGACCCTCTGCGGCTTCATTCTGAGTCCAAAAAGAAGCTCACCATCTCATGCGCGCCATGAGTGGGAGGATGGCACCCTGGATGCTGGACAACATCATGCAGCATTTGAAGCACACGAGTAAGTCGCTGCAGACTACAGGAGCGTCGCGCAGTTCCGGCTTTCCTGTGGACTGGGGGCATTCCATCACCAACTCGCCAATTTGTTCTATCTGAGCTTTCGGCCCAACCAACAACTACGTGGTGGATTCTCCACAACCTGGTGGAAAGTTCGTTCAACAAAATCCCAGCTTGTCTATCTGCGACGCAAAAGACTTCATCTCAGCCCCTTTGCGCCGTGAAGCATCCGCAAATGCTCTGTAGTTAACACCCTTGTGGCTTACATAGCATGTCAACCGTCCAGCACATCTCCAACAGGGAGAAACACGAGGATAAGCTCCGCCTCATAAATAGTGTTCTTGGAAAATGTTCTCTACATGTTGGGCAAACTGCGGTAATTCACAATCCTTACGCAAGGGACCTTCCTCATGAGTTTGAGCTGGTGTAACTTCCACTGACCAGACTTAGACCCCGCAAAAAGTTGACTGTTTGCCTCAAATGCCCAGTGGCCATGGGAAAAAAAAGGGCACCTTTTTTTGGTTGGCTGACTTTAAGCGGGAACCCTTCCGGGGGAAAAAAATGCAAAAGAAAAAAAAAGAAAAAAACGTTAAAGGGGCACCACTGGGCAACTGGGTTACTGAAGGAACGGCAAAAAAGGCGAGTCATCCGACAATCCGAGGGTCATGCGCAGGCCGCTGTCGCGCGATCCCCGCGACCCCGGGCGGGAGCGCGACCTGCACTGACGTTCTCTTCTGTGTGTGTATGTGTGTGTGTGTGTATGTGTGTGTGTGTTCGTTGAGGGTACCTGGAGTCTCCTTCTGATCCTTTAAAAAATCGGGTCATTAACCAAAATAAAGGGGTAATGAGCCCATTTTTGAAGGGTCCTGAAACCTCCAGGTAGTCCTTTGTTTCCGCGTTGGTGTCAAGAGGCGCCAACATGCAAACCACTTATTTGTTGGGTCCCCCTGTTTTGACACATCCCAGGTGTGCTTCTGGTCCCTTTAGATACCCAAGAAAGAACATGAGCACAAACCAAGTCTTGCTGATGTTGAAAATGGTTCGATGAACAACTGGATGACTGTCGACCTCGCGGCTAGCATGAAAGGTTATTTTCACAAGGGAAACTCATTAAGAGACTGTGTGGAAACACTGGAACCAAACCAAGCCTAATTTCCATGGCTTCCCCAGCCAAGCAGAACTCCTCCCTCAAAGGGCATGGCCTTCTTCAGACTTAGGCCAAGGGTGTTCAGATCTCAAAATGGCCATCTGAAACTCCGGTGTTCAACATGAAGTCAACCCCCATGCGACGCACATGAGGAACAAAACATGCCTAAATGTTGCCCACAAGAACTTGTCGGAACCATTGATTGGAACGGCTCTTCATGCTGACCAAGGATAAATGACCCCCGCCTTTACTTATTAATTACTGAGGGGGTCCTTTTTAGTAGGGGCTCCTTTCTTCCCAGCAAAATTGTCTGATTAACAACTGGGGGGGGTTCTCCCTTCTTGAGATGGCCCCAAAAAAGTCCAAACTTCATTAAACTTCCTCTTTTTACCCCCAAAATGGGTGTGGGTCAAGAATAGGTACCCCAAAAAGAACCCTGGTAAATGGAAACATGGACTAAAATCTGCGGTCCCCTGGTGGTTTAATTTTGACCCACACCCAAATGGTGGTCCAAGAAAGTTTGAAGTCCAGTTCACCAGGTCGATTTTTCCCCCCAAACATGGGCTTCAGCATTCTGGAGGGCCTCTTTGAGAAACAGCTGGGGGGGGGGCTTTATTAAAATCCTTGGTTGCTATCTGCTCCCCTGCTAAAAGTTTAACTTTTAGTGGTTTAATGCGGAAAACCCATTAGTTGGCAAAAAGTTAAAGTCCTAACATCCCTTGGCAAAACGCGCCAAAGTTCCCCTTTCAGTGTGGAAATTGAACTATTTTGGTGGTTGAGTGGAAAACACCTTTGTTGCCCAAAAAGTTAAAGTCTAAAGATCCAACCCAATAGCAGTCAAGCAATGGTCGAATCCCCAGCGCACGCCTGGACCGAGATCTGGACATGGTACGTCAAGCCATCACTGGATCCGAGTGAGATGCCGAGTTCGGCGCAGAAGGGCTCGGCTTTTGCGCCCGAAAAAAGGGTCGATGAACGCGCCATGTCAGTGGAACTGGACCCATCCAGTGCTGTAGGTTCCTGCTTTCTCGTACGGATTTCTTTTGCCCAAAAAGAACAAGCGACCGAGAGTTCCGGTGGCCGTGTTGACCCAAGGCTCCTTCAGTTGACCTTCACTGGGCAAAGAGTCTCAGGAAGCCTGAGGTTTGCAGCTGCAGCTCTGGGATCTGTACCTTCCCCAAATCCAAAGCGGGAAGGGAGGCTGACTTGATTGCCTGTGAGCCAACGGCTTCGCAAACAGAATGGCGGCGACATGCCGCCATAGCCAGAACTAGGTCCTGCTTTGCGTGGGGTTTTCGGGGGATGGGGGGAAAATGAGCCGTTTGGGATTTCTGAAAGGGATCCCCGCCCATCTAAAAGCCACCAGTTGGATGGTTGAGTTTCACTTGCTTGTCACTAGTGTGAATTGGCAAGGAGCACTTTGGACATGACTTGAAACTGGGAATTACGTTTAGTCAGAATCAAAACCCGGTACTAAAATAGTCGACCCAGAACCATGTAAAGAATATCGAAGGCGGCCGCAACTATTTCTGGCTGGGACTGCCCCTTATTAACCTTCATCTGCCCGGGTTTTGATTGTGGCTCTTTTGCACTGGCAAACTGTCCAACTTCCTTTGCGGCGCGAGCTGCACCGCGCCTGGAAGCCGATGCGTCGTTGTAGAATGGGGCCTGCGAAGCACAGATCGGACAAGCCCCGAAAAGGGCTCCGTGCAAAATCCGGCACCACTGATGGACATCACATATATAGAGTTGGGCCCAGCTATAGAATGTATATTTTATTGTTTGTTTCACATTGAGTCACTGGTAAAACGTAAAACGTATCCTAAGTCTACCCCAGATCAAAATAGGTGGCAAATGGATGTTCATCCACCCCAAAATGGAGCCATAGGCTATGCCCCATGGCCATATACATTTGGGCCAAATTCACCCCGCCGCAAGAGCTGCTTCAATGAGTTTCTGCAGGTAAGTGATTTTCAAGTGTGTCCATTCAGGGACCCTGTCCAATCCACTTGGCTGCCTCTGTTAATGCTTCAAACAGGTCATAAACCTACCCCAGTTGGCATGCAAACAAATGACCAACCATTTGCCAAACCGCGAGGCAGCCATGTTGGGCGAAGTGGATGACACAATTGCCCACATGTGGAAGGAGTCGTCACCGGGGTGATTTTGCGAATGCAACCCATGTCATCCACTTGACTGCAGGTTCATAGAGACAATGCAGAGAAGGTTCGTCACCCAATTGGCATCTGATAGGTGGACACATCTAACGACCGCTCGGCTTTGAACCCTGAGTTCTTGCTCCGTATTGAATAGGAGACCCTCATAATTTTTGTTCAAGAGTAGCGGGCATGACAAGTACTCCATCCCCCCATCCCGCGCTCTTGTTGGGATAGAAGGATCTTACTTGTATCCTCTCCATTTCTCTTCAAAAATTATCTTCAGAAAGTTGGGCCAATGCAACGGGACATCGGGCATCTCTTAAACAAACCATTGCGAAACACATGGTTGGAATCAACCCTGGGAAATTGAATGTCCACCTCAGATTGATGATTGGACACGGAAGAAAGTACGTCATGCTGGGGGCCCTGACAGGAGAAATGAAGGCATGGTGAATACAGACAGTGCCCCCGCCAACCTCCCCCCCCCCCCAAACCTCCAGAATCACGAGCTGCCAAGCCAAGAGAAGCAAGAAAACCAAGACCGAGGGGGGGAGAAAATGCAACATGCAAAGCTCGGCACGAAGGTCGAATGAAACTCAACAAGCCAGCAATGACCAAGAAACCCATCGGCCTGGGCCAGGGAGCCTTCTAGAACCCTCCTTTGTTGGAGGACACCCCCGGTCAGATGAGCTCCATTCAACCCCCCCCTCTCATCCATGAAAGTCCTTAAAGTAGCAAACAAAAGCGACAAGACCATGCCAAAAGCCGCCAGAACCGCGAAAGGTGTGGCTTCGGAGAATCCCCAACAAAGCATCCAGCCGGAAGGGCTCCGTTTGTAGTGGGCCCCGAAACAAAACGGGAAAAGGCCACCACCGTAGGACCCATATATGCCACATAATGCATATCAGTACAGGGTAATGCTGACCCGTGATTTTAGAAACCCCCACTCATTATTCAGGGGGTCCCTTATAGTGGGGAATCCTTTCTTCCAGGCGGCCCCCTGCTTAACTGCGGGGCTTATCAATTCATTGGGGGTCAACACTAGGACGCACATGGTACAAACTGTATAACTGCGGTGTGACGACTCGGTCACTTGACTGAAGCCAAGAGAAAGGGGCCCACCGCAATCCAGCTGGTTGTATATTTGTATGTCCCATTGAACCCATCTACCATCTGGGGTCCATGGCTCGGGTTGCGCATGGGGTTGCTAAGAAATGGGTCGTTAGGGAAACCCTCAAACAGGGTGGTTTTCCTGTTCGTTTCCGTGAACCCCCCCCAAAAAAAAGAGAGGGTACCCTCAAAGAAGACACACCCAGCTCTCATGCCAATTGATCTGACCCGACGAGATCGCTTCTTTCTTCCCACGAGCGAGGTAGGTCTTAGTCTTAGGCCGAATCGAGCGGTTGAGGCACGGATTCCGCCCAGCCAAGGCGATAGGCACGCTCTCGGAAGGCGTGTGGGCAAAGACTAATAACTCTCTCCTCTCTCTCTCTCTCTCTCTCTCTCTCTGTCGCTCGTTTCTGTTTCATGGCGAGCTCTGATTTAAAACAAAAATAAAACGAGCTCATGTACACGGAAGGGCCGAGTTTGAACCTCCGAACCTCCCGACCACCAGGCCAAACAGGGCCCACACAGTCGTCGTGCCAAGGAACAAACAAGGGAGAACCAAAAAGGCAAGTGGGGTTGTGAAAAACCTAAGTTAGCTGTCCCCCAACCGCATTCTCGTCTGGTTTTTCTCTTATCCATCTGCAGGGGGTTCACTCTGTAGCGCGCTGCGCAGCGCTCGAAAGTGTCTTTGAAGGGTATCCTTTGGGATGGCAATGGGCCTGGGGAGACATACCCAACATAATACACACACATATATATATATATAGATATATATATATATATACAAACATATATATATATATGTATATACATATCCTCCCACCAAAACGACCGGACTTTGCTGAAGGCACCTGAAACAGTCTCGCACGTTAGTTTTTGTGGAAGCATGCTCTATTTCGATTTCTTCATTTTGAGTCACCGGCAACAAATCTCAGAAAACGCGGAGCTTAACTTTACAGCTTAACCCCCGGATTGGAGAATTCACTTAGGGTCCCTGAGGCAAAAGTGTGCCCTCTCACACACAAGCGAGCACAAAACGGCCGGCCACTTTCGTAGCACATGGGCTATATACTACCTACAAATCCTGAGGGGTTGCTTTTGTACTTGAGTGGAAGCAATCTGAAAATCCACCACAACACTTGGGGGGGGGGCCTTGTCAAACCAGAAGTGACGGCCATGGGGCCATGACATGACCCCTGCAGTTTGGGCACATGGTTTCCCATTCGAAGCCTTTGGAGCCTTGGGGTGTGTAGCTGTGAGCTGGCAGTCATCTTTGATGTTCTGAGCACGCCGAGCCAACTTTAGAAATGAGACGCGCCGATCGCCCTGCTAAGAGTCAGATGCACTGTACACGTCGCACCCCCACGCCGAGGGATCGTGTGGCTTGGCAGGGGGGGTGGCACGGCCAAAAAATGCGGCCTCGCGAGTCTGGAAGATGGCCGCGTCTTGGCATGACGAATAGCTGTTCTCCCCAACCTCTGCATAGTTCGCTAGTCCCAAACCGGAAATAAGAATTGGATCCCAAACAAAGTAGTGTGCTAGTGTGCAGGGGTGAGCTCGCCATACAACAGGCAAACGGATTCTCCATACAAATTGAACGCCAAGAGGGCTTTTCCTGAGGGCAGGGCAATGGTCTAGACTTTGAGCTGGGCTCCACGAGACGAGAGACACCCACACAGCAAAGTATAAACCATTCAAAGCCGCTAGCGTGATGTTCCAACGCCCGGCCCCCCCATTCTGGACTTCCCGTTTTTGAGGAGACTTGTTACACCAATCCTCGCCAACGGGCAACGCGCAATTTCCTTGGTGGCAACTTGGTGAGTCTATCCCTGTTTTTTTTTCTACAGCTAAATGACAGCAATGGTTTGCTATTGCTCGTGCTAGGTAAACTGCCCTCTAAATGGTGCTAAACGTTTAAAGAGAAACCACCCCGAAAGTAATTCTGAGAACCTCTCAAACTGTTCACTTCAAGGGACACAGACAAGTGGAAAGCTAAACGCCTCGCTTTTTTGGGATTACGTCGTGCCGCAGCGTTGGTCATTCCCTTTGAAGGCGAAGGCAGGTCCATTGCGTGCCATGCGGCCTGCAGTTCGACCCGTCGCAACTGAACCAAATCTTCGGCCACTGGAGTGCAGTACGCCTCCAAAAAATGATCGGAGCAGCAAATCGCCAATTCGATTCGATGGGCAAGTGCGCTCCATTGCGGGCAACCGTGAGAGTTTCTCTCCCGGCTTCTCTCCAATGGCTGGAAAACCAACACGTTAGATCCAGCATGTCCACAAGCTTGCAAGGTACGCCTTGATGAGCAGTCTGCCCGGAAAAATAAAAATGGTACGGCAAAGCAAAGCCGGTTCTCAAAGTGAGAATCTCAGCTGCCAACTCTACTCGAAAAAAATCAATTCGCCTGCAAGGTCACCCCTTCCCCCACTGCATAGTTTTGGGGGGGTGATCCGTTCAATCCCTGTAAAGGGATTGGACAATGCTGGTGTGAAGCCCAAAAAAGTGCGCCTTCAAACAGGAGACGCTCCCCACAAAATGGATGGTGTCCTTTTGGTTTAGTCCCTCTACGTCCCTCCCAAATCCACTATGCCTGGGTCAACGGTTCATTGCCCTTGACTAAAATGTAGAGAAGATGCAAATCCTGGGGGTAGAGTTGGACGTTGCCCATGAACTCTTTCCCTTGTAGGTCCCAGGTGCATTGCAGCTGATGCACGTGCACATGAAAGTGACGCCCAGTGACAGTGGTAGAAGAGAGACCACTTTTTGGGATTGGGAGGTTTGAGAGGGACACCCACCAAACAAAAAGGGGAACCGAGATCCACTGAACCACTGGGTTTAGAGGGGAAGCCGTACCCCTATCTTGTGGAAGTTTAAAGAGAAAGCAACCACCGCTTTTTATACAATGTGCATTTCGCCTAGTCGCTAGCGTCTGCACATGCAGAAAAAACATGTTTTTTTTACAGTGTGTTGCAAGCATTGGAGCTGTAACACACTCTCCTGTGAGTACCCCTTCTGCTTTTTTGGGGAGGGACGTGCATTTGCGACTTTAGGCCTTTTGCTGGCCACTTGCAGGGAAGGGGCGCCTGCTTGCTTCAGCCCCAGCCTGCGGTTCTCAGTCGCTCGCTCATGTTGCCGAAGAGCTCGCGGATCCTATCAATTTAAAGCCGACTTCCGAGGGGTGATTTCACCAAAGCCGACTCGGCTGGGCGGCACGGTGTCCTTTTGGTTTAAAAAAACGACGCTCAAGTAGAGAATCCAATGACATACCAGAAGCCTGATTGGTAATGAACGCAACGGATGCGACAAAACACATCTCATAAGATCTGGAAAGTCCCGGTACGTGTTCTCACGCAGCCGGGGCATACACTGTGCACATCGGAGTTTGGGGCTCAACACTTCAGCTCATGCAGCATGCAAATGCGAAACAGAGGAATGCGAGACTCTGGAAGAGCAACTAAACCAGGCTCAGGCGATTGACCGATTGAGTCAGACACCACTCAGAGCAGAAGCCAAAGCAAAGATGGTGCCACAAGAAGGTGAGTCTGGCGACGGCATTCTTTCCCGAAACTCACTTCCTGAGTGCATGGGCCACCAAACAGCCCGAACTGCTGGTTTTACCACAAGAATGGTCTCCCCAAAAAGCTTAAGGTCCAGGAACTCGGGCAGTGAGGAAACATGCTAGCGTCAGGCCGTACGAGCGTCGCAACTCGCTCCAGCCTCTCTTGCATCTCCGAGGGTTTGGAAGGACCTCGCGAGGCATTTGGTCCAAGTCATCCCAGGTCCGAGCCCTGGAAAAACACATTCCAGTGACACATTCCCTTTAAGACCAGCAAATCTTAAGCAAATGGAAGCATGTGTTTCTGACTTTGGGACAGAACCATAAGCCCTTTGCACATAAAACAAGGCGCGCCAAAACCTCCAGTGAAAGATGCCGTTTTCTGATGATCACAAACAAGTTGCTGGGTGTCTAAAGTATTTCTGCTTGGGTCTCCTTCCCTTACCGCGCATGATGTGAAGAATCTCTGGTTGGTTGCTAAACGCTCCTTGCCTCTCACGTGTCTTTTGCGGGCGCCGCTTCCCTGCCCATTGACGGCCCATGCTAGAACTGAACCAGCAAAAATGTGAGTTCATCTTGAAATTAGGGCACCACAAAACTGGTTGCCTTGCCAGTTTGCGATTAACACCAGCAAGAAGCAGGCTCTTGTTAAAAGAGTCCAACGCCCGGATGGACAACTCCACTAAAATGTGTAAGGCATATGCCTGCCCCGGGCTCTGCTTGTCACAAAGTTACAATCCAGTACCCTGGCCAACATATATAGCCTGAGGGAGGGGTGCTGGAACCCTTAAAAGGGACCCTCTAGCAGGTTCCAACCTGATGCCCCGCCCCCCTTTGCCGCAACCAAGCCGGTGCTCTTGAAACGATGTGACTTGGAAGGTGCCGCTACCAATAGCGCCGTGTCTTGCAGAGTGGACTTATCCACTCGCGCTACAAAGAGAGAGAGAGAGAGAGAGATGAGAAAAAAAGAGAGACTTGGAAGGTGGCTCGGGCAGGGTGGGACGGGTGGTCTTCAATCCACCAACTTGATGCGATCAAATGTCGGCCTTCTGCCGCTCGAACTCTACGACAGGATTCCTTTTAAAACTTGCAATCACACGTCACATGGCTCCAACAAATCCTGAATCTCATGCTACCATGAACTGAGGTAATGCTTAAACACCCCTTGTCTAAACCTTTGTGATCTTGCTGAGTCTACTGGCCAATAGTTCAAACTCTGAGGCCCCTTGACTACCCTGAAAAAGAAACATGACAACAACAAGTCTTAAGTTACAGGTTAGGCCCACCCTTTCAAGGTGTGCCAAGTCCCGGTGTTGCCCCGTTTGGCCCCCAGCAAATTTCCCGCCCCTCCTGCCGTGAGGAGAAGACAAAAAGAAAAAGACAACCGCCGCGCCTGCCGCCTGGGCGCGCTGGCGCCGCTCCTCCTCCTCCTCAAGGCGGTTCTGGAAGTTCACGGCCATGGAGAAAGGATCCTCCTCCACTCCTGGCGCGAGCTCTCGCCCAGGCAGCCACCACATGACAGAGGGCGCCGCCGAGGCCGCCACCGAACTCCGAATGGCGGGAGATGGACACACGGCACTGCCCAACAATTCCAACTTGGCTGAAAGCTGAGAGGTGACAACACGAGGGGAAAACCACAAGGAGAAAAGTGAAACTGGTCAGCAATCTGGAAAGGGGGCCCCGTGCAGCCCAAGATTCCGCTGCCGGCGCCCTGTCGGGCTGCCATGGAGCACGGCAGCGTGTTCCCGCTCTCGTAGAGGCCTCGCCCGGGATCCGGGGTCCCGACGTGATGCGAGCACTCGATTTGGACGGGTGACCGGAGGGGGGCCGGAGGGGGGCCCGTCGATAGCCACCGGGAAGAAGTCAGGAACACTTCTTGGAAAGGGGGGCGGTGTAAAAAGCCATTTCAGCGGGGACTCCATCAACCAAAAAGGACGAACAAACTGGGACAGAGTAAGTACAACTTGATGTTTTTTGCGATGTAAGGTGACAACTTACTTGTGTCCCTGGAAATTGGTGAGTCCCCTATTTTCTTGTGAGGTTTGGAGTTCGTTCCCCCCCTGTCCCCAACTGTCCCAGTCACCAACCAAGAGATGTCCAAGGCGCGATCCCTGGTGACGTACTCCAAGACCTGAAGCTCCTCACGGCTCACCCAGTAGATGCAATCCACGGGGCAGGCCTGCACCTTGGATCCAACGTGTGGCTGTGGCTCCAAACAAATGATAAAACATGCGTAACCTAGGCTATCTTGGCTCTTCTCTTTTGAGCCGCACCCATGTTTCTTTTTTGCGTGCACACCCCTTTAGAGTCGGTTGCTAAATCGGGGGCCTGGACAAGCAAAAGCTATGGGCTATTTAGCAGCCAGCCCAACAAGGACCAGTCGGGGCTGCTGAAACAGGACCTGAACACAAACGCGGGTTTTGTTGGAAAAGCCACTGAAAACGGCTCTACCAAGAGTTGGGTTGGGACACGATACTCAGTCCTTCCTCCCCCCATGTTTTTTTGACCCGAACGGAACAAGTGACTAAGAAAAACCACCGGGCCTTCCCACAGAGGTCTCCTTCACTTCAACGCTGTCCCCTGGTATCACAGAAGTGGGAGATAAACGGAAGTTCTGATACTCAGATTTACACGCACCCTGCAAAAAGGGTCCCTCAAAAGAAATGTCATTGGCGCCTCTTTGGGGGTCCAAATAGGGCTCCCCTCCCACATTCTGAAGGGCAACTCATTGCACATTGACCCGCGCTGAGCTACCCAGTTGCAACCAGTTATCCTGTTGGTGGCCAAGGGTGCGTATTGGGTAAGAAATCCGATCCACCCCTCAAAAAAAAAGAGGTGGTGGTATGTATGTTCAATTGGTGCAGCAGAGCCGGCCAAACCTGTCTGGGGGGTGATGATTTTAGTATAGTGGGGAACCCGAAGAAATCATGCATAACAAGGGTGCCATTGAAGAAATCAATCAACATCTCTATACATATCACCCGACTGCACCGTTCTCATGACACCCTGGATGGCTTCTAAAAGACCATGTTCATCTGCAAATTCTACAATCATTCCAAAATCTGCAAAAAGGGTTCCCCAGGTCACGGATCCTTATTTACCATGGCAAGCTCGTTTTTGCAATCCCGAATCGGTGAGCTCGCTCTAACATGCTCATCCATGGGAAGTTCTAGCGACCAAGGCGCGGCATAGTCAAGCAGCTCCTCTGTGTTGCCCCATTGGGCAAACGCCTCGCCCCGCCAAAAAAACCGACCTCCCGACTCCCCCCCCCCCCCACCTGCGAGTGGAAACCGCAAAAAGCGTAGCATCTGTTGATCGGACCGGACTCGCAGATCTGAGTACATGTGACATCCTCCAAAAGGACCTCAAGATGGAAGCCTAAGGGACTAAGGGCTTCCACGAGTTGGAAAAGTCCAAGCAAGAGACACGTCTCTGATAGCCCTGGGCTGCGACTTGACGCTCTGCTCACTTTCAGGGACCCACCGAAAAATGGTTGCTTTTGCCCGGACCTTTTGTTTGCCACGCCTGCCGGCATTCCTTCTCTAACAATCACGGAAGTGCACAGGAGGGCGCTCTCCCCAATGATGTGGTGATGTGTCAAAGGCTTTGGCGCGCAGATTCTGAGCCATGGGCACTCCCACCCACGTGGGAGTTTTTTGCGCGGATGCCGCTGTACAAGGGTGGGTAGTTGAGAGCTCTAGGGTTCTTCAGTTCTTCAGGGTTCCCGAGCCTTGGCCCGCATCTGGTATTCAGAAATCAAAACACAATTCCGATTCCGTGTCGTAACAAAGGAACAAATGCCTGGTTACCCACTATAGCGGCTTGCCTGGATCCACTGGGTACAGTAAAGTATAAAACCGTTTTGGAGGGGACCGTTTGGCTGGCAAGGCACGCGGGCGCGCCCGGCATCTGCGTCGATGCAGAAGGTCCGAGGCGCCACATCGCAGCCTCTTGCCATGGAGCTCCCTTCAAGGGTTTGGTGCATAAACCCATGAAAAAGCTACACAAGCCAAAAAGCCGAGAAGCTGCCCACCCTGCCAAAAAAAAAACAAAAACGCCATAACAAACCTTTAAACAAATGGCCCTCCGGGCGAACCCCAAAACAAGAACGCAGGGACTGGACCACAAAGTAGAGCTCATCACTGCTTCAGAAGTTTTATCCAAGGGGCCCAAAGGATCGAATCGAGCCGAGGCAGGTGGACGATACAAGGCGCACACATGTACATATGTTCATGCAAGTGTAGCTACATAGATCATACACATGTATACATGCGCATTTGTGTGCATGTGTATATGACAATAATACATATATTCATGTATGTGCTCGTTCATTAGGACATCCTGGTAAGCCAGGACAGGACCACAACTATTTGCTACCACCGCCCAGGGATATCAGGGGTGCTCGAGCAGCTCCGCGTGCCAAAAGCGTTGCGAACAAAATATGCGACTGGGGCTGCACTGAGGCCCCCGCAGTTTCGGCAAGCGATGCAGGTCCACTCATCCACAAACACCTTGGAATCCGAGGAACGAGGAACCCGGAAATTCTACGGGAAGTTCACGCAAATACCTGCCACCAGGGGTGTTGCCTGACTGCCTGTAGAATTTCATACTGGTTTCTGCGGTAAGGCACTTCACTTTGTAAGCAAGCAGGTGGTCTGGGCGGTGGATTTGCTTTTCCAGGTACCCGGTGAATAAACGGATTGCAAGCCTGTCCGTTCGTACTGCGCCGTATGCCCCAAGTGGATAATGGACATTCAGTCGCCTAGCGAAGTGGTATTGAAATCAGGTGCAACTGCTTGAAGAGTTTGGGCATGGCAAACTAATCTGCAAACTCTACAGTAGTTCCAAAGCCTTAAACAAAGAATCCCCAGATTATGGTGAGCTCGTTTACCACATGTGAGCTTCGTTGCTCCAAGGACAACAGTAGAACATGCCATCCAACACAGAAACAACGCCAAAGGCCCCGCGCGGCTGGCCCCATTACTGACCTTGAGCCGTGACCCTAATAGAAAACTCCGGCCCGGCAAACTCTGCGGGGGGATGAGGGTTTTAATTGGGAGCAGCCCACTCTCGGATTTGTCTGGCAGATTGCTTTAAGGATACATCCGGATTACTCTAAATCAGCTGCTGCGTAGAGGGGCTTTTTGACTGGCGCCTAGCTGCCTCCTTTAAGGGACCCTGAGCAACTCACATCCCGAGTGGCCGCCCAAAGCTTCCGGTCCAGGAACAGGAACGGCCCGAGGCCGGCGCAAACTTCTCATCGCTCCACTTGTCCCCCTGCCCCTCTGGCGGGACCTTGTTGTGCAGGGACCGCGACAAAGGCCGGCCATTGTAAGTGGGCTTCCTGAGAAAACGCGCGCGCGCCTGGACACTTTGCCATCCGTGTTTGGCTGAACCTGAGATAGGGGCATCCTCAAAGGAAGTCACGTCGCATTCTTCTCCAGTCATTGGGATCTTTCCATGTTTGACCCTAGATGGAACATGACAATGGACAACCAACGCCCTCGTGAAATGACCCAAAAAGGCCGAGTAGCAACAAAACCAAAACCAGAAACATCCGCCGAGCTCACTAAACCCTGAAGGTCGTTGCACAATCTTCGCAAACTACTTGGTTGCTGTTGACCCCCCTGCTTTTTGGGGGTTGGGTGGAAAACACCATCATTTCCCAAAAAGTTAAAGTCTAAAGATCCAACCCAATAGCAGTCAAGACTAGACCCCAAGTCAATGCGGGTCCCCTCCCCTCCGCTGTAGCCAAGGCTCGCCTTCTTGTTGCCCGCCTTGGAGGTCCACGCCTGAAATCTACCAATGCATTAGATGGGTGTGACGTGCAATGGCTCCACCTTGGTGGATATCACTTTGGGTGTCACCTAGGCTATCCTAGGCTTAAAGATTGGTTCCAAAATAAAGACTAACGGGTGGCCCGAGAATAGCAAAGGCACCCGGAATAAAGACAAGCAAGCCCCCCACGCCGCGACCCATTAAAACAAACAACCAAATAACATCAAAACCTCAACACAAATAAACTAACAAACAAATACACCCGAACACTTTACTTCAGGGGCCCCTACCATACTGCCTCTTCCCCTGGAATGAACGACAACTTCCACAGTGGACCTCGCCAATTAATTCGACCGCCCAGGCGCAGGTGAAGCTTCCAGTCAAACCCAGATGCAGACCCCATTTTTGGAGCCCAAGACGATTGCTGGATTGCTGCCTGGCCCACATCAAAGGGAAGCTCCAGCAATATAAATCAGATGCACACTCAGTTCCAAGCTCAAAAAGGAAGCTGCAGCAATACTAGACCAAATGAACAACACAAATCAAGACCTGAAAGAGAAGCTCCAGCGATAGTAACGCAAATGGAAACTCAAACTAAAATCTCAAAAGGAAGCTCCATCAATACTAAATCAAACAGAATTTAAGCTCCAGCAATACTACACCAAAGGAAACTCAAGTCCTCCAATACTAAATCAAACGGAAGCTCAAATGCAACCTGGAAAGGAAGCTCGAGCAATACTAAACAATTGAACTGGCCTCAGTAATTTAATCTACGTCGGGGGCGCTTCACCAATCCCAGGTGGGCATAGGTGGGAATTCATGTCCACAAACCTCTTTTGAGGTGGTTCCCGCTTAAAGTCCGTGTCCAAGTAATATGTATATGTATGTATTCGTATATTATGTGCGTAAGCTACCCCATGTCAATTGTTTGCAAACGGGGTCTTTGCCTCGCAAACCAAACTCAGCACAAAAAGCCAGCACCAGCCGGCAAACCTTTCGGCACCATTTAAGCCTCCAAGTGAGATAACTTGACAATCTGAAAACCTGAACACTCACTAAACCATTAAAAAAAAGCTTAAAAGCAAAGGAACCGGATGGAAAAAGCTTAAAAGCTAAGGAACCGGATGGTTGGGAGGCCGAGAGCCACCCAGCTCATCGATTTTTTGTCTTCAAGGCCAGCTGAAGCCAAGCGGCCCAGGTCGCCGAAAGGTCAGTGGACACCACCGGCGCAGGTGCCAGCACCTCACGCGAGCAGGACACACCACGTCGACGCTATTCACCAGCTGCGGCGTCCATGCTTCCGCTTACCAGGGAGCCCGGAGTCCTCCACAATGTCCCAGTATGCTACCCTTTCCGAATAAGATGTTACTTCAACTAGAATTGGAACTTTGAATATAGTTTAGTAAGGATATAGTTTTCAAAAATGTGCCATTTTGGGTACCGGTTCTTGAGCAGCTAAATCTGATGCTATGAATCTTATGTGTTTTTTTATGATGCTGTAAAACCCTCCGAAAGGTCATCTTGGCCCAAGTCTATCACAGAATGCAGAAAGACATACTTTGAGGCTCTAACTTTGTGCAGGCTGAAACCAGTACCCTACTTAAAGCTCAGTGGAGCGAAGAGACTGGGGTTTATAGAACGCAGCCCAGCCCGAATCGTGGTCCGGGCCATGGAAGCCTGCCTTAAGCCTTCAGCGGCGGGCTACCGGCCCCGTTTGGAAAATACGTCCTGAAAAAAGACTGTTTGGAACATCTGTCAGCGAAATCCATGTCCTTTAGAGAAACAAAAGGCGAAAAACGCAAAAAAAGAAGAAGAACAAAACGCCTTCCTGCACCCTCGGGTCGTCCATTGCTCCTGATGTGCCATGATGTGCCCTTTGAGCCGTTTGGGGTGCCGGAGGGCGCTGCTTCTGAAATGCAAACGGAGGTTTTGATGAGTCTCCTCCTCTTCACGAGCTCCTCTGCCTGAGGATTTGGACATTGCAAGTCGCTTTTTGGAATATCTAAGAATTGCAAACATGGCAACAAAAGCTTAGCCAGGACCAAGCAGCTGCACAAACCACACTCGAAGGAACCCAGGGAACTGGATGGAGTGACTTCCGAAAAACATGATCTGGTGAGTTCAAGTTGGAAACACCGAAAAGTGTCTCTGAAATCCTCAGGGACGCAAAGGAACCCGCACTCCAAACAGCCAGGCGCATCATCGTGCGTGAGCCACCTTGACCGCAAGAGCCAGCCCCGGCTCACACCAGAAAATGGTGCCATGTGGCCAGGACCCGTGACTTTTGGTCGAATCTTGTTGCGCAATTTCGGCATCATCTCTCGGTTGCCCCGTTCAAGTGTCTTTCCTAGCGGTGACTTTAAAGGCACATTCACCTTCACGGTTCCACCCAATTCGGATGGGAGAGGACATGAATCCATAGCGATGCTGGGGTAGGTCAGAAACCTTTGGGTGGCTGGCGTCCTATCGCTCTCCGCTCAAAGCTCCAACGGGGTTGCTTGTTTAAGGTGGCTGGTTGGTAGTTGGCACCGTTGAGCACAATGGTTTGAAACAAAACAACACTGTTTTGGGAGTCCCCCTACTGTGGATGGACACAATCCTGCACCACTTGGAAACCATGGGAAACCATTTTTCATTGGTATTTACAGGGGAATCATCATGTCAGGGTTTCTTTGGTGGTGCGAAATGGATTTCGTCCATCCACAGCATTTCGATACATTCCATCTGAATGACAATCGATTCCGATCCGAATCTCTGAGATCGCGGCTGGCTTGCTGTGATCCTTTCGCAGCTGGATGTCATAAGCCTGGCATGATCCAAATATCCAAATCTGGCCCCCAAAGCCCAGGGCCACTTTCCATTGAAGAGAAAGAGCTCAAGCTTCTTTTGAAGTGCCCACTCAACCCTGGTGAAAAAAGGTAACACTCGGGGTTGACCATGGAAGTGGGCAAGCTACCAGAAAGGGACAAGGGGCTGGGTCTGGTCAACAACAGGTTGATTACTTTCTCGGTCGTGAGTGACTAGAGGAAAAGGCCTCCCTTCCCCAAAGCGGTCCCAGTATCTTCCTTTATCCCTGTGTGACTCCTTCTTCCTCTCTCGCTCTCTCGCACTGGATGGAGGTTTTTGCATCTTTCTTGCCACTTGTATGCCTGCTGTGCCTGCTGTGTCCCTTCAAATAAAAAGACCGGAAACTGAGCAAGTGAGAAAAACGATAAACCAAACAGAGTTCCGTACAGGAACATCGCATCAACAAAACCACCTGTGCTACATTGTGTTACACAGGAATCCTGATAGTTGACAGGCCCCTATCTGTATCTTTGCCATCCAATGCCGTCCGTCATATTTCCCGCCTGCTTCTCCTGTGGGTCCTGCAAGAGGTCATAGGCGTCGTTGAGCAAAATGCAGATCTCTTCGCCTAACTGATGGGCGAAGAGGGGCGGTCAATAAAAACTGTCACACTCCCAGACCAGTGGCCGTTTTAGCTGATTCAAAGTGGAAACCCATCTTGAAACAAGAATGGCCAACAAGGCACAAGTGGGTGTGGGTGCTCATGGGCAAGATGGAGAGGTTTCTGGCAGTTGCTGTGGGCAATTTAGAGAGCCCCGAGGTCCATGACAGCAAATTGCATGGGACCCCAAACGGGGTCCTTATACCAAAAGCAGATTCCGAAAGTGACTGTTTCTTCGGTTCCATTCGAACAGGGAATGAAACGAACCGGCAAAAGTCGGACAAATGGCCATCATCCCCGGCGATGTCAGGATGACAAATCTTCATCTTGTCATAGTACGCGTGCTTGATCTCGTCCTCAAGGCAAGGCATCAACAAAACAAGCAAGCAAGCAAGCAAGCAAGCAAACAAGCAAGCAAGCAAACCAGCAAGCCAGAAAGCAAGTGAAAAACAAGCAGGCAGGCAGGCAAGCAAGCAAGCAAGCAAGCAAGCAAGCAAGCAAACAAGCAAGCCAGAAAGCAAGTGAAAAACAAGCAGGCAGGCAGGCAGGTCGGCGGGCGGGCGTGTGGGCGGGCGGGCGACAAAAACAGGCCAGCACCGCAAGCAAACCAGCCAGAAATCCAGCAAGCAAGCAAGCAAGCAAGCCAGCCAGAAATCCAGCAAGCAAGCAAGCAAGCAAGCCAGCCAGCCAGCCAACCAGCCAGCCAGAAAACCAGCAAGCCGGCAAGCAAGGAAGCCGGCAAGCAAGCAAGCCAGCAAGCAAGTGAGCCAGCAAGCAACTACTAAATCAGCAACGTTCTCACCGCGCCGCTCGATACAGTATGTTAAGGTATTTAGTCAAAGCAAACTTCTTCTTGTGCAGTCCGCACCAACATAAATGCCGAGAACCGAATAGCCAGGCAAGCAAATCACGTGCCAAGCATTGAGCACGGTGGACTCACAACGAGGAAGGGGATGATTTGAGCGAAGCCAAATGCAAGGCACAGCCAGCACAGTGAATGGACAAAATCCCTGGCAAGAGTTGATCAACCATTCACCCCACGTGTCTGGTGTGGGTTGGATGGCCACATCAAAACGTGGGCCTCTAAGGAGCCTAAGGGTAGAGGGCTGTCCCCTCTTAAACCCTTCAACCTTGGCTTATCCGCATAGGGCCTCTTCAAGGTCTGCGACAACACGAATAGGAGCGATATTCTGTCCAAGCTTCAGCATCGGCGGTCTCCTGGATGGCACTCAAACTGGCACTTGCAACCTTCGTGGAGAAACCTCTGGATCCCTCCCCCCCCCTCCCGGGCCGTTTTGGGAGCCTTGGTTCGCAGAATCCCTTGTGTTTATTGGGTGCCCTTGGGGGTGCCCTGGGGGCCCGGGGGCACCGGTCTCAGAGTCTTGCGGACCTGCACGCCCAAGAGCTCGTAGAGGTTCTCCGGCACCCTGGCAATTTCGGCACTCCCCAACGGCTCAATCGCCGTGGCCGTGGGCTGGATGGCCTCACCGCCTCGGACATCGCTCTGGGGCACTAAGAACCGGTTGAGTGGAACACGTTTAGTTGCGGGTCTGAGCAAAGGGACGGTCCACCAAACCACAATGCCTTGCTGTGCTTTGAACTTGCATCATGGTTAAAGCTGTCTTTACAAGACTTACGTAATGTTAGGTTGCGAATAATAAATGGGGAGTCAATACACAAAAAAAGCAAAATTATTCCACCCCTGAAAAGCAAAAGGGGGAGTTAATACACAAAAGTTTTTGTGAGGGGCAAAAAAATCGGAAAATGTTCCCCAACAAAAAGTTTGATAATTAATCCCTAGTTCAGTGCAACTCCTGTCTCTCTCTGCCCCGCCCGCCCCCCCCCAACCTACCACCACCACCACCAAGGAGATGATGATTGAAGTCCCTGAAAAGGAAGTTTAACTGAGGTCCCCAACACCCAAATCCTTTATGACAGCCCTTACTAAAAGTTGCACCCTGCCAAATTTTCAAGGGGGTAGTACAGGGAACACCCAGGAAGCCAATAATGAGATTTGTTTAAGGGGGGTTATTTGAGAAAGTTTTTTAGGACTGGGGCCAGGGATGCCTGCAAGGAAAAGGGCTTCCCTTTCCAAAGAACTACTCAGAAAAGGAAGTTTCCTTTCCAAAGAACTACTGAGTCTCCCCAGAAAAGGAAGTTTAACTGAGGCCCCAACACCCAAATTCATTATGACAGCCCTTACTAAAAGTTGCACCCTGCCAAATTTTCAAGGGGGTAGTACAGGGAACACGCAGGAAGCCAATAATGAGATTTGTTTAAGGGGAGTTAATTGAGAAACAATTTTTAGGACTGGGGCCAGGGAATACTAAACCAATACTAAACCAATTCTAAACAGTACTAAGCCAGGCAACCAGAATACTAAACCAATACTAAACCAATTCTAAGCAGTACTAAGCCAATCAGCAAGAATACTAAACCAATACTAAACCAATTCTAAGCAGTACTAAGCCAGTCAGCAAGAATACTAAACCAATACTAAACAAATTCTAAGCAGTACTAAGCCAGTCAGCAAGAATACTAAACCAATACTAAACCAATACTAACCAATACTTACTGGAATACTACTTAGGGAAGACCCGGTCTGACCCTCATTTTGTTTGAGGGTTTCCTCTATTGACCCCCCCCATTTTGTTGGGGGGCAGGGGGGGGGCCCTTTATTATTCACTCCCCAACATTACTACGAGTCGCGAAAGGCTAACCGAACGGTCTACCATCTCGAGAGGACTTACTTTAACAGGACTGGATTTCACCTTCCAAAGCGGCCATTGAATAAAATCAAGTGGTGGATTCCAACAAACCCACGTTTGAAGGTCCAAAAACCAGTGGAAACTGAGGGACTTTACCGAGGGCTCACCCCCGGGGGCTCACCCTCCGTGGCCTTCTGCGGCGCGGGCGCCGCCGGACCGCCGCTGGGAGCGCCGGGTGAGCCTCGCGCGGCCGAAGGCCAGCGCCAAGGCGAGGCCGGCCCTTCGAGCAAGCGGCATGACAAACTTCGAACGGGACATGGCCATGGGGTCAAGAGCCCGGGTTGGGGGGTTGGGGGGTTGGGGGGTTGGGGGGTTGGGGGGTTGGGGGGTTGGGGGGTTGGGGGGTTGGGGGGTTGGGGGGTTGGGGGGTTGGGGCTTTCCCAGTGAACATCCCAATCCCCACTAGAATAGACTAAAATGGGTGGTGCACCTACCCCAAAATGTATGTGGATGGACCGAAATCCATTTCGACCACCTAAGAAACCCTGGAATGATGATGCATGGTTTCAAAGTGGTGCAGGATTTCATCCATCCACAGTATGATGGAGTTTCCGAATCAAAAAACGTTGGTTTTTCTTTTGCTTTTCGCAACCAGCTCACGCACTTCGTACCTTGTCGCTGGCTTTTTCAGTAGAGTTGAAGTTTTACCAATTGCTAGCCGGTGGCTGGATTCCCGGCCGTCGGCCTTCTCGGTTCCCGGCTGGGTGCTTTTGCTTGACGGGGGAAGTTGCAAGGGACGTGATATGAGGCACAAACAAGTCCATTTGCTACGAGCCAAGACAGGGATGGCTTGTGAAGCTTATATGGGAGTCCACTGCATGGTCCATGTGCGAATTCTTATGCGGTTTTTACTTTCTTCTGAGTTTGAAAGGAATCGATTCCACTACTGGAAATTTGGACATATGCTTATTTTGTCTAGGACCCAGGAGGCTTTAGCGAATGGAAGGAATGAAGCTTCGGGCTGTCTCAAAGGAAGTTACAAGGGATGTTAGGTTCAGCCCCTCATTCCCCGTTGGAATCTGGAGCAAGGGCATGGACACTTAGCCAGGTCCAAACACTCAACAACGTTATAGCAGACTCGAAGTGCCCACCACACAGGGGCAGGGATCCCTGTGATCCATCATAAAAGGAAAGTGAAACCATAAACAACATGTCCCGCCTCAACCTCCCCCAATCCCTTTTGAGGGACTGGGATACGGCGGCAAAAGCATCTCGGCTGCAAGATAGCATGGATAAGGCCGACACTGGGCAAACTACTGCTCCAACTTCAGCTTCAACATGTGTGGCATTGAAGCCGTAGGAAAAGTTTGCCAAACTACCAGCACCCCACCAACTTCTGTCTCCAACGTCCAAGTCTCAAGTGTCCAAAAAGCAGTGGTGGAGATCTGAGTAATGTTGACCCCACATGAATCACAGCTTGTTTACTCAGGAGGTGTCCGGTGTCCCTGGGTCTAGTGGCGAATCAGACCACTGGAGGGGTTTTCCCCACCCCCTATCTACAAGCTGGGGTTGATTAATCTGGGGTCAACATTACAGAAAAGGAATCCACATAAAGGAGTCCGTTGCCGTGGGGCAGGCGCAATGGACATGCCCTAGTTCATTACACAAGAGGGGCCTTGTCCCAAGGGAAAACCAAGGAGGCTGCTTCAAGAATCGGGGCCTACCAAAGGAACCACAAAGAGAGAGCCGAACAGCAGGCTGCTTGAACAGGTGCTTCATGCTTCGAGTCCTCATTTGCACAATCAGGACCTGGAAATGAAGGGTCATCGCCTTCTGGGGCCGACAAATCGTTGCCAGAGGAAGCTCAAAGATCAGGTCCGGTCGATTCGCTTTGCTTTGCGAGGTTTCAGCTAGCTTGACTCCCCTCACTTCCTGAGTGGATTGGCCAAAAGCAGCAACCAAACTTCTCATATTTACCCACTAAACTCGTCCCAAACCCGAAAAAACTGGCTCACGTCCCTTCAACGGAACTCAGCAAAGGTCCGGGATGCCCTTACTTGGTTGACGTTGGAAGGGGAGCAACAACTTAAATTCTGGCAGTTAAGTATTTGGATTTCCACCACTAAACCACAAGTAAACATGTCAAAGACATGTTTCCCAACAACAACCATGCAACCTCCCACTCAACCCCCCCCCCCCCCCCCCCCCCCCCCCCCGATTTTGAGGATTTTTGTTTTCGGGCATGCCCCGCGTCCCGTTTCAAACCCGAAGCCGCTTCGGCCGTCCCGAGCCTGGCGCCGCGCGTCTCGCCCCCGGAGGCGCCTTTTAAGCCGCTTCCGAGCTTCGAAGGCGCCGAGGGCGCCGGAACCGCGCGCCCGGGCTCCTGCGCCTAAGAAAACGTCGCGGCCGGGGCTACAAAGCCCAGCCCACGTTGTTGTTGTTTCTTTTTTGTTCCTATGTTTTTCTTTTTTTAGTGACTTTGTAACCGAAGGAGTCTCTACATGAATTCAGGTTGAAGCCACTACATGAACCTGCAAAGATCAAAATCTCGAATTTCCAGGCTGAAGTAAGAAGTAGATCCCCAAGCAAAGGACGTTTATCTTGCTGAGCTCCTTATACCCCCAGGTGAGCTTGCTACAAAATGGGCAGATGAATTACTCTTATGGGTGTGTCATTCGTTCCAGGAGCACCCCACCCGCAAAAAATAGAGGGGATGGTTTTCCTGTTTGTGTGCCTTTAAACCAACCCCAGAAAGGGTACTCAAGGAGTCGCTGGCCCGTTTGAACAAAACCACTGTCCCTGTCATTGAAATCATCACCCCCGCCAAGTAAAACTCACCTGAAATCTTGCAAACAGATGCAAGGCTGAAACCAAAAGCCATCAAAGTAGAGGGATCTACCTTTCTGTTCGGAGGTCGAGCTACGTGAAATCCGAGTTTAACCATTTGCCCGCCCGTTTTGCGGGTGCTCTCTCTGTAGCCGAAGGTACCACAACGCCTGGCAACTGGCCGATCAGCTGCGAGGACATTGCTCCCAGCGCCGGAATGGCCGGGCAATATATAAAAAATGCGCCTCTGATCAGGATTAGACATATATATACATATATATATGTGTATATCCGGGTAACCTTGAATGTTTAGTTAAGGTCCCTCATGCAATCAAGGTCCTACCTTGTTTAGTCCAGCTATAGGGTACTGTGAAGCACATTGCTTAGTCAGAAGGGTGAAGTATCCGTATTCGTGTCATGCGGCTGGTTCTTCTTTCACTGCTTGCGATTCGGCCCATGACAGAAACTAAACTCCGGTGCATGCTTGTGACAGTCAATGCATGTGAACTAAACGCTCGCCTTTGAGCCGGAATGGCGACGACAGCAGCCCCGTCGCCCTCAGGCTGGCATGTGGCAACACTTCAACAAGCAATGCCTGGTAAAAGTTCAACCCTATTGAAAAAGCAAGTGACAAGGTACGAAGTGCGTGAGCTGATTGCGAAATGCAAAAGAAAACACGACTTTCTGATTCTCCATTGTATATCCTGCAAATCAAAGCTTGTCATGCCTGAGCTCGCTCTACCCAAAGGCGAGCTCTCCATAAATCAGACAAAAGGGCATGCGGCATGACTACCTGCGCAAGCGACAAATACTGTCGAATTAAAACGGTCAGACCACCTACCTGCCTACCTACCTGCCTGCCCGCCTGCCTACCAACTAACTAACCGAAACCAACAAACACCACATCCACTGTTCCTTCTGCCTTCTACCAATCGTGGATTTCGGAAGTGCACAAAGCCAAGGTGCCAGTGACCCTGCAAGAGCAAGGACACCCTTCTTGGGGTTGAACTGTTGAAGTGGGGAAGCTGAGCAAAACAATGATCAACAAATACACGTTAAAAATTACGGAGTAACTGAAAAAGGCATGCTCAATTTGGGAGGATGGCCTGTTTTAGTCTTCCACGCCCAACTGCGCACTTCGAAACAGAGGTACAGGCATTGTTTGGTGCACAAACCCCTGTTTGGCCGACTCTCCTTTTAGGAAGTGGCCCTGTAAGCCATGACTCTCAGCTAGGAAATGGAAAAGGCTGATCCAATGATTGCGTTTCCGTCTGATCGCGGCACACATGGCTTGGGCTCCGGGCCCTTACCGGCACGTACATAAGGAGCCGGCCTTCCAATGGAATAGACCGCCGGTAAGGCCAAATCGAATCCTTCCAATGGTTTGGACCGGTTATCATAGGTGGCCTTTTGGAAAAATAGATGGCCCTGGTAAAAAGAACAGAACCCATCTAAACCAGCGCCATGTATTTCTAACCAGGCACGCCTGCGGAAGCCAACCAACTTTGCCTGGCTCGGGTGGGACAAGCTGTGAAGGCAAACAACCAAAGATGTGGGCGTGAAAAGCTCACCAAAAGTACTGTACGTGCTGCTTCGATAATCCGATAGGCAGGGAATGAGAAATGGAATGAACCCCAAGATAAACCATCCAACCGGTGGTTCCTTTAAGGGAATCCCCTTCCGGTTCATTCCCAACACCCGGTCTCGGTCATTCACTACAAGAAAAAGGAGCAGAGAAGGATTGAAGGAGTGACAAGCAGATTTCTTGCTGACGAGGAACAACCGGCATAGGTGTCCTTTTTAGGTGCTGGAGTTCCCCTTCAAAGGTTGCTGTCTTTGAGGCTTGCCCATCCGCAACCTTTGCAGGTTCCAAAAAGGGAAATGGAGGAAACCCTGGTCCTTCAGGCTTGACAGTCACCAATTGTGCGCGTAGCATACTTGCTGATCTATCAGACGTGCCCGATTTCCTTTGAATCCAACTAGCATGGCAAATCGTCTTAAGAAAATGAAGTTGGTGCAGCGTTGGCAAGGGGAGCTAGGGGCAAAAGGATGTGTATCGACCGGTCACCGGAACACCCTGAGACAGACAGGGCTGGTTGACATCTGAGTGAACTAAACACGGCCCTCGATCCCAAGAAAGGGAAGCTTGGGCACGGTTGCAAACCGAAACCTTTTCCAAAGTGATTTTGCCCACACCTTTTCGCAATCACCTGGCTAGGGTCAAACGTGTTTAATATCATGGGAAACAAGTAGATGACATTCCCGTTTTGGGGGTATCTTAAAACCTAAACTGGAGAAAGTGTGCATGCAGCAGGACATCACCCCACCCAAAGCTCAGCTTAGCTGGTCCAAGACCTGACCGTGCTAGTCCGGGATGGTTCCCCTATAGCTCTATAGGGATTGCTCTGACTATGGCCCGAAAAAGTCGAGCTTCCCGAGCCTCTGTCCAGCAATGGAAGTGGACAGACAGGCTCCCCAAAAAGACAAGTAGCTTTTCCCACATGTTCCTGTCCACGACCCCATTGTTGGAAGGGGGGCAATGCAATACCAGGGCACATCTCAGGAGCCCTATTCGACCCCAAACCCCCCCCAAAAAAAAACAGCGGCCAGGGGAGTGAAGGCGCTCTCTAATTCGGTAGTAGTTTTTGAGGGAATCCCCTTCAGAAAACAGTTGAAACAAATGTTTACCCACAGGGTTTACTAAATGGCCAATGGGCCTGGAAAACCGAAGGGTGAGCAACCTTTTGGAACTCTCAAAACAAGGAGCCAAACAAGGGGATGATCCGCAAAAGGGAGAAACACAATAACTTATCAGATCCGGTCGATTCGCCTCGCCCAGCTTTTCTCACCAGTTCCACGTGACTTCGCCGCACTTCCGCCATTTCCGCGACCGTCCAAAGCCGGAAGCCGGGCGCGGGGCGCCTGGGCCTTGCCTCGACCAACAAGTTGGGCAAGTTGGCCCGAAAGGCGGCCTGGAAGAAACGCCTACCCCGTCGGTCCCGTCAGGCAGGGGGGTGAGGGGTTGGTCGCTTCGTGGAAGAAACGCGGACCTGGTTGGTCACCTCAGGGAGAGGGGTGAGGGCTTGGTCTGGGACCCATGTACCCTCCCACCAACTAACATGGAACCTGACGTTCGGGGGCTCCTGGAAGACCATTTTCCTTTGAGTCAGGTTTCAGGTCAATTGGTGGGAGGGTACCCAATTCCATGTATCTGAATTGCTGGGTCTTACATGCATGTATCTGAATTCCGGGGTCACACATCTCTCCACCAATAAGGGGGTTGGGGGATGTCCATGGAAAACGCTACCACAACAAGCCAACCCCCCCCCCCCATGCGCTTTTGGCAGATCTTGGTGGATTCCGACCCTCGAAAGTGGATAGCATATTCCAAATGGGTTGGAATTGCGCCATCTGCTCTCACCCAACTGTCGATCTCCAAATGACCGTTTTAACGAAAGTGAAACTTGAAGCCATCATATTCCGAATATGTCTACAATTTTTGAAACAACGTATACTTGGTCAAGTTTCTCTCAACAGCAATCTGATATATATATATATATATATTTAATTGTATATATATATATTCATTTGAATCAACGTGAGCCCATTGAACAACTTGTTGATCCTATATCACATCTTTATTTCCTTCCTTCCAAATCCTGCAATCCTCGCACTACTCAGTACTCTTGGCTGGAAAATTCGGACCCCAGCAAAAGAAAACCTTATTTTTTTGGCCTGGTGAGTGGAAAACAAAGGGAACCCCCCGCCCAAAAAAAAAGGAGCTAATTCTGGGGAATTTTTCAGGGACCTTTTTGTACTTGTTCAGGGACCTGTTTCCCCGAACGAATTCTGGGGAAGTACTTTGCAGCGCATTTTCCGGGAAATCTGCCGAAAGTCTTGGGCCCAAAGGACTGTCTGTCGACCAAATCCGCGGTCTCGCTTCAAGCGACCCACAGGCTCTGCGCCAGCGGATTTGCGTGCGCTCCCAGGAAAAGGTTGTCCTTCAGGAGGTATTCCTCGGACCATCAGCTCAACCTTTGCCCTCCCTCCCTCCCTTTCTGCGACCCTCCCTCCCTTTCTGCGTCCCTCCCTCCCTCCCTTTCCGCGTTTTTCTGCGTCCCGCCCGCTGCCTCGTCTCCATAAAAATCAGCAAAGGCACGTAGAAGGAATCCCCTCGGCTGCCCAGCGAGATGCGATTGTCCGGCACTGCCTCGCGTCGAGTCAAAACGCACCGCTGCCGCTTTCCTGGCGATCCAGGAAGCGCGATTTGAACGGACGCTGATTTGACAAATGTTCCCCCAGGAAGTTCGATTCTCTCGGCGCGCAACGGCGAGTCCAATTTTTTTTCAGACAACTGGGGGGTTGGGCGTGGCAAAAGGCAGGTTTTGGGAGGTGCTGTAGTAAGTCTGTTGCTTCGGTACCCTCTGTCAAAGGATGTCTTTGAGTTGTTTCCTTTTTTGGCCGGGGCGCGATTTAGCAAAACTCACAATCAGTAAGAACCCCGAATGAAAGCTACATCGGGGTTTACTTGATACTTGCGTAGGCTGCGGAGCTTGCGATATATTTGAAGGTGCTCTCCCATGTCGTCTGTGCGACGTAGACGGATTTCAACCTAGTCGCGATGTGCATGCTTAGGGCCAGAATTGTTATGTCACCTTCCCTCTCCGCCGGTAGCCAGGTCAGCCAAGGCAGCCAGGGCACATACACGTCCCCGTTCTTCCTGGGCGTGGTCACATAAGGCGGCCAGATTGCAGTCTCATGTGTTCTTACAAATCACGCTAGGTGCTGGGTTGGTGTTAAAGAGCCCACTAGCTGTCATTCAAGCCTGAAGTGCTATGTTATGCAAAAAGGCTTTCCAGGCCCTGCAAATGAACATGGAAACCGATGAAGGGTGGCAGAGGACATCCCTCTCATGAGGCTTTTTTCGGGCTCATGGTTAATTTGCAGAGAGTACCTCTTCATTTCTGTTGGACACATGCATCTAGTGCAGATGCTTTGTTTCTTGGGGTAGGTTTGTCCAAGTAATGGCCCGTCCCTGCTAGGCTGCCAGGCTTGATGGTACTGCGCGTATGTTGCCGTCCGTGGAGACGGGAAGGTGTGCAAGTAACCATCTTCCTTTTCAAAGGGCCTCCTGCCAGGTTCTCTAATTCCCCACCGAAACTTTCAGGCACGATGGGGCTGACATTTGTGGAAGGCTGCGAGGTGTCCTTGTTGCTAACATGAAGTTGTTTGTTGGTATTGTTGTCAGGTCACCTACGTTACCAACATACCAGAAAGGCTGCAACGAGTCCCTCGCCCCGACTGGCATGCAAGCTCCCAGGACTCCTTTGGAAGTTTTGGGTCTATTTACAGAGAGGCTCTCTGGGAGCTTGCGTAAATCATTCCTCTGGCAAGCCAGGCCGAGCTTCCATGTTTGCCTGAGGGAGGGAAACCCTTTTGGGGTTCCCAGACCGCAGATTCGGTCTGGGGAAAAGAAAAGCAAAAGCTGCGAAGCTTCTTTTTCCTTCAGTCAGCCGAAGGATCTGGAACAGGGAGGGAAACCCTTTTAAAACCCAGGCCCAAGAAAAGCGAAAGGTGCGAAGCTTTGGATTTTCGACCGGTCAGCCGAAGGCTCTGGAGCAAAATGGCCACCAGACCTCTCTCCAAATTCGCGGAGGCGTTCAATACCTGCAGCACCTGCGCCACCGACGCTTGGCCGCTTCTCGCTCGGTGGCTCCCAGCGTCCAGGCGCTGGCTCCGGTGGTTCAGCTTGCCGAAGCGGTGGGGCTGGGTGGTGACATGGAGGGGGAAAAAAAACCTTGGAGCCTCTACAAAAGCCAGGGCTTCAAATCCAAAGCACCAATCCAAACCATCAACCAAGGGTTACTTGATATGTGGATAACAAACCAGCTGTAAAAACGAAGAGTGCGAAGATCTTTTTAAAGCGGGGGGGGGGCAAGCACGCCATGCAAAGGATCCTCAGAAGCATCACCAGCATTCACTGCAACATCGCGAGAAACGTGTATCGACCTGAAGGTCGCCTACCGCCATTCTATAATATCAAGAAGTGCACCAAAGAAATACCCTTGAAATGGACACCCGAAGAGGCTTGCTTGAGCTGGCGCCACTTGGCCACTTGGGACCCCAGCATGGCACAGCGCTCACACCGGCTCGACTGCATCATACCCACAGCCCATTTATAGTTCTACCTCGTCCCCTCGCCCACCTGCTTGACTGCGCACCATGCACGCGCAAGCCTGCTCAACTGCATGCACACATGGCAGCTTGCAAACAAAAGGTCCACACGCACATTGGCAGAAAGCTTAGCCACGCCATGCCAACCCGAATACAAGCGAAAGAACAGCGCCCTGCCTGATCTTGTTGCCGCGCGTGCTCGCAGTTGGAAGTCAGCAATGCTAGCATCTTCCATTCGACGGGAACGTAGATTTCCTCGGCCAGGAAGAAAGACATCATATCCGGAAATATTGCCACCAAAAGCCAATGGGAACCCAAAATCAGCATCAATCGAACTGCACGACCGATACGGGCCTACCAAAAACTGACGGCCTGGTCTTATTGCTTTTATCCATACACTTAGTGGAATTTGCCCACCCAGAGGCCCCTCAAACAGCCAGGTTTTGAAAACACCTCCGGGGTGAATGGAGGGGTCGGGTCTTCCATTGAAAGCCGAAGCCGACCGGCGCCTCTGGGCATGGCAAACCAGCTGCGCGTGGCCGCGTGGCCGCCGTCTCCAAAGTCAAGAGGGGCCAATGTTTCAGGGTGCTTAGTTCTCATAAGGTCCAAGCAAGTGACATGCTGAAGAATACCGCCAAAAGTGTGTGTTCTTTTTTAACGAACACCCAAAATAATTGTTGCAAACCTCTGCAAATGTTCGCCGAATTGTTTGATGGATCAAGCTTCAACAGAGTTTCCCTCTACGACTCCCCGAAGAGAAGAACCTGGTCCTCCCTTCAGGCAGGTGAGACCGAATGATTACGACTTCAAGCCCGGCAAAGGCGTATACCCAAAAAACACGAACATGATCCCCAACAACTGCTTGTTCACATGTCAAATTCCCAAGTACTGTCCAAAAAGCAGTTCTTGGGCTGTGCTGGAGGGCGTTTTTCTGGACTTATTTACTTTCTGCTGGGACGGTTCCTTATGACGCTTTAAGCGTCCCATGAACCTTGAAGTGGCGCACTGCCGTAAAATTTCCTTGCAGCAAGCATGAAACCTTGTCAGACCATCAATGCGACACAGGCAAACGCATGCGCGTGGTGCTGAAAACTTTGTCGGTAAGCCACGGTCATGTCTCGCGTAGGAGCTCTTAGATTGGGTGTAAAGCCGGGCCGATGGCCCAAATCTAGTAACCACAAGTACCAGGCAATACTAAGCTGCAGCCCTAGTATTAGGGTGTTCTCCGAATCAGTTCATTCGTTAACTCACATTTTCCAGTGCAAGTGAAAACTCGCGCCTTTCAGTTGAATTGACAAGCTCAAAATCTAAGGGTTGATTAACATACCCCTTTTACATGTTTTTTTTTGCAGGAATACTTGGTGGTTATAACAGTGCCTTGATCGATTCTATTCAAAGTCATGGCCGAGGACAGCGGAAACCTGCTGGCAGCCCTTTTGAAGTATTACACCAACTACATCCGAATCCCCAGCGGGATATGCTGAATTGGGGGGAGGGCCAGGGGCGCTGCTTATTATTCACATATTACATATAAACACATCGCGGCCGTGAGTAAAAAATGGATTTGACTATGGCACATCTGCTTGAGTTGAAATATGGGCGCCCCCAGAAAATTATGTGCTTCCGTTTTTTCCTTTTGGCTCCCTTTCAACCAAGGTGGAAAGGGCTCTGTCACACACACCCAAAGCCCGAAAACATAGCATGTGTGGTGGAGATCTCGGACTATGCAACTGGAAAGCCCCCCCCCCCAAAAAAAAAGACGGGCGATTCGCGAGTTGGAGTACCGAGCGTCCGCCAAGGACAAGAAGCCCGCCAGGTCAGTAGCCTGTCCAGACCTTGGCCAGACCCATCAGCTGCAAAACAAAGGAAAACACTTCTTTTCAATCAAGGAAACCAAGGGGTTCAAAACGGGATCCCGAATCCCGGAGGCGGCCTTGGGGCCATCGGGGCACCGCCACAACCTGACAGTTTGGACCTGGAACTCGGTGACTAGGTGATGACCTTTTCTTGCTGGTATTCGGTAGGGAATGTGGGAATGAACCCAAAAAAACCCAAACGAAACCATGAAGGAGTGGTTTTAGGGCTCATTCTCATGAAGGATAGTGTAATGTGATCACCTTTTGGGTTGCCATGACAATGGGAATCGAACGTGCAGAAAGCCAAAAAGTCATTTCAGGTCGATTCGCTGTAAATAACTGAGGAAGGAAAACCCAACATGGGAAATCCCAAAGGTCATGTCGATCGGTCGATTCGCTTTGAACAACTGAGCAACACAAGGAAACGAGAGCTCCCATTTGGCCATTAGGATTTGGGCTTCAATTTTTGAACGACCCCGTCTGCAACTGTTTGCTAAGATTTGCGATTTGCAGGTTGAGGGGGCGCCTGCTTTGGCCTATAAGGACCAAGGTTCAAATCCAAGCTAATGAACATCACAAACTGAAGGTAAATCGAAGAAGAGCAACAGGAAATGCCAAAAGCAAATGCCCTCCGCAAACAAACGCTGAGGGTTCATATTAGCACGAAGATCTTTCAGGGGGTACTGTTCAGGTGCGAAACCATCCAAAAAAAAGAAAGTGAACTCTTCGGGGAAGAGCAGCTCCTGGACTCCTACCCTGTCCGACCGTCACTTCCGATCGAGTGGATGGGGAAAACAAATCTGATCTGTTTGTTTAAGGCAACTCTGTCGCCCAAACCAAGGGCAAGCTCTCACAACAACCTGCTTAGGAGCTGGCAACATTTTGGTTACCGCTGAATTGGTCTTCCCAAAAAAACACAACTAGGTCCCCCAGTAGAGGGGAAAGAAAAAGGGTACCCTTTTTTCCTGTAGCCTTTTTTAGTGTGGGAACCCTCCCCCAAAAAAGAAACGGTAAAAGGGCACTACTGGGGGACCTAGAGGTCCATGAACTCAGGGAGTATCAAGCTGGACTCCCGCGCCGTCAATCGCTTGCCGGATTTGCGGGGGAACCAAGCACTTGAGGTCCCAGGGGAGGAGTTGCGGGGGGGGGGGGGGGGGGCCAACCGCTCCGAATATAACGCTACTACCGTACCCGAAAAAAAGAATCTCACTTTGGCTAGGTTTGCACACCCTGCCAGAGACGAATTGGAGAGAATGGTTCCTATCTGGTGACATCGCCTTGAACCGTTCAAGAAAGGCTGGATGTTTAGGACATCGAACAGGGATCTCCACAATGCCCCTTCAAAAACTTCTCCAACCGGGTATGTTTCATCAGTTTGCTCCTGTTGTTTTAGCTGGGAATCTCTTAGATTGAACGGAACGGAAAAGGGACATGGAGCACTTGCATCAATTTCAAAGAGCAATCTAGATAGGAATGGATGCCTTCCCCCAAAATTGATGGTTTGCTATTTGTCTCACCAAATGACAGAGACATGTTACTAAAACGTTGAAGCTGCCAAAGTGTCCTTTGGGCACTACTCTTGCAATGAAAAGTTGATAAACGCTGCGTTGATGGAGCTGCAGCTGCCAAAGTGCGCTTCGCTTGCTACATGTGTGGTGAACAAATGAGACTTTTCGAGCTGCTGTGAAATACAGTACAATAACTTGAAAAAGGAGTAGGTTCTGTTAAGATTGATGGTTTGACTTTCTCGGAATAAGATTCGGAGACACCCAGATGCTCTGAAGTGGCTTCCATGCAACTTACGAAACGCAGGCCCATAGTCTGGGGTATCTGCTTTGAAACGCACACAATTCAGACCCTGGGGGGGAGTGCATATGAGTCACAATCAAAACCTGGTATTTATATGGTCTACCCCAGAACCATGTAGAGAATTAAGAAGGCGGCGGCCACACCCATTTATGGTTGGGACTGTCCCTTACTAACCTTCAGCTACCCGGGTTTCAATTGTGACGCATATAACGATACTTATATATTATATACATATATGATTTGTATACATATATATATATATACATGTATACATGTAGATATGTATATAAATACATGTATATGTATATGTGCTATATGTTTGGAACAGCCCTAGTTCAAGTGAGTCACTGCAGGTTCACATCGGACAAGGGCAGGGTCACCTCCTTGGTCTTCTCCTTCTCCGCCAGCTGCTGCGAAAGATCTTCCACCTCCGTCTCCACCTCCGCATCCTCCGACCGCCGAGCCGCCGCGGATCGAGCGGCTCGACTCGGTAGCACTCCCCAGATTTCCCCTGAAAACACAACATAGGGACCCCGGTCGTAACGGCAGTGGCAGCTTCCCCCCGTTGTTTGGTGGCTTGGAGCCGAATCGGTGGTTTGGGGGGTAAACCCCATAACCCTCTACAAGATCCAGGGGTTGAAATCCCCAAACCACCAATTAGAGGGAAGCTGAGTGATGCCCAAAGGACCTAGAAACGAACGAATTAGAAGGTTCGCCTGGGCCACAACTGAACATGGACCAAGGGGAACCCGAAATTCTGAAAGGTCATTTCAGGTCGATTCGCTTGGAGCAAGTGAGCACTAGAATGGCCTTATCAACAAAAAACTACATTTGGGTGTCCTTCTTTCGGAAAAAGGAACCCCCCCCAAAAAAAATGGCTCCGTATATGTTGCTTTCCGGTTCTTTTTTTCACGCCGCAAACGCGGCGAGGACTCCTCCCCTTTTTTGCTCAGGCGCGTAGGTCCCAAGCTCCGAGAGCGGCTCCTCCTGTTCGGGGCGCGGGTCGGCGGGTCGGATCGGAGGGCTGCCCATGAGAAGCAGAGGCCCCGGATGTCGTAAGAACGCGCGTCATCAGTTCCGGCCGTTTGCATTTCCAGCGCCTTGCGCAGGGCAGGCCTTGGGAGGGGGGGGGGTTAGGAGGGAAGGGGGATGCGGGGGGGGGGGGGAAGAGCAGAAGGGCGGGGCGGGGGGAAGGGGAGGGGTGAAACAGGCTCAGGTGGGGGAAAGACTCTCTTGAACAAAAAGGGTCCCCCATTTCCAGGTAGGTTTTGGAGGTGAGGTTTTATACCACTTATATTACCCAGGACTTTCTCGAGCTCGTTTACCCCGGTCTTGCAAACGGCCTGGTTTTGTTGCGGTGTTCGGATTGTGACCAAGTTTTGACGATGTAAATCGAGCGCAGGCAGCAAATGACAGCAAGCACTTCCAAGTCTCAGAGCCGTTTCTTGCTGGTGCGATAAGTAGGCAATGAAGAACTGACCCTTATAAACCTGGGTTCATTCCCATTCCCTACTTATCGCACCGGCGAGGTTTCCGGGAATCCATCTAAGGGAATGAAAGGTCCGTGAGCCCGGCCAGGAATGGAATGATACGCCCGAGCTCGGCCAGATTTTCCCTTCGTTTCTTTTTTCTACAGTTCCATGCTGAAGGGTTCTGCAACTCTTGCCAAAATAAGAATTGCAATCACTAACTTGCAATGCTGTGGCTGGAGAACCACGCCGGGGGTCTAGTTGGGATTGGTGGTTTACGAACCAGTATCAACTGGATTTATTCATCCCAGCTGGTGCAGGATTTCCTCCACCAGCAAAAGGGGCCCAGTCACTTTCGATGTTCTACCCATTGCAGCTTTGGCCCCGAAATTCTCTAATTCTAGTCCATTTATCCGGCCAGAAGTAAATTTCGCTTCACAAGAGATGCGATTCCCGAACATGAGCTCAGCAAAAATGTCCCCTCGCTGAGCTCGTTGTCTTGCTGGTGCTCTGTAGGGAATGCGGGAATGAACCTGGGGATTCCCTTAAAGGAAACCAGAAGGCTGGTTGCAGGGGTCATTCTCTCATTCCCTGAGCACCAGCAAGTTGTAAGATGCCCATGTTCGGAACAATGTCCTCGGCAAAGACTTGTTGCAGGAAGTGCTTGGCACTGTTCAGCCACCGCCGAAACTGCGAGGCGGAAGGTGGCGAGGCGGAAGGTCGCTCCGGCGCCTGAAGCCAAATCGGACAGCATCCAATGTCCGTATTTGGTTTGTCTTGAAATAGGGCTCCCCTTTTTAATTGAATGGCATTAAAAGGAAAACAGGAAACTAACTACCTTTAGGGGGGGGGGGGGTAATTTTGAGAAATACCTTCCTGTAGGAATGAAATTTAGGGATCCTACATTGCCAGCCCAAATGTTCGTGTCTCTATAAACCTCGGTGCTTTTGGCTTTTCACCAAGCAAGTAATGCCTAGATCATGTTGAGCTTCCCAAGCCCATTTGGAGACAACCCATACTCCTTCCTGGGTGTTCTCCTGCTTGGTTTTAGCACAACCCGCAAAGGGTACACACAGAAAAAAATGGCCAGATCACCCCGACGGTGAAGTTCGTATTAGCCCAAGACCCCTGTTGGTGGTGTGTGCGTGTGGCTTGCTGTTCCTGCAGAATTTCCTGTTGGTTCAATCTTCTCGAGAGCACCTTGGGCGTTGCTTCCACCAAGGCGTGCCATGCTCCCCTTTGGCTCTTCCTGAGCCTTGCACGGAGGGGAAACCATGGAACTGGGCCGCATCAACGGATTCCGTTCAAGTTCCCAACAACGCACCTCAAATCATTGGCTGCCAAAATGCCAAGTTCGCCGGGCATGAAAGCAAACCAAGGTTTTGTACTGGGTTCCCATCGCCTATTTCCGTTAAAAACACATGTTGGGTAAGTGAAGCGATAAATCTCTTACTGGTTCTCAGCGTGAACGAATCCGCCGACGTTGTTCGGCGTGTCGGATATCTAAGAGAGGACTATTGGATACCTAAGAGAGGATAGAGGATAACCCCCCCCTTAGTCCCCCCCCGGGACAGGTCAAATACGCATGGTTTTTCGGTCGCCACCCCCCCCCCCCTCCCGTAAGAGGGAAGATCATACCCTATGTGTCGTTCAGGCTGGCTCCAGCTTTGAGTGAATTGTTGAAGTGAAATTATAATGGTTTTGCAATTATTGCAATTATTGGAATTGAATTCCAATAATTACAATAATTGCAATAATTTCAGGTCCTGGATTTTGCAATTATTGCAATTATTGGAATTGAATTCCAACAATTATTGGAATTGAATTCCAACAATTCCAATAATTGCAATAATTTCAGGTCCCGGATTTTGCAATTATTGCAATTGGAATTGAATTCCAATCATTGCAATAATTGCAATAATTTCAGGTCCCGGATTTTGCAATTATTGGAATTAGTCGGACCGGCTTTGAGGCCAAATCTGGGATCAATTAATTATTGCAATTATTGCAATTATTGCAATTATTGCAATTACTGGAATTGAATTCCAATAATTGCAATAATTGCAATAATTTCAGGTCCCGGATTTTGCAATTATTGCAATTATTGGAATTGAATTCCAATAATTACAATAATTGCAATATTCGGAGGTCCCGGATTTTGCAATTATTGCAATTATTGGAATTGAATTCCAATAATTGCAATAATTGCAATATTCGGAGGTCTCGGATTTTGTAATTATTGCAATTATTGGAAGTATTCGGCCCGGCTTTGAGGCCAATTCTGGGATCA